TGATTGTGTAGACCGTGTAGGTGGGGGTGGTGCCTCATACATAGAGCACTGCACGCGTTATCATGGTGAGGGCTCGCTGTATCATGGCAATGTGCCCTCCCACACGGGCACTAACTTCCGACTTTCCTGCCAAAGAAACGTTGTTTGGGGGCTTTTTCTGCCCGCTGTACCATGTCTTCATGCCGTATAGCACTATTAGGACGACATAGGTAATCACAGCCTTTCGTAGCCCAGACGCTGGTGGCCCGTTTTTTGTGTTAGCTAGGTTGCGTATGTGCCTGCAAAGTTACATTGTCTTGCACATACATTCAGTAACGTGTCTCTTCAGGATAAACTTCCGGTCAAATCACACCCCTAGCCACTGCAGTGCCGGCTCTTTTTCGCTGCCTTATGGCTCTTGTCCGGGGGGGATAGTAAGCCTTTCGCCTACCACTATAAGAGGGTTAGTAGTTTCTCGGCTCCTAGTAATATGAAGTTGCTCACACTTCTTAGGGGCAAAGAACACCTTGTTCTCATCTCCCCATTATAAGACCTGCTTGAGGTTGTCGGCTAAGAGGTCCGCATTGCGTTGCAACGACTTGGACACCCTGTGGAGCGCTATGTCGTCAGCATACCCAAAGCGTAGGTCTGGATCCTGCTGTAGTAGCTCAGCCAGGTATAGCATGTAGAGTACCAGTGACCATGGTGAGCCCTGGGGGGTGCCGCAGTGCACTTTTCCAAAGTCCATAGATATTTGTTCTAGGCGTACCTTGGTGCGCCGTTTCTTTAAGAAAGACTGCACCAGTTCTAGACAGTCCATCGGCCAGCCCTGCTTTCTTATCCACAGCAGCAGATGCCTTATTAACAGGGCGTCAAACGCACCCTGTACATTGAGTGTAGTCATCGACCTTGAGACCCCTGGCCAGTGCAGCCTCCACGTCGTCGGTAAAAGAGGCCACCAGGTCCATGCACGCTCTTTTCGGGAGAGCGCCGCCGTGCTGTGAGCTGAACAGTCCTTATGAAAGCACTGTCCAGGCCATCCTCTTGGCTAACATCCATTCCAGGCCCTTGCCCAGGCAAGAGAAAAGTGCGATTGGTCTCCAAGACCGCGTCGAAGAGCGGTCCTTCTTCCTCACCTTAGGTATCATTAATACATCTGCATCCCGCCAGGTTGCAGGGTAATGGCGCAGTTGGAGGCATTTCTCAAAGACCCCGCGTACAGCGTTCTTGATATGCTCCCAGCACGCCTTGAGCAGGCGTACCCTGATGCCGTCTACACCAGGCGATGTGCTAGATACCCCTATTGTATACTGCTCAACTTCCTCCATTATAGCTGACGTCTCTTAGTAGAGCTTTGCCTCCGACTCTTACCAGCCTTCTAGGGGATCGTAGTGCAGGTCGTCTGCGCTCAAGAAGCGGCCCAGGATCTCTTTTCACAGCATCTTTGCCTTTTCCTTGGTAGATTCTATCACTCGATCACCCACCTTGAGCGGCGGGGATTTAAGCCATGGACCTAGCTTGTGCCAGGCGATAACCTTGTATAGAGCTTTGTCAGTATTGGCCGAATTGATGATCTTTTTCCAGTATTCTCGTTTGGCCTTATGTACCACTGCAAAGAAATGACGGTGCTCTTCTGTGAATTCCTGCTGCTCCGGGTGCCTAATGGCCTCAAACGCTCTATAGACGTCGTAGGCAGCTTTGTATTCATCAGTCCACCAGGGGGCTGTGTGTCCCCCGTTAGAAGCCGGTTTGCCCACCGCTAGAAGCGCCGACCGTATCACTCCGGTAAGTTTGGCCGTGTAGTCATCCAGGCTTTGTTTGGACTGGATGTTTTTTGTGTCCGGCATTGTTGCCATCCCAGTGGCTACAAGCGCTGAGAAGCGCGGTAAATCCTCTTTGCTGACCTTATGATGAAATTGTTCTAAGGCCTCTTCGCCTCTGCCCTGTATTGTTGTTAGTAGGGTCTTGTAGTCTGACCCTGAAGCAAGCTCCTCACACATCTTGGTCTCAACGTAGGGTACGTTCATCAGGGCCATATTCATTATGTGTTCGGCCCTGTGTATAACCTGGCCCGGGATGTCAGTAAAGTACATCCCACTATCAGTAAGCCATGTCACCACATCATCGCCCTGGTTTTTGCCTTCAATCCCTGGCTCAAACACTGGGTGATATATATTCAGGTCGCCCCCTACAAACAGGTTAGGCGATGGTTACAGGCTGGTAAGGTAATCGATCATCTCATCGGTGCGTGGTTCCTTATAGATATTCAGGAACGAATACCTGTTTACATCAACCCAGATTGCATCCTTTGAGGCTATGGGCCAGCACTGCTGGGCCTTGAGCTTGCGCCCCTTTCTCACGTAAGTCATCACCCGCGGGCGATTCTCCTCTGTGTCCCAGGCGTCTACTGGAGCATATGACTCGTATTCTGGGTGGTTTTGTGTCCTGGTGTCCCTTATTGTCCAGGGCTTGCAGACATTAATCACATCAATTCCCCAAGCCCAGCACCGCTGCAGCAGTGTGAAATGCTGGGGCATGCCTTTTCCGGTGTTGCACCAGACTATCGTGATATCCGGTACCCTTCGTAACGTCCCTTATCCGTTGCAGTTTCTGCAGCGCCTTCCCCTACCAGGACGTCGGCGTCCTGACATTAATACTCTGGGAGTTCAGGCTGCTGATGGTTCCAGCTGATTGGAGCTGTTGCTACAGCTGCCCGCTGGGAGCCTTGTCTTATCTTAGGGCTAGCCGGGACCTGTAAAGATGATACTGCTGATGTCACTTCAACGTCTCCCTCAGTGTCTACCTGAGCAGGGCCGCCCAGATTAATTCCCCCTGAGGACCCAGACGTACTTGACCCGCTGGATGGTGTGTGAATTGGTCGAGAGCCTACGCTTAAGGCTCGTTTCCCTCCCCTTGCCCTTAGGCTTTGAGTCTGTAATATTAATATAGATTATGTCCTGAAAGGTGGTCCCCTGTGTGAGGTCGTCTCGCAAAAGATTGCCCTGAAGGAGGTTGTCTTATGAGAGACTACCCTGTGATGTCGGGATTGAGTCTTGCCTTTATTGGCTGAGGTTGTTTGTGCCGGCTGAGTCCGTTTCCCCTGAGTCATGGAGTTCCTGGTATCTCTTCGCTCCGGCCCGCCGGATAGAGGCGAGCTGCTTCTTCGTGGGGCGTACGAGCTCCCCATGCCCGGTTGCATTTCCTGGTGAAATAGTACCTTTGGCACCCTGGATTGTGGATGTTAATGGTGGGTTTCTTTTTAACCAGTCTCGAGCGACCACTGTTATTAAAGAGGCTGAACGGCCTCACGGGTATTAAGAAAGAGATCATCCAGCTGCCTCTGCCTATGGCAGGGTCCGGGCCTTGTCTGGACGGCTTGCATTTGACAGGGCGTGCTTTCGTCTGGGCGTATACCTCGTCCTTGATCACATCTTGTGTCTGGATGTGGTTGCCTAAGTTCATGTAGTCAGGGAAGTTCCAGGGGATGTCCGGCACCACGTATGTGAACCAGCGCTCTGGAACGTCCATTGTTACGGCGTTCATAACTCTTCCCAAACGCAGCTTCGCTTCCGGCCCCAGCAGCTGTTCCCTGATCCGCCTGGTGGCCACCCTGATAAACCAACCAGTATTGGTCGGGTTAATGTCTGGCACGTCAGCCAGGCCCAGTCCAAGGTCTTCAAATTCTTTGTAAATCGCAAAGCATAGAGTGAAGGGTTGTTCTCTTTATGTGTGCTGATCTTCATCTAGGCGTATCAAAATTGGTGTCTCATCCCTGGCTAGTGCGGACGCTGTGGCCCCGTGGCGGGACGTACGGGCGGAGGGTCCAGCACTAGCATAGGCGGTAGCGCTACCCCCTGCGTTCAATACGTGGCCTGCTTTGGCAACACCCGCCCAGGAGACCTTCTTAGAGGACCTCCCCCAAAGGTCTTGCCCTGGCGTGTTCGTCATGATAATGTTGGTAGTGGTAGGGTCAGTAGGTCCAGAGCTTTGGATATGAATGGGTGTATAGAAAGTGCCACCAGTATTAAAAAAGATAGCAATATTTAGGTGGCTATAAATCATCTCAATCGTAAACGGGCCTCCCTCTTGTACTCGGACTGTTGTGGTCTGTTATAAGTGCCTACAAAGTCGTCCAGGCAGCCAGCGAGCTGCCCTAGGACAGTACGTTTGATACGGGCTTGTCGCTCAAAGTCTTCTAGGTGAGGTGCGAATGCGCTGGCAGCAATGTTATTGTGTCGGGTAGCGGGCTTTCCAGCAAGGTCGATTGCCGGGGGAGCCTGGACATTGGCAGGCTTCCTTTTCTTGTTCCGCTGGTCGAGATTCGAAGGGGTGATGGGCTCAGGTTCCCGTGTGAACTGAGCGGCGTCAGGTGCGGCTTGGGTAGGCCGCTGGGGGGTTGTGAGGGCCGCCATCAACGAGTACTGAGTTCGTTCCCTCGGTAGGGAACAAGGCAGATCTCGAGATGCTGGCCTTGGTATTGACGTCTGAGATTATGGCGTAATGTTAAGTGTTAAAGATTTTGCTATGCTGCACGCAAATACACTAACAAGTGTAAGCGCACGGATGATTTTTACCAGGAAAGGTGGAAGGGTCCCTGTGGGGGTGAGGGAAGGAAGAAAGAAAAAAGGAAAGCCAAGAAAAGAAAATAAAAAATAAAATAAAATAAAAAAGTACCGGGAGTACCCAACGGCACTGCTGTTCCGGACTGATTGCGTAAGAAGTACCGCGACGGATGCACCACGGCCGGGATCGTCGAGATCGTTGGAGAGTTAAGGAGTACATGAAACCACAGCCTCGCACAAACCACGTTGGCAAACTGTGATGCCCGGATACGCCATGTTTTCGCAAGCGGCGATGTTCGAGGATGAAGCCACTTGGACACTATCTCGGGTCCTGGCTTGAAAGGATCTCCGGTCGGCCATGTCGATACCTGGACCGCCTGGGACAACTCGTCCAACCAGGACGTCGTCGACGCCGGCGACTGGATTGGTATGGACGCGTACCCTTACTTCCAGGATACCATGCCCAACGCCATCGGCCAGAGCAAGTCTCTCTTCATCGAAGGTGTTGGTGCCGAGCCCAGGATCATTGGGTTGCAAGTGCTCGGTTTCTCTAGGTGGCCATCCACTGGCATGAACGTTTGGGAAGGTGCTTATACCGTTTTTTTCTTGTTGGGCACGATGTCTGCCTCGGGATGAAAATGTCGCTTCCCGCTGACGATCGGCTAGCCACCGTCACCATGTGCGAGATCACCCTATGCTCGTGCCCAGACATTGGAAACGCGTCGCCGGCCCAGAAGCTCGAATTTCAGCGCAGATGCGACCGGGCTTGCGTTCGAACACCTGGTTGGCAGGAACTTGAGAGAGCATAGTGTTGGGATGTGGAACGAACTGAGTCCTAACCCGCCATGTTGCACGGCACACCATAGGAGAACAACACCTTCCGGGCCTACAAGACCACGCTCGCCCAGAAACAGATCAGTGACTGTCGAGAGAGACCGATCCCCGCGCCATGATCTGCGAGGCTCGGGGCTTCAAACGCTTCACTCCGGCAGGAAAGAGCGGCGGAAACACTCAGACGTTCGAGTTCCGCCAGCAGCTCGGCTAAACGCTTTCAAGCCAAGAAAGACCACGGTGGAGACGAAAAGGGGCGAGCGAGCAACCGCACACCGTTTATGTGGCCGCAGCTGAACCTTGGGGACCTGGCTATGTCAGAGACACTACTCTTGATGGTCAACGCTCATGCTCGCAACCCTCCCGATCCGTTTGCTTCTCTGCCTCGATGCTGCCCACATTTTCCGGTGGGTCGACGTGTGCCAGTCGTTCACCGACTTTGCTAGGCGCGCCGGGGCCCATCACCTTCTGCGAGTTCATGGTGACGGTGCATCTCGAACGATCCCATGGATCAAATCTTGCGACGCCAAGCCGCGCAAGCCCAAGCGCAGCCTAACACCGCGTCCGGCGTGCTCGGGAACCATTAAGGAAAAGGAACCTGGTGCCTCCCGGCCCCTGAAATGGTTAGACGGGGTGCTTGCCTTTGGGCGGCCTCTCAGGAAGTAGATTCCAGCTTGTTGATAGACAGCACGCATGGAAGAAGTCCAAGAGAGAGCGACAATGAGAGGAAGCCGAAGCCAAGAAAGCTGGCAAGAAAGCCAGTAAGGAGGGCACCGTGGCCAACCAGAAGCCGGGTGAAAGTAATCGGCTTTCGACATGCTAAGGATCTGGGCATCAATACGAAGTATTGGAAAGCCAGAATAGCCGCATTGAGCCAGCCTGCGTGGTTGGGATTCAGCAACTACCTTACGTTATGTGACCATGGGGGTTCTTGACAGGCTGCCAGCGAGCCTGTCAGAAGTGCCATGATGTGCTTATAATGCCCCAGCCGACAGTCGGTCCGCCTAGATATAACACAACGGGCCAAATGGTGGTATGCAACATCAATGGAGCAAGTGGTGGCTTGCCTGCGCAAGGCCACCCATACTACCAGTCTGGAAGCCCCTTCAACCAGTTTCAACCTCGTGGGGGCCAAGACTTGCACTTGCGGTACGGAGGCATCAACTTCCTGCCAACGCAGAGTACGCAAGACATAGCCAGCAGGGCAACTATCCCTCATTCTCGGCTCAACAGCACCCGTCCCTACATAACAGTTCACGAAATGGCACAAATATTGACTTCCGAGAGCACGAGCTGGGCGAAAGTCGAAAGCGTTCATCCTTGGAGATTCAAACAAAGCACACGCAGACGGCGTCTGGCCACATACAATGTGGACGACATCGAGAATGGCGGGTGGCTTGAACGGCAGCCAGGAGACCAAGAGATTCACGAGCCGATACGAGCTCCGCAGAGCTTGGACTGGGAAACCGTCCAGTGGTGATTCCTTTCAGCTTTGACTAACATCGGTATTGAATTGGTTGAGGGTTGGACAAGCGAGACCTCGAAGAGTCGACAGTGGTACTTTGTACGCGGACGCCAGCACTGGAGACATTCGCAACATTCGCCACCAGCCCTACTATGGATGGCAAATTATGGAAGCAGGCAACGACTGGACCGCCGTCCAGCTCGCCGCATATCTTGCTTTTGCGTAGTACACAAATCAGGTGATCAACGCGAACCACCTGAGCAAAAGATGGTTTCGAGCGCCTCCTTCTGAAGGTACAAGCTCAGTACTACGAACTGGAACCTGTTGAATGGCACGCAAGCCACCGTGGCGCCAGGAGGTGGCAGTGCACTGAACAAGGGGCATTAGGGCATTTTGGTTTTTGGAGTTCTCTTGCGCTCGTGGTTTGCGCCAACAGAAGGGTACCGATTACAATGAGACCGCCGCAAGCACTGCGCGAGCCGCTTCTTGGAGGATCCTGGCTGGCACGGTGAACGGGAAGAAGGACAGAAACTTCGAGACGTTGGTCGTGGGCACATGATTGATGGTCTTGGGCTGCGGACTCATGTCAATACTTTCAGATCCGTTTGATCTCGAGGCGAAGGCCTTGGGTATCCTGATCCTGGTCTTCGTCGGTCTCGGCTTCGGAATGACGATCTCAACTGCAACCATGCTCACGTCGTTACATTGACTTGTCCCTCTGAAAAGTTGAGTAGCGACGATGGCGATCACAGCATATGGGGAAGAGGAGCCTATCCCTTCCGGCCTAGATGTTATGATTGCTGGCTTTGTGTGCAAAGATCTGCCTTGGCTAAAGATGGCTACTTTCAGATCCGCCAGATACACAAACGATAGAGCTTACGTAGTGGTTGAGTAGATGTAAAGGGGTAAATTGGCATGACCACATCAGTTGAGAACTTGTCACAGCGAAAACAAGCGCATTGGCGTAAGCTACCTTACCTACCTAGGTACATGACCGCCGTTGCTGTGATATGTCATCCCTGAATGGTGTCCAGATTGACTTATCTGAAGAAGACTGCGCTGCTCGAAGCAAAGCGAAGTAACTTCTTTTCCTGTGGCGCTTTTGACATCAGGAACCAAGTTGGCTCTTGGCGCCGAAGCTGTTGCGAAAATTGTATATTTTCTAAGTCAAATGGCTACTCTCCTTTTCTTGATCCAGGGGGGATGATGACATCTGGAGCACTCACCATACAAGCTGGGTTCCCAGCGTGTCCATGACAGAGGCGGATGGGAATGGTAAACGACGGCAGATGCGCACGGTACCCGGAGGCTTCATTCACATTGTTACAGACTTGACACCCAGGGAAGGGGATGGTGGTTGGTGCCAATAAAAGGTTCACCAAAAACAGCGGCTACTACTGATATCGAGTTATTGTTCAAAGGACGGCGCTGGGCTGGCCTCGGCAGACGTATATGACGGGCATGAAGATGGTGCAAAGGCAGCACCCGAATCTACGCGGATGACCTTGATAAGTCTGCCGGCAAGCATACCTACAAGCCAGACTGCTGGCCACCTGTGGAAGGATGGCAAAGTGGGCTTCAATGCCGCGAATGGTTACTCGTTCTGCCCTGACGAGCACATGGTTCGGGACATCTGGGGCCGTCTGATCTACCCGGCAGTTGAATATGCATGTCCAGAGCGGAATTGGGGGGTCGGGGCTCTTCAAGAATGCAGAGACCGAAGCAATCGAGGTGGATGAGGATTCTCAGGCACCGCCAATGGCCAGTATCAGTGGAATTGAAAAGGGGTCGAGGAAGTTTGCATAGCCCTGGTTGCCCCGCGCTCATGAAGACAACCAGCAAGACTGGTGTTTGTGTCCTCCATAGCATGTTTGACACCTTCATGCAACCAAGTCATTACTTACACAAGCCTAACCCTCGCGCTTCGAGTGGTAGAATGATGATAGACCAACAAGGAAGCAAGTGTGAAGCCACAGTGGGTGAAGCAGAACACAAGAAACACAACAGCCGCAATGTACTAGGTGGCCTTGCAGAACTCACAGAACCAGTTCCTGATAGGAAGGTAAGACACACTAATATGGCCAAAGAAACTATATTTAAATAAGCAGTATATCCCCTAGTAGGAGCATTTTAGGCTAGAGTGGGCCTACAGGTCGAAGAATGGTCTTAATGTTACGATTTAGTTTATTATCTTGCTCTATAACAGTTAAGTGAAGCTTAATTAAATATTTAGAATATAACAAAGATTAAAGCTTAATTTTAAAGATTAAGTTTTAAAAAAACAAAATATAATAAATCAACTTTATATATCAAACTTATATAATAAACAACATATTTAGGCTTGAGTCGCTACGGTGTAAGTTTAGCGATATTCGTATAAAACTATACTTATATGCTTATAACTTATTTTGAACGTTTGAATATGTATATTTGTATATATATTTAGCTTATAAAAATATCGGTTTTATGTTTCAATATTACTTTATACTTAATAAAATGAGCACGAAACTGTTTTAAAACTCGTTAAAAGTTCACTTATTCTTTATTTTAAAGAAAATAAAGCCTTTAATTAAGTTAAGTTTATAAATGGTTTATATATATACTTAAAGTATTTAATAATAATAATAAAGCTAATGAATTTTAAACCATAGTTTTATTTTTTATTAAAACCAATAGTTTTGATAATTTTAAGCTTAATGAACTGTTAAAAGAGATGAAGATTAAAATCTTTAATAAGTATAAAAGTATATTGTAAGAAAACAAGCTCAAGGTGTTGAAAAGGAGTGATTTTTAGACAATTTCGGCGAATTCCGGAGAGTTTCAGGGAATTTCGGGGAATTTCGGGGAATTTCTCTCACGTGGTCTTCGGCACCGGAAAGAAAACCTCAGACGATTTAGTACCCTAAAAACGCTCAAACCATCGGCACAGACCGGGCCCTGTCACAGTAGCTTGCGTCACTGTGTGGTAATCAATCACTAACTGAAGACAAAGGGACACACACTCACATGACCAAGTCGTCTGAAGCCATGTCGTTTTACACAATTCCAGCCCCTCGGCAAGGAGAATTAGGGGGCAGGCAAGCTGTAACAGTTGGCCGATATCGGCAGCCTCGAGGTCGGGGCTCATGTCCTTGTTTCAGTACCTAGTGAATGCCCACCGGGACTCACTGTGGTTCAGTTCAAGACCTTTTCAGCCGATCGCATTCACCGCCCATACTGTCACGATGCCCTAGAGTCGAGGTGGCGTTGGCATGGAGCAGACATCAGACGGGTTATCAGGATTCCGTAATCATCACGCTGGATCTCTTTGTGCCCTCTTTGTGTGCATACCGCTGGCAGTCCGAAGGCTGAATTCACCTCCGATTAGGTGTCGTATACGTAGGTATATAATGAAACCATATCGCAATACTTACACTTTGGGAACGTTCTTCATATCGCTGCCGTAGACTGTAACATACGGCGAGTGTAGCCGCTGAGACGGCGAGGAACGACAGAGACACCGGGTTGTCTAGAAAGTAGGTACGAATTCTATCTCTTCAATTATCACCAATCCTATTCACTTATGCACTTTCTCTATACTGCTAAGCCCAATAAGCCCTGGTCCAAACCTCCTGGTGGCCCTACAGGGCCTTGTACGTCGACTGTCATGCCTTCAGCTAGAGACACCCCAACCATAACTTACAGCCCAACTTCAATCTGACTGCCAAGTTGCAGTTTGTTTGCTAACCTTAAACCGCCAACAGAACCATTGAGAGTCGGGTGACCTCGGACTCGACGTGAGAGCCCATCATCGCCATTTACAGTCGTACGGCCTCGTCAGGCGCGAGCTACACCGTAGAGTCATTCGCGTTTGAAGTTTTGGACCTGACCCTGTTTCGCCACACCGATAAGCCATTGGAAAATGGATGCCAAACAGCCTGTCGACTCACATCGCTCAAACAGCTGTGGACTGTGAAGTCCACAATAGCTTCGTTGGCATAGATCACCTGTCCAAAGATTCCGGACGACAGGCGATTTCGGCCCAGATTAAGGCGATTTGAGTGTCATCCTGGGAATCTATGACAGCCTGTCGTGCGACTCAATCATTCCATTCATTACTGATTCCCTACGCAGGCCACGAGACAGACCCAGAGGCTCAAGCCAGAACTATTTAAGGGGCAACTGATCTGTGGAGCGTTTCTTTTCATTCCCCTTTCTTCAAGACAGGAATAAGAGCACCCTGAGCATACGACCTTTGATTAGCCACCAACGGAATCTACTCAACAAAACCTAGCAACACAGTGCTTACCAAAGCCCCACACCTCGCCCCTTGCCCCTATTCCCGACATCACCAGCGCACCGAACCCCTACCGCCAACCTTAGGCTCACACCCGCCCAGCGAAACTTGGGCACTGCAAATCGAATATGGTTGGTACGACAAAATACACAGACGAACAGATCAGTTTCATTCTGGAACGAACTGTCCGGCCCATTCCACGCGGAGAAACCAACAATGTCCACCTGCAAGTAGTAGACGACTTCAAGAAGAAGTACGGCAAGCCGACATTCGGCCTCAACCAGGTTCGGTACGTGACCGAGCGCTACGGTAGCGATCCGGCATACGGGTGAGTGATCCTGCACTTCTTCCTGAAGGTTATAAATCGAATACAGTCTAGGATACTGACCTGATGACGCAGAAACCGCTGGGCCGCCCTCGTGCGGAGTCAACAGAACATGTCGGACCCCATGTCCCAGGACCAAGAGGCCGCCCCGATATCGCCCATCATTCCCACGGCTACTGCAAAGCGGGTTGCTCAAAGGAGTACCAAGGGCAAGTTTGCCCTATGTACCGCCTGTAATGGCACTGGTGTCAAGGCTGTTCATCGCCCGGCAGTACCACAGCGAAGCACGGCGCAGCAAAGACAGGGTCAAGAGCAAGATTACATGGGCCACTTAGCCCACCCTCCGCATGCGCCACGGGTGAATTCTCCCCGCTCAGCCTCGAATTACGTAGGTCCTATGAGCCAGTCGCCCAACCCTGACCAGCGCCAGGTCCAGCAGCAGTCCGTCTATACAGAAATACCACAGAACTCTTCACATATACGTCTCCAGGTTGCCTCCCCAAGGCAACACATACCTCACCATCATCAGACCCCTATATTCAGGACTGCTCTACGCGGCGGCGACAACACCTACGGCGCTCAACATCCAGCCGCCTATAACCACCAAGGGGTCCAGCTCGCTGAGAGCAACGAGAGTGACGGCTCTATACATCACGTCGCGTACAACCCCCAAAGAGTCCAGCTCGTCAAGAGCAACGAGGATGACAACAATTTTCAACACATCACGACTTCCGCACAGGAGGCCCCAATGTTCCCAGAAGCGTTAAGAACACGCGCGGGACCAGCACCTACACCCTGGATGGGCTATTCATCAGGCCTCAGCCCCAGCCCCAGCCATTCCCTAACCCCCTACCAATCATATCCACAAACTGCCCTACCCAACCTGCCCGAACTCGACAGCCGCCCCGTATCCCGGCCCTCGACATACTCAGCGCTCGGCAAGCGAGGCCGCTCGACCCCCTCAGTCGGACCCCCGCCTCCTCTCGCGCCACCCCCCTCGCCGGCAGCACCTATGGCCCATACAGCATCCAGCCATAGCCCTAACACCAACACCAACCCTAACCATAACTACTCCCCTCAGTACTGGCACCCACACAACACTATACTGAATAACAGACACCCTTCCACAACAACCAACAGCCCAGCCCCTGACCACCAGCCGGCGCCAAAGCGGGCCAAGACATCCAACACCAATACCACAGAGGCGCCCCTGTTGAGCGACAGCTAGAGCCTGTTGGCTCCAGGAGCCCTGGGCCCCACTGTTGCCTCGACTTCACCTACCCCTAACCTCCCGGCCACCGAAGGCAACTTGGACCATACATTCAACTACGCCGACAGTTCGTTTGCTTACGGGAATTCCACTTATATTCTTCCTTATACCCCTTTTCCTGACGGTCTACAAGTCCAAGCAGACTCATTCCAAGACGGGAATGTCGAAGCCATGGTATCCCAGCCGGTGTTTACGTTTGATGCATCAGTTGCTGCAGCTCAGGATCAGAGAGAGAGTCTGTATATCGATCCCGCAGATCTCGCGTTGGGCTCGTCCCTCGTATCTCTCCCGAATGCCGCGTCAACGACGTCGCCTGGCGGTTCTGCATCAGCACATGCTCCCCTCCCCAACATGTTCCCAGACTCATCAGGCTCGTATCAATATCTACCAGATAGCGCCACCCACTTACCGTCGTCGACCACATCCTCGTTCTTGGATCCCGGACAGCAGCCCACGCCCGCCCCATCCTTCGACCAGACCTCAGGTCTACAGCTTACCGGTAGCGATCGAATCCACAGTCCCATGGAAGTCAACAGCACGTCTCACGATCTCAACTCCGTATACAGTGGTGGCCACTGGGGAGGGAACACGCTCGCGGACCCATCGGCCTTGCCCCTGTATTACAGTACCGGTACCGAGAGTGGCGAGGCGGCCTGGATGACGTCCCCACAGGAGGCGTGGGCGCAATACGTTGGGGCGGAGAGCTTCGATACGGTCGCAGTATATGGGCTATATACCCATTGAGGAGGAACAGGGGCAAAGCGGGCAACAGTCCTTTCAGGAGGGTCCGGTGGAGGAATAGGGGGGAGCGGAGTGGGTGGGGGTGGAGATGCTGGGTTGGCTGCAATGGGTCGGGTCTATTGCCGATGGATCGGCCTGGGAGGTAACTTACGGCTTTGATGGGATGTGTTACATGGAGATTTTTCATTATCGGGTTATACACGGCGTTCGTCGGTATTGGGTACCTAGATTGCGATTTACCCCTTTTCATTTTTTCATTATATGTCATGGTTTTGGAATGGCGGCAAAATAGATTGCAGAGCATAATCGGCGTTAGTTCTTTACTTTCCTAATACCTATTCATGATACCCCTTCTGGGAGATGAAAACACTACAGAATGGAACGTTCCAGATTGTGGATTCGGCGAGGAAGCCTGATTTCTGAAATATGAGTGAAGTCATACGCAAAAGGTTCAGTAGCATCTCGAAATAGCGAAGAAGAGACTCATGTCATCTTGATAATGCTGCCTGCTGTCAAGGCCACCCAGGCCCCCCTTTGAATCGGTATCTCAGCTCTCGTTTAGGCGTGAAGACGCATGATGGAGCCTCATACAAGGGAGTCGCGGAACAATAACATTATTCTTCCGCGTCTATTCGTATACACACATTTGATTAACATACACACACTCTATCCAGCTCTTTACCCGAAATTGTGAAGGTACTACTACCTAAACACCAACAGTCGCGCATATTAATCAATACACCAACCTCACAGCCGCGAAGCTCAGCGAGTCAAATCCCCCACACAACATCCCCAGCTCGTTTGCCCAAAAAACATCCCAATCATCGCCCTCCATCCTCGAGTTCCAGCGCATCAAGCATAGCATTAGCATCAAACACCTGGACATTCAGCCCATTAGCAAGGGTCTGACTCTGAACCAATTCAGGCCGGGCGAACGGCCGGCTCATCGTCGTGACCCCGGACGTGAGCTGGAGCATTCGCTCGCGCACGAGCGAGCGTGTCGTCTCTTCGGCAGACCAGCCCGTATACATACGCGCCGCCAGCGCCTTGTGGTCCTTCATCCGGGCCAGCACCGAGTCGTAGTTCTGGTACAGCGCCAGCCCGGCGACACTCTCGTCGCCGGCCCACAGCTTGGGCTCCCCGCTGTCGTCGCGCTCTCCGTCCGCACCCACGATCGGACACGTGATGATGTCCTGCAGCGCCGCACGCGCATGAACAAGCAGCGTATTCATCGAGACGAACCTGGCCACGGCGAGCGCGTGCAGGTCGTCCGGATCGACCTGGTAGGCCGCGGCGGCTGCCACGGCCATACGGGGGAGCGGGGGGAGCGACTCAGATAGCAACGCCTCGACGTCGCTGGCCGGACCGAGCACCTCGTTCAGCAAAACGTTCGGCATGCCTGCGTCGCGGTGCTTGGGGGCGCCTCCCTCGACCTGCCTTAGGCCGGTCGCCCATAGCTCCTCCAAGGCTTCGTGTAGCGCCCACATATCAAAGCCGAGGTCGGCCGACTCGGCCTCGATGTACACCTGTAACACTCTCAGGAAGCCCTTGATGCTGCAGTACGCTGGGTCCTCGGAAGCGGCATTCTTCGGCTTGGTCGTCTTGTTTCCGGGCTCCATGCGATCCCGTAGGCGGCGCGGGAGCTGATGCACCCGGGCGATACGCTCGAGGTTTTTGGTGTCAAGTAGCGTGTGTCGAAGTTTCATCAGCGCCTCATCGCGCGTGGCCGTGGACTCGGTGTCGGGTTTTGTATATGTAAGGTCTTGGAAGTACGTGGCTAGGTGCGAGGTGTCGCGCATTATGCGGCCGTCCTTCTCGGCAGACTTGGTGACCGTGTTTGATCTGCGCTGGGCACGCGCAAAGGCCGAGGCGGGTATGCCCAGGCCGAGCATGGCCTTACTGTGCGCCTCGGCCAATGTCTTGGGGAGTCCACCGAAGTAGATCCAGTTGCGGTCCTGTCGGTCTAGCAAGTACTCCATGTCAGGCCAGGCGCGGTCGTTCGGGAAAGCAACGCGGATCGCACTGTAAAGATGCATGCCGAGACTGTTGTTCAGGCTGGCCTGCTCAAACTGAATTGCCCAGCGAGTATGGCGCACGTCGACCATGTAACGCCAAAGACCGCACAGCACCGGGTGCTTGACGAGCTGATTGTATGTTAACATCTTGCGCGTCGATGTAGATTTGACTCCGGCGTATGGAAAAGAAAATGATCAACTGAGTTTGTCGAAAAGAAAGAAGACTCAGGCGCAAATTCAGAAAACACTTTACGTACAAAATGGTCTCGTTCGCACGTCCACTCGGGATAGTCACGGTTCCAAGCGCCCATTGAGGCCAGCTTGTCCATATATTGCATAGCGTTACGGTTGTACCCATCTTGGAGGATATACGGTCCAGCCAACTTAAGCCACTCTCCATAGCGACGAAGGTACTGGGAGCCGTTGCGCCTCGTGTTGAAACGCAGCTTGAAGATATCCATGTTCTGGAAGTCTTTGTTCCGGCGGCTCACGTGCGTCTGCACATCCTGTAACGCCCGTCTGGGCACACCGGCACGAGTGAGGGCATCCTGGATCTCACCAAGGAGATGAACGCCAAAGGTGACCGAGATAGGAACCGTGCACGTTTTGAAGGCAGTTTGAATGCCACGCGTGATCACGTCTGTCACTGGCGCATCTACCATGCTACACATGGATGAGAAGACGGGTATCATGTCGTAAATCCGCTTGATTTCCGGGTTTTCAAGGACGTCGTTGCCAATGGTAGGTTGTTGTTTGTATTCCAAGCTCCAGACGGAGAACTTGAGCAACATGTAGGTATGATAGAAGAAGAATTGACTGCCATCCACGCCGTCGAAACGTCCCGTTTCTGCCGACGGTTTGATGAAGTCCTTCATACTCAGGCCGTCAGGGTCTTCTTGCCGGATTGCATCCTGCCTCAGCTCCCACTGGAGGATGCCGAGAAAAGTCCAGACCGGGTAGTCTGCCGCTGGGTACTTCCGGGGACGCTGCACAGTGTCCTCGAGGCTCTGCTCCGCCCGACGCACGAGGCCAATGGTCGTCTCGGTCAGCAGGGCGACCGTCGCCAGGTTCGTCTCACCTTCAGCATAGGCAGTCCACTCAGCCACGAGCGCACGACGCACTTCGTCCAGCTCGCAAGCGAAGCTGAGCAGAGCGAGTACGAAGTCGTCTTCGATGCCCTGCTCATCCCGGACAATCGTGACAGGCGGGACCTTCTCCAACGCATACGACGAGACCATTATGGCCTCGGCGGGGTCTACGTCGACACCATCCGGGACGTCGAGCGCAGCAAAGCGGTTGGTTTTATGGAGTGGCTCGCAACTGGCCTTCTCGGAGGCCCTGGCTCGGGATGTGCCGGTCGCCTCCCTGGCTTCAGTAAAGGGCCGCAAAGTCTCCCAGGCAGTGGTGAGGATATTGGTGAAGTACGAGTGCCGCTGGTTGCTTGCTTCCACTGACGCGTTGATGCTCGCCTGTTGATAGAAAGAGGTGATTTTGCGACGCGAGTCGATAACGCTGTCGAACAAAGCGTCCAAAGCCCTGGGTATCACGATCTTAGGCTGGACTTCGGCGATGGCCTTGGCCATGGGGACGAAGTCGGACACTTGGATTGTGTACTTTGTGGACTTGGACGGGTTCACGGTAGCCTTGGCTTTGGCTGTCTTCCGGGCTTTCCCCTTCAACCTTGGAGCCGCGGCCGGTGCCTGGGCGGCGTTGAGTTGGTATGCACACTTGGTGACAGCCTCCTCCACCAGCCATCCTGCCAGGGTTTCCGTGCCGTGCTTGAGCTGAAGGTAGGAGGTGAGGAGGTCACCACTGAGTGCGGCCGAGCTCTGGCTCATGATGGCAACTTGTTCAACCAGGCAGGTGTTGAAATTGGCCCTAGATACAAAAGCAACGCATCCAGCCGACAAAATTGAAGTGAGAAGTTTTCTTCAGTGCGTGAAGTGCGGAGATGGGAGATGTTTTGACGTCGAAAAAGCAAAGAGTCCCAGCCAGCCAGCCCAGCTCCCAGCTGTCACGATGATCTGGAACTGAATGACATCTCCACGCAAAACCCGATCGTGGTGGCCATCCAGCTTGGCAGATTAGATCGAGGTTGTTGGCGCAGTTGTGCTGAGATGGCTGGCAGGTGGGGTTGGAGACAAGGTGTCACATAAAAATGTTCACAGTGTAGTCAACAGTGCGAACCTGATGCGTCCGCGCCCCTTTTGATATGCCCCAGTTGCCAGTTGGGCAACGCGGTAGGCAGACGGTAGGATTGCGCGTCCTTTCAGGGGTAGAATATCGCGTACAGGCGTCCATACATAAGAGTACAGGTCATATACTCCCCGGAAACTTCAGCACGGAAAAGCATAGCAAACAGAGCTTCCTAAGCCAAAACTGTCGGGTTAATCTCGATGCAATTTCGAAGCAAGAGCTCATGGCGAGCTAGGGCGAGGGCCAGAAACATCTCGCTACATAATACCAATATATGACATAGAATTCGTTATTGACTTTGCAGAAGAGTAGTTTTTCGTTCTTTCTTTACGTGTGAAATTCCAATGGCGCCGCTTGTCCGTCCGGTAAAGGGTATCTCGAGGGGCAGAAACGAACAAAGGGAAACAAAAGCGACCGAGTGCTTCCTGCCTGTCCGTATAGGTATAGGTAACGGTACCCAGTCTAGTACCTAGTTGATTGGTTGTTGTGTATCGTATCGTCATGCTTGCGTAAGTGTACGTATGCTTCTAGGACCGTCGCCGCTGCATCGTCTAGACGGCAATGCTGACGTTTTTCCGCGCCTCGGCCTCCTCCAGATGAAATCCGAATACAAGTTTGAACAGGTCGCGCAGGAAGCCATACTGGCCCGACCTCGAGATCATCCAGCTCACGCTCTTCCCCACATCCGTAGCTAGCACCCGCTTGCCGCGCGACGGCAGAGACGATGCCTGTCGGAATGAGGAATCGGCTACCACAAGGTTCTTGTAATTCTGGAGCAGCGTGGCGTGAGTCGGCAGAGAGCCGAAAGACCCCGTAGGCAGGGATTTGACGAATGCCTGCAGCGAGGCTGCATTACTGTGGCCGTCTGAGCCACCGTCCCGAGAGTAGCCAACATTCAATGCGGCTTTGAGAATCAGTGCCTTGACGCGGGTAACGTTCAGGTCCTCTGCCGACGTCGCGGTTGTGGCCGTACTAGAAGTTCTCTGGCTGCTCTGAGAGTATCCAGACAGATTGGAGGCGCTGCTTGACCAACGTCCGCCTCTGTTGCTGTCCGTCCCAAGCACGAGGATGTTCGGTACTTGTGGCGACTCGCTATCTGGTGAGATCGGTGTGTCTTCGAATTCAGTCACAGGTGTTTCTGGGACTGGTGGCGGCTTTCGGGGTTTGTCTGCCGAATCTCTCTTCTTGGATCGGTTTGATTGCCTGCTAGCTCGACCGTCCGTGTCCACTTCCCTGTTATATGTGAAGAAATTCGTCTGACTTGGACGCGGTGTGCCCCTGTCCGGGCGTATTTGAGTCCAACCCTCGCGGAATATGTCGCAAAGTTCCCAGCAGGCTTGTACAGCAGAACCAAGCAGCTCTTCGTCCGGTGCCTTCCCGTCTCGCTTATTTTGTCGGATGCTGAACAGCATCTCCGCAAGCGACCAACAAGCGCGGAGCAGTGAGCTTGTCTCCTCTGCTAGCTCGCCACGTTGCTTCATTAACCGGTGGCACAAGGTAATGTAGAAGTCCAAAGTCCTCTCTCGGAAAGCCTCAGGTAGGTTCCGGTTGTCTTGAGCGCTATATAAGCTGTCGGGCGTTAGTAAGATAGTTGTCCGAGAGTCCCTAAGTCTACTCACTGGTTATTAAGTTCAAAGCTGACACGCAGAACGGAGTCGGCAATCTCATCCTGGCGGGTGCGGACATCGAACAGAGACTGGCAGAAGTCCCGGCATAAATCCAGATTTATCTTGACGTTCAACGGCTCGTCGGCTTCATCTCGACTATCATAGAGGCGCTGGCACAACTTCCAGCAGCACTTCCACGCTTTCTCATGACCATCAGGGGTTCCGGAAGTGCTAAAAACTCGTTCTCGGTGGTGTGTGCTCAAGGTGGCCAGGGTATTGCACAGAGTCCAGCACTCTTGTAGTGCCGTCTGTAGGGATACGATCTCCTCGTCTTCTCGTACCTCTCCCCGAACTGGTGTAACATAGTGGTCATCGTCGTAACTTTCCAGGTCTGGCTCAACATCTGTTTCAGGCTCCCTTGTCTCGGGTATCACTAGGTAGAAATGTCAGTTGCCAAGAACACCAGTGATGTACTGTCAGAAACACGGACATTCAAGGCTACTTGTGCTACTGGACCGTATCCTTGCGGACTCGCTCAACAGACTTTGCACATCTTGCAGATTCTGGGCCCTAGGTGTAGCACTATCTACGCTGTAGCGAACAGGTTTGATATCCGTGGTCAAGGGAGGCGGCGTTGGTAGGCCAGGAGACTTGGCCTGCACGGTCAGCTGTATGTCTTGGATCCCTTCGGGAAGCAGGTGAATACCTTGGAATTATGATCACGAGCTGGAGGCACTGTAATGTTGTCTGGTCTCGGTGATGTTTTTGGTGATGTCCTTTGACTCGATGGTGATTGTTTCAACGTCGTGTCTGAGGCGTTCTACGAAATATAAGTGCGTGCCCAACTCAAGTTGAGAAACAATTGTGTACTGACCCAACTCTGGAAGCTCTCAGGAGCATGTATGACCGATACCGCTTCGTCGCTTGCATTCTGTCGCAGTTGGTCCGGGATATTTGTTCTCAACATCAGTAGCTATCACCATTAGCGCGCCGCCACAGATTGGCCAAGATTGTATACCAACCTGTGGATGAGCCTCTGGGTTCGTCGCATTGGACTGTGACCGAACTTCGTCGGACATGTCATCTTCGATTTCTGTGGCCTCGGTCCCGACCGACGTGACAGGCGAAGGGCCAACTAAATCGCTAGGGCTCATCAATTGGGTAGGTACGGACGTCCGGGAAGCCGCCACAGAGGACGGCCGGAGAGAGTTGTATTCCACAGAGCTAGAAGACCTTAGCAAGTTAGCAATCGAGCGCCGAGGGGGGCAGAAGACGGCGAACCACGTACATTGGGCGAAGCGGTGCATGGCGAGCTGGAGAATCCGGCGACGAGACCGACATGTCTGGATGAGGCGAGAAAGCTGATATTATACTCCCCGTCGATGACCTCAACGGAGCTTCGAGAGCCATCACTGCCTAGCTAGCTAGACCAAGCTGGTATACCTGTATACTTGTACGCTGGCCTCGATATAGGCCGGCTGTCTCGGGTATCGTGAAGGCACCCGAGGGCGGAGTAATCGCGTCTCCAAGCGCCAAAGCGGAGGCTCGAGTCCACGTAGCGCGCTTGCTGGCAGATGGAGTCGACGTTTGCTAGGCAGAATAGTCGGGGTTTTAGAGAGGATTCGCGCTTGTAGATAGATGGCCAGAAAGGGCAGGCCCGGAAAACGTGGCTCCCAGGGAAGCTTGGCTTTGCTTGTGAGCTTGTCCAGCAAGCACAAGCGCCGGCGCGTAAGGACCGATGCGGATGTTTAACAGAATCGCACTCGCGCTTCCACTCGTGGTTAGGCTGTGCCGAAACAACGGAACTGCGGTGTACAAGGCAGTCTTCGGTCGGCAAAGGTAGTGTTGGAAGCTGGAGCAATTGTTCGAGATGGAGCGGCGGGCTTGGAATGGACACGACCAGCAAGTAAAAATATGTTGGATGTCGGTTGCTCGATTGTTCCAATGGAGGAGGGGCTTTGAAGAGATGCGCCTGGGGATTCGACCGACGACACCACAGAGAGCTCCACCGTAGCCCGAGACGGATGCAACCCTGAGCTCTCGGACGAACAGTCGTGGAGAGCTGGTGGCAGGGCTATGAATCCTTCGGGCCAGGAGCTCGGATAAGAATCGACTCGAAGCAAGCTTGAACAGGTGTGTAACCGTCGGCTAGGGAAGTGGGAGAGAACGATTCTGGGGTTGCACGGAGGCTCTGGCAAGTGATTCCTCGGGCGGAAGTCGTTCGCCAACGTAGCTCGTGGCAGAGATGGCTTGTTCTGTCCTCTCTTGCTGACGATAGTGGTTGGTGCCGAGCCAGGGGACATGCAGTGCAAGTATGCGAGAATATTAGACCAGTCCTGGCTGCAGCTGCGCGACTTGCCTCTAAGCTCTGGAGACAGGACAACACGCTGGCGCCGCCGACCACTAGGAAGACGGCGTGGTGAAGAGTCAAGACTCGGGCGACAAGGAGAGGCGGATTGATGGGCTCGAGTGCATGAAGCAGGAGGGCAGGCAGGGCCCCGGCGCTTAACAGCAGTGGATCGCTTCAAACGGACGAGTCACAGGATGACATTGTCCCCATCAGCCATCAGCCATCACTACCCCTGGTCATATCTGGAGGGGACTGAGGGGTCTGGGGGTGAGATGCCCATGGCTAGGACGGGCAAGAAAGACCACGACGATTCCAGCCGTGCTGAACGAAAATGGAGCCATCTTCCGCTAGGCTTCGGCGGAGTTGCTTGATGTAGCCAGCAGTGCAAGTGGTGAAGTGGACCAGCCAAGCCCTCCCTCTCGACTGCTGTTCTGAACTTCTGATGATGTCCAGTTGTTCTGTTGGTCGCGATGGTGTTCCCGAAGATCTGGTCCCGCGTCTGTTATAGTCCTAGCTCCGTCTTGGGTGTGGGTCACTACGTGTACTGCCTCTTCAACCGACTACCTGCCGACGAGTAAGTCTATTCTGCCATGCCAATTTTGCTATTCTGCCATCCGCTAGGCCCCATTCGGATAGCATTCCACCTCTAATTGGCTGCACTCTCCCACCATCTCTCCCGGCATCGTGGATACATCTATTTAGATGTGCTTTACACCAAACTAGAAGTACCATTTATGATCTTGCCGTTTAATGCAAGAAAGTCTCGCGCGACGTAGGGTTAGGGTTAGTGGTTAGGGTTAGTGGTTAGGGTTAGCCGGGGGTTTGGGGGGCGGTGCGAGCCCCCCCATCTGTGAATGTGTCCTTGTGTGCGCCGTAATAGTGGTGGTGGTGATAGTAGTGATGGTGGTGGTGATATGTTGTGGTGTTGAGCTGTGCGTTGTGGTTACAGTGGACTAGGCGCTGTAATTACAGTGGGCTGGGCGCTGTATTATGGTAAGCCGTCCGAATGGGGCTTAGCGGATGGCAGAATAGCAAAACTGGCATGGCAGAATAGACTTACTCCCTGCCGACCTGTGAACGAACTGTTTTGAGAACCATTTGTGCCTCCAACTTCCACGCTCTCATCAATATTGGCTGGTTGGTGACCTCTAGCTTGAATCCATGTGGTCAGAGGGCACGGAGACTTGCACTTGAGTAGAAATCACTCAGGTAGGACCTCTACCAGCAATAAAAGGAGGTGATATCGAAAGCCATCTTTGGGGTCCGAATTCGTTCGGCCCGGGCTTACGTTGCGAATCGAATACTCTGGCAGTGTGGCTGAATAATCTGCATCGCGAAGATCAAGAGACTCCTGACTGCCGCCAAGGCGTCTATCTGCAAGCCTGGGGTTGCCTCTGGATGCCTTGCTGAAAGGCCCGCACATACCACAGAACTGTGAATGTGCTGTCCAAAAACATTATCTAGTCCTCTGCGGCCACTAGGCTCGCGAGTCACAGGCATACTCCATTGGTTGACTGAATTTCTGGAGACTTGACCGGAATCTTGGACTGATTGGGCCATTACCGCCTATTGGAGACCTCTGCCTCTATCCAGGGTCAGCTTCTGCCATACACCAACTGTAGGGCACACCAGGAACTCCTAGTCTGTATGTGGACCAGTGTGATCATCGAACGCACCCAAGCTTTTTTGGTCTGCAACTGCCAATGCCGATGTCACATCATGATCCGACTCGACGATCAACAGTTTTTCCGCGTATCTCGTAGGAAGATGGCAGAGAACAAGGTCCGTTGGGGGCGTTTTCCCAGAAGGACCTGTGCTGCGCTTCCAGACTGCGGCGTGCAGGCAGACAGACATGCATAGGCGCCGTGTTACCAACAAGTCCCCTGCTGATTCCTTCCCAAGGTTAGTAAAGTCCCGACATGCAGCAGGAGTCAGAACATGTGCCCGTGGTGTCTGTGGTAGGTGCATCATCCCTGAACTTATGTAAGTGCTGCTTATATTCCCGGCATGGGTCATACCGGTACATCTGCAGTAAGACTGTTGGTTTTGGTCGAAATAGCTGTGTACCAACAACCCACGGGGCTTTACAGTGCCCTGTTTCTGACATTTGGGTATTCGCTCATACGGTCCTCACTCCTGTGTCGGTAAAGTAGACGTCAGAAATCAGGCCGAACTAGCGGTAGAGAAACGTAACGACCGGGTCGGATTCCTTCACCGGTTCATTGCCCTCTTCGAGAAGAGAACTGCATGACGTGTACGAATGTCCCCATGCCAAACACTTCTAATGGGCACCACAGGGAAGCAGGAGCTGGTCTACTGGGTTGGTGCTGCGGCATTCCTGGGGGTTAGAGGACCTGAGAGCCCATCTGGTGTGCCGACTGACATCGACGGGTTCATTTCGTTCACTCGGCCCGGATAGTTCCTCCCTTGGCTTGGACAAGGGGTCAGGTGACGGCCTTCCTCTACCCAGTAGCGTGTTTGCTCCGTCCTTGCGTGTCCCAGCAGTCAACAGTCGGCAAACTTGCATGTAATCAGATCACATGACAGAGACGGTACCGACAATGTGGAACGCGATGCCCAAGGAACAGTCGAGCCTTCAGATGCGCAACACAGGCGCTTATCAGTCCAGGCAAGGATGCAGGAAATTTTCTCTGTTAGTCTCGTAGGGAAATAGCCGCCGCTTCTGCCTCCCAAGGATCTGGCACCTTGGTAGCATTGCCTGTGTCAAGGTCGCAGAGATGGGCCAGGCCCACCAAGGTGACCGTGAGGGCAGTGGGATTTATTCAGCCTCCGAGGCAGACTCGTCAGGTCTTGATATTCCTTGGCCATCAACATCTGGTACCCATCGTCACTTCGCGTGGTAGTCCGTCTAATCCGTAGTGACAACTATCACACGAAAGTCCAAACGCCAACCTGAATACCGCTTGACCCAACGCCATGTAATGCATTTTTCGCCACCTGGCTTATGCTGAGCCACCCACAAGCAACGCGATCGTCTCCTCATTCCTTTCCAAGCTGGAGTTTTTTGTCGTTTCGTCCGTCGGGCGTGTACCTGATTCGACTGTCAGCAAGACTACCTCCAAAGACGCACGTGTAGAAAGCGGCATCGGTTCGGGGTTGTTCTCCGGGTGCCTTACTTCAGCAGCTTCTCGATCAGATCGACGTGGGTCATGATCATGCGACGGCAGCAGTATCTTCTGAGGCCTAATTGATCCATCGCATCACTGTCCGCGCCATGTTAGCATCGCGTCCAGACGAGATACGGGAGCCGAGTCGTCACGAACCCGTCTGGAATCCCCTCGTCGATGAGCTTCAGATACCGTTCCCAGAGATCACCAGTGACCTTTTGCGACGTCGTTAGCACGAATGCGACAGCGGAGGCTGGACCGCGGCTGCACCCACCTTCCCGCAGGAGAAGCATCTGATTGGGATAATCATGTTGCCGTGTGGAGTTTAGATGTAGACGTGTACGTATTGTATGTGATATCGGTGCAGGTCTCGCGAAGAGCAGCGCAAGGAGCGTCGTTACGATGTCGCGACAAAGGCAGATGAAAGCGAGATGATGGCGTACAAACGGCTCCTCGCTTGCAGGTCTTCAAAGTTGACAATGGAATTGAGGCGACTCTAGCTGGGAACTTTTTAGGTGGAGACAGTGAGACACGGTGGCGGGGTCTTGATCTTCCGCTAGAAAAAAGCTCTTATCAATTTCTTATCGCAGGTGCTCCGCAAAAAAATATTTGGAGGGAACCGGCTGACTTTTCGGCCTAGAGCCAAAACAATGGATGCTCGTCTATGCCATGAGGGCTGATCTCGAACCCGAACTCGACCATTCCCCCAAGCATTCAGTCCAACCATGGCTCCCGTGACAGATTCAGAGGTGAGCTATATTCTGACAGGTCCTTGCATACATGTGTCTAACCCTATGACCCCCTTGCAGGCCACCGCGCAAAAGCGTAAGAATCACGACGAGCATGCCAAACGGAAGCGATCGAAGCAACACCGCTCAGAGTCCAAGCTCGCTGCCACCAATGGGGGGCTCAGTCACCATAACGTCAATGGCCTCGGTCAATCGTCTGATCACGGGGAGAAGATGGCGTTAGACATCGTCGGCACCGATGTCCAAGTCACCCCGCGCCAACGGAAAGAGAAGAAGTCCTCGAAGAGGAGGCATACCACAGATGACGATACACGTACATGGCGTGTCTCCCGGCCCATGGGAGGACGGATATTAGATATAGATCCTATATTGACTGCCGACGAGAAGTATGCCACCGATTTTGCTTCGACTCTTTGGCGGGACAATGCGATGCTGACCTCGACGCAAGACATCTGATACTAGCGTACCACACCTCCATCCAAGTCTACTCAGCCACGGAATCCCTCTTGTTTCGTCAGATCCAGTTGCCGATTGCGTCTAAGCATCACCAGATCGTTTCGGTTTGCCAGTCACCTACATCACCAGAGCTCGTTTGGGTAGCTTCATCTTCTGGCCGTATCTGGAAACTCGACTGGACCAACGGCAGCGGATCCGACGTTTTCCTGGAAGTGAAATGCGACTTTCTGAACGATATGTTCATTGATGCCATGAAGTTCGCCCAGAAGGCTCGAGATACGTTGCTGGTTTCTGTGGAAAGGGACGGAAAATTCCATATACAGGCCTGTGAAGTCAAGGGTATGAAGCTTCGCGCATGCAAGGATCTGTACAGCTCTGCGTCCATCATCGAGAATGTGCGATCCGTTCAGAATGGCCGTGTTTTAGCTGCTTCAGCAGAGCAGACCATTATCCTGGGCGTCTTGAGAAGTGAGGACATCGCGAGTCAAGACCAACTGGATTACGAATTTTTCACTTTCGATACAAGTGACGATGTTACCTGCCTGGATATTCGAGCGACGGAGCGTATACATCTTAACAGGAAGTCCCAACGGGAAGCGAGCGATATGCCTGTTGTCGACCTTGTGGTTGGCTGTGCTCGGGGCCCTGTCTTATTCTACAACGACCTCCTGCCTCAGGTTCAATGGCTACACAGTTCGAAGAATCGGCGTTATACTCTCCAGCCACGCAAGTACCATTGGCATCGCAAGGCTGTCCATGCCGTCAAGTGGTCTCGAGATGGTAAGCAGTTCCCTCAGTGAGTGATCAATACTAGATGTCTAATTCTGGGCTCCAGGCAACTACATCATATCTGGTGGATCAGAGTCGACCCTGGTGTTGTGGCAATTGGACACACAGAAGATGGACTTCTTGCCTCACCTTTCCGCAACTATCGAGAACATAGTGGTTTCGACACGTGGCTCCTCCTACGTACTCCATCTCAATGACAATTCCACCATAATCCTGTCCACGGCGGAAATGAAGCCAACGGCCTATGTTTCAGGGGTCCAAACCCTACTATCACCTCAACCTTACTCGAAAGACGAAGCAGTCAGGCGGATTGGGCAGTATCCCACAACTCGACTTTCGAAGACGCCTGCTGCTGTGAACCCCTTGGATAGGTCAAAGATACTGTTATGCGTGGGAAATGGCCAGCAGACGAGCCATTCTGGAAGTGGTCCATCGACGCCTTTGATCCAAACCTTGGATCTTACTACGATGCAGAGTATCTCAAAACAAGCTTTGACCAGGACAAATCCCACAGATGTCAATACTAATGCTAAAGGTTATGCGATAACGGAACCGCGTATCACCGGCATGGCATATTCCCAAGATGGCCGCTGGCTTGCGACGACTGACGAGTGGCAGCCCCCGTCCAGAGATGTCGATGTCCTTGATGGCTCATCATCAGATAGACGAGAAGTCTACCTCAAGTTCTGGTCTGTTCCGGAACCAGAGCGAGAAAATGATTCGACAAAGGACCAGGGTGCTGAGCCGAATACAGATCAGGGCAACGGTTCAAGATCAGCAGCGCCACGAGATCTTGAACTGATGTCGCGAATCAACTCACCACACCATACGAGCCAGAGCGAATCCGTTTTCGACGTAGCTGCTGATCCAAAAACGGAGAGGTTTGCCACCATCGGCGGGGACGGGGTAGTCCGATTGTGGCAGCCGATCGTCAGGCAACGGAATGGTGTTCTCATCAAGGGCAAAGGGGGGCATCAGTTATACAATTGGACCTGCTCTCAGGTCATCTATCTGCACGGCAACGAAGCTGCGGGAGACCTCGATGATAAACCTGCCCCTGTTCGAGGCTCCGGGGCTGTGTCTTTCTCCGAGGACGGCTCAACTTTGGTTTGTGCTATCGTACACGAACACGGGTCGGCAGTACACATCATCGACACCGAGTCCGGCGACATCTGCAATTCCGTCAGTGGCTTGATCAACGGAGATGTCCAAGGAATCAGAGTTCTCTCGTCGTATTTAATCGTACTATCGGACACGCTCATGGTGTACGACATTGTTCTCGATGAGCTACGCTATGCTGTTCAGCTGAGGACGAATGAGGATACACATGGGCCAGGTGCTGCTGTTCTGTCCTATCTGGCTGTCGACTACCAGACATCGCGCTTTGCCGTGGCTGTCACACGGAGCAAAGTAGGGCCTGGTGGCTCGAGATCAGAGCTTGCGGTTTTCAACACAGAACAATGCCTACCTGAGAAAGTGCAGAGGTTCGACTACCCTATAACATCGCTCGTCGCGTCAGTTGGGTCCAGTGGCTTCCTTGTCCTGGATTCAGCAGCTCAGCTGTGGTCTGTAAGCGAAAGCATGGACACCAAGTCTTTGGCTTTTGCCCAGCCACTCGCTGACCTCAACCTTGACCACGAGCAAGCGGCAAAGACTTCTGATGAAACGACTGCTGTGGCGCTCCTCACCGAAGGAGACGATGGGTCTGCCAGCGAAGATGAGATGGACGTCGATATGGCAGATGATGGAACCGGTGGAGACGATGTATATCCGGCCGTTGTGGCACCGCAGAGACTCGCTGAGCTCTTCGATACTGCACCATCATTCGCTATGCCACCTATTGAGGACATGTTCTACCAGGTCACAAAGCTGTTCTCAACGAAGGTGGCTGTCGCTGCGGCTTGAAGGCAGATCACCAAATTCATTACTTGTGAGCAGGTCATGGACCTGTCAAAATACCCGTTGAAGGAATATGGCAGTGATTGGTGTCAGTTGATAATAGCGTCCTGCTTGTGTGGATATAAGGACAAACATCTTTTTTCTGCGGAGAGGGACAGGCCCTCCGGGCCATCGACGTCAACTTGGTCGAGCTGGGTTTCAGGCTAATGCCTATGATACTGGTCCGGTGTATATAGCTATTCCCATTCATGGCGCAGTCGTTCATCACAGTCAACTGTGCCAGTGAAAGAAAATGAGAAAGAGATCAAGATATCTTGCATTTGAACCATGTCGTGGAGGCATGCGATAGATAGTCCAGCTACCTGCCTGCTGCATGTGAAGATGACTCTCCCGCCTGTCTGCCATTCGTCGATCAATCCACTTGCTGTACCTAGCATCCATGGGTAAGGCGCTTGGGAGGGGTCGTTGGGTATGTAAGAATATATCTACAATATCGAATCTAGGAGCTGCGACCTTTCTTTCCTTGGTGGCCGTATATCGCAGTGTAGCACGTAGAACACGTAGAGCACGTGTTGCATAAAGTGTGGTGAAACGACCACTCCGCAAAGCCACTCCCGTAGCCGACAATAAGTTAGCGGGAGATATCAGTGGTCAAGTCAAAATTGGCCATAGTTAGGCCCAGCCTGATGGGTAAGTAAGTACGCGTATAGACGAAGCGGACAAACTGTGCCGAACCGCCCCCATCTCAGCGCACAGCTTGCAGTCACTCCGTTAAGTTAACCTCGGTCCGAATGGCGAGGCGCCGAATCCTCTGCTCGCAAGCCTTGGGGCGTACGTAAGTTACAGTCTGCTTGCTTGCTGTGATCGATCCTATGCTCGTAATCCATGGGTTTGGGGACCTATCGCGCACTTGACACTTGACGTTTGGCAACATAAGGTCAAACGCGTATGATAATCATCCGCGTCTTTTCTCATGTTCATGTTCATGTTTCATCGTTCGCAACGCGGGCGGGCATCGAGACGAAAGCCTTAGACTCCACAAACGATCAAGTCTCTACGCACCGTTGGGTGTAAGCCGCGGCTTTCACGACTGAGCACTTGAAAGTATACAGCCGGGAGGTGAGGTTGAGAACGCTTGAGTATAAAGAAGCGGATTGAATGCCCATCCCACCTCCTCTAGAGGCTCGCCACTACCAGATAGCCCTTTGGGATGCGTGTTACGGTATTACGTAATACCTCCACATATTCATGTACATATATACCCCTAGCTTCCCCGTTCTCTTCCGACCTTGCCTCTTCTTCCTTAGATATTGTTGAATCTAGATATTTCATACCATCAGCCCTGACCAGCGCAGCTGCAGGCCTGATTGTCACAATGCGCTGCTTAGGGGCAAGTGGCATCGTATTCCTGAGGGTAAACATACAGTACTTTACATCGCAAGATCAGTACTTTTTTCACCATCAGCCGAGCCCAAGCCACGGCCGGATCCTCTTCTCGACAGCGATAACTACACCTGTCTCCCCATGCTTTAGGTTACAGTCACATGTCATAAGCCTCAGTCCGTGAATTCCATCAAGACCTCGAATATATAGGTCCTGGTCGGAGCAGTCCTAATCCAATACCGCCGCTTTAGATGCGTATTCCAGAGTGCTTACTTCCGACAGACAAGATACATCTGTCCTTCAATCAATAACGATATATCAAAACTTGTGAGATTGAGGAATGGTGGTATTAGAAGGGAAAGAAGGATAGCTAATGGGAGTAACCATCCCAGGTAAATAGGTGGGAAGGTACCTCTGATAGTGTCACGGGTACGTACCTAGGTACGTACCGTGCCACCCTATGTGTATATAACCAGGTCTGGACCCCCAGCTACTTGTTTTCCTTCCTCTTCCTTCTTTAACAGCTATAATATACATTGGTCTACATATCAAGCTCTTCGGGTTCATCCCTTAGACCTTGTTCGTTACAGATAGCTACATGTGATTCCACAGGATGACACATCACAACAAGGCTAAATACGCCACTGTTATGATATCTGACAAAACTTTAAAGGGCTCGATATCACAACGTGCCGCTATCGTGGCGTCGCTTGTGGCAGCCAAGCACTTGACAAGGTAGTTATTAGGATTTCGGTTGCCTAGAGCCTAGAGGTGGTCGAACGCGCTGATATTCCCCAATCGAAATCACCCCTATATAGACACCCTTGATCTCCCTCCACGAATATGCGCAGCGCTTGGATTTGTGTCCTGACGACTTGGCAGGCCTTACTGTGGCTGCATTACTTCGGACCTCCTGTCCTTTCCATGAGTTCAGTCCACCGCACCAAGTCACTCTGGGTCTGCCGGACGGTACTTCAAGCAAGCAGTGGCGGGATCCATGTAGTGTTATGTCGACCAGGTCAGAACTTCTGGTTGTATCGTATGGTATTCTGGCATTGGATTCGGTGTGGAAGGACAGGAGGCGAAGCAAGGGTAAACCCTATGTGAGGCTCAGCGTGCTCAACGGAACTCTCGGAATCCCTCCTTCACGAACGTCGGATATCTCTCGAAGAACTCGGGCAGAATGTTGTCCTTCAGAAGCTCGGTCCATCCCGGGTTTGGAGGGTCGGGTTCGTGGTATTCATCAAACGACCGGTTCCAGTCTTGGTCCCTCCACTGATACCACCATTCCGACCCAAGAGATATTGCGTTTGCGATGATTTCATCAGCATAGATTCTCGGCGGCAATGGGAAGTTGCACCGGACGACGGAGGTCCCGTTTGCAATATCATCCAATGCCTTCTCCATTCCGTGGAACCCGCCTGTGCATCGAGCCGTGTCAGTAGGTCAAGGGTGCATACCTTCGGCACGCCAACGGAGCGCGACAAATGTGTCTGGACACTTACATGGCGAGAAACATCCCCAGTGGAGTTCACTTTCACCGTCCAAATATTCTGTGTTACGAACCAGTTTCCGCCTCTGGAGGTCTTGCCTCGCTTTCTGGCTGACAACTTCGCGCTGACGAGTTTGCCATATTTCCGAGCACTGCTCTGGGGCTAGGTCGCCATCCAGGACGAGATTGAAGGATTCAGCAGGCATCCCAGCAGGTTCGAGGGCCATAGCCTCCGCAATCCAGGGGATTATGAGTTCGCTTGCGGAAAGGCTGTGGACGCCATTCTTCGGGCCGGTCCGAAACGGAAGGTCCATCATGCGAAGATGACCCTGGAGTTGACTTTCGAGGGGCCCCGTGGCTTTTGGAAAGCGTTCTTCCAGAGATTGACACGGCGCTCGATGCGCATCAAAGTATTGGCTTGACAGAAAGGGATGAGCCCAAGTGCGTGACATTCAGAGTTCCCTACAGCTTTCCTATCCTCGCAGAGCTTGACCTGCCGGATATGCTGGCGAGTATTCGGAGAGATGGAAGAAAGGAAGTGAACCGCGACGGCGGCAGCAGAGAAGCGATATATCCCGTAGACGAAATGCCAATGCCAACTTCGACCGGAGCTCCTTGATGCTGAGTTACTCCAGAATTCGGCCAAGCCTTGGTTAAATTCGTCCGGGTCTCTATGAACAAGGCAACTCATGCGCTCCAAGTCTTCTTCGGTGGGGATAGCCCAAGGCGGAATGTCGCGGCGCACGGGCAGGATAGCTTGGGCCTCTGCCTTCTGGGGTTGGGCGAAAAGGTCTTGGTCCAAGGTAAGCTGGACGGCGTGGTGCAGCGCTTGCCGCATCTCGGAGCGTGCGATACCGTACGGATATTCGTAGTGTAGGCAATATGTGTCGTGATCCAAGTGAACCTGTAGTAAGAACCCGGCGTGTGGGCTGATGCGAGAGACCTGGTCGACCACGTGTTGGTTATAACGCGGCGGCACATCCTCGTGGGGGTCGTTGTTGTAATCGTAATCGTCTTGAAGCAGACCGCGCTCAAGTCTAAGCACATCCTGCAACAGTGCGTGGAAGCGAGCTGCCCTGACGCGCAGTTCCGCAGATGTAACCGGGTATAAGGTGATGCAATTCTCTCTGAGAGCAAGGCCCTTCATCTCGTCGGCAACCACTGTACAGGTGTACATAAGAGCCAGGTCTATGGGGCTCGTATCGCTGTTAGCCGTCACCAGCTTCCCAGACTCATAGTTGAAGACGTAGCCTCCCTCAAGCGTCAAGTAGTAGACGTAGATGTCATCGCGCAACTCGCGAGGGAGGACCAGGAACTGGAAAGGGCTCTTGGAAGCCATCGCCGCGACACGTGGTGATACGGCAGTCGTGTGGAGGGAAGAAAGGGGCGGATGAGCGGCTCGGCAAGGCAGGCGCGGTGAGTTTGGCAGTGGAAATTGAAGTATGGAGGGAGGATCGCGGAAGACGAAGCCAGACGGTAAGGAAGCAAAGGAGTGAAGGGGAAAGAGGGAAGAGGGAAGAGGGAAGGGGGAAGAGGTCAAGAGGGCAAGAGGGCAATATAATAAACTCAAACTCTAAATGCATGTGACTCCGACGGCGAGCCCAATCGAGACACCGGACTTGTACCTAGGTACCTAAGTACTCATGGAGGAGCCCCATGTGGAAAACTCTGTGTCTTATTTCCCCTTCCCCAGAATCTCCCTCATCTTGTCCAGCGCCTCCCGCTTATGCACATCCAGGTCAATCGTCAAGAACGCCCATCGACCCCCAAGCGCAGCTCTCAGATCATCCGGCGTTATGCCCACCTCCTCATGCCGCCCAGTGAAGATCTGTCCAGTTTCCCTGCTCGAGTCGATGACTCTCTGACACCGGGGTCGCCGGACGGAGTCGTACGCCGCGAACGCCGCGTTGACATCCTCGGCTGAGGAAACTGCCGACAGCAGCGCCCCGAGGACCGCGGCGTCCTCGAAAGCTTGACCGGCTCCCGCGCTCTGCCAGGGCGTCGTCCATGGGCTGCGTCTCCCCATGATGCAGACGCGGCCGTTGGCGTAGGTTGGGGTCGACTTGTGCTCCCACTGGGAGTAGCCTTGGGTACCGGAGTCCTCGAGTGTGAGCTGCGGTCAGTCAGTGTGAGGACGATTTGCTCAAATGACAAGGATGACACACCTCAATCATACCCTTCGCGATGGGTCCCTCGAGCCAGTCACCCAAAGTTGCCGTGAGTAGCTCCCGAGTGAGAGTGCGCTTCCGGTCTGCAGGAGGACCCTCCTCGACGGCCGAGATGATGCATTGGACCAAGGTCCCGTTCTCCAGCACGTCGTGGAGCAGGAAGGCTTTATCTCCAGTCCAGAGATATTGTCTATGGACGTCGAAGAATTGCTCACCGAGCGCCGTTCGTGCTTTCTCTAAGGGCACTACGACCCTGCTGTCCCACTGCATGAATCGTAGGTTAGAAACTGGTCTACAGAGCCTTTCTCATACTGTGCCCGATCAGGCAGTACTAGACAAATTGACATACCCAACCTGCCGGTGAAGCGGCGCACTCCTCCGCGGCCTCCTGTAAGACATATTTGCGGACTGAACTGAAGATACCATCAGCACCGATCACGATATCAAACTGATCCGTTGTGCCATCTTGGAACGTGAGTTGGATCCCGTTTCCAGTGCCCTTGATGTCAGTGAGCTTTTTGTTCGAATGCAGGCATTCCTTAGGCAATGGAGCCAGTAGCTCGCGTAAGAGGGATGCGCGATGAACGATCAACTCTTTGTCCTCGGGGGTAGCGTGAGCGTCGAGGTCTGCAATGAGGGTGCCTGCATCTGGCCCGGATCCCTGGATGAGAGTCAGTTCAAAGAGCCGTAACAGCAGCTTGGTTGGAGTATCACTCACCAGCACAATGCGAGTGGAATTGATGGGGACCGCCCCGGCTCTTGCGAGCAACTCCTTTGCAGATGGGATTATATGCTGCAAGGCGACCCGGGCATTCCCGGACAGCCCTACAGCGGTACCGCGCTCAGAGAACTCAGGGGCCGACTCGAAGACGTGAGTATCGAGATGTGGAAGCCCGGTCAGGGCATTCGCCAGGATCGCCCCCGCGAAGCCGCCTCTAATGATGGCCACAAGCATGGTAGCGGCCGACATCTGGGATTGATGTAGAAACTTAAGTTTAGGAGGTCAGCAGCTATATTATGTGTTCAGGATAAATCGTGTTTAAGATCAAATCGCAAGGGCTGACTAACGGCCTTTATGGAAAGGGGTCCGGAATCCTGTGTGACAATCAGCGGAGAGCAGCTGCGTTCAAAACAGGGCAGCAAGGTGAAGCTGGCTGTGCGATTTCAATGTCAGTCAGATTCCACGGACCGAAGTAAAGAACCAAAGACTTCATCCACTGTGAGGATCAAGGCCACACAAGGGGTGTGCTCCACCGGCCATGCAGGTAAACCCTCCTCGAGCCAACACCAACACCAGCATGGTGCTATCCAGACATTGAACTCCACCAAAGCCCGGCATCCCAGTCATTGCAGGTGAGCTACCGACAACAACCAAAAAAATTGTCATATGCTTTCTTAGTCACGACCGACTTTCACCGGAAGCGAAGATAAGCAAAATGGTGGATGTGGCGGTTAGGTGATTCACCCTATGTAAAGATAGAGAAAAACCCCATGCAATAGAGAGGAAGCTTGCTTTCCCACAACCCAATGCCAGGGGGCAAGCCTGAGTAAAGAAAAGCGAACTCAAGCTAGATAAACTGTCAAATGGGTACACAATGACCAGCTGATTCGTCACAACCTCGAGAGGGTTTCCTCCAAGTTCGGATGGTCATCTTGACATAGTATAGGAGCCTCTTTTCAAATACACCATTAGCCAGACACACGACATCCCCGCAGCAAGTGTATAGAAACATTACCTTATGGAGCTCCCACCGGAGTTGGGGATGTGGGGTAGCGAACGCCGGCGAGCGGGATTGCGCCATACCCAGCCAGATTGACTGACTATACCTCACCTATACCTCACCTATACCTCACCTATACCTTCCCTCGTCCGAGTTGAACAGCACCACAGCACCCAAGTAGGCGAGGTTCACTTTGCAATCAAATCCAAAGTTGACAAGCTCTTCACGACGACCATGTCATTCACATCCGTGCCGATCCTAGACCTGGCGCAAGCCCACGATCCCAACACGAAGCCGCAGTTCCTGGCCGACCTGCGCCACGCGCTGATGGAAGTCGGCTTCCTATACCTAGAGAACGTCGGAATCCCAGAAGAGTTGTGGCGGCAGGTCATAGCTGAGGGCAAGGCCTTCTTCGACATACCGCAGGAAGAGAAGTGAGTAGCAAGCAACATATACCTACCTCTCTGTCATATCATACCTATATAGCACCCCCACCTGGCGCAGCAGACCCGCTCACACACTAGTGTCGTCGCGCGCTCTACAGGCTGAAGATAGAGATGAAGAACGCACCATCGTTCCTAGGCTACTCGCAGCTCTCGGCCGAGATCACAGCCGGCCAGACGGACCATCGCGAGCAGATCGACCTGTCGACCGAGCACGCCGTGCCGGCGCCGGACGCGCTTCTCTACGAAAACCTGCTCGCGCCGAACCAGTGGCCGTCGGCCGCGGTGCTGCCCAACTTCCGCCGGGTATACGCCGACTACATCAACCGAATGGGCGCCATTTCGATCCAATTCACGTCGCTGATCGCCGAGGCCATCGACCTGCCGGCCGACGCGTTCAACCGCTACTTCGAGGCCGACCAGCAGCACAAGCTCAAGATCGTCAAGTACCCTGACCTGGCGGAGCTGGGGCTCGACGGGGAGGGCGAGGGCCAGGGCCAGGGCGTCGGCCCGCACAAGGACAGCATGCTCACCAGCTACCTCCTGCAGGCGAGCCGGCACAGGGGGCTGCAGGTCCAGAACATGCAGGGCCGGTGGATCGACTGCCCGCCCATCGACGGGACGCTGGTCGTGGCTATCGGACAGGGCATGGAGGCGCTCACGCAGGGTGTCTGCTGCTCGACGACGCACCGGGTGCTGTCGCCAAAGGCCGGGGACGGCGCGAGGTTCTCGATCCCCTTCTTCCAGGGCGTGCGCGGGAGTTCGACGTTTGAAGAGCTGGAGACGATCGGCGTAGGTGATGTGCCCGAGGCTGTCAAGGAGCAGAGGCGGAAGGTCATAAAGGCGAACGGCGGGCGCTTGGACGATGTCGAGTTCACGTTTCGGAGCGGTGGTGTCGCAAAGACGCTGGGCGAGGCTACACTGCGCAACCGGGTCAAGAGCCATCCGGACGTCGGCGAGAGGTGGTATCCGGATATCCTGCGGAACATTCGAGAACAGCAGGCTCAGGAATCGCAGGACCGGGCTCGAGCCCCGAGTTCCGCTTCTGTCAAAGGCGAGGCTGTGAACGTTAGTAGACAGACGGTCGAGGCACACTGACCGTGGGTTACGACCCGGCAGGATAGGTGGTGTGGGAAGTGCCCCCGAAATTCGTAGATTTCATCAGTCAATACATGATATGCCCTTGTGCGCCAACTCAAGTCTTTCTACCGGAATACCATAATGCGCCTTCGCTATCATGCAACATGGCCCATCATGCGCCACACCGTGTGCCATCTCCGACCTATGCTGTGCATCCGGGAAAGCAGTCGGTAAGGGGTTTGCCGTGCTTGTTCTGCGCGTGCTCGGTGAGTCTGCGCAATGTGATCGGTTAGTTACGACCTGGGTCCTTTTCGACGACAAATCGGATGTTGCGAAGGGGGTGGCCTACTGGGGAGCGCGAGTCGTCTTCAGGAAGGTCGAGAAGCAGATCTTGCACTGGATGTCCATCGCCTGCACGTTCTGGGCGCCACGCGTTAGAATTTGATCCAGATGATGTTCTAGGTGGAGGTCCGACTACTCACAGACTTCAGCTGCGACTTGGCGACCTTGCCGTCCTTCGCGTTGCGCTCGCGCTTCTGCTGTGCCTTGGCTCCCTAAAGGTAGAGAAGCAGATGTCAGCATCGGTGCAGTAGACCAACAGCACGCAGCGACACCGGCTGCTTCTCAGGGGTGTCACATACGTTACCCATGATGACCGGTGTGGAAGTGAGTCGAGAAGAGGAGAAGACTAAGGGTTTCGGAATCGGGCAACGAATTCGCGGTTTGCTTCTGATTATGGCGGAACGACGGTCAGACGATGCGGGAAAGGAAGGAGAAAGTTGGTGGGGGTCTCAAGAAAAGGGTTCTGGCGGCTTGTGAGTCTTGAGTTTTTTAATGGGCCGCTTTAGCATCTAGAACTTCTCCATTGTCCAGCGACCCACTTCCGAAGACCCGCAGCACAGGCCACCTCGGTAATCCCTTCCGGCGCTCAGGGTCCAATTCACACAGTGTTCACCTTTGAGTCCTTGACCTGTGCTTGGACCTTCACCTTCACTTTCACCACTCAAGTGCCAGTCACGTCACAATGAATGTTGACATCTGAATCATTGGCTGACACCTGAAAGTAACGGCCACGCCCTTGGCTTGATTGTAGTTTGCATCACCATTGGAAAGCTGCCAACGAACAATCCTCCAAGCTCGCTATAGCCATTAGAAGGGGCAGGGAAGCCGGTCCCTCGCGTCAACATGGCGGACGAGAGCCTACTTCTAACGAATATCACAATAGACAGATTCAACGAGCTTCTAGCTCAGTATAACCCCCTAACTGCGTCAATATCGTCGACCAAGAGTGGTGAGTGGATCATACCACACCACATGAAGCCCCTTTGTGTGTGACTGACCACTTTCAGCAGTCAAGCCCGGTCAGAAGACGCTGCTGGAGTTGGACGCATTCCGGTATGAGGATGCAGTCGCACGTTTTCGATCCAGGACGCCACAAGCGCGGATGACACATGAAGATGTCAAAGTCCTAGTTGACTGGAAGCTGTACGTGCGCCTTCTGATCCGTGCAGTCGTCAGGCAGGCATCGCAGCATGCCCTACATGAAGTGGCATTGAAAAGTCCTGAGTTGAGTCACAACTGTCTACTAACTCCAGTCGTTGTAGTCGTCATGGCAAATTCCGCCCAACCTTGATGAAGCTTGTCTCATCGAACGATGAAGCGACCGTTGCGGACACCATCGAGAAAGCAATGGCAAATTACTGGCCCGATCGGGATGCGTCGAAGGCGCTCGATGCCATTGCCAAGCTGAAGGGTATCGGGCCTGCGACAGCTTCGCTGCTGCTGTCGGTCCACGACCCCGATCGAGTCATATTCTTCTCGGATGAAGCATTCTATTGGATGTGTTGCGGCGGACGGAAGTCTCCCATCAAGTATAACGCGAAGGAGTACCAGGAGCTGAATGTGGCTGCGCAGGTCCTCGTCAAGCGACTGGGAGTCAGTGCCACAGACATCGAAAAGGTAGCCTATGTGTTGATGAAAGAGGATTCGCAAGCGACCACGTCTGTGATGTCCGAGACGAAGCCCACCAAGGCGGACTCGCCAAAGCCGCCGACAAAGAGAAAGAGTACCACGGCCGCGGATACGAGCAGCCAGGCACCTGTTCGGCGATCCAAACGTGGAAAAGCTTCCTGAGATCCAACCTGGACCCCCTCTGCCTTGGCGCGAATCAAGCATTCGCAGCTTCCATTAATATGCAGCCGCGCAATTTGGGAAGCCGGAATAATCAGCATTGAATTCAATGCAACGCAATTCTGCATGGAAGTACCGGGAATCCTCCGCGATGTGCATGGCACGACGTCGATGAAGGTTGGCACTGGTTCGCCTCACAGGTCCGGAATCCTCCCAATTGGAATAATATTCTCCGGCCTGCTCGCCATCGCCTTTGGTTCGGTCCAACGGCCCGCAGCCGCGTCGCCTATGAGCCGCCTCTACCAGCCAATGACCAGTCAACGCAGCCATTGCCATTGGACTCGATATGAGCGCAATCACTATAGCAGCGATCAAGCATAGATCGTTGTTTCGGAGTCCTGAGCCGAAGCTGAGGAGCCAGGAGTCAAGTCTATCATTACACAGCATCTTGATGGCGCTGCACATTTGCTGTGCCTCTGTTTCAATGTCGCTTCACCAGGAGTACGGTCCATTGTTTCGTCCGTCAGCCCATATATTCACTTCAAGCATACAGTCTTCCAGTCCACTCGAGATGGCAACCGTTACTGGGATCTCGATCTCCGCGTGGGAAGATGCTACTATAAGAAAGGAATACACTCAGCTTAGGGCAGACTGCTACTCTTCTTTTACAAATGCAACTTGCCATCAATCCCAGGTATATCTACTTCGCAAACGACGGTGACCATGCTCGTCACCCAGCCCGCGACCCAAGATCAAACGAGGTCAGATTTTGCATCTGTCAACGGATCGAGTAACAACATGGCATCGAACTTCATGCCCCCGTCGGAGCCAGAACCGATTCCCCTGCCAGACCGGTTCGCCAAGATCAAGCGCAACCTCATCGCCTGTAAAGAGAAAGCCGTAGCCGACTCGTTCTACCGTCTCCTGCGCCAGCTGAGAAAGGAGGCCAACCACATCGCGGCCAGCGGGTCCGACATAATACCCACAATCGACTACTTCGACATCCACGACGAGAGCAAGGCAGCCCCCTTCAAGAAGGCCCTTCAGAAGCGAGGCGTGGCCGTGGTCCGGCGCGTCATACCGCCCAACGTCGCCCTGTCATGGAAAGAGGAGACGCAGGACTACCTCCGCCACAACCCGCACACCAAGGGCTCGCCGGCGCACGATCCCCAGCTATACGAGCTGTACTGGAGCCCAGGACAGATCCGAGCCCGCGCCGACTCCCGGCTACTGGAGGCCCAACGCTTCGCGATGAGCGCGTGGCACTCAAGCAGCGAAGACGCCCTCATCAGCAGCGACCACCCAGTCGCCTACGCGGACCGCCTGATCATGCGCCACCCGGGCGACAACACGTCCCTCGGCACCACGGGCCCGCCGCACATCGCCGGCGGCAGCGTCGAGCGCTGGGAGCGCGACGGCTACGGCCGCGCCGGCACCTACAACAAGATCTTCCAGGGCCGCTGGGAGGAGCACGACCCCTGGGACAGCAGCGCGCGGCTCGGCGCGACGACGGACCTGTACAACGGCGCCGGCTCGTGCAGCATGTTCCGCATGTTCCAGGGCTGGCTGTCTCTATCCACCATCGCGCCCGGCGGCGGCGGCGGTGGCTCGCTCCTCGCGTGTTGTCCGATGCTGCAGCTCACGACGGCGTACCTGCTCCTGCGGCCGTTTTTCTCGCCGCGTCGCGGTCCCGACCACTTCAGCACCCCCGATAACCCTAACCCTAGCCCCTACAACCTCAACAACGACACCAGCAGCAGCAACCCTGCCGCCGCCTTCCTCCACGAGAACAACTGGAACCTCCGCGTCGTCCAGAACAGCGTCCTGCACGGCGCTATCCCGGGCTACATTCAAGAACTGACGGCTGCCCTGCACCCGCACCTCCGCCTCCCAACCACCATGGTGTCCCTCCCCCATATCAACCCAGGCGATTACGTTATCTGGCACCCCGACCTCGTTACCGCCGCCGACCCCATCCACCTCGGCCTTTCTCCGGGCCCCCAAACACAGACACAGACACGGACACAACCGCAACCGCACGACGCAAGCGTCCTCCTCTACGTCCCCGCCTGCCCGCTCACAGCAACCAACGCGCTCTACCTAGCGCGCCAGCGCCGGGCCTTCCTGCTCGGCCTGCCGGCGCCGGATTTCGAAGCGAACAACTCATCCTATATCCGCGGAGGCAGAGGTGGGGGCGGTTTTGCTTCGAAGGGCGAAAAGCACCACGCGGGACGGCCCGGCGTGCAGGATGTGTGCGACGCGGGCGGGGAGGAGGGACTGCGGAGTATGGGGCTTTCGCCGTGGGATGAGGATGAGCGGGAGCGGGCGGTGATGGGTGCTGGACGGAGTGGTGGTGCTGATGGTGATGGTAATACTAGAAATGGCAGTAGAGCGGAAGAAGTCGAGAGGGAGCTGCTGCGGCTCGCGAGTGGGATTCTCTTCCCGGATCGGTTCGATGCTATGTATAGGAAGGGTACGAAACGGCCTTGAGTTTTGGTTGATCGTAGCTGGATGGACGGACTATAAACCTATGGTTGTTTCGAAACTGTATGGACTATAAGCCTTGTAATTGTAACATGGTCTTGATTGGGTAAGGCGTTGGGGTATGGCGAATCGGATTATAAATACATACAGGAACTAGAGTCCAAAATACCTGGTCGATTCGGCCTAGTCAGCCTGGGTCGGGAAAGGTCACGATGTACGGAGCGTAATGTGCAGCGAATAAAGACCTCAGTTTATTCACCTATATTTGTACAAGCTAGGCAGGAAAAGCCCAGTCCGCATTGAGAGAACGTTAAATCCGTGATGGTCAGAAAGGCGCCTCGCACAACATGACATGCTTCCCAGTCCCAATCAAACATTGCGGATTGTCTCCTTTTTCTTTCGCCCGCAACCCTGCGTCACCCACTGCGCAGTCCCATATCGACTATTTTTGGGGTTCCTCTCATCCACGCCGTATCCTCGCGCCTCAAGGGTCATCATCACCGCATGAGTTGCTCGGAGGTGGATTTTGTCGGTGTCTTCCTTTGTCTGCATGATATAATACCTTTGATCTCAGCCCGCACGTTCGTGCCAGTCCGGGCCCGTCCGAAAGGGTATTTGCAGACAGTGTAGACCAATGTCCAGATCTACTTGTCCTTACGGGTGCCGGCAGGTGGCTGCGTCTCGCCGTACTTCTCACAGAGGTTGTTGTACTCGCGGGAGAGGCCCTCGGCCTGCTTCTTGAGGTTCTCGATGTCGCGGTCCTTCTTCTCGAGATCCCTCTGCAGGCGCGCAATCTCGCCAGGCTTTCCAGCAACCGCCAGCTTCTCGCTGTCCTTGGTCTTCTTGTCGGTGCCCTCGTATTGCTTGACCTTCTCCTCGAGGCGCAGGGTCTCAAGGATCATGATGTAGGTACGGTTGAGGATCAGGGACAGGAACAGTGTGAAGCCGCACAGGTACATGTTGCGCTGGCTGTAGAACTTGCGCGCTTGCACCTCGAGGCGCTCGTGGCCCATTACCGCGCTGTCGGAGTTGTTAGCATTACCGAGGCCTCAGATTGGGGCAAGTGGCCCGTGGGAATGGTAGCACGTGGGCACAGGAGTTCAGAGGCCCGTTGGAAGGGGAAAGACTTACGCCGAGCCCTTGTTAGTGTCGGTGGCAGCAGCCAGCTCGACTTGCACGCGATAGACGCGGTTAACGCTATCGATGAAGAGGATCAGGATGAAGATGAAGGTGATCTTCAACCCGTATTGTATCTTCCCTATAATGGGGTTCTCGGAGAGGAAGCTGCAAGTGTGTCTCTAATGTCAGCCGGAGCTCTCGGGATGCGGTATACATCGGACAGGGCCGGGGGTGACGTACGTAAACATCTTGCGCTTAACAGCGAAGGGCATCGGCAGGACGAGTAGCATAAACAGCGTCATCTCTGCTACGAGAAGCAGGAAGACCTGATTGGGCACTGTCAGCAACGGGGTATCCAACAACATCATGTCGATAGTGACAGGTTTGCCAGGCAATTCGGAAGGACGCAAGGCGGACGAACGAGAGTATAGTAGAGCGTCATCTTGACGGTGGTTCGAGCTCTTTCGCGGGAGGAGGTGGTTCGTGGGAGTCTCGGGACAGCTGGCGCTCAATGAAGCGCGACAAAGGGAGAGAGGGATGTGAGGGTTTCAAGGTGTCTCGCGTGCCTCCAGATGTGTATACAATTGTCGACGAGTGAAGACAAAGAAAGAGGTCTGTCTGTCTTGGATGGTCGTGGGATAGCTTGGGAGCTTGGTATTAATAGAGGCCAGAGGGTGAGGTGGGTGAGCAGAGCAGGGTGAGGTGGCCTTGACTGGGACGGTAACCGGGAGGGATTGAGGTCGTGTGCAGACTCCAGAGCTGGCAGGTGGGCTGGGTGTGCCAAGACTGGCAGAGGGCAGAGGGCAGAGGTCAGACCGGGAACGGCAAGTCTGTTACGTCACATGTGGCTTGAGCGCTGAGTGACGTCGGCCTGCGCTAATGGGAACCTTGAAGCTTACCGGCGCCCGAGCTTTAGCCTTTAGCTGCATTCCCGTCTCCACGTTACCGTCGCAGCTACTATCAGTTCCATCAATGTTCACACAGCCAAAACTCTACCAACATTTCAGCCGATGAATTGTCAATTGATGTCATGCTATAACCAACTATTTAAAAAGTCATTCGTCAATGTACCATCACTTGCCATGCGTTCCTCTTATGATCAGGTGGTCAGCAATAGGAGACAACAATCACACAGAAGCTCAGATGTGGCTTAGACCACGCCTACTTATTCAGCCTATCTGGCACCTTTAATTCACAATTGAAGCAATGGCTGCATCTGTGCCTTGTGTCTGTTTCCATGTTCTAGACCTGTCTAAGGGGAATCCGCTGGGGACACAGGACAGCTGGTCTCATCTATACCCCGCAACGAAATGCAACGAAATGCAACAAAAGCCAAATACGTACTGAGAGCAGTGTCATACATGAGGTATCTAGACGTGCACTTATCCCTCGGCATCGATCTCGTAGCTGTTGGACTTGTGCTTCGGCTGAAACGAGAAGTTCGGATGCGCAGGACCAAGGAACATCTCGCTGCAAGCAACGCGTCAGTAATTAGGTGGTCACAGTTGATACAGTACAAGAAAGGGCTTACCTGATCTTGATCCAGTCCTTGTAGTTGGGGCTGGCAAGCAGCGTCTCCATGTCATCCCGGCCCCGGTACTTCGGCGGCCGGTCGTTGAGGTTGGGCGGCAGGTGCTCCAGGATGCCGAGCGGGATGTACCGGTGCGTGAAGCTCAGCCACTCCAACAAAAAGCGCCGGGTGAAGCCCAGCCCGAGCTCGTCCGTGCCCCACGCCTCCAGGCCGTAGCGGACAAACTTCTCGATGTAGCCCAGCCGCTCGGACGATGACTTGTCGAGGTACTGGCCCTTCTCGATCTCCTCGAAGATCCAGGGCTTGACCATGGCGCCGCGGGCGATCATCACCGAGTCGACCTTGGCGTTGTCGATGTGGTCGAAGTAGTCCACGTGCGAGTAGCAGTCGCCGTTGCCGATCATGTAAAGCTTACCGCCGGGCGTGTTGGCCTGCGTGCTCGCATCCGGCATCATCGCCGTGTCTGTGAGCTCGTCTCTCTGGTCCTTGTACGACTTGACGAGCGCAGCGCACTCGGCAATGTACTCCCAGTTGGCTTTCTTGGTGTACCGCTGCTGTCTGCTCCGTCCATGGAGCGTGATCGCCGCGCAGCCGGGCGCCCCGAGCCTCTCTCGTGTATCGGGATTACCAAAAGCAAGTCTCTCGATGAGCCGAGCGGCCGTTGGCTTCCCATCGCGAACACCAGTCCGTAGCTTGGTTGTGATGGGCACTTCTCCAGATACTGCGTTCATGCCCCTAACCATCTTTTCCAGCTTGCTTGGCGTGTCAAGAAGGCCAGATCCGGCACCAGTCTGATAGACCATATCAATGGGACAACCACAGTTCAGGTTGATCTCTCGAATGTGGGGGAGGAACCGAACCAGAGCTTCCGTTGTCTTCATCGCTACCCACGCCTGGTTGCCAGAGATCTGTGCTCCCCACTTGAGATCTTTGGCGTTGTCGTAGCCCTCGACGATTGAGCCATTCTCGGGTGTGAATCGAGGAGGCGCTAGTTCGGTCTCGTGCGCCTTCATGAGGGCCCATTCGCCTTTCTGTCCCTGTATGAGGGGTAGGCCCATCGCCATCTCCGAGTATGTAATCTGGGCTCCCAATTCGGAGCACAGCCGTCGAAAAGGGAGATTGCCCTGGGTCGTGAGGGGCGCCAGGACCGGCGTTTCTCGTCCGAAGTAGATCTTTCTCTTCTCCGACGGCTTGAACGGCGGGTCGACAAATTGGGCTCTGAGCTCCTGAATACCGGCAGCGTCGTCTTCGTCGTTCTCTTTCTTATAGTTGTAAAGCTTCCGCGTGATGTCCGCGTCCTTATCTAGCCATTTGTTGTAAGCCTCGGATTTCTCAAACTTGACCTTCTTCTTGGCGAGGTCCCATTTGATGTCGGCCGATGCGACGTTGACAACGCCAGGTCGAGCGTCCGGGTCGTCGTCTGTGTCCGGCGGCGTCGTGAGTACGAGTTCCTTGCGTCCATCCTCATGCTCGATCTCCTTGGAGTGGCTCTTGACGAAGCGGCACTTCCAGCCGGCGGTGCAACGGCCGTATGTCTCGAAAATGGGACATTGGCCGTTGAGCACTTCGACGTCGGGACGTCGTCCTTCACTGAGATACTTCCGAAGGTCGTGGCTCAAGTTGCATCTGTCGCCAAATTTGCATTCTTTGGGGGAGAACTCGTTGCTGTAGGTCCTGCTGTTGCACAGCCTTACTGAATCCTCGAAGTGACCGTAGGAGCGGTTCTGGTTCTGACCGCCTTGCTTCTTTTTCTTCCCTTTCTTTCCCTTCTCGCCTCCATCTCTGGGGTCCGGGTTGCCATTGACGGCATCATTGGTCGCAATAGATGCTTCAGCAGCATCATCGTGAATGACTCGTTGAGCTTCTCCAGAAATGAAATATCTGGTGTGGGGTCAGCATGTTCCGCGGGCATTTCCTCAGATGGCCAGATACTCACTCTGGTTTGATCTGCGCAGCCCCATCTCTGCTTCTGTCTGATCTATCTGTCGGTTTTACCGCAGCTTGCTGTTCTGAGGTGGACTCATGGTCGACCTTTTGTCGCTTAGGTGCAGGTCCGTCATTCTCGCCATCGGGTTGGTCGTTCAGACGAATATCGCCGTTAGCGTCCTGCATCTGAGGGACTGCCGAGTCTGCCACGGTGACGGGAGCATTGTGCTCCTCTGCCTGCGCGTTTTCCGTCATGTCGAAGGAAGCCGTGGTTTTGCCGTCTGGAAGTACCCTTGTTGTTGAGGGAGGTAGGCCGTGAAACTTTGAAGCTCAAGCTCAAGGTGATGATGAATTTTCACCTGCACCGTGCCGGTTTTAGAGCGCTCCGTTTGCCCCGCATTGAAACTTCCAAATTCGTTACCAGCAAAGCGAATTACTGGACGAACACAACCACACCGACAGTCATTCAACATAGCAGCTTTGGGAAAGTCATCATACCAGTGGAATTGTCTAGATTCGAACCGGAGTAATTCACAGAGTATTTTTCGGAATTGCCCTCTACCTATGCACACTGCGGTCTGTTACTTTAGTACCTGCTGTCGACATGTTTCTTCCCCGCAAAGCTGACATGGCGGCGTGCCGTCTGCATTCTCACTTCCTTCTCGCATATGCGATGCAAGACTTGAAAGTACATTAACTTCATCATCTCGTCAGGTGTTTTACTATCCCCTACGAAGAGCCACGTCCGAGACCATACCACATATGATGCCAATACTCTCTGCCAAGAGGGCATCTAGCTCTTGGGCTTTTGACGACGACCAGCTGATAATGTTCGTCTATTTCTGGTGCGGTGCCTTCTGTCCCAGTTACAAGGAATCTCGGACTCCTTACAGGCTCTCCTGTGCTTTACGACGGTGGACCTGAGGAGGCACAGAGTCCATAACACCTCTGCAGCCGGATGCTATGCGCCAAGCCTACAGCTCAAGGTGTTACGTCCAAAACCAAGATGCTCTTGGTCGTCTAATGTGATCTCCGGCGACACCTTCTGCTGCCATGGCCTGATTCCTACCCATGACGATTTGGCAAGTCGAAAAGGCACAGCTGTGGCTGCCATGACCTAGGCATATTCCCAGCCGTGCCAGAGCCTCCAAAGTCAACGCCACCATGGTCGTTCATCAGTTGCGCATCTGAATGGAGTGATTCAATAGCTTCTGGTGAAAACAACCAGAACCCAACAGGAATCTCGACTCCTTCGTCAGGACCTTCCGACGCTTCTTGCTTCGTTGGATTCTCTAGCATGTCGGACCTCGAACTAGACGATTGAGCGCCCTGCGTTTCATGTGCCTCTTCCAAGTATCCCACGGCACAGTGTCTATAGAACCGAAGTGGGCTTTGTCTCTTGGCCATGAGAAGCGCGATGTCGGGTGGCGCTTGTCGATGGATGTCGAAGCTCTTTGCCATGCAACGCCAGGCATCGAGCCACAAGCCATCATGCGCTCTGGGTCTGGGGAATTGAGGGAGTTGACGTGCAAAGAGACTCGGGGGCATCTTGAGCTGCCGGGGGTCACGCCCAATCCGATCGAAGATGTCGGTGGCCGAGAACAACGGAATCAAGCTACTCATGTAGTCTGAAACCCTCGTGGGATCTATGACCTTGGGACACCAAAGGGACTGTATATTTTGGAGGAAGTCTGTAATCGGTTGAAGAGCCTGTGGTGGAATAGTGGCGGGTTCGAAAGCCCGGAATCCCGCCACGAGGTTCAGCAGTCCGACATCTTTCGGGTCGTAGGCCTTGAGGTCACAGACCAAGTCCACCATTGTCACATCTGCGCCATAATCTACGTACAAGAAATCGAACTCGGGGTTGAAGTACAATTCGAAAGGGTGTGTCGGTCTGGGCCTCATCTTCGCCCTCTCCCTGGCTGTCAGGCGAAAGCAGGGGAACCGTACGCGGTAGAAGACGCGCGCAGCCTCTCTTGCCTCGCTGTTCACGCTCAAGAGGGTGCTGTACCGGGGGGGCGCTTTAGAGATGAGGCAGTAGGGGTTGCCGCTGACGATTTTCCCTAGCGAATTCTTTGCGGTGTAGGACGGGGCCCTGGTGACTCCTGGTGCAAAATCCTCAGGACGCCTCGAATCCATCATCTTGATAGCGATGATGCGATTGCGCTCGAGGTACGTCGTCCATATCTTGAGCCGCAGCTCGGTCGGCAGCTGAGGAAAAAGCACAAAAGCCTCTGCTCCGTTGCCGGTCCCGGTAGTACCTCTGTACTTGGTGTTGAAGAGCTCAATATCGCCCATTGTGAAGTGTGCTCCAGCTGAGGAGGGATCAAGGATCTCGGACCTAGACGCGATATGTCAACTATGCCAGGTGACGATCCGGCAATGTGGTGCAAAGTGATGAGACAAGAGTGAGCCGGGCGGTTGAGCTATGCATGAGCGCATAGCGGCGCGGCGTCGAGCTTGGAGCTGTTCCAAGTTTCAACGGCCAAGGCTGCGTTACATCCGGGTTCAGCCATGCAGCCATGCAGCCATGCAGCCATGCAGCCATGCAGCCATGCAGCCATGCAGCTATTCAGCTATTCAGTCATTGCACACGCAAGCCTGAACCGGGTCGGCGCACACTAGTTCGTGTTGCAGTAGGTGCACGGAAGACCACGGTATATTGTGTCAATTTCGAGGAAGGCACTGGACAGAGGGATACCAGGATATTCACGGTGTTCCGCTGGGTCCTGGAATACATGTGAGCAAGCAGTGGAATGACTGAACACTGCTGAGCATGCTTGTTGCGGCACCGCAATGAATTGAGATCGTTGAGGATGGAAGCATTCATCCTGCTGCAGGTTGGAGGTGATTGAAGAGATAGGAAGGCACTACTAACAAGACAGGTACTATACTCGTCACATGTCATACCTGCCATGCCTGCTTGCATCTGGTACCTGATGTTCACCGTTCACCGCCCGGCCCCTCATCCTCCTGCTCCTGCTCCTGGGACCTGCAGGCTGCTGCTCCTCCTCCACAACTTGGAACCACCACGGCACCACCAACATTTTAGAAAGTCCAATTTCATGCAGGGGCTGCGAACGAACGATGTAAATTGTATATGTACGACTATTATTATTTGTTGACCACCTTCGCATAAATATTCGTTCAGCTGTCCATGCCAACTCCATTCCTGCACCCCTCGTATACACTGGCTGCCCACAACCTATGTCGTCTCTCATTGAAATACAAGTTCATGCCATAAAATCTCACTCCCTGTCTTTCACCCCACGTCTTGAACCCTCCCACATGTCCCTGCACCCATCGCTTCGTCGGCCGAGAAGACTAGCCCGCCCCGCCAACTGACTCGTAACAACATCTCGAAAGCAGCGACATCATCCCGCATCGAAAAAGCAGCCCTAGCCACCTTCGGTCGGCATCGCGGAAGAGACGGGAGGAATCAAGAGGGGCAGAGCGATGCACATAGGGCCCCGGGCCCGCTGATACCATCATGGCCGACAACCCGCGGTCGCCCGCTTCGAGTAGCAGTAGATCTAGGACCGTCCGCTCTCAGAAGATCACAATGGGCTCGCCTACTGCAGAGCCCAGCGCAGACGAGCGCAGAGAGGCCCTAGACCGTGCCCAGCCCATCCGAAGTCACACACCTGGCCACCTCTCGACCAAGAGTCATGGCGGCTCGGGCAGTTCGGGCAGACGCAAGACTTCGGAGTCCTCGATCCGACAGCGATCGCAGTCCGTCACCTCGAAGGGTGCCCCGTTGCCGCCGTCGAACCCGACCCCCGTTCCCACCCTCACCGTCCGACGCAATGGGGACACTCACAACAGCCCCTTACCTACCATACCCTCCTCCTCCTCCTCTGCTCAAGATCTGCGGGCCGGATCCTCAACCGGCGGCATGGAGACCGACGCGCGGCGACCGACCAACATGCGGTCGACATCCGCCATAGCGGGGAAGCCGTCCTCAGTCTCGATATCGACCTCCGCGCCGCCCCGCAAGACATCCTCAGCCCCGAGACCGCGGGGCCCCTACACGAAAGAACCTCCTCTTCAAGACCCCAATACGGCGCCCGATGTGCCAGCCGCACCCTCGTCCGGAATGTACTGGTCGCGGGCGCCGGTGTCAGGAGCATCTCACACGCCGCTGCGGGCGCACACGACGACGCTGGTGGGGAGCAACGTATTTGTGTTCGGGGGCTGCGATTCGCGCGCCTGCTTCAACGAGCTGTATGTGCTAGATGCCGATTCGTTCCACTGGAGCAGCCCACACGTGGCCGGCGACGTGCCCGTGCCGCTGCGCGCCATGACCTGCACCGCCGTAGGCAAGAAGCTGGTAGTGTTCGGCGGCGGGGATGGCCCAGCCTACTACAATGATGTCTACGTGCTGGACACAATCAACTTCCGGTGGCACCGGCCACGCATTGTCGGCGACCGCATACCCTCGGCCCGCCGTGCTCACACTGCCTGTCTGTACAAGAACGGCATCTACGTGTTCGGCGGCGGTGATGGGGTACGCGCTCTCAACGACATATGGCGCCTCGACGTCTCGGACGTGCACAAGATGAGCTGGAAGCTGGTGTCGGGACCGAGCAGCGGCTCCGGATCCAAAGATAGCGCCAGCAGCAGCAACAAGCCGAAGGCTCGGGGCTACCACACCGCCAACATGGTGGGCAGCAAGCTCATCATCTACGGCGGATCGGACGGGGGCGAGTGCTTCAACGACGTGTGGGTGTACGACGTGGACGCGACGGCCTGGAAGGCGGTGAACATGCCAACCACATTCCGGCGGCTCTCGCACACGTCGACCATCGTGGGGTCCTACCTCTTCGTGGTGGGCGGCCACGACGGCAACGAGTACTCCAACGAGGTGCTGCTGCTCAACCTGGTCACCATGACCTGGGACAAGCGCCGCGTCTACGGGCTGCCGCCGAGCGGCCGCGGCTACCACGGCGCCGTGCTGTACGATAGCCGGCTCCTGGTGATCGGCGGCTTTGACGGCGGTGAGGTCTTCGCGGACGTGTGGATGCTGGAGCTGGCCGTGCATGCATATTACTCACAGATCTCTCACTTTACTATCGAAGTTTAGACGGGATCTAGATTTTAGGCACCCTGTTTTTGCTCGTCTGTTTGCTTGCTTGGTTGGGTCTAATGAGATACTGAAGACTTTACGTTTACGCTGTACGAGTATGAAAGCTACCTGGCTCATGCCGAGAAGAAGAAGAACGCGGAGATGATTGCGAATTATCTCGACATCTATGTACGGGGTTAGACGGGGGCGGCTTCAATGTTTTTTTGTTGCTACTAGCGAGCGCGGTCCGGTTGGGCTGGAAAAAGGGGCCTTTGCTGAATGTCAACAGCCAAGATATTCGCGAGGTACGGGCACATGTGAGAACATGCCTACGAAAATACTCCTGGTAGCTAGGATGAATTCTATGTTTGTATTATGCAGGATCGAAACACATATCTGTCACCACGCAGCGTGCTCTATCAACCCTTCCCTCCCTTGCGAAACCTTCTGCTTCAAGTCTCACGCCCTCTATCAACAGGCTGGTTCCGGTCGATGTCGTAGGAGTGTACATGAAGGGGAGAAAACGCGAATGTTCGCATGCTGAACCGGAACGCCAGGACTCGAGTCCTGAATGCAAGATGCCAGCCCCCCGTGCGTCACAACGACTACCCCCTTCAACTCGTAATCAACACGAAGTCAACTCAAGCCATTCATTAAGGGGCAGCCCGAGCTCTCACGACTAAGCAGACCTCTTCTCCTTCTCACCCTCGATCTTCTGCTCGCCCTGGGCCTTGCTCTCCTTCCTCTCCTCCTTCTTCTCGCCGTTTCCGTTTCCGTTTCCGTTTCCGTTACGACTGGCTATCCTCCGCTCCTCAGCAGCCACCATATCCTTCCACAAGTCCTGGCCCTCGTACTCCTCCTTATGGACCCGCTTCTCGATCAGGTGCTTGTGCTCAGGGTCGTCCGGATCCAGGACCTTGATAGTCTCCCACCGTCCAGTGCCCTGTCTTGCGTCGCGCGTCTCGAACGCCGCGCTCGCGACCAGCACCGCCAACGTCAGGCCTTGGGCATAAACACGGGCCTGGACGAGCTTCTGGCTCGTACTCAGGTACTTGTTGCGCCCGACCATGGCGAGCGCGATGCCCATGGCTGCGATCCAGCTGCCAAAAACGATGGAATACCGGTTCTGTTGGCCCCAGGCGCGGAACCGCTGCCATTGGGTTTCTTGCTCGCGGACCAGCTCGGCCGCGCGCTGCGCGTCGTCCTTGTAGAAGTTCATCGGGTTGTTGGCCTTGTGGAAGCGCGCGCTGAAGCGGTCCGCGTTGACGATGGCGCCGAAGGTCCCCGTCGACGTCACGATGAAGGCGCGAAACGGCACCGTGAGCTGCCGGAAGGCTGGGTACCGCCGCGACGCGCCCATCACGCCTAGGATGCCGGCGCCGACGCCGAGGGAGCCGCCGATGAAACCACCTTTTAGCACGGCGTTGTAGTGCGCGCGCTCTTCTTCTTCTGAGACGACCTTCATGGTTGCGGTGGTGACGGTGACGGGTTGTGAATTGAGTTGTCCGGTTGGGTGGTTGTGAGTTGGACTGCGAGAGCAATTGGCTACGCAGTTGTTATCGTCGGCGGTAGGTTTCAAGCTGTGATCGAGCTGTCGAGTTCCAATCGCGATGCGATGTTAGGTATGGTGAGGCTGGGAACACGTTATTGTGACGTAGGGCGATTAGGATCTTTCGGTCTAGGTCAGTTGCGGTTGGTGCGGAGCAAGACCCGGATTCAATGTTGTCAATGGCAATGCACTGAGGAATTCGTAAAATGTCGCTTCAAATGTCTATATGTATAAATGAAGCAAAGAACGACACGCGAGGAGATGTTCGGAGTTGCAGCAAGAAGGATGAGTAACGGCGTGACAACTGACATCTGACGATGCGCCTCGAAATTTTACGGCATGATGTAATCCACAATGGCATGATCGAAATGGAACCATCAGATGGTGCTCACTGCTCACTGCTGGTGCCGTGCAAACAAGGCAAATCCCGAGTTATTTCCACCGTGACGGTGGCTGGTGCTGAGCGATGAGGGCAGTCCGGCAGGTGTCAGCGGCTGCTGAATGTTACGAAGTGCTGTTCGCCTACCGCAGTTTGCTTGGGATATGTGTCACCATGCTGTAGCATGTTACGAGCGCTGTTCACCACCCGCCATTCGCTCGGGATTTGTGAGCCTCATTTGGTATCGCTCGGTCGGCGTCGGCCGTTTCACGCAAAGCACTGAACTCACCTACTAGAGTCTGCCATGTCTAGAAGGATCTCGCATGTGCTGCGGCGTTCGCATCTGCTTATTAGTAGTATTTCGTGCTTTCAAGCTGAGGGCAATCTTCCACGGCCTCGACGAAGGCGTGCAGCCTGTCAAATGCCGGGTTCCCGACATATCGCCAGGACGAAGACCTCAAAAACGACACTACCAGGTACCGAGCGGAACTAGGACGGAGCTCAACCTCCGAGGCTTGACGTATTGTTCTCATGCGGCCTGTCGCCTCATCGTGATCATGACTGGCAAGGTGAGAGTACCGCTTGTGAATGGCTCTCGCAACGGCAATGTCGGGTATGTGACTGTGAGATGACTCTTTTTATGCTCTCGTGGCATCGAATATGCTCAATGGCTTCCTACCTGAGGTCGTGAGTCACTGCGTCGGTAGGATGAGAAGAGGAATTGCATGTGGTGAGCGGCGAACCTACCAAGTTGTTGCGCCTGGAATAGATTGTTTATGCCAGCTATGCAAGAAATGCGGGTTATGATCCTCGGCGAGGTTTCCCTGTTTTTATTATGTTCACCAGTCTGTCCGAAATCGGCCCTGCCAGCAAGGAACACGAGGCCCATACAAATGTTCTGGAAACCTTCTACGCCTCGGATGGTCCCGAAGTATGTGAGTGCCAATCCAGAGTTCGGCACGCGACTGAAATCACATGCTGTCTTTAAAGTTCAGTACACTTCATAAACCAAGCCATGTGTTTGAAGGCCCAGACCCCAAAAGAGGCCAGACTAACTCATTCTATTGCTTGGTACTTGCTGTTGTGCCCGAGGCAGTTCGCGCCACTGGTCTTGCTGATTTGTTCTGCAGAACATGCAAATGCGGTCGCCGTACTTGCTCACCGAAAGGATTCTAACACGATGGAACGATTGCATATGCTTCTCATCCATCGGGGTTAGAGCATCTCCAAGGACTCCGCAACTGCCAGGAGCAAGAGTGTCAAGTGACCGCAATCTTAGCAAGCGAGGTCCTCAATGTGGATCGTGAAGGCTGGTAAATAATGGCAACGCCAGCTTGAAGAGTGGCCGAAATTGTCTCAACGGATCGGTGAGTTGGTGATGATATTGCTGTTATTATCCTGATACATATTCCTCGCTTACCTAAGACCGCAGCTCCGAAATGAGGCCAGACGACGCATTGAAGCGATGACCAACGCAAATTGCAGCATTTCGGCCGCATCGTGAAGTAGGGCGGTCGAGACTCGAGACTGCCGAGCCTCGGCGGCGGCGCCGTGGCGGAGAGGGTTTCTGGAGACGGACGCCCGTTTGAGCTTGTGAGGGACCGAGGGTCCACGATGGTAGTCACCCGTCGTGGAATGCGCTCCTTCTAGTGGTGGAAACATTGGCAATAGCCGATGGGTTTCGAGTGGACTGCTCGCTGCAACAGAATATCGATGGTGCTATGTGTCAACTTGGTGGCAACTGCGCAATTCCGACGGCGTCTTCCCTGCTGCCTGCCAACCCGCCCCGGCCCTTGGCACCGAGGCCCCATGGATGAATGAATGGATTGGGTAGAAATGTCGCGCTGCTGTCACGATGCTGGCTATTCAGATCCTTGGGAGGCGCTAATTAAGGTAAGCATGTTGCATGGCAGGGAAACGCCCCTCCCAGAAAGTTAATAGTAAGCGGGTCCCCGGTCCAAGATTCAGGGTCCAATTGTGAAGTCAGCAAAGGGGGACGGGATCGTCACCTATCCTTTTTCGGATGGGGAAATATGACCGCATTGCCGGCGCCCGCGGGTGGGAAGCACAAAGATCAACAGGCGGTGAGCGTGCCGCCTCTGCAACTCCAACTGTCTCCAACCTCCTTCGATGGATGGCAAAGAGTTGCCGTGGAGAATCCATATGATGTCAGATGTCAGCCACAAGAAAACCTCCAAGATAGTTGTTCGTAATAGGATCTCGAAGGTCAAGGTTGAAGGCTCGGCATTGGGAATAGGGGTTCCTGTGTGACTTGGATTCCCTCGTCAGCCATAATTAGCTCGATTGTAGGGGCCGCAATAGGACGTCGCAGTTGGTGTTTCGTCAAGCTCTCGGGCCTCGTCTGCTTCCTGGTAACAAAACGCCACGTGTGCTTGTCAGGCACGAAGAGGGTCGAGACTCGACAGTGCGGTTATTGTGTTGTTAATGCGGGCGGGTTTCCGGGGATCGTCGTCTAGTAGAGCGGGGGTATTAGGTAGTCGTTTTTGGAAGCAGTCGACAGTATCGTCATCTTGCAAACATAAATTCATTGATTGCGTTGCATCGAGAGTGAGATGCATCATGCCCATCTTGTTCTTTTGGGGTTTGAGTTATTCAGTGGAGAGCGGTGAGCCGCGAAGGTCTCCAGATCCTGCGAGTCGCTCGAATCAATGGCTTCCATTTTGTTGGATCTGCTGCATTGTCGTCTCGCGGATGCAACGCAACGCGGTATCACTCGCATCTTGCTTCCCTGCTTGCTGCCGCTGCACACGGCCCTACGGGGCCGCAGGCGGACGACGCACCTTGGTTGAGGATAGCGTGCCTTGTTGGTTCCGTCCATCCCCTCATATTTTTTGCAGGAAGAAGAGATCGTGATCCATATCGTCGATTGGAGTTGTGGTTCTTGTCGTCATCGTCGTCGTTCTTCAGTAAGTTCAGTTGGGCTGAAACTCCAAAGCTGAACCTCAAATGAGGCCCGAGTGCCTCACAGCTAGCTTACCGCTTTAGGCAAGTCGGCCATAAGCTTCAGCTGAAGCCTGAAGGACGAATCTCCGCCTCCCCCGTTCGCGGTTCACCATCATACTATCTCACGATACTATCATGCTTCCCGTCGAGCTCCTGATGCCAACTTACTGACGCGTGTTTGCGGTTGGGCTCTCCAGACCAATCAGGTGAGGCAGTAGACGATCAACGTCAGGTCGGCGGCAATGACGGCTTTGAAACGCGCCGGCGGCCAGAGAGAATTGCCGCGGCCACCAGCCAGCTGCCAACTAGGCCGCCTCTGATCGGCTATGTATGGACTCGACGGCGGACATGCTGCTAGTTGCTACAATGGGCCGAAGCCGGGTGAGCGGCGCGATCCCCTACGCCAGTGCACATGCCGAGGCAGGTGGACAAGGTTCCATTGACAATGACATGGAGTGTTTGGTCCAGCTGAGATGTCTCGATCTCAGAGTGGTGAGAGGCGGCGACGGCGCATACGGTTGAGGCGAGAGAACATTGATGAAGGTTCCAAATGCCAAAACCACATGGCTATGGCTATCGTGATGAACGAGGCTCGCCCAGATAGGAAATGAGTCAGGCGATGTCGTGTGCCCAGCGAATCATGTGGCCCGGCTGCATTCGAACGGTCCCCCGCCCCCGGCTATGGCTTGAATGTTGCTTTTGCCTTGCCGTGCCAGAGCTCAGTAACTCTAGACCAATACCCCAAATTCCTTAGAACAATACCCCTCTAACCACATTCAGAAGCCATCTCGACCATTTAATTGGCTGCGTACCGCCCACCACATCGCAAGTACTTTAGTTTGCGTGCGTTTTTCACCAAACCAGAGGTACCTGCCATGATTTCGCCGGGTAACAACGTGATCTCACCGGGTAACCACGTAGGTTAGGATTAGGGTTAGTGGTTAGGGTTAGCTGGGGGGTTGGGGGGCGGTGCGAGCCCCCCCTCCATGAATGTGTCCTTGTGTGCGCGGTGGTGATGGTGGTGATAAAGTGGACTGAGCGCTGGATGCACACGTTCTGATTGGCTGGTTGGAGGGGTATTATGCTACGGATTTTGGGGTATCATTTTAAAGTTACTGGCCAGAGCTGGACCGCCCGCAACCAAAACATCGAGCAGTCGGGACGCAGTGGAACTCCCGCGGTGAGTTGGATGTCAGAGAGTCTGGGGGCGGTTCAGCCGAGCTGGTTATGCGCCATGTACGAGTCATCTACGCCTCCCGTACGCCTCCCAAGCAACCCTCGGAGCTTATTAGTCGTCGACGAGCTGCAAGCGTGGCAATCGAGACATACGGCTTGAGTCATACACTGACAGATGCTTCTGGTGTCTTGTAGCATCTGATAGTGTCATCATCCGGCTACATCTACCCGCGAACGTGTCTATCCTCCGAGGCTAGCCTTCGGTTGTCTGGACTCACGATGTACATGTCCTCATGATACATGCCTCTGAACACAGACGGCTGGCCAAGGCGGTTCGACCTGTCGAAACAGTTTGATGCGACAAGCTCAAGCTCGCGGCAATCGGTGCAACTCGAATCCCCAAGACTCCAAGAGGGAGATTGCCATTCGAGTTCATTGGTTGGCAACTGGGACCCTTGTCAAGTGTCAGCGTTGCCGGCGTCCCCAGGACCCCTACCACTAATAACACTTCAAATGTTCCGTTCTATTGTTCTGTAAATGACGCATCGGCTTTCCTCAAGTGGAACGGCGCGGGTCGGGTCTATGCCTAAAAGCGTAACCTAGGTAGGTACTAGCAGCACGCCGTTTGGTGAGACCTCGAACTTCTGTCTTCCATGTGCCTATCGCCTAGTAACAATTAGCAAAGCCGGCGACGAATGCTGCTCACCGCATCGCAGCATCGCATACTACATACTACCTTGGTGCAGGAAGGCTGCCTCGAGGGATGCAAACGAGCTTAACTGCGTGCATCTGGACTGGGCGGCTGGGCCTCTCCATGCATCCATGCATCCGTCAGGGGGTCCCCGAGTACCCCGTCATTGCGCTGGGCTGGCTGGGGACCGGTCCCCTTTGGATGATGAAGCGGATGCGAACCCCAGTCGGCCCAGAATCCCACGACCCAGGTGAATGGAACCAGCCTTGCTACATCGTCACATTGTCACCGGTCACTGTGGCAGACCGACGATACATGCTTTAGGTACTATGTAGTATGTGATCTTGTAATAGGCAACTGCATCCAGCGGTTCTTTCTTTCTATCGCACCAAACGTATTGTGTACAAGTGGCATCTCGCCAAATACCTTAAAATAATGACTGCCGGGGACTACCTTAATCTACCGCATCCATGTCACGATCTCAGCAAGCAATATGTCAAGTTGAGCGGGCAACACAATTCATTAGCCGAATAGCTCATTACTAGGACACGGGAAAGTCTACAGCTCGAACCGTGCATTGTTATGAACGCATCTCTCTTACCTCTCACCTCTCGGGACCTCCTTTTAGATGGTGCGCCATACGTGTAGTCTACCGTAGACTGTAGTTCTCCCGCCTGGTGCTATCCATCTGACGGTCTGAGAGAGTTGACGGCGGCCAAACAGCCAAACAGCTTGCATCTGATATCCAATATCTGATCTGCATTGACACTCACACCTCACACTTCGCACATCAATCACTATTCTCATCTCGTCTCATCATCTATCCCATGCCGTGCCGCGTGAATGCTACAACACCCTGACTAAGAGGCAACAACATTCATCCATCTACTCCTACCGTCACAACTCTGACAACCTCCCGTCCCGTCATAACCTCGCGACCCCGAGTCAGTTTGAGTTCATACAAACGACCGGCGGCAGCACACCTCGAAACCTTAGAAACTCGAGGACTCGATAGAACATCCAACACGCGCCGAAGGTGTTCCTTGACTTTGTTCCTCGACTTCGACACTTCGCCCCCCATATCGAACTGCGCGATTCATGACGGTTGCTTGCTATCGACTAACACAGCGAGTTATCGAGATCGTCTACGTCTAGAAGTTCAACGCCCAACCCCCAATAGACCGACCAGTCACCGGTTTACCTTGGTCGCAACTCCCCTGACTGCTGCCGTGGTTCCAGCGTGGATTATTATTATTATTAATCGTTCAGTCTGCGACAGAAGACTCCAGCGCATGCCACCGCATCCCATCGATCGCATTTATCGCCATCTGAACTCATCATCATTACCATCCCGTCATCCTCTACCGGTACCCCATCGCTTACTCCGTGGTTCCGTACCGGTGCCGTACCTCGTCCCAGGTGCTACCTTGGACGGCCTGCCGCCCCTGCCCTCGCGCTCCCACTTACACGACACCGCATGGACCCGCCTTGTCGGTCTGCAATACTTTATTATACAACTAACTCGTCTCATCCATGGTTCATGGTTGGGAGACAGTGAGGCAAAGATAGACTTCACCACTACCTACCACTATCATCATCACCGTCCCGTTCTTTTACTTCCGTTCGCCCCGGAAGACTGAACGCATCAAGTACCTAATTATTGTTCACTTCTGTCCACGGCGCGCTTCATCACCGTCGACCGACACCTCACCGGACTCTCCTCACTCCCCAAGGCGAGGAAAGGTACATCTCTATCACTTCCTTCTCCCGGCCTGAACTGGGACTCCTTCTGTCCGGACTGTGCACCGGCATCACAGGGACGCAACTGATTACCATCACGGCCATTCGCCCGCGTGTTGCAGCTTGCTTGCCCAGATTCCCAGATTCCCAGACCCAGGGAATACCTATTACCCCCGACCAGGACCCACCTGAAGGATTTACCAATCATGAAGAGGTCGACGATTGGGCGGTTGTTTTGTGGGAGTGGCACAACAACAAGCAGCACCCCATCCACTGCATCGCCGTCTCCATCTCAATCCCCATCCACCTCGACCACCCCGACTAGCAGACACACCGAGCATCCGTTTTCCAGCCGCAGCACCGCCGAGAAGGCTAGCGGTTACGGTTACGGTTACGGTAATAATAATAGTACTAATTGTCCCCCATCTGCATCCTCCGCCCACGCCCACGCCCATGCCCACGCCCACAACCCTGACACTCGTCTTCATCACCTCCACGCCGCTGTCGCAGCTACTAGTGCCACCGCTGCAACTACTCCGGCCTCTTGTCATTCCCTCTCCTCGCCGTCGCCCTCGCCGCAGCCCGCAACCCCCGACGAGAAGTCACGTCTGCCCGACCGCGACCACTATTTTGGCGTCAGCGCATCAGCCACTGTCAAACCGCTCACCATCGCCAACTCGCCCCGATTGCGCGACTCCCACTCCGCATCGCCACGAGCCGCCCAGCGCACCCAACCAGGCTTCGATCTCGACTTCTCCCACGACCTGGGCCTGCAAGACAACGACGTCGAGATGACCAGCGGCCCTGCGCTCGACTCGGCCTTCGGCCGCAGTCGCCAGGACTCCTTCGTGAGCGCTGGACCCAAGCCCATCTCTATGATCAACCCGAATCGCGAACATGGCGGCCGCCGCGAGAGTGTGGCCGGCAGCTACCTGAACGGTATGAGTTGGGGAGGCGTCTCCGTTGGTAGCTTCATTAGAGATGAGTAAGTGCACCGCCCGCGACCAGGCGACTCACCTCTTTCTGCATGTGGACTGAACTGCATCTCTTGGCGATCTCTTCCGCGTCTCTCTCGTCCCAAACATGTGTTAGACACTTTCGTCTGACATGTGAATAACCCCCGTTTACCCTTACTGACCGAATGTCTCGCAACAGTCTCGCCATGACGGGCACGTCGCCATTCATGGCCGGCGCAACCCAATCACCGTCGTTTTCGTCCAACTCCTATATCCCTAAGATGGAAGCCGAGTACCTGCGGAACTTCGTATGTTGCGAGCTCAAGTTGGAGACGATGCACGACCTCCTCCGCCATTACGAGACGGTCCACACGACGGCGAATGCGCAGTCGAATCGAAACGGATCCGGTGTCCAGATGCCCCACAGGCTCTCGGTAAGCAGCAGACCGTCCATGTCGATGGGCTTGGGTAGACAGGACTCGCACGGCTTTCAGAGCCCGGGACAGCTGGGGTTTGGCTCGGGAAATCGGACGACAACGAATAACGGAATTTCCTACTCCGGTTTTCAGATGGGAAGACAGGACTCGAATGGCCCGAAATCGTCCCACCTTATGCAATCGAATGACGACATGGATGCCGTTGGCGATATGGAGATGGACGATGCCGTTGGCATGATGGAGATGGACGACACCAATCAGCGTACCATTCAGCAGACTCGACAGATGTTCGGGCAGCAGCAACGGCCGCAACTCCAGTTGAACAGCTCTGGACTGCCGCACCAGGCTCTGCGAACGTCGCAACCACCGACGCCAGGTGCTTCAGGGTTCGGCTTCCAGAACAACCCTACCGTGTCGTCAGTCAATACACCCACGTTGACGACACATCAAGCGGCACTGGGCCAGTTGGGCGGGGATACGGATGGACTGGAGAAGGACGCGTCTTCGTTGAATTACCTGGACCTCACCGCACTCGGCGCCTTCGACAATCCCGCTTTCTCCGAGTTCTTCATCCAGGACCCGGCCAAGCGGCTCTATAATCCAAATGGCGGGCCTGCCAGCCAGCTCAAGCTCCAACAGCAGATGCAACAGTTCGGCCTGGATCAAAGTCAGTTCCCGAACATCACGGATCCCAACCATCTTGCTGCGCTGCAGAGAGCGATAGCAAATCCCAACTCGGTGGTCATGCCGCCCGAGGAGGACAAACCTTTCAAGTGTCCGGTCATCGGATGCGAGAAGGCGTACAAGAACCAAAATGGCTTGAAGTAAGTTTGAACACCTGCAGTTTTAAGCTTCCTTAGCCCTTATCTCATCGTACACATCGCTTACCGATTATGCAGGTACCACAAGCAACACGGACACCAGAACCAACAGCTGCATGAGAACGGGGACGGGTCCTTCTCCATTGTCAACCCGGAGACTTCGGCACCCTACCCCGGCGAGACGGGCATGGAGAAGGAGAAACCTCACAAGTGCGAATACTGTCACAAGCGGTACAAGAACTTGAACGGCCTCAAATATGTAAGACCTTAAACGCCCAAGCCCAATGACATCAGAACTGACACCTTCCCTTCCCAGCACAAGCAGCATTCCTCGGCTTGTGAGATACAGGCCCAGGCGGCTAGTATCCGAGCAAACCTGTCAAACAACCAAATGCCTTTCAATATGGCCCAACTCAACCACGGACTACCCGGCATTGGCGAGGAGATGCAAATGTAGGACAAGCCTCCTCCTCAACAACGGTCGGGCAAGTCAACGCCTAAGCCCAAGCGAATCAACGGGGATGCCACTTCCAAGAAGACGACTTCGAAGAAGAAGGCTTCCAAAAAGTCGACCTCCGAGAAATCGACTCCCAAGAAATCGCACATTCCGGCCACTCAGCGAGGCTCGGACCAACCGCTCCTTCAACGACGTTTCGCCCACTTGGTCGTCAAGTCCGAACCGAACACACCGACTGCCTCTCCACCGGTATCTCCTACTGTCGTCTTTGGATTCCAGGTCCCTGCAGTCCCTCGGCTGTAGCATCTGGTTTCCGGTTCCTCCCACAACGCCTGTTGCTTTTGTTTTCGCGATGATTACTACGACATAGATCTCTTGCGCATAGACTGGATACCCCTGACCATGTCACCGACGGTACAAGCATGAACTTGTCGGTTCGGAATAGTTTGTTTCCTTTGGCATCATGGGCGGCGTTTCAGTATTTCCTTGGCATACGACGACGCCATGCCCACGTATACCCAATCCCCGATAGGTGTTACACCCTCTCGCCACGACGACCAGTATGATGTATCTTCATCGGTATTCGTTACGTTTCGTGTCTGGTGTTGTACCCCGTTGGAAGAGTTGTGAGCGAAAAAAATGGTTGGAAGAATGGACAGAGACGACGGTGTTTGCACCAGTTGATGGAAGATTGACGGCAAAAGTATCGACGAATTTCGAATCTGTCGGTTTCCCACTCAACAGCACTTTCTCACCGCCATCTCGACTACGTTAGATCATCGAACGCTCATCTTCGAGAAGAGTGTTCACGCCTCACGGCCTCACATTGTTTGTTTGAAGAATACCGAAGGTGGCATGGGATCTTGCAAGATCCCGTTTTTGTCGTCTGCTTTGTTTCCTCATCCGGTGCCGCTTGGCTGCGGCACTGTATTGTTGGCTTTGCTGGGCGTTACTGGTTCGCGACACAAAAAGGGGGGTGGGATCCATGGAAGGAAGGGAGTCATTCCATCTAGCGTTTGTGCTTTTTGCTTTTTGCCCTGACTATTACTTCTACTCTAGACAGAAGTACTCTGCATGTTTCTAGTAATAATTGATTTTCATTCTCGATGAGAACAATTTTGTCGTTATTTGTTGTAATAAGTGACTGGCACGAAGTATACACTGCGATATGTCTGTTCTATATTCAGTCCTAATCCTGATGCTACTGGGTCTGGTCTCCAAAGGGGCCCAGACATACTACTGGTTCAGGAAACTACAAGCTGTTATTCGATATGCTTTCGATACTCCTCTCATACCACCACCACACACACCCAGAACACGAGACACATCCCCTACTGCATACCTACGGTATCCATCTACCCATACTACACCACCTCCTTCCACCTTCACATGACTTCGAACCCACCCAGGGAAGTCAGATGCCAGAGATACCACGAGATCGGATCGCATAGTCTACCTACCTCCAGGGCACAGGAATCCGCACCGATGGTCTTCCGCCCGATTAGGCTTCATATAATAGGTACCCAACACACCACCCGCCACACAAAGGGCCTCAAAGCTCACAGACCAGCCGCGAGCTACTGGAGAGCCTCAATACCCCACAGTAGCCTCCCGTAGCCCACAGTAGCCCGACACACGGTCTGTATCCTATATCATCATCAATCATAGCCTTACCAACTTACAGCGCCAAGCCCGAAGGACCCCGAGTCGTTGATGCCTCACCTTCCCCCTTCCCTGCCTGCCTTCTGTCTTCCTGCCTTCCGTTCGCCCGGCCTTCTAGAAGCAGACTACCGTAGAACAACGCCCAGAGACGCGGAAGTGTGGGCTAACGTAATGGTAAAGCACCTATCTACAACATTAGCTCGCCCGGGGACCTACATCGACGAGCAACTGTATTCTCCCACCCCGATTTCCGTATTCTCCCACCCACTAAACCCCATTCGGAGAGTCATCCATATTACAGCGCTTAGCCCACTGTAACTACAGCGCTCAGTCCACTGTAATCACAACGGTCGCGCAGAGCCTCAACACCACCACACCGCATCACCAGATTCACCACCATCACCACCACGGCGCACACAAGGACACATTCCCAGATGGGGGGCTCGCACCGTCCCCCAAACCCCCGGCTAACCCTAACCACTAATCATAACCACTAACCCTAGCCCTAACCGTCGCTGCGAGATGTTATCTTAAACAGTCGGTCGCATCATAAAAAGTACCTTTTGATTGGTAGGAAACGCACACGAAATGAAGTACTTGGAGTGTGTTGCTTGGGTGCGTTGCTTGCGCGCGTGAGAGGCTGTCCGAATGGGGCTTAGTGGGTGGGAGAATACAGTTACTCTACATCGACGATGATGAAGCTAGCGGGTAGTAGTACGTAAGGCTTACGCCCCAGGGTCCAGCGTCCGACGGCGCCGGCCCTGCGAGTCGGCGTCACACGTGGTATGGTATGCAGCTAATGCAGGAGGCCGAGTCATGGTGGATCGCCCGGCGCGTGGCAGCGGCCTCAGAACTGCCGGAATGGGGTTGGAGTGAGGACAGGTCACGGGCCTAACATATTGTCCCGAGGCGCTTCTGCTTCGCTGAAGCAGGGAGCTGACGTCGAGGCTGGTGCCTGACAAGAGTAGCTGAAGATTGAGCTAACTTTACTGCTACGGCAACCGCAAGGAGTTACGGAACACACGACCTAACCTTGAACGCCTCTCTGATAACTCCGCCTAACCCTCTGCACAGGTGTAGCGCGGCGGCCTTGGATGTATCTGCCCGAATGCCGAATGCCGAAAGTCCATGCGCCGAAGACGGATACTGTGTGTCAAGACAGCCCTTCTATACACGAAATATATGTGTGTACAGGCCTTCTCATTCACTCATAACAAACACACTCTAGTCGCCTCTTGCATATCCATCCGTGAAAGCAACGCCTTGCAAATATACCCAAGCCAGTGAAGCCGACGTCTCATCGTTAAATATCGAGAAAGACTTGAAGCATGATGTTTTACAGCCGCCATCTCGCCTTTCAGCGAGAGGTAATGGATAATGTCGTCTAGGCCATGTCCATGCCCTCAGAGTCTTCCATATCAGAAGGGAGAGCCTGAATATGATCACTGCTTATGCTGTCTTTCCTGGAGACGCTGCAGTTGTCGTAGCGGCCACGGTAACCGTCGACATAGTCCAGTTCCTCACCGCCGATTACTCGGCCTTCCATATCGATTTCCTGGGATAGCTCGACTAGGGCATTACGCGGCAAGCGCAGGAAGCCTTGCGTACGCACAATGCGGCCCCAGTGAGTCAGTGAGAAGGAAGCCGCCCTCTTGCGCAGCCATTCCTCATTCGCCAAACCCGCACAATACCAGATGATGCATGCGTGGTCAACGTCGAGCTCCTTTGACAGTCGGCTGACGCAGAGAAGACGGAGATGCGGGATGTTGTAGATATTCGACATCACCAGCAGCCCTGCAACATCGGAAAGGTCGGTCACGCCGTCATTAGCATGAATGCTGTCAGTATACAGATAGTAGAGAAAGGCCTTGACGACAGTATAAGGCTCCGGGATATGCATCTTTTTGGTGTGGAATTCCGCCATTTGCGCGTTGTAGAGCCGGGCAAAGTGCGGCCATCGAGCTTGAAGAATAAGCTTGTGAACGTGAATAGGTGGCGAAGTTGGTGCATCCGGCGCAAGCCAGTTCTGATCCATGGGGACTTCTCCTGCGCGAATGAGGCCTGAACTCATCATGTCCTCATCTTCGAAGTCGCCTGCGAGTGCAGTGATGACGAAATCTGTTCCGCTGCCCGTTTCGGGGGCTTGGTTGAAAAGTTTGGCCAGGTCAAGACCCAGGCCCTTAGATGGTTGTTCCTGAACTCGGCTATGTGATGTAGGCCTAGAGAGCGCTGTTCGAGGTTCTTGGGCAAGATTGTTACCAAGGAAGCCGTAACGTCGTAGGTCAATCTCCATAATGTCGCTCAAATACTCTTCAAACCCATTGGGGTTCATGTCACTGACCGCATCAGTAGGACAGCCCATAAGCCATGCCTTTGTGCCATCCTCATTCATGGTACAATAATGCCACCGAAACCCAGGTTTGAAGATCTCACGCCCTTCAGCCAGTTTCTGCCAGCGCAACGCACCCAGGTCCAATACCGATAAGGAACATTCTTTGGAGGTGATCGTAGCAGCCGGTGTGACGAAGTCGAGTAGAGTACCGGAAGAGTAGGCGTGGTAGTGAATCCCAGAGCCTTGTGATGGTACGGTGGGGCCGGACACGAATTTCAGGGACGAAATGGCGCCTGGAGCCATAGGAGCATAAGTTTTCAGTTGGAATGAGGGTGTGTTCACCTGAGCCGTCCGCGAGTTGGCCGCGTAGCCTGAAGCCCCTATGACTGGCGGCGACCCCATTGAGTAGGGAGGACGAGGTGAGTCGGCTGAACGACTGGCTATAGCCTGTCTATCCGAGGTTGTGCCAATATGAGGGGGGGAGTCAAAAGCCGGGCTCCCTTTCAAGTCGAGCCACCACAGGTCGCCATTCTTGTCCATGTCTTCACTCAGCCCTCCAAACACCCAAACTCGATCGCCCCTGAAATAAGTTAGAATCTGACATAGGGGCTTGCATTCACATTACGTACCAGATGTATGCTGAGTGGTCAAATCTGCCAACAAAGCGCCACGATCTCGACCAGGTGTAGGTCTTAAGGTCCAAGTAGCATATATCGTCCAGGACGTAGTTATCATGTCCGGTGATGCCACCCACGATGAACAGCTTGTCCTCATGCAGGATGGCTGCATGTCTCGCTCGGCCTTTGGGAACAGGACCGGTAACTTGAGGTTGTGTCCAGTGCGCCGTCTTGAGATCGAATACTATCAGATCTGAGAGGTATGTTCGATGCTCGTTCTCGCCCCCAAAAACCAAGAGTTTGTCGCCTTGGTACAACGTCGCAGTATGCCCTACATCACTGGTAGTCAGATTCTGGTCTCGCTACGGTCGCGTGGCCGAACGTACCCATTCTGACCCCTGGTATGTCTCCGTAATTATCGACCAGGCTCCACTGATGGCTGACGAGATCCAACTTCAAGACATGATTGTAGACTTCGTCGGTGTACTGATCAAATCCACCAAAAGCAAAGATTTGGTTGTTCCCGCAGTATGTAACGGACGCGTTGACCAAACAGGCGGGTCTCTGGCCGAGGGTGCGTATGACCTTGGGGCGATAGCCATCCATTATGGCCCTATTCTTCATAGGCGAGTTTGGCATAACGAAGGTATTGTTCGAGGATGCACCGGATGCAGGTGTCAGAGAAATGGAGGCGGTCGAAGGCGTGAAAGCGGGAGCGGGCGGTGCTTGCGAGAAGGCGTTCGAAATAGACGGGCCACCAAAGAGCGACTGCGCAGGCGCTGCTGGGGTCGATGGCTGCGCCATTGTCGAAGGTGATTATCGTGGTGGTCGCAAATGGGGTGGCGATACCGGTGGTCAAGTGTACATTGCAGTCGAGGCTTCAGCAAGGAGTCCACAAGGGGCAATGAACGAAAGTCGGGTCGGTGATGAGGGACGAATTGAGGTCTATTGAGAAAAGCAGAGATTGACGTCTGGAAGGACTCGTGATGATGGTCCTTGTCGCAATCTTCTGATGAACCAATTGGCAATTGGAAGTTGAAGGTGTGATACAGGGGTTTGGTGTCTTACGATCAAGGTTAACCGTCGGGCTGGCAGGTAAGGCGGCTCGGCTGTGGCAGCTGAAGGGAAAGATCAGACAGGGTGACAGGGCAGGCACGGCAGGGAGTTGGGGAAGGGAGGAAGGCGGGGCAGTTGCAGGGGGTTCAGTGGGTGCTTGGACCACGTACAGGCGGAACATTGGAAGGCGCGGTTACCCGGGGAGGCGGGGAGGTCGGGTCTAGTACAAAGTGACACTAGCGTGGTTGCTCTGCAACAACGGCAACCGCAGCGATCCACTGCTGGTCAACACATAAATCACCAGAATCGGCTTCACTTTCAGACCTGTCTCTTCTTTCTTCTCTCATCAACCCTCCTCTCTCTCTCCATCCGCAACCCCTCCAACCTCCCGAGGTCCTCCTCTCCGCTACCAGTAGCTTTCAAGCTATCACCATCAAGCCTTACACAAGCAATACTTCAAGTCCACTAGATCTCATCGCTGCTGCAGCCATCTGATCGCCCCGCCGACTTAAGCCGTTTCTCCGTGAAGGCACACTTCGATTTATCGAGGACAACAACGACAGATACTAACCAACAACACAATCCAGGAACCATTAACTTGAGTCTCTTGGACCTCGTTCGATACAACCGGAGCTCTCACTCACTACTCCCGATACATTCACTTGTACTTCGTCGGAGTCCAACATTTGATACTACCACAGTCATACACCAGACAATCACTCAACATGGCCTCAGTCGCAGTATCAACACCCCTCAAGTCCCACAAGGGACTGTTCTCCTCCCGTACCGCTGGCGGACGGATGCCCCTGACGCCCTCGCCCCGCCAACGCGCAAACACCACCACTGTCCCCGTCAAGAACTCTTCTCCCTTCACCCCTGAGAGACAGTCCGGGCGCGAGGTGTCTCGTCCATCTAAGTCAGTATACGGAGGAAACCTGTCTTCGCACTTTGCCAAGTCCAGCTCAAGAACATCCCACCGTGATTCTCCCAAGTCCAACATCGCGCGTGGTGTTGCCACCCCCCGGAAGGCTCTTGAGCTCGGTGTGTCAGACTTCACTCTCGTAGGCACCGGAAACACCAAGACTCCCGCCAGTGCCAAGTCCAAGAAGGCGCCTCTGCGACAGAAGACCAACAAGACCACCCTCACCTATGCCGCGGACCGCTTCATCCCCAACCGCAGCAACAGCTCTGCCATTGCCAACGTCGGATCCGGAAAGTTGGACGCCCATGACAAGCAGCGCCCCAAGAGCAGCGGTACCGAAGCTTCAACTGTCCTATCTTCCGCCACTGACGATGCTATCGCTGCCCTGGAAGGCCTCAGCATCAACGACGACGAGGCCACATCTTACTCGCGTCCCTCGCCCAACACCGTAGCATACCAAGACTCTCTTGCCAATGCTTGCGGCGTCAACCTGAACACGCGCATCCTCCAGTTCAAGCCAGCCCCTCCCGAGTCATCCAAGCCCATCGACCTCCGCCAGCAGTACAACCGCCCCCTGAAGCAGGCTAGCTCCAGCTCGGCACAATTCAGACGCCGCATTGCCACGGCACCCGAGCGAGTTCTCGACGCTCCGGGTCTGATCGATGACTACTACTTGAACCTCCTTGACTGGAGTTCAAACAACCAGGTTGCCATCGGTCTCGAGCGCAACGTCTACGTCTGGTCTGCGGATGAAGGCTCTGTCAGCTGCCTGCTGGAGTCTAGCCCCGATACCTACATCAGCAGCGTTAAGTGGTCTGATGATGGAGCGTACGTTGGTGTCGGTCTCGGTTCTGGTGAGGTCCAGATCTGGGACGTTGCCGAAGGCATGAAGATCCGCAGCATGTTCGGCCACGACACGCGCGTTGGTGTCATGGGCTGGAACAAGCACATCCTATCCACTGGCGCCCGAAGTGGCCTTGTCTACAACCACGATGTCCGCATCGCCGAACACAAGGTCGCCGAGCTGGTTTCTCACACCTCGGAGGTGTGCGGACTCGAATGGCGCTCCGACGGTGCTCAACTGGCCACCGGTGGCAACGACAACCTGGTCTCAATCTGGGATGCACGATCGCTCGCTGTCCCCAAGTTCACCAAGACCAACCACAAGGCCGCCGTCAAGGCCCTCTCGTGGTGCCCGTGGAACATGAACCTGCTCGCCACCGGTGGTGGTTCCTACGACCGTCACATCCACTTCTGGAACACCACCTCAGGCGCCCGCGTCAACAGTATCGACACCGGCTCCCAGGTCACCAGTCTGCGCTGGAGCACCAGTTACCGCGAGATCGTCAGCTCAAGTGGATTCCCCGACAACTCTCTCAGCATCTGGAGCTACCCCACGCTGGTCCGCAACGTGGAGATCCCAGCCCACGAGAGCCGAGTTCTCCACAGCTGTCTCAGCCCCGATGGACAAATGCTCGCAACTGCAGGTAAGCAAGAAGCGTTCCAGTTGCCCTATCTCGGATCATGATGGCTAACACGATACGCAGCTGCCGACGAAAGCTTGAAGTTCTGGAAGGTCTTTGAGAAGAAGGCCGGCGCTGCTGCGGGCGTTGGTGCTAGCGGCTCCTCAGGCAAAGCGGAGATGGCCAAGCAAATGACCATCCGATAGACTGCATCGCGGATCTATTGAGTGTCAGGATGACAAACATCGACAGTAGGTATTACGGTTCCATTGTGGCATCCTTTGGTCTGGCCGTTAGCGGTGACTTCAGCGCGGCGTTGGGAGTTCTTGCAACGCAAGATGAAGAGACCCCCCTGTGCATTTGGTCATGGTCATGAGATACGTACGATACAGTGATGCCCATGTGGACAACCACCCGAGTGGATTCATTCTCGTCCGAGAATGTTTATATTATAATTGGAAGGGCACAATGGCATTGGCTTGGCCCGTCGGGGAGTTTGGGAACAGTTGTGTTTTTATATACGGCAGGCGAATCCATATACTGGTAGATAGTCAACATGTCCATATGATATGGGACTTGACTGCCACCTGACTTCATCATTGATGCAAATGAAGACCCCCAAGTGAATTCACATGGCAATACCTTCATGCTGGTAGGAGGGTCTGAATGGGTTCCGATATGCGAGCACAGACATCTGGATCGATTCATCCGCACTGGGCATCATCCATGTCCAAACTTTGTTGGTGCACAGTGACATGTACTGTGCCGCCTTATCTTATCAGTGCCCACCTGCTCAGATATGGTTACCTAAGCACGGGAGCGGACCTTCGCGGCACTTAACCAAATGCTGCTTTCCTTAAGGGAACTTGGCGAGAACACCACCAAATAGCAACGCGGCGCTCCTGGGCGAAAGGCATCACATCATCGCAAGTCTACGAACGAATACACACAAGACGACCAGTAGTATATCAGATTCGCGGAAGGCATTTTTCCAGGAGCGAGAGGGTCTGCGAGGGGAGTTGCGGGCAGAAGCCATCACACCACGACCTTCACCAACACCCCAGTTCGACTTCATCCACCGCATCACTCTGCAACATAACACTGCTGATTGTTGCGACCGTCGCCGTCAACACCTCGTAACCGCTCGATACTGCAAATCCAAATCGACGCAATCTGCAGTCGCGACCCAGATAAACCTCTTCCCAACAGTCCAGCACCTATTGCCCGACCTCTGCACAACCTCAAAGTTTCCACCACGACCAGGCCACCTCGGTCAAGATGTCGAACGCAAATGTGGGAAACATCTACAACACGATCATCCAAGATGTGATGGAGGCATCGCGGGTTGATTTCGAGGAAGGCGGCATTGAGGAGAGCGTCCTAGAGGAACTTAAGAAGGTAAGCCATGCGTGATTACGTTTCTCCCTCTCCTCTGCCAGCATCAATCCACGGTCGCACCGGCACCAGTCCCATCATTTTGTCGTCTGAACCTGCAAGACGCTGCAGTCCCGAGCGCAAATGTCACATTCTGGAGGAATTTGGAGGGTGTCTGAGCCGGGGACTGGCGTTTGGCTGGTGCGATGGCCTCTTTGTTCTCTACGCTCCTGAGGCAGCCGAGGGTGGTGAGAACTGGCGATTCTGGTGAGGGGCGGATGGCACTATTTGGGGCTTTTTATGCCTTTCGCCACCAGCCCGGAGCCCGATGACTCACGCGCCTCTGATTGGCCGTCGCTTGGGGTGCAAGCCCGCCCACTCACGTGCTTCTCACCATTCCATCATTCCACCATTCCACCATTCCACCATTCCACCATTCCACCATTCCACCATTCCACCATTCCACCATTCCACCATTCCACCATTCCACCCTTCCACCCTTTCACCCGCACTTTCACACACCTCCACAGACTCACGGTTGTGGCTGCGGCTGCGGTGCGGCTTCGTTCACATACCCACCCATGCCAGGCCGCCTTATTGATCGCCCATTCATGACAATTTTAATCTTTTGTCAGTAATATGACTGACATCTTTAATACAGGGCTGGCAGAAGAGACTCACTCAACAGCAACTAGCGGTGTTCCCGTGGGATCCTAAGCCTGAGCCCATACCCACCCCTGCTGCTAGTGCTCCAGCGCCCCAGCTGGTCCCTGTACAGGTACAGACCCCTACCCAGGCTCCTCACAATGGAGCTGCCTATAGCCAGCCGCAGCAGCCTGCTGCCCTTGGACTCACCATGCCGATGCCTGGCGGCCACCCCACGGGCAATACTTACATCAAGTCTGAGCCTGGTGTGAAGATCGAGCCTGGCCTGGAAGGAACACCTGCAATGTCCCAGGGTGCCGGACAGGCCATCGCCCAGGAGCGTGTCATCGCTCAGCTACAGAACCAATATGGCGAACGAGCTGCCGCGTCGATCAACAAGGTGAGAAGGCAGCCCGTGAACGCCACTCAACAGCAAGGCCAGCAGAGACCTGTGAACCAGTCGATGCCCCAGCAGTACCCTGGGCAGTACCAAGGCAGTCCGCCCCAGCAGAACAGACAAGCCATGTACCCCACCCCCCAACAGCAACAGCAGCAACAGATACAGCAGCAACAGCAGCAGCAGCGTCCCCAGATGGCGAACGGACAGCGACCGCCGCCTTCGCAGCAAGACGGCGCTGGAGATGCGGATGGTCACGTCGGTGTGCTTTACCGCCAGGGCGCGGCTGGCGAGAATACCGAGATGGGCCGCATCGAGATAGACCAGCTTCTCCATGCGCAAATTGCGGCTCGGGCAAAGGCCATGGAGGGCGGTGGGGTTATGGTGCCCCTCAAAAAACGTTCTTGCAAGAACAAGGCCGTCTCTCATCACAGCAAGCCTGCCGGCAGTGGCGGTCCCTCTCGATTTGACGGGCTGGATGATGATCTCAAGGAGGAAGAGGAAGACGAGGATGCTATCAATTCGGACCTGGATGACCCCGAAGACAACTACGAGGAAGATGACGAGGACGATGATGCTGGCGAAATCATGCTTTGCATGTATGACAAGGTGCAACGGGTCAAGAACAAGTGGAAGTGCGTCCTCAAGGATGGAGTTCTCAACGTCAATGGAAAGGACTACGTCTTCCACAAGGCTACCGGCGAATACGAATGGTAGGTATTCGACTGACGGTAACAGTACTTCGCGGATTTCTGTTCGCCACTTCTAGGCTCGTTCGACTCGGCATCGACTTTCAGGAAATCCGCTTGACTTGCAATAGAGTAAATGGCACATCCTACAGCACATCAACAGTTCGTTTCATCTCCGGATAATGGTACCATGCGTGGCTTTGGTTTCACAAAGACAGCCAGGACCTTGCCGAATATTCCGGGTGATGGCTTTGGACTTGGGATTATGCGTATCCGCGTTGGCACCAAACCATCACAAACTCACAAAAATGGCGTTGACCGCGGATTGGTTCGGTTCAATGTTCTTCTCTCCTTACATTCCATGCCCACCTGATGTGGTGCTGAAGGGGGAGCACAGATAGCACATTCATAGGGTTACGAGATGTGTTATATGAACAGAGATCGCATGTCTTTGCGATAATGAATACCTGGCTCTTACGTGATACCTTACGTGATACCCCTCCATTGATGCCTGTCGTGTTTATCGACCCCTCTCCCGGTAATCCCGATTTTACACTCCTTACTCTTATACCTTTTATACTGGACGCTCTCTCTGTTGAATCCACCTCGCTGTCCTGTCTTGTGGTCGATTACATGCCCAATTGAGCACTCTTCTACATTTATACGCCAAGTTGACAAATCTCTACCTAGCAAGCCGGCTACTGTGCATATACCCCTCGTAGGTATAGTCACCCTCCCTAGGTATCCGTCCGGCATGCCTCTATCATGTCTTGGATAGGTTCTAGTCATCAATGCCATATTCATATCGATGTCATAAGCGTCCTGGGATAAGCAGCTTCAGTCCAGTAAGCCATCGTTAATGTTTATTCCATAGCGTTTATGTTATCTACAATAGATACTTGCAGGAACGACCCTCAAAGTGGATCGATAGCGTGTAACCCTTCGTGCTCTCAATCTCAAGCTGGGGATATTTCTCCGGACGTGATCTGTCACGGCGAGCGTACTGAGGAGCTGGGACATGGCCGGCAGCAAACAGCTATTACTCTATTGACGAGAATATCAAGACTAGAGAGGAAAGAAAGAGAGAGAGAGAGATAGGTACAGTGGGAGGTTGCCCCTTTAAGGGGATCCTCTGGTCAGATCCTTCCCCTATTGGGAAGTATCCGCTTGTCATGTGGGAAGGTCTGTGCAGGCCGTCACATGATCTACCAATATGCAGGGTAGTAACAATACGATTTGTATTTATACTTAGTATTATATCGTATCGTATCGTATCGTATTGTATGGGATTTTAATATTATATTATATACTATATAATACTATGAAAATTTATATATTTTATTTATTTTACTTTAAACAAGGTATAAAGTTAGTTTTAAATAGTTATAATTAATTAATTAAGTCTTTTTGAAATTAAAGATATTTTTATTTTTATTTTTAATATTATATATAATACTAGATTTATATACAATGTTAATTCGTTGTGCAGTAGGTGTCAATTGATGTATGTGTGCGGGCGTGGCTTGCAAGGAATAAGATGGGAAGGATTGCAGCTACTTATGGTGGCTGCAATCCTTATCTTAGTCCAGCCCTAGCTATCTAGGTCCACTCACACAATATCTGACCCCACATACCAGTGGCTGTGTCAGTGACTGTGGCTGTACCAGCCACACTAGCTACTCCCCCTGGTGACACGTATCAAATGTATAAATATTATGCGTAAACTTTAAACATATTTATTGTCAGATGCTGGATCCCAGATATGGTGCCCTTAGGTGCAGTACCCACTAGGGGGCTGTCAAGGGAACAGTGGATCCACCCTGGCATGGTGCAGTATGGTATTTAGCTGTAGATTAGCCCTGCCAAGCATACTTGAGAATGACAACAACATTTGCAGCGACCGCTCACACCCCCAAGGCTCGTGACCCTTCTAGAATCTCACATTTATATATAAATATTACGATGTTTTACTTTTAATAAAATTATTAAAATAAAATAATCTTAAAAAAAAAGGGCCACTTTTAGATCCTTATTTTTTACTATTGCATACGATTCGTATACGATAATATGGGTTCGTATTGTATTGTATGACTTAAATATGATACTAAGTACCGTATTTCATTACCCTGTTAATATGGTAGTATCTTTTTCGTTCGATCGAAGGACAATACAATACCCACATCATTCGCTGTCTGGGACCAGCCAAACTGCAGCCGACGGCTTTATCGCTGATTGAGCGTCTCGGTTCATCGTTTCACCACCAGATTACGCTTCCGCCACCTAGAACTCCCTCACTTCCACAAAACACCAGATACCATAGCACGACAACACCCTACCTCTCCTTAGACCCCAAAATTCATCCAGACCTTTCTTATATACGTAGGAGCTGATCTATCGACTTGAATCATACCCGACGCGTCGACTACGCTGCCTGCACGACGTAGGTCCAGAATGTGGCAACAACCATACCGGGGCTCAGCCTACTCCGATTCACACAGGCAATCGTGATTGCACCAAGATATCGCATTGGAAATGGCCGAGCCAACCCCAGAGGCCGACTCAACCCCAGAGGCCGTATCAACCCCAGCGCCGCCTGGTGACTGGTACTCCCGACGAGACATATATACTCAGTCTATAGCTATCGGTAAAGACCTGATGGCGAAGCTCGCGTCCCCAAGGGGTTTACAAGCCGCAAGTTTTCGGCAGCGCCACCAGCGTTTACGCCCTCGGCACAGGGGTTTTCGCACCGCGTACTATGAGAAGCCTCATTAACAGCACTACCACGCTCCTCGAAAAGCACAACATTGACACAAACCGCATGGCATGGCCCAAAATCTATGCACATGGCAACCCTGACAAGCACGACTCAAAGAGCGGGAACTTAGACCGTCTTTTGGGATGCTTCTCGTGCTGTCAAATCAGGAGGAAGTTGTTGTGACGAGCCGTCTAACCTATAAGGCTAAAGGGTTCTATAGGGTTTATGTTCTGAGGTAAGTCAACACAAAGGACAATAGAGGCTTCTGTCAACTAGAAGACACTTAGATGCTGGGGCTTGGTTTGAACCGGGGTTCACTGAATAGTCGAGTCGTCAGGAGATTTTTCTCACCTTAGGGTTGGCTAAGATGCTTAGATTGATCACTGAGGTAGAGACTGTCTATCTGTTCTAGCTAGGAAATGTCCATCCTTATATATCCAATCTCTCCCTCACTGATGAGGTGTGCTCACTGTTGCTCGCGTGAGCAGACATGAGCAACTTCCCTTTGCTCACAGTTGCTCGCGTGAGCAGGCGTGAGCAAAGTCTGGTCACGTGATCCCTGTCCTCTGGATCACGTGCCTGGATGCCCTGCGTTGTTCTATATTGTGTCCATGTTCTAATTGGGTCCCTCCGTAGGTCGTCTTTCCCTTCAGGCCTGCCAACGGGCAGGGCCCAAATCAATTACATTACATCCACGAAGCCACAGATTCGCGTGGATGTAAGGATTTACACCAAATCCACAAAATAGTGGTCCACTGAAGCCCCAAATGGATGTAATTGATGGTGGATGTACATATTTTTGGTGGTAAAGCTGAATTCCTCATCTGGGATGGCCCTGACACCCCCATATTCGTGCTAAAGCCGTAATATTTGTCCCTTTGCCCGAAAGGGTGTAATAGCCTCTCGTTCAACTGCTAGCAGTATTCTTCGTCGTCTGCTTCACGTGTCCTTTCGCTAACTGCTATCCACGCAGTTGCCCACTTTGCGAGCTCGTCAGAGGACATCCTTTTGACGTAATCAATTTCATCCTTCTCGTCGGGTGACAGCAATACGGGGTCTAACTCGTGTATAACACCAGCTCGTAGCCACGAACGCAGTACCTGGCAGAGACTGATGATCATAGCATCTAGGGCGCCGCGAAGGCTAGTCGTCATCCGCCCTGCTGCCGAAAAAACCCTCTCACATTCGGCAGACATCGGTTGAACTGTGAGGATGTCAAGCGCCATTTGTGAGAGACGAGGGTATTGGTGACGTCGTTCGTGCCAGTAGGCTAAAGGATCGAATATTGCGTTATTCACAGTCTTGTGAGACTGCCAGATCTCGTATTCGTCTCCCAGAGTGGATGAAATCGGTGCCGAGCTTGCTTGTTGATGGATGAATTTCTCGAGAGGGTTCAGATCGATTTTACGGCGCTTTTGGGCAGGCTTGTCGTCATTAAGGGTGTTCTGTATCTCGAGATCACGGTATTCGGTATCCCACAGCTCTTGGACCAAATCTTTTGCCTTCTGAATCCATTCGGGCCGATCATTCCATTTCTGTTCGAACCAGTGCCATCGGAATCGGGGGTGAAGGGCTATAGCCGCGTAATAGAGGGGGGTCTCGTCGAGCTTCTGATAATATTCGTCTAGCTTTATCCAACCAAGGTTGATGTTAGCTACGAAGTGTTCACTGTCAGGAAGCTTGTTAGCAGTAATTTTATAACCCTCAAGCTTGCCAAGAAGGAATTCAAATCCAAAGATAACATCCCAGATGTTACCATACGAACCGGTCCATCCTTTCCGCTTGCGTTGCATGCCATCCCCTTCGAGTAATTTCACGGTGTGTTCATAGTCAGTAAGGATAGCGGCAGTGTGCTCAAGAACGGTCCAATCGTGATCATTTAGATAATTCTCTTCTTTGAGGATTCGGGGCCGCCTTGCTATGGCCCTGCCACTAACGAGGCCAGTCCTCTTGGATCTGTGTTGGTCTTCCCATTCCTGATTAAATTGGGCTATCATTCGAGGGAGATACGGGCAAAGCTTGATGAGACGGCGGATCATATATAACTGTGAAAGCCATCTAGTGTCGTTATCGAGGATGACACACAGTGCCCTGGTGTGAGGAACTGTGAAATCGAGGACATCTTGCCGTTGGACGTCAAGAAGGATGTAATGCAAGCGGTCAGATGGCCAGATATCAACGACGAGGTTGTGAGCCTTGCCAACAGGGCCTAATCGGTGATACAACGCGTGTTCAGCAACCGAAAGAGATTCGACCTTGCTGATCTCTGTTTCGAATGCTTCAACATCAGTACCAAACAATAAGGATTTGGCAGAGAGATTCAACTGATGCCCGAAGCACCGGCCACGCTGTTTCTTGCCCTCGAAGCCTAGGGCTAGCCCTATCTCGGTTGATGCCGTATCCATATTGGCAGCGTTATCGAGAATAAGAAAGCCGATCTTATGGTCAATACCAAACATCTTCAAGACTTCGACGATTTGCGTGGCAATATTTTGACCTGTGTGACGAATGGAGACCTCGGGGATGCTGAGAACTAGCTTGCAAGGCTTGTTGTATTCATCTCTGAAAAAGACGACTACGCCATACAAAGCGCGATGATTACCTGACCGCCAGCCATCAAAGGATACGTGTATCTTGCCAGGTGAAGCCCTCAACGCCTCGATGATGGCTCCCTTGTGCCGTTGGAATTCGCGTATAATTTTTTTGCGTAGCCCGGTCGAGGAGATGTGCCCGTTTTGGTCTATGATACACGGGTTGAGGTATTCGTGTGCAAGGCGTAATTTGGGATGATTCACAATAGCAAAAGGAAGGTTCTTTTCGACGATCCATTCCATAAGGAGGCGGTGAAAGGTATCTCGATCGAAGTTCTTCAGCATGCTATTGGTTATTGCTTGGTCTCGAGGGTTCTCTGGGTTGACGGAGAGATATCGGTGAAGCCGTTGTTGGCTCGTATCATTGATTGTTTCGGCTCGTAATTGTGCCTTGGATCTGGTCTTTTCACCCCCAAGGGCAGAGATCGATTCGACTAGATACAGGTGCTGTATGGCATTCTGAAGGCCTGCAGATGTGAAAGAATTGGGTACGGGATTGCGGCGAGTGATACAGTATCGGCACACCCATTTGAAGGTCCTACCCTTCTGGATGTCATATCCGTGATCCCAGGCCCAGGAGTTGAGACCTCGCTTCCACTGAGCCCACGTGTAGCCACGAAAACACGCAAAAAGGAAGGCTTCGTCGCCCTGAGAGATGCCGTGGCGGAGGGATTCTCGTCGAGATGATTGGGGTGCTGGCGAGGGGGTTGCGGACAAAGGGACGTCGTTGGGAGGCTCGGAGCCACCGTGTATCGAGGATTCGGGTGTACCGGCCATGGTGAAGCGTGCTGAGGGTACTGCTTGCAATTCGAGGCGAAAAAATTGAATGAACAGGTGAGTTCGAGTGGTTGGGTCGTATTCGAGTGAATCTGAATGATTTGCCTGCTTTGGAGTGGTTTGCGTGGTCTGAATATTGTTTGTGCCATTTGGTGGCTACATTCAGAATTTGCATGCTAGCTAGCTAGGTGGTTGAAATCATATGTCAATGTTTCTACCAGTGATATAATGCCCAACTCTTGATTAAATGCGCATCATCTTGGTATAGTGGTATGGTAGCGCAAAGTTTGCCTTGCGGAAAAGGCTATGTTCAGATCCTATAGGAAGCTCGGGATTTTTTTTTTGTGTAAAAAACGGGGCTCTTAGATTTTTGGACCAATCAGAGCCCATATTTCATCCACTGTCATACACTCGTCCATTACGTCAATTACACTAAGCCTTGAATGTAATGGATGACCCCTTCAGCTCACGCCAAAGTGCTCCACTAGCGTGTACACCAGTGGACTAGCGTGTAATTGATTTGACCCTTGCCAACGGGCCCGTGGCATTTGTTGGTTCGTAACAGTTGTCTCGGAAACCCCTGCAAAGCCTTGAATTCTACACGGTCAACCACTATATTCTGGCTGTTGTGTTTCTTGTGTTCCGCTTTGTACACTTACCTCCTAGTTCGTTGAGTACCTGACTATACAATGGGAAGTAGGCGGCTTGCGATCAATGAAGGGAAGAGATTCGTCAACCTTTGGAATAACCACACTTAAATAAGCATAAAGCACGGCTTGAGAAGATACAAGTCCTTATTCCACGGTCCTTATTCCACTGTTTATGTCCTGTCAGTAAGAGAACCCTCGAAGTTGGCGGACGGAGGCTTATGGAAGGTGACTGTATCTAACATCACAGCTGGTGGCTTGGGAAGACGAACTGAAGGATTATGATACCTTGAGTCTCTGAATGCTCCCTAGTCGAGTCTAGTACCCTTTCATGTTGAAACATGAAAAGCGTTTCCTACGACTGAGAAGATACCTTAGACTTGTCGAAATCGACGTCCTTCACAGATGGGCTACACGCCTGGGATACGAATGGTAGACGTGCCACGAGGTACTTTTGAGGAGCTCATGTAGTGCGGATGCTGCCCATGTTATAACCATAATATTTCACTTGCCCTTATTTCAACAAGTACATGCAGTGGAATCATGCCCTATCAAGGTCATCATATCAAGTTGGAAACGAGGGTATTGTATCTACAATTTCTGAGGGAGCCCTTGTAAGTATCTTCAGTGATATTTATACGGCTATACAGTTCATTCTGAGTTTTTAAACCACGAGTCGCTTGACCTCGAAGACCTATTCGGCAGACGGCGTCTTTCGAATAGACACAAATTCCCTGCTATCCATACAGAGAGGATCCTGGGCTGCATATAAACCTCTGCTCCCTGTTCACTGGAACTTATAACACATGAGCAAGAAATCGAGTCTCGCTTGATAGAATGATCAAGACAGGGTGCAATCATAACCTCCTGAGATTGTGCATGTGAGGTGTATATGTCGTCGACTCTGTACAACAGATCGTTGTGTCCTGTCACCCCGTAAACCACCAGGAGGAAGCAAGAGCTTGTAGGCTTTCAGAAAGAATAGACTAACCAAGTAAAAAGTAAAAACCCCATTCGAAGTATCACAGACGACCTCTCCTCTCATCATGGAATTTGTAGTGTTGGTTCGTGTCGCCATAAAGAAGAAGTTCGAGCCTCGCCAACTACCTACAGCTTCTCGATACTAGCTAGCTACTTCCCAAATACTTCCACGGCCCACAAACCTTAGCCGACTCTTCAAACATCTCTACTTACCACTACAACAACTACAGAGACCCGACAATTCCTCAGCGCCCAATGGTAGCCAGACGCATCAAATCCCTCCCCCGGTGTATCCCGGTGCCATGGTCCCATAAAGTCTGCCTGCGCCTCCTCCGCTGTTCATGATCCAACAAAACCAGCCGTTCGAAACTATAGCATATAAGCAGGAAGCCCAGCCTACCACAGCCTGCCTGCTGCCGCGGAGCCCCTCGAACCTCCAGCACGTCTGAGTGGCCGGTTCTGGTCTGCGTCCCATGCGAGGGTCCGGCACAAACTCAACTTCGGCAGTTCTAGATCAGAATGTCAGCACATCATATCAAGTAGCCGGTCTCCAATTGGTTTCCAAGAGCGTGGTTCGAACAATCCGCCTACCAATAACTCGACGGATCTGGTTCGGTGATGTTGGGAGCACCGCATTGGATCCTGGCTGTCCGTCATCAAAGTACGCATGTGAGAAGCAGTCACGGGGCACGTCGCGTCGTACTGTACTTGCCTCGTGGGCTTACCAGGGAGTGTTAAGGAGGTATTTTACCTGCTGGCGGGGCTTGGGCAGGTATATGACATGGATATCGCGCACGTGGACGAGGAGGCTGTATGTAAGATAAGCAAATTAGGTAGCGGACAGCACCGGGAGGCTCGCGGAGCAGACCCGGGCTTGCAACTCGGTAATCAGCCGGGGTGCCAGCCCCCTTGTTTCCAAAGGATCCTCACAGCATCATGCTCGTCACGGCAGATTGTGCAAGCAAGAGGGATGGGCATTGGGCAAGGAAGCGAATCACGGAGGCTCAGATGCTATGGGAGAGAGACACGAGCACAGTCAGTACCAGAGACCCGGGACTTCTGACAAGCCAAGGTCGGATGAAAGACGCCTCGACGTCCTAGTCGCTGCCTGCCAGCCAATATGGTCGTCGGAGAGCGCCCGACCCGGGGCTCTGGGAAAGGCGACCAAAACGGGCAAACCGGTGAGCTCGAGGATATGGCGGGGTCGCGCCCCGGGGGTGGGTGGGTGTGCCTCACCTTGATGTTCCGGCTACGTGCAGCGAGACGGTATCACGTTCTCGGACGATAATGCAGCATCCCGGGGTTGGCTCTGCTCGGAGATGAAGGCTGCCATTATGGCGAGCCTAGATGGGTCGCAAAGATGCTCACACCGAACCAGCGTAAAAGACTGTTGGCCACTGGTCACTGCAGACGGTGTGCGGTCGGGACATGCGCGACGACCGCGGATGAACCCGGCACCCGACACGCTGGGTAGCAAGCTTGCCGAGGTGACTTACTCAGCATGTCTCGAAGGGCGGACTGTGAGAGGTTCCCAGGACGGCACCACCCTCAATCCCTTCACCTCCTTACTTCGCTTTCTGCACCAGCGGCCTGGATCCGCGCTCTGGGACACCCGAAGTGGTGGTGAAAAGGCGGCGAAGCGTCCAGGCTGGCGTTCCATCAGGATGGAGGTGCGTCGGATTGGCCGAGCGCGCGGCCTGGGTGGTGAGACGTTGGCAGTCAACACCAGGGTAGACCAGGGTGGTCCAGGGTGCTGGACCCGACAGTCTGGGTCGACGGACACGTAACGAGATTGCATACGCCAATCCTCGGGCAAATCTCCTAGTTGGGAAGTTAGATGTTACCCTGGGCTGCAGCCGGCATTTGCGTTTCCAAGCTGCCTGAGTCTCTTGCATGAAACTTTCGTCGATGCGGTGTGACTATCTATTGTTGGGCTTGTGACGCAGAGCCCAAGGGTCCTGTGCTGGGCCGTTGGCTCCTCGGCCGGCTTCAACACACCGGCAGCCCGGCAGGCACTGCGGTCTCTGACCTCCCACATTCCCGAGTTGCCTCAATCGTTCTGGCTTCTGTCAGCTGATGCCGGCGCTCATTTGACTGATATGAACCACCGTCTCGGACCCGCTAAGCTGACCGAATCCGTCGCGGAGTGAGACATCGAGATCTGATACGGCGGTGGCAGCCTCAACCGTGGTCGACGAATAGACCAGTGAGGACGGAAATATCGTACGATGCCTACCATCGAACGGCCATAGATCGACACTGTTGGTGTAAGGTCTCAATAGCATTGTTGTCAGGTCATATGCATTCGTCGACTATTCTTGTAGAGTTGGCCAGCTTGCCTGGCTGACTTAACGGACGTGACGCACCGAAAAGGCCAATTGGCTGAGGCAAAAGCAAAGATGCCGTGCTGCTCAACTATGCAACCCCCCAGTACGATGACGGGTTGGGGAGAGCCAAGACACATCACTAGTCCACGACAGCAGTTCGCGTCCAACACTCGTATCACGGAGTTGCGGAGTCCGATAATCAAGTATGTGTTTGTGTATCCAGATCGTCCTTTTGCGGGTCGCCGCAGGTGCTTCTTCTGCTTTTCTGCGAGATCTCCGGCCGTTGTCTTCGTATGCAGGTACCAGAGTCGGGCTGGGACGTGAAAATCCATGATACCGTGATGGCTAGGCCGTCAAGTCCTGCAACCAGCCGGTGTTGGCCAGTGTCTTCGCCTAATATTCAATGGACGACAACGGCAACACTTGCCAATATAGGCTGACTGCATCAGTGTGATCTGTACGGTTGGCAGGCGGAATGTCTTACTGTATTGCAGACCGTCTGCTGTGTGTGCGTGAATCCAGGCACCTGGGTATCATGGTGGTCTGCTTCTTGGGGTTCTCGTTCAAAGACGGCCTTGGCGAGGTCAGTGTGATCTGGAAGGGGTCGTCCGCATGATAAGTGAGTCTTTGGTGACATCGGAATCGCCAAGATTCAGTGTAACCGTCGACTCGGCGTTGGCGGGGTGGAACGTTTGAATGTTATCGTCACCTTGGTCTATTCATACCATCCGTTGGACATTGTGCTACGTAGACGAAAAGCTGCTACTGAACCGAGCTGCTCTCATCCGTATGCATTCGGCTGTTACACCGAAATCAGGTCATCCCAGTGTACCAGAAGAGCCAATGGAGCTGCTAATGGAGCTACCGTAGATGTAGCAAGAAATCAAAATACACTTACCGTCAAGGCACATCGATCTCCGGCAGCGTCCACGATTATGCCCATCTGACTCTGGCAGCAAAAGGCGTGGCCTTCGCGCTGCAGTCACCACTCATGAGTCTCCGTCCGCCATACCTCAATGGATTCTTGGGTATTGCTGATACGTTCAGATTGCTGGAATAAGCGCTTTGATCCAATAACGTACCTTGGATGCTTATTCCAGAGTGCCTATTCCGGTCATAAAAGACGCAACTTCACCGCTCGACGAGCGGCGTACGGGGGCTTTCGAGGGTTCGGTGTAGCACCTCCAAGTTGACCGCCAGCCGGGCTCGCAGAGATGTTACGGAGAACAATGATCTCCGCAAGCCCTTGTAATGAGGATTCTAAATGAAACCATGACTGATTCTACCCAACTTGACGACGAGTGTCGGTGGGGCGCGTCAGGGATACTGTACAGCACCCAGACTGTCAGGTCGGATTCAGGGGCCTTGATTGGTCCTTCAGGATAGACACTGAAGCCTATGGACGGTCAGCTCGTCGGAGATCCGGTACAAAGTGACGGCCAGTAAGTACTTGGGAGTACGGCCGCCGTCAAGTCCCTGAGCTAAGTCCAAGGATATCCCTATGACTCGCGAGCGATGGTTCATTCTTGGGCGAAACCCCCCTTTCGATGGGACATTGTGAAACTTTACGTGACGATAGAGCGTCAGGAATTCTCTTCTATATATCATCCACGCTGGATAACGTGCCCTTTCGTTTACGTGTAGAAGCCGTGAATGTGGCTAGGTAGCCTTGCCATTGATTGAGCTGCAGCGAGCGGGTTAGCGAGGCTTTGCGCATATGCTGTAACCAGACATGGAGTTGCTAGACTTGTTCGAAAGCTACCTGCTCTGTGCCTCAGTTCTCGGAGAAGAACGACCGGATATCCTCATGATTGACGATTATGAGAACACCGACCTGTTGGTTTGGTAATGTGGGCGGTCACGGCATGGCCCTGTGCAGAGTTAGTGCCACATCTAAAGAGAGGAGACCTCCATTGTACCGCGTGTTGCGATACGGAAAGCCATCCAGAAAGCGGCATAATTAGCCAGTGTTGGAGTGCTAATTGCGAGTAGATTCTGCAGACAAGCATGCAGCAAAGAACCCCCCTGAGCCTGCCGAGAATGGTCACTCTCGGGGCTACCAGTAAGCAAGCAGGCCAGCAGGCCAGCAAGCCAGCCAGCTAGCAAGCAGGCATGTGGCCCGAGTACGGCCACTGCCGACCGGACCCCAGAGATGGCTCGGCATCTCTGTACGAAGACCCCTCCTGTTGGGTCACTGGTTGTAACACAGGCCCAGTCGAGTCATCAGCAGCGTGCCCGGTGAGGCCAGTGTTCTTGGCCGCACCAATCCGCCAGTCAATAGTTGACAGGACACGTCTATCAAGATCTGCTTTTGCTGCGCGTCTCCCCATTGAGATTGTTAAAAGACGCGAAACTCGGTGCAACGCAGGTGGTTCGGCCCTGCTTAACATTCGTGCGTGAAGGATCGGCGATTGCAATGTGCTGTGTAGCAAATGCGCTCTAGATTTACTCCGGAGTGGTTCGATTGGGCCGTCAGATAGGAGCCCGGTTGCATGCCGCAAAAGTCGACGGCATTATCGGCAAGCCGAAGTGTTCGTGATTATTAGTCGCCTTGTGAAGACGAGTTCGGAGGGTCGCACTGCATCGCAATTGGAAGCACAGAGAGGACTTCTAGTACCGGCGCCAGGATGATCCCCATACACCGGATCCCGAGAGAATAGATGTTGGCGGGTGCTCCCGACGATCTGGGCCCTCGCTTGATGCGCACGTACCGTGACAACGCCCGAGTTCGCGAAGTACGGAGAGGGACAGCTTCATCGAGAGATTCCAATCTCTGTACGTCACGCGTCCCAGAGCATGTGGTGATGAGACCATTATATCGTAGGATATAAGAGTTGCAACCACAATTGGATTCGAAGCATTGTTTGGGAGCGCGCAGGTCCAAAACCGGAAGACAAGGTAGTGCCACTGTGCAAACGTATTGTTGTTCGTGCTTAGGAGAAATTGTCGACGCTCTCCCCTTTCCCCCAAGTGCATCCTAGTCTCCCCTGGCTCTGCAGTTCGCCTATGCTTCAGGCTGCAGTTGGCCCAAGCGATACCTTACTTGGACATAATCACTCGACCAGCTCATAGCTGTACAACCTTGAACAGAGTCGAGAGAATGCGGCTTTGTGTGACACCAGGTGCCTACTGCGACCAAAAGGGTTCCTCGCGGGTCACGGGTCCAGTCGCCATGCAGACTAGACGTGGTCATATTGGAAGAAGGGGACCAGATTTTCTTCTGCCAGGTACCGGCCGGGTCCTCTTGCGGCAGGCTTGCTGCTGCCCTCTGCCCATCCTCATACGCGAGCTTGACGGACTCACACGGTCTGCTCGAGACGGGACTGTGACCGGGTGCTGGGCCAACGATGCTGCGTTGGCAAGGCGAGACCGGCCTTCATGGTGACTTTGGGCGTCGGCCCTGTAGCCGACCCTCAGACGCGTCCAAATGAGAGGGTTTCGTGTCCATCCAGACGCTGGGTCGACCGACGTAGCTGGCTGGCTTCGACGCCGACGTTGGGGAATTTGAGGAATTTGTACTTGTACTTCCATGTTGGCAAGCCGGGGTAATTAGCACGTCAGTTTTCAGAGCTTGCCAAGCGGGCGGTATTGGTGGGCTGGGTGCGTACCCCGGCAAGGGACTGGAGGGGCATTGAGGCAGATCGAGGTAGACGCGATGCTTTGGGATAACAACATGCAGTGCCTGCTTGTACACACTGAAGCGATGTAGGTTTGGGTGACGGGAAGCGGTGGGGATGGATGAGCTGTTTTGAATTCTCTCTGAGGGTCATAATACGAAAGGCAGGAAGAACCACCTAATAAACTTAACCTTGAGCAAAAGCTCGTCGCAGCTGCCTCCGACACACTGCCGTCAAGAGTCTCCACCTCTATGTCATTGCTCAAGAGTCAGACCTGACGTTCTAATGCTCCACTCTACTTGCAGGTCCCACTGCCAGATATACAAGTACCGGTATCTGGAATCTCACTTGGCCGGAGTCTGGGGCGAGATGATGTCTGTTCACTGGTGCATACTGCATGCCCCTGTATGCATGTGTGTGCGACGGCAGTGACATTGATAAAAGGCACAGCTGCCCACGGAGAAGCCCAAAGGTAAGGTATTGAGTACATTAGGTATCACGTAGGTACCTATCTTCGATAACAACTGCTGTGAATTTCATGTTGAGCGTGGGTACCCAGTACTTTGCAGCTACATCTGTCTCATCGATCATTTGATGCATGTGGGTGGTGGGTGCCGTGCTGCGACGGCCACCACTGCTGCAACATCATACGCATATATATTCTGGCCGGACCAAAGCAGGCGCAAGTGTGTTTTTTTGTTGGTGACGGTTGTTGTGATTGATGCTGTTGCTTTTGCGTATGTGTCTTGCGTGTTGGCCGCCCTCGAGCAAGAACGTGGACTTTCACGAGTCACAGGAGCCAAACTGCCGGCTCGGACGGGACTTCCGAACCTTGAAGCCAGCCCGCCAAGCCACGGAAGCCAGCCAGCACTGGCCAGCTGAGCTGAACCTGCTGAACCTTGTCCGTTCCGCCGTGTCTCCCCAGGTCGTCTCGCCTTGTGACTTCAAGTACCCTCCTGGTTCCGCCCTCGTACCTACCTACCCAGGTCCATGTCTAGTCCATTGTTTTAGTCCCTGGAAATACCCGTCGCTCCCACCTCTGCACCTCCCAGCTGTTCCCACCACTTACACCGGGTACACCACCAGTGACGGCGGGACACAAGGTTCCAATTTCTTTCTTAACCGTCGTCTCTAGTGCTGTAGTTGCTTTCGCATCATATCATCTGCGTCCTCCTCCTCGCTCACTTAAGCTTCTTACGATCACGGGTGGCTCCCTTGTTACCTTCAACCTACTTACTACTTATACAACTGTCTTCGCCTGTCTTCTTCCGATTCAAGTTGCTGCAGTTTCTCGTTTATTCCCTACCGTCGTTGGGCTGTGTGCAGGCGGTGTCTTTGCTTCGTCGACTCCTCCTCATCCTTCCCTCCTCCCGATCGCCCGTCCTCTTGTGCCAGCGGCTCTCCGGTATATAATCAATTGGCTTCTGCCTTGCCCGCTGCTGCTACGCTCAAGGTTGCCCGCTGCTCTCCGTCCCTGTGCTCGACTCCTACACGCCCCCGCCGCTAGCGCGCCGGCGTTGTCTCCTCGTACACCCCTCCAGCTAGCAGCCTTCAGCCTTGGACCTCGAATCCACACCAGCTCCCCATATCTTTAACGACACTCTCGTTGCATGTAGAACCTCTGCGCGCCTCTGCGCCGTGGGGTTCGCCGTATCTCCGCCATGAACTACAATGGCACCGGCTACGCCTATGATGGGTATGGGAACACTCTCCCGTCAGCTTGCGTTTTGCTTGCGACAATAAGTCCTACACTTCACGCTTGCTGACCTGAGTCCTATCCCTAGTCCACCTCGCCTCGAACCCGTCCCCGTCGCCCTCCCCGGCAGCCGTGCAAACGGCCCTGTTTCTGTCCCCGTCCCCTACGAGACCGCGCTCCAGCAGCGCCCGATTATGTCGTTTCTGGAGCATGGCCGCCACTACGATTCCTTCCGACCAGGCAAATACATGTTTCCCATGGACGCGGTAGGCATTCCTCGCCCCCTGAAAAGCCTGTATTCGACAGCGCTGACTAGAGATATCTGTACAGGAGGAGATGGACCGGATGGACATCTTCCATAAGCTGTTCCAGGTGGCACGCTCAAATGACTCGCACTTCGGAGGCCTCTACCAGCGCCCAATACCTAGCCAATCGCGAATATTGGATCTAGGTTGTGGGTCTGGCATATGGGCAATCGAAACCGCCGAGTAAGTTCGAAGTCTTGGAAGGACGAACCTGTGCTGTAGCACCTGTTGACTTGACTGTAGCAGGCATAATGCACAAGCCCATATCCTAGGTTGGGATTTATCCCTAATACAGCCGCTGAGGTATGCTGATGCCCGCCCAAAATGCTCCATGGCTTCATCTTAACGAGACATAGGATTCCACCAAACGTGGTGTTTGAGCGCCGTGACATGGAGGAGCCCTGGACCGGCATCGAGGAGAACTCCTTTGATCTCATCCACATGCGCATGCTTCTCGGCAGCATAGCCCATTGGCCATGGGTGTACGGCCAGGTCTTCAGGTGTGTTCTCTCATTGTGCTTACCTGAAGCTGAAATCCTGCTGACGGCTACTGACTGCGTCCATCAGACACCTGATACCTGGATCCGGACTTTTGGAGCATGTAGAGATTGACTTTCGCCCACTATGTGAAAAAGGCGGCAAGATTCCACTGCAAGGGTCCAAGCTTGACGAATGGTCTCGGGAGTTGCACGAGGCCATGTCTAGGTGCGGCCGACCCATGGAGATGGAATCTAACACGGCCGAAGTGCTGCAAGGGATCGGATTCGTGGACATCGAGCACATCCAAAAACGGGTGCCTTTCAACCCTTGGTCGGATGATCCACACGAGAAGGAAATGGGTAAATGGTTCAACCTTGCAATGACCCAAGGCCTGGAGGCTTTGGCATTAGCTCCTCTGACAAGGAAAAACGGTTACAGCAAGGAGAAGGTGACCGAGATGAATACTCATGTGCGCAAGGAAATCTGTTCTCGTGAATTGAGGGCGTACTGCACAATGTAAGTTTACTGCAGCCAACCGTCAGTACTCAAACTGATACAGGGCACAGGCACATTTGGACGGCGCGACGCCCCCCTCTACCCGGCCGACGAGCTTGAGTTTCTCACCGCACTTGCAACCCACCCACTTGGCTGGTAGCCCCCGGCGTAGCAGACGAGTTCTCTGTTCGCTGCGTGCTTTGGGGGTGCGGCCAGTATGAGTTCGTTTATCGCGCTTGCAGAAGAAAATAACGTGGTTGTCCCGGTCCGTTTAGGGTCGCCTCCGCCAGCTGCAAATCGCTGGGTCGCTTTGGCTGTGGCATACGACGACACACCATTGGGCCTTGCCCAACCAAGTCGTGCCCAATGGCAAGACTGAACCCTTGCATGACATGGAACGCGGAATGATACGCCATTCATTGACCAAGACCCTGACTCCGTACCGCCGGGTCCCACTGCATATGGAAAGGTGCTCAGCGACTACGGGAAGCCGCGCTGCTGACCGCGCCCAGCAGTTGTCGTCCCGAGGCCTTCTCGAGGGTTTTCGAGTCTCCGTGGCTCTACCAGACCCCGCGCCATTTCGTCCTAACAGTGGGCGGCATCGTGCTCCTTTTGGGGAGAAGAAAGCACATATGCAATCACCCCATCCGGCCTGCACCAACAGCTGACCTAGACTGAACGCGATGTACCGATGCACCGATGCACCAATGCACCGATGCACCAATGCACCAATGCTGCATCGTGCAACCTCCTGGCGAATGAGACGCAGAGTAAGGTTGCTCCTGCTCGAGGCGCATGCCCCTCAGCGGGTGTCAGTCCCCAGTAGACAGGTCGCGAGAAGGTTCTCTGTGCTTCCACATAGACTCTTCGAGCCGGCAGCTCTCGTCACGGTGTGCAGCAATAGTTGGTGCTACTACCTATAGTATATGGTTCATCTCTGCGGATCATCTGGCTTGGGCATACCAGCTTCTTTACTACACGGCGGATGAGGCATGAGTCTTTGGCGCATGGAAGGCGACCCTGTTGGATGACAGCATGGCCCCCAAATCTCGGCGGCATTCTTCGGCACGGCATGCTCCCCGTTCTACAGAATTTCCCCTGAAGCAAATCGTCTTTGGTCCCCTTGGAGATGCACCATCCATCGCCGTCTACCCAACATTGCGTGGCGCGGTCCACGCAGGCCGACCCGCGGGTTGGCTCACACTGTCTTGGTGGGCTGCAATTTGACTACGTTGGGTCGCAGAACACGACCTGTGTTGACTTGTTTTTGCGACCACGATGGCTGGAGGGATATCCATAAGTAAAAAATCAAAGTAAGAAAAAAAAGGAAGAAATTTTAGGTCTCTACAGTTGCCATCTGCTCCATTGTTTTAACCTTGTATCATCTGACAAGTATTGGGCATCTGGTACCAAGCCATGTGCGGATAATCTCGCTGGGACCCGAACGACTTCTCTTCATCTCTCCAATGACCTTATCACCCCCAGCGACATATTATTACAACCCACCTGTACTGACTAGGAATTATCTGCACCAAGTTCACTTCACGCACCCCTATCTGGGTATCCGGAAGATCCCTCTTAGCCGACTACCACTGGTGCTGGCGCAAGAGTAGGCTCACCTAGGACCGCCACCGCGGAACCATTCCACCTCATCATGCAGTCGCAACGACACAACGTCAGCTTGTTTCCTAGTACTGGCTGTCTCTGGTACACGCCCCGTGTCACGATTGCTTTCTTCAACGTTGTCTCCGACCCCACAAGGTCTGAATGGAAAGTCAATACCATTGTACCTCTTTCCGTTTACATGAGCGGTCCGAAAATGGTCGGTATGTGCGGGTGCTTATCAGCGTAGGTCGCACAGTCACGCCTACACAGTCGGACGATATGGTGACAATGGCGCAACCACCTGATCGACCTCCGGACTCCCACGATCCCTTGGCAGACTGGTGTCATACGGGGTGGCTCGTTGATATTTTTGGCTGACCGGTGGCCCGAGCAGCTCTTCACCGGTTGAGCACCAGTTGCCATTGGTCTTACCCAGCCGTACCGCCGTTAACTTTGTTGTGACGACACTACTTACATATAAGTTACATTTCTACAACAGAATGGTAATCATTCATCGCCTCCTCGTCCAGCCACCAGCACGCGGTCAACACGTGCCCGCAATCTCATGGGAAACTATGCCCGATCTATCCCGACCCGCGTCGCAGCGTCAGGGTGCTATGCATATATTGCGGTTACTTGACATTTTTCCCAACGAAGCGCAGCCAGAACACCATGCAGACTGGCAGATGCAGTCCGACACCCCACTGATGAATCCTGATCGGGAAGTACTAGGGCTGCATCCAGCAGCTTATCTTCGATCGCTAACGGTTTCCTTCTGGCAGACTCATACTACGCTGGTCTACCATCTGTGGTACTGAGGCCCCTTCTGCCGGCCCGGGTCGCTGTGACTGTATGCAGACGACGGCCCAGACGACGGCCAGAAGGTGACATGCAGCGTATTGCAGACACGGCCGCTGCCACCTTGTCACCTCCCGATCCGGCCGCCACGTCATGGTGAGCTGGCACTTTCCAGTATGCAGTTGGCAGTTTGGTACACACATATAAACTATCAACTGGCCCATGTCCCGTCAAGAGACCGAGTCTGCTCGAGATGCTCCTGCATGTTGGTGCTGAGTTGCATTCTTCTTCGCCTCCCCTGATCAAGCGGCCGGCCTACATCCCGCCTCCTACCTAGCTCCTGGTCGACGAAGATGGAGGGATACGACAGATGAACTCACTTGACTGGACCGGCCCACGCATGAGCAGATGCCCAGACCTACGGAACGAACAGGACGGGCAGATGGGAGATACGAGTTCTAATAGGGGGTCCTGTGTTAGCAGTGACAAGACGGATGGACCTGTGAACAATTGGCGCAGATGGATAAGATAAACAACGAGACCCTGGCTCACGACCGCCGCCCCCTTGTCCTCCCGTCTTTCCCCCCCTTCACAGCTCTTGGCTTTCGGCTTCGACTCGGATTCGCTGGCCTCCCTTTTGGCTGTAACCGCACCAGCCAGCCGAAACCTACATCATCGAAGCGAATCGCTTCGACCTCCAACCAACGCTGCGCTGGCCTGCTGCCGGGTTAGTGGTGACAAGGGTCGGCCCGCTCGCCACGGACTCTACCCGTGTCACACCCACCTCTGCGAGCCGGCCCTGGGTGTCTGCCAACTGTCAGTTCGCTTCGGTCTGGTGTTCGGTGTCAGATACTGTCGCTGGCTAGCGCTGAGTCGGGGGAGGACTTGGAGTGGTTGGTGTCCTGTGGGTGTAGAGTTGTACAGTACGGACGAGACCGGAGTTGCTTGGAGGGTGTGTGTGATGGAGGTATACATACGACTGGTTATGTGCGTGTCCCAGGTGTACCCTTGGCATGTCAAGTGTACTTGGACTTACCAGCTAGTGATGATGTGCGAGAGGCTTGGGGTGTGACGGGGTTTTGGTATTGGGGGTCCTAAATGCGCAATGCTGATATGAACTTCTAGCAAGCAAGCATGGACAAAGAAACGTTGGCTATGTACCTTTCAAGAAACTGCTGTCAATGTCTAAACCCAGCCTGTCTGTCAGTGGCTGCCCATCAGGGGATATTCTTCAGCGCCGCTCAGTAGGTATCTCTGGTGTGGTGGAAGACACCCCTGCCCTTACAAGGACTCTGATCTCCTCAAGGCCTCGTGTTCACTCTTGTGTATCTTTTTGCATATCCAGCTACCTAGGCTCCAACAAACTGGCAGTTGGTCGAGGTAAGCAACCTAAATCAGCAGCTGCTGCGCCCCCATGCCCCTTCTGCCTTTGTCAGACAGCGATATGGAGTGCTTACGCTTACTTACCTACATTATTCTGTGCATATGGTAAGCCCAGGCCCCTATGATTCCTTTCCATCCTGCGGCCGTGTTCTTCAGCATGTCAGGGGGCGTGCAGGGAGCCAGCCGGTGCTGAACAGTCAGTCAGCTGAGGCAGGCGCCTTCCCGTCTACATGTAGCTAGCTGACTGACTGACTGACTGCTTGAGGCTTAGCAGGGATTGTTCAGGATGATGCCCAAACCGCGCAGAGGACAGAGTGACTGTCAGGATGACTATGAGCATCGCCTACGTGTTGAAGCGTGTTGACTCCAGGCAACCAACTCATGCTCGGGGACTCGGGGACCTTACGCCTGGGCAGAGACCACGGTAGACTCCACGACAACACAACGCATGAAGACGGGCATCAAGGTGAGGCGTGTTTGTTTACCTTTTTCCTTGATGGATGCTCTGCGCCGTTGGTGAGCTGGCACTCGACCCTGGTATAGCTGGTCACATCTCTACCAACCTACCTGGGTGGCTGGCTGGCGGACAAGGTGACGTGGTGACATGGTAATGAGGTGACGTGGTAGGTGAGTGAGGCTCAGGTGCCGGCCGGGGTACCGTACCCAAGTTCCCAACCTTCAAGATAGGCAGGTAGCGGTCGATCAGAGCTGACGGCAAGGTAGACTCGACTCATCCATACGGTACCCATCCATGGGAGGCCATCAAGCGGCCTGCTCAAGCACAACACACAAGCACAACACAAGAGCGCATCAGCTATCGTGCATTTATGCGTGTCCCATCACGCAGGCCGCAGGTCCTCTCGCCGTTCCTACCTACCTACCCACCTTACCTGCCTGCCTTCATCCCAGAGCGAAGTCACAAAAGGTGATGAGGGAAGTCACAACAAAGGGACACTCGGGGACCTGTCGTCGACCTGCAGCAGATGTGCACATTTGTTGGTGAGCTGTCACGGGGAAACAGGCAGGTAAGCGGGCAGGCAAGTAAGCCGGCCTGATGTCCGGCCCCCGGCCGGGTGTTGGCCTCCTGTGATAGTCTTGGCCCCCAACCCCTACCCCCAATGTAGTCTGAAGTACACACCGAGAGAAGGCCAGGGGTGGAGGTTGCCATGTCGCTGTGTTTCCGGTTTTGTATGGTAAGGTTTAATTTTGTATATCGAGTGGCTAGGCAGGTACCGAAGATGTTGGGTGAGAACTGTATTGCCGTCGTATCGCACACACTGGCCTGCTGGGAGCTCAAAATGGACGAAAGAGAGAGAAAAAGTGATGTATTGCCTAGGTGTGATATGGCGTGATCTCCTTATATGGGCAGGTGTCCTGGGGGAGTGGCCTGATGTCTCAAGCCACCGGGGTGCCATAAATGTATGTCTCAAGCCTCCAGTAAGTCTGGCCTGAACCACCACTAGACAACATGTCGCTTCGCAATGAGATTGGTAGATAGTTGGCGCATGTCTTCCACGGTACAGTCACCCCCCGTAACTTATAAGTCTCCGTCCGCGCAACTCGGGGGCGCTCCCGTGATAGGACACAGACAGTAGAATAAGCACCCTGAAGTAAACGATTATATTCTAATATGCCATACGTTGAGCGTGTTCGAAAGTGATTATTCCATACCAAAAAAAAACCGATCCATGGATATTCCCAACTTCGATTACGGGATGTACGGAGACCCATGACGGTTCAGCGTAGTGTAAGTGGCCAGCTATGAAAGCAGGGCTTAGGAAAGCCAATGTAGTTCGGCCAAGTCACCTGTTGGTTGTAAAGACCGTCACAGCTCATGGCTGACCACTATCAATCTTCACGCTCAACCTCAACGCCAGTATGGCTCTAGCAGAACCCTCCGTCCACACACTCTTCTCTTCCCATCGTCACCCAGAATATACCACATATACCGCCAAGATAGTTTCTTTCAAGTCGGAGACCCACACGACCGCTCACGATCACCCACGATACAACCAAATGGCCACGGCAAAGTGGCTCAGCAAGCGACGAGGACCCCCACAGGTGGACTGAATAGACCACCAGACAGCTCGAGGCGGAGCCATGAAAGCCAGCCTGTAGAAACTTCAGCATGTGCCTTCTGACCCCTCTGCGCCGGAATGCCTATGTAGATGATTTCAAAGAACGCAACCCAAGAAACACCCCCCTCGCATGGAATCAGAACTTTGCTATCATGGATTCAGTGCATATTCGCCATATATTGCAAAAGGTCTGTCTCCCTTACGACGACTATGAGGGCTTGCCAGACTGTGAACCCTACCGTGGAAAGGAGCTGCAGGATATGGGAAAAAGATTATGCCACAGTCAAGGTCGCCGAGCCCTTGTCTCGTGACATGCTACGATGTTTGAGGGCAAAGCTGGCTGGCCTGATATATTACGAGGCGAGAGCAGAGCAGCTTTGCCGGGGTGGAAGTGCAATTTTGTAAGTGCCGTTTAGGTCCCGATCACTTCACCCGCACAGAACAACGCGGGACAGCTTGTCGAATATTGTAATAAAGAGGTCGCCATTTACTTTGTAGTCCTCTGGGTCACTCACCACCATACCATTCCTTCGAGGACAGGGAGCTCTGGCGTTAGTTACATGCTACACACAAATGGTTCCGGCCACACAAGAGGCAGCCGCTTTTGCAGCGACGGAAAGGTCATCTATTTTAGTGACAAGGGGCCCCAAGATATTCAAGAGACCGCCTTGTTTGTTTCACCAGATGGAGTCTCTGCGATGAAGTTTCAAGCCATCTTGATAGATAGCCTAGTTACGATCCCGACAACACCGTAAGTTATCGGTCGAGGTTCCTCCCGCACAGCCAGCAGCAGAAAGACACAGCAATCTTGGCGGAAGCATGGTTTCACGTTGGGACACCTGCCTATTCCGAGCCGTGTTCATTCATAGTTGGTGGTGGACCACCACCAGGTTCTTTCTACCATAAGAGCGAAATGTCCATCCGATACCTAGCCACCCACAGAGCTGAGAGCGAAAGACCCCCCATGGCTTTATCTATATAGATGCACGCTTGCAGATCAGCATCCATCGCTCAATCCACCGTACTTCTCGTCAAAAACGGGTGATGACGCCCATCTGAGCTGCTGTCCTATAGATTTCCAGCCAATGTTCGAATCGGGAAAGGGTCATGTCGGATCTTCGGCCAGACAGACGGCAAATCGCACGAGGTTGTCCGAGTCAACAATGCCGTGGCTATGGAGTTCATACTTGATTGTCCACGCAGTGAGCAACATCCGTTACCGAATTTGCATAGGACAGTTTTATCGTTGCGGCTGAGCACAACCGGTGGTGTGAACAAAGTTTGGGCTGAGGCAAATGGTTTCACATGGACCGCTAGCCGTCGAGTTCTCGCAAGATCACACGGGGAGGCGATCGAACGCTCCCAGGACAACCCGCCTTGGGAGTATTTTCGCGCCTTCAATCTGTAAACCCTATGCCACCCGCCGTCCAGCGTTTGTAAATAATGATTGTACAATAATTACTTAATAGTACAGGACGACAAAGGAAAACAGGTCTATGGCAGTGCTCGAAAGGTGAGTGTACAAGGCGGGAAAATGTCATTCTCACCCTCCGGATCTCTTGCACCTTTTTCCATCGCGGCAGCCGAGAGGTGGGATAGCACTTGCCATAAGACTATGGTCAAGAGCCATAGCCATCCGTCTAGAAGCCATAGTCCGCATCCCGTACGTATTTTGTTACTCCGTCGCATGCTGCCGCCCCTTCGCATGAGCCATCCACGCTCTCTAGAAAACAACACACGTGTGTATTGGCCGTGGGCGTCTAGCTTCGTAGACTTAAAGTTTCAACCGGCAGACCCCTTTAGTGGTGAGCAGCACCGTTGTCGCCGTGGTAGCCAATAATCTTGAAGCGGCCGACCATTTCACCAATGCTGAAGAAACCAAGGCACTCGGCGAGCACGACGCCGCCAGCAACAAGCTGTGCCCGGTTGATGTTCTGAACTCGTTGGAGGATGGAGGCGGGCTGCTGGGCGGCCTTTTCGGCGGTCTGGGAAGCAGTCTGCATGAGGCTGCTCGGGTTCCGCATGATCTTCATGGCGTTCTGGTAGTATGATTGCATGGTTGAAACCGAGCTAGGGATGAGATGATTAGTATAGTGCCTTGGAATTGGTTCATTTCTGTTGAATGACTTACGGTGGCGACATCTTCTGGCCGTGGAAGACCATCTTGGATAGCTCTGCGCCGACCTTGGAGTAGTAGACAACCTTGGGAACTTGCTCTGTAGAGGTACAAGTCAGCCATTGACCGAGCCCGATGCGCGTCCCGAGACGCTACGACTCGCATTGTATAGTAGGAGCTTAGACATACTCTCAACGAAAGCAACCATTCTTCCAGTGCGGCCACCGACCCTGCTAAGCGAGTTCGCCATTCCTTTCGCAGCACCCGCGATAGCCGGGCCAGCCGAGGAGGTGACCTTTGACAGACCCTGTTGCGCCTTGGAAGCGTACTCGGAGGCGGAGCTGGAAGCCTTGGAAGCAGTCTCCTTAGTGGCCTCGGAGGCCTTGGAGGCAGTCTCCTTCGTGGTCTCGGAGGCCTTGGAGGCAGCCTGCTTCGTGGTCTCGGAGGCCTTGGAGGCAGTCTCTTTCGCGGTGTTGGAGGCCTTGGAAGCGGTCTCCTTCGTGGCCTCGGTGGCCTTCGCCGTGGTGGACGACTCGAATCGTCGGGCGGCCATGCGACTCCAGGCACCGGATTGCCGAAGCACGGGGCGCGCGAGAGTGGACGACGACATGGTGACGGGGTGTTCGGAAAAGAGGTGAGCTCTCAGGCGGATCGGATATGTGTCGTCTCGCGGGCGATTGGCAGGCTGCGGGAGGGCGGGATGGAAGGAGTCGTCGGTGTGTTGTCGGTCTTGTCTCTCTCACAGGGGAGAAAAAACACTCAAAAAGAGGTCGGGTCTCTCTGGCTTCAGCAAGGTCCCACTCCAGCTCCACTGCAGGTGCTCGGCTGGCCAAAAATTCCAATCATCGCGGAAAATTCCGACCCGAGCTTGGGCCTTTTCCAATTGGATCCACTTTTACATCAGGCCATCAATTGACCCATCAGAGCTCAGACTGGATTATTACCTGGGTACCAGGCAGAGGTAGCAGAAAACCATACATAGCTTTCAATTTAGATACCTCAGTACATAACATCCTTACATCACCAAAATTTGGCATCAATTAGATAAACAAAACAATTCTCTACAATTGAACATGCATGTTGATACTTATTTAATTTTCTTTCATTTAGTTATGAAGCGTTAGAAACGAAAGGTAGTAGAATCTCCACTAACAACGTCCTGGTGGTGTGGCTGGTGGCATGGGTGGCTATGTATGGTTTTCTGCTACCTCTGCCTGGGTACGTAGGTATCCCATGGGAGAGCTCTTCATGTGTCTGAACTTTTGTCTTCTCTTCTGCATTCTCACGGTATTTGTTTGTTTATTACCAGTGCCTATGAGAAGGCTGCTTTGACTTCTATCTGCATACTACAGCCATTACTACAACCACAAGGACCAGACTGAGTGGACAGAAAAGAGCTGAATCACCTGGGTATCCTCGTCGAAACCCGCCAAGTTCCACCATTCGTCTACCTAACACATGCCATACCCATTCCTACCCATTGTTCAGAGACTTGTTACATGTCCTTCATAGCAGTTGGTCGAGTTCACAGCTAGTCCAGCTTGAACCTAGTCAAGACTCTGTATCTGAACCTTGATGGCTCCGGTCTTCGGGTCCGCGGCTGTCTTGAAGGCGTCGATGGCGTCTTCAAGCTTGAACCGGTGAGTGACGAGCTTCGTCAGGTCGACCACTCCGTTCTCGACCAGCCGGATTGCTCGGGGCCATGTGTTGCAGTATCGATACTGGAACTGCAAGTCGACCTCGCGCGTGCTGCACCGCATGAAGGGGAAGTTGATCTCGTTCCTGCCGACACCGATGACGAATACCTTGCCGCCGAACTTGACCGCCCAGATGGCTGCCGCGACACTGCTCTCGACGCCGGTGCACTCCATCGCAACAGCTGGCTCGATGCCGCCAAACGAAGACACGATGGCCTTGGCTGAGTCCTCGGCGCTCATCCGCTCGACCTTGTGCGTTATGACCGAAGGGCACAGCTCCTTGGCGAACTTCAGTCGCCCCTCGTCGATGTCAGTGATGACCAGCGGGCAAGCGCCTGCAGCTTGACAGCAGAGCAGGGTGATCAGTCCGATAGGGCCAGCACCGCAGACCAACACTGGATCACCGAGCTTGATTCCAGATCTCTGCATGCCTGCGAGCGCAACACTGAGCGGCTCGAGCATGGATCCGTTCTCGTACGACATGTCCCCAATCTTGTGGCACCAGATGGCTGGGTGGTTCACGTATCTCCTCAACAGACCGGGTACTGGCGGTGTTGACAGGAACTGGACCTTCTCGCAGCCGTTGTAGCGGCCCGTCAGACACGGCTCGCATTCGTTGCAGATGACGTTTGGTTCTATGGCGACTCGGTCTCCGACTTTCAAATGCGTCACCGAGAGATGCGCAGCAATGATCTGTCCTGCTGATTCGTGTCCCAGGATGTGGTCTCCCTCAACGACCATGGGCCCGATGCACCCTGCGTGCCAGAAGTGAACGTCTGACCTGGTGCCGCCATTAGCTAATCGAGGCAGGCCTCCCATCGGGGGAAGTCCACCTACCCGCATATTCCAGTGCTCTTGACGGCAATAGTCACCTCTCCCTGTTTCAGTGCCTCGCCGCTTTGCACGCTCTCCACCGTTGGCTCTGCGTCACTGATCCATAGGTCGTGCTTGGGGTTCGTGAAGATGCCAATGTTGGCCTTTGAAGGCTTCACAACGGTCTCGACGGCTGTCTGACTCATTTTGAACTACGACGGCAGGAATGTGTAGGAAGATGGAGTGACGGGCGCAGGCTCGAGTGATGAAAGTGAAGAGAGCTCCACCACGCAAGAGGGGGACAAGCAAAAGAGGGGCACTACCCGCGCCCATTATATATCTGTGCAGCTCGGTCCCGTGTTTGGTTACGCTGTCACGATAGTCGCCGCCATCGCAGCATCGTGAGGGGATGTGGGGTGTAGCGTTTTGGAGATGGCGCCCTCGGCGGCTGCAAGTCCGATTAATTGGGCCACGACCCCAACCCTCAGCCGCACCAATTACCTATACTCTGTACCGTGTCGGGGGCATTGTCGGGGACATAACCTTCTTGCCCCACGCGCATAGAGGTTGTTCGAGATCCCGCGATCCTGCTGGGGAAGACTAGTATACGTGTCCTGGTTCACCGGAGAATTACCTTGGTAGACTTCGGGTGTCGGTTGAAAAGCATGTGCATGTAGGTTGGTATAGATCTGGTAGGCTACGAGCTTCGACCCAGACTGCCTCAACTTGATGAGATTGATAAGAGATCCGCCAATGGGATGCACTCCGGATGCGAGCGGCTTTCTCGACGCGGACCTGTCATGGCTGAGTCCTGACTCCAGCATTGCGATGTATCCATATTACCGACGCATTCCTTCATCTTTGGGTAAGCATCTGCGAGGTGGCTACAGTATACCGTTGATTTCACCCAGAGTGACCACTGAGGTCATCATATCTCGTGTCTCTAGCATATGACTAGCCCCTGGACTGGGTACATGTATCTATGTCAAAGACCTCCCTTGTGCAACATACGTATAGTACTCGTGTCAGCCATCAACCCATGCCTTCTATCATCGTTTAGTCGACGGGTGCCATAACTCATGTAAAATAGCGGAAGTCCCAGACTGGCCCTCAAACATCTGCTGCCGGTGGCCTATAGGACCCTACAGATACTCAAAAGCACATCAGTGTCCTTTTAGTGAGTGTTCTTGTCTCATCTTCGGTATACATATCCTTGGTAAATGATAACATACAGTCTCGCCGCGTCCCACCCGGCGAAATAGCTCCTAACTCGTGATTATCTCATCATGGTATCGCCATTTATGCAGACCGGCTCGGCACACTTTGCAGATCGTTACCGCGAAGGTCAAGTATGCGTCTTATGCTTATAAGCTCACTCGCGACCCATCTTCAAAGACCTTCTCGGCAGGAGTCTGTGTCCAAGGTTAGCGTTCTCTGTCTTGTCTGCGTCGGGGGCGCCTGCTATTCTGGCTGCCAAGTGAGTTATGACAGAAAGCCCCAATCGCAGGACAAGGTGCCCAGACAGACTCACCAGCTTCATATCATGCGTCGCCCCAAACTTGCAATCCCACCTGCACTTGTCGCCAAACTTGCAGTGGTGGCCCAGCAGGCAGTTAACATCCTTACACCACTGCTGTTTAAAACACATGGTGCCGTGCGCCTTGTGCTGCAGCACGAGCAGCTCGCCGCTGCACAGCCGCTCGCCGTGGTAGTAGGCGCAGCTCGGGTTGTCGCACTTGTTGTGCAGGTGGTACCGGTTGCATGGCTTTCTCCCCTCCTTGCGCATGCGGTCAGAGAACCGCTGGTCGTAGATCCCGTCGTAGCGCTGGAGCGGCTCGTCGACGCGCTCGTTGCTTGAGTTGACGAGGTAGTAGCGGAGGTTTTGATGGCGAAGACGAGGGCTTGGGCGTCGGGTCGAGGCTCGTTGAGCGGTGTGTGTACTGCAGGCTGATGCTGACGGCGCTCCAGCCCGGTGGTGTGTTTGGTAGGTCTGCGGGCGTAGGGCTCTGCGTAGGCGCGTTCGGGGACAGCGTCCTCAGGTTCGAAATCCCACCGAGGGGAGCCTTGCCCGCGGGCAGGGGCTCAGACCTGAAAACCTCAGGAAACGCAACGATCTTGAAGCCCAGTTCTTGAAACTCAAACGGCACGGGCGTGGTCTCGAGCAGGGTGAGCTTGGCGGCCGCGGCCTCGTCGAGCTGGTAGGGCTTGAGCTCAACCATATAACCCTTGTCGTGACAGGGGCCAACAATAACATGCTTGCACTGGACGTTCTTGGCCATGACGCGCAGCATCTCGCGCACCTTGAAGTCGGCCTGCTTCTTGCCGAAGCCGACATCGACGAGGGCGAAGAGCCCGTGGGCGCGGCCGAAGGCATGTGCGAATGCCGGCAACTCTGCGTGTATGTTAGCATCTTGGTTTTAGACCCGTACGGCCATTTTCTAGATGAAGGAAAGGGAACAACAAAGCTTGTTCTCGAAACCAAGGCCCATGGTCTTAGGGTGGGATGTTTTTATACGTACCGTGCACGCTGCGCACGAGCCCGACGCGGTCGAGCTTGCGCGACTGCCCCTCCCAGGTTCAGCGACACCTGCACGATGATGTGCCAGCTCTCGACGTTGGAGTCTGGGTGCTCGCGCTTGAGGTACTGCTTGATCGACGTGCGCAGCTGGTGCGCCGCCAGCGTGCCCCCGTCTTCGCCCCGCGCGATGAGGTCCTCACGGAACACGGCGCCGTCGCCGTCGATGATGGCGAAGGCAAAGCAGTTGGCGTCCTGCTACGATGTCAGTCTGGAAACTGTAAGGGATCATGATGGAAGTGTTGCAGTACCGTGTGGTGTTCAAACTCGGTGAGCCACTTCTGTGCCTCCCTGGCTCTCTCCTGATAGTGGCCGCGGGCCTCAAACTCGTCGTTATACTGCTTGCATTTCGTCTGGTAGCGCTGGTTGAGGTCCTTATACTTCCCCACTATCTCATTCACCAACTTGTCTCTATCTTTATCGAGTTGTCGGAATGCTCTAGTTGGGCGTGGTAACTAGCTACATCGTCTGATTCGGAACTCTCCATGATTTATGTAGGTTAGGTAGATAGAGCAGCAACTTCACTCAAGAGTGCAAAGTGGCACAGAAAACCGCTGCGGGGCTGGCTACTCGTGTCTATATTGTGTAGTCCTATAGTCCGGAAAACGCTGGGAAACGTGGCATAGCAAGCAAACAGAGTATACGCTGTTTCCATACGAAAACTATATTGGATCAACTATTGCCATTGGAATAGAGCAAGCTGGCGTGACTGGTGTGAACACGCGACGGTGCTTCGGACAGGACGCAAAAGAAAATAAACGTCACGGCGGAGGCAGAGGGGCCTGGCGGTTAGGGGAGCTGATCCTGCCAGCTGTCGTCATCTGGTGGCTATCAAGTACAGCTTATAGGCCATTCCTGGCCGCCAGCTACACGTCAGTCTGGCCCTAACCACGAAATTCGAAATTCGAACTACGATGGAAAAGAATTACTCCAGAAGGGAGGCCTTGAAAATCGATTAAAAAAGTACCCTGGACTGGACATCTGGCGTCGGAAGCTTCCAGATATCAACAGTGGTACGTGTTGAAAGGCGCGCAAGCCACCGTGGCGTTCAGGGAGGTGGCAGTGCACCACCAACAAGGCCAACAGGGCATTTTTGGGCCACTTAGCCGACAGAAGGATTTTCACACAGATACAACAAGAACACGGATTACACCAGAATATACGTTTTCACCCATCTAAAAGCCCCCACGCACTGTTTGACAGTACGGTGTTCGGCTTGGCCGCACCAGGCAGCAGGTTATAACTTACCGACCGGACTTTCATGAACACAATCTACGGGGAGCACATGACTGCTGTAACTCGCTCGGAAGTGATTGTAAAGTTTTATAAGTCAAGGTGCTATGACTGTACTACGGCGCCGCTAGCGGTGCTTACGTATTATTGTGCCTTCTGGCAGGGGCCCAGAATACCATGTTACGATGTCTAGTATTCTGGATGTTCTGCTTTGCTGTCTAGAAGGATGGGAGCTTGTCCCATCCGAAAGGTCTCTTTAGTCTAAGATACAGTGCAAACGGTACCTTGTCCCTTGGGCAACAATCCGGCCCAACCGACAAGACACCTGACAGCTGGAATCAGCTGGATCCACATTATTGCAACGAGGTTGAAACCACTCTTACAGCCATAGCAACCTCTTTATGTTCAAATCATTGCAGATTGAGGACTCGTTCTTGTGATATCATTCTTTATACATGCTCACCACAATGATCGATGGCTGAATCCGCAAAGACAGAGTGGCTGCATTATTTCTGAACTTTGCCTTGAGCCCCTTTTGTACTATGACTGACAGGCTATTGAAGCAGCCGGACTGTAATCAGGGTCCATAATATGGACTCACCAGACTTCTCACGTAGGCATTGGTATGAATGGAGAAGTATACAATGAAGTTGTAGGGGGGCATTTATCAGCTGGTCCGAAGAAACGGATTCACATGTCAATGACGATTGGTTGGCAGCCTATTGCACCCCTTGTCAGTCGAGTATGCACCCCCCGCGGGGAGATCCCGCGAATTCCTTGTGCAATACCTATCAGCCAACCAACACAATCGGCCCCCAATCTACCGAATACGGCCTGGAATGCACTCTATTCTCGTACTACTTCACACCCAACATCCTCCAGCATCGACTTGACTGACGGGCTGGATCAGAGGCGGAGGGTGATCACAAGTCCAGCCTCACAGCCAGCCAGACTCTAGCCATTCCATCCAACGTGTTCTCATAGCTTCTCCGCCAGAGCCGACTCCTTCGGCCATGGGTACGCCGCAGCCCGTCGACCGAGATCGGGGAGAGGAAGCAGCACAGCCGAAGGTAAAACAAGATGTTCTGCCACAGCAGGAAGAAGATCGCGACCTCCGGATGCCCGACTTGAGAGAACAAGAGCCTGAGTACCCGCACACAGTACTCTCCGAGTCCATGATCACGTACCTCACCTACTTGCTGGGATACCTCGCACTCGCCTCCTCACTGACCGCGACAATCTACTTCCCGACCATCGACCTCCTGGCAGAGAAGTACCGCACCTCGGTGCAGGCGATCAACATCACCATCACCCTCTACGTGGTGTTCCAGGGAATCGCGCCCTCATTCTTTTCTCCCTTTCTGATACCTTTGGTCGGCGGCCGGTCTTCCTGGCGACGTTCACCGTGTACCTGCTGGCCGGAATTGGCCTCGTGATCAACTCCGACAGTTACGTCGCGCTCCTCCTGCTGCGGGCTCTGCAGAGCGTCGGCGGGAGTGCCGTGTTGAGTCTGGCCTATGCAGTCGTCGCAGATGTCATCCCCCATTCTCGCCGCGGGTCTGTCCTGGGCCCTATGATGGCGGCTATGAACCTGGGCCCGTGTATTGGGCCGGTGCTAGGAGGAGGCGCCATACTGGCGAGCGGAAACGTGAGGTGGTGCTTTGTCACGCTGGTAGCGTTCAGAGCATCGGCGCTGATGCTCCTCGGCTGGACTATGTCGGAGACCGGGAGGAACATTGTGGGTAACGGCGCCGTTGAGCCTCATGGCGTCTGGGCAACGTGGTGGCACGCCTTGAGATTGGCTCTCAGACGGCGTTATTCCACGACCACCGAAGACGGCCCATCAGCAGATGTTGAGAAAGTACCGAACCCCCCTGACTCTGCCGAAGAAATCAAAAATGAGCACGATAGGGAGATAATTAGTGCGCCCACGCCCGATTCCGAGGACCCAAACAAGAGCAAAACGGGACGAGGCACGCTCTCGGCTCCGAGTCCCCTCCCCTCGATTCGCATCTTCTTCTACCCAGACGCAGCACTGATACTCTGGCTCTGCGCCGCTCCATACACTGTCTGGTACTGCATCCAGACATACATCCCACTGATATACGGGCCAGGATACGGGTTCAACGACTTCGAGGTCGGCCTGTGCTTTCTCGCCGGGGGAGGCGGAGTCATCGCCGGTGGTTGGATTGCGGGACGTCTTATGGATTGGAGCTTCCGTAAAACGGCGACCGAGGCGGGTTTTCCGGAAGGCAGTAAAGCAACTATCGATATCCGTCGTTTTCCCGTCGAGGAAGCGCGGTCGAGAGCGAGCATACCGATCATGTCGATCTCCATGGCCGCGGTGATCGGCTACGGCTGGGCCGTACAACGGCACACCCACCCCGCGGTGCCGTTGTGTCTCCAGTTCCTCCTGGGTGCAAATTGCACGGTCATACACCAGACCTACAGCGCCCTCATCGTGGATAACTTCTCCGCCCGTCCGGGCACAGCTGGGGCGAGTAACAACATCTGCAGATGTGCGCTGTCTGCTGGCGCTGTCGCCGTGTTGCAGCCCATCGTGAAGGCAATCGGATACTCCTGGTTATTCACACTGCTAGCCCTGGTCGAGGGAATTGGGAGCATTGCTGCCGTTTACGCGCTCAGGAGGTGGGGCAGGAGGTGGCGTGGAATGAGAGATGATCTCGCGGAGGGAAAGGGGCGGCGGCAAGAGGGGCGAAAGTGGGCATTCTGGCAACGCAAGGTAGCACCAGGACCTTCTGAGACTTGAAATTGACTAATCAACCATGGGAACGTATGAGATTGCCTGACTTCTTGAATACTGTGTTGCTCGAGGTATCTCATCTTATTAGCGTTGGAAATAAGACGCTGCAATCGTATATAGAGGGCTGTTCTATGTGCGGTTTTCTGACTCGCTAGCTCCTTCATATCCATCAGGGTACTTCTCCACCAGCTTGCGCTTGTCCTCGCGAAAACTTTCAACTGCAGTCAGCCATGAATATGTGTGAGATTTTAAAGTGTTCTATTAAGGAGAGGAATTCCAGCTACTCTGGAGCGGCCAGAATGGCCCTATATATATCCAAGATACTAAAGGAAAGGATACGTGGCCTTATATTGGCCACGTATGTGACAGAGTCACGAATGGGGATGGTGATCCTGAAGGATGACTATGGATGGGCTAACATAGCCCAGAATCCAACAATATGGTGGGATGGGGCGAGGGTTCGAAGACATATGCTCACATGTTACGGAATCTGGTGTTTCCCAGGTAGAGGGACGACCCGTGTAGGTCGAACCTTCTGGGCACGGTTCAGTCTGCAGACCATTCTGCTGTTTAATCTCGGGGTTCGTACACGGAGTATAAGAGGACGCGATCCTCGAAGTCTTCGGCAGGCTCAGAAATTGGGAAGTGTCTGGTGTACTCCTTGATGTAAGAGCGGCTCATCTCGTGCCTCTCAGGCTGCCAGGACCCGAGTTCGTCTTGGATTGAGTCAGCTGTCATGTCTTCGTAAGTTACTGCTACCGATAGAGACGTACATTCATTATGGGCCCATAGACAAGTGGAATCGAACACCACGGGTTGATTGTTGTTCACGTCAACCGAGCAGTTACCATCCCACATATCTCCATGCACCAACCTCGGCTTGATCTGGTTGGGACCAGTCTCTAAGGGCCGAATCAGACGTGGGATCACCTTATCGATGATGCCTCTTCGGATATACGCCATGTCGGCGTCGGGACCGTGGGTGTTCTCCTCGTTGTCGAAGATGCGCTGCAACCCGGCGGTGAAGGTCTCCTCCCAGGTGTCCGCCACGGGGAAAAACTGAGGGAGTCTTCCTCCATACACTTCGTGAGGGAAACCAAACTTGCCGTCGGCCAAGACTCCGCGCTTGTGAAGCTCAGCGACATGTGCAGGGAAGTTACCAATGTCATGTATCTCGCCGGTCAGCTCATGGAATGCGCAGAGGAAGAAATGAACGTCGTCCATCTGCTTGTAAGTCCCATATCCATAAGGCCGGGCCACCAGTTCGGGCATGACGTCCCAGAGAGCCTTCATTGCCTGGTTATCTCCGAAAACGAGATCAAACCCCGTCTTCCCTTGGTGAACCTGAGATGATGGATTGTCAGCACTATGGGAGCACAGTGCAGTAAGGGTCGTCGCAGACACCCACTTTGATGAAGTACGAGACAGCTTCTCCATTCTGGTGGACAGTACCGATTCTGGCGGTGCGTGCCCAGTAAGACTTTCCTGATTGCTCAATCGACCGTACAAGGGTACCTTCGGGTAGCTCTGCGATTAAGATAAGTCAATGAAGAACAGACAAGGGTCAAGATAGTGGGCGACATCGCTCGGGCGGACATCATAGGGTGTCTTACTTGCTTTCACGGCATCGTCTACGTACGAGATGACTTCCACTGGTATAGCAATCGCCTGGTCCCATATCGCTGGGTCGGTACTCGGCGCCATCCTGAGTGCCGAGGATGACAGGGCTGCTGGGAGCAAGGGGTAGCGTCTAGAAGGATGGATGGCAAAGTTGCCCAGCGTCTTGGGACAGCAGCTTTGACTGAATCTGAAGACGATGGTGTAAATAGTAAGGGGATGTCGCTTCCCATGAGAACAGCAACAGCCCCGTGGCATGATTTCAGCACCCTGGCCGCACCCAGCGGGTCGGTACCAAGAAGCCAATGAGAGAGCAGCAAGGTTTCTATCACAATGGTGATCACCAACCTCGCATCATGCATGGGGTCTTCATCACAATAACTAATCGGGTTGGATGACAGGGAATTGCCTTTTCCCCACCGCTACATTGTGGTGTCCATGTCCCTCTGGTGAATGATCCAGCCGCGTCCCGAAAACGAAGAGGTCTTCAGGCGAACAGCACTTGTGATGTATGAAGTCAAGCAGTTTCAAACAGATTGTCCGTCGTGTCTCGACTGCGCGGGCAACCGCTCGTCGACCGGCAGATAAGAGGCATATCACCACCTGAGGCTCATAAGCGGTCGACGGAATAATGGACACTAGATACGCATTTTGAACGGTTTCGCCCGTCGGTGCGTAATGATCGTTCTTATAGAAATCAAACAAATGAGTTACACTAAACCTCCAGAAGTCTTCGGGCACAGGGCCATTGTCAGGTGACTCGAGGGGTAAGAGTAAACGTAGGCTAGACCGTATCTCGTGGCCTTGGCAATCGGTCATGTGTTGTGAAGAGGGTTTCTTCGATACTCTAATCTCTGCTGTTTGAATAGGTAACCACTACTTATGGCCCCTATCCAGTTGGTGTCTCGTGACTCCTTGGTAGTCGGTCATGCGTTATGAAGAGGGTTTATACCATGATTTCATCTCTATTGTTTGAATAGGTAATTCACTATGCTCCCTATTCAGGGGGTGTCTCGTGACTCCTTGACACTCAGAAGACAATATGGCTTCGGCACGATGAAAAACTCAGAATGACATCATCAGGGTCACAAGGTGGCAATACAACCTGTTCACCTCGGCCTAAAAAACATATAAATACAGACGCTACCCCCCGGAGAAGATCGTATTTCTTTTCCGCAGCCATCCAGCACTATATACCAGTTCCAAACCTACACATCTTCAAGATGCGCATTCACCCATCTCTACCAAGTACCTACAGCTATCCACACCTACCACCTCACCGTCACCATGTGTGAGATTACCCTCTGCCCGTGCCCGAAGCACCGCACCTTCCTCGCTTACAAGATCACACGCTGCAACGACGCCACCCGAGCCAGCGGTCTACCTAAGAATGGCCGCGTCGTCATTGTCAACGCCCTGCCAGCCCTGCAGGCCGAATACGGCTGCCGAGCGCCGCCGCTAATCGACAGCAACCTCACATACCTGCCCGGGTGCCCGCCTTCGCAGGCGGGCAACATCTCTGCCTGCGAGAGGATGTACGTTTAGGGAAAGGGGAGGGTCAGAGGGAGGGACAGGAGGAAGGACAGGGTAGGGACAAGGGGAGGGACAGAGGAAGTGACATAGGGATCGCACAGTAGTTCTGACCATGCGTCTATAGCCCGGTCGTTGGCTTGTCGGGTGCACAAGATGCTTAGGGTTAGGGTTAGGAGCGAATTATTCTACTCGGACTGGCTGCTAGGTGCGCTCGCAGATAATCTCGTGGGTGCGCCAGAGAGTGATAGCAAACGAAGCTGCACCTATTTTGTGATGAAGTGAAATTCAGCTACCTGACGAATAGCTTGTTGAGGAATGCAGCGGGTCGTGGTAAGCATCGAGACCGAGCCACTCAGGTACATGCGCCATGATCGCCACTCCAATAACCTCCAAGCAAGCAGCCCAAGCTCTCTAGACCCTTCCTCCTGAAGCTCGGGAATACCACTCGCCTGGAAACCACGTTCATCTGAACGGGTAGATATGGTGGCACCTTCTCGGTGCAGGCAAACCAGCCGCCGTCATATCCCTCCGCACCTTTGCATCCCACTCATCACTACCGTACTGAGACACCTCGTACACCTCTTCACCAGTAATATGCAGTATACCAAGCTTCGTCTGCTGCAAGGTGGCCTTGTGCTTGGCGAACCATGTGATCTGCCTCCGGTAGTCCGTAAGCATGCCTGAAAGAGCCAAGAACTCCACACCGGCAGGAAAGTCTCGTCCAGCATGCGGGCGAAGCACTTTTCCCAGGTTCCTTCCCCGGGCTCAGGAAATGCCATGGCCCAATCCTCACTTCCAAATACGTCTCTTCCAAATACGTCTTTCAGGTCGACGTGCTTCAGTCTGGGGCCAAACTCGTCAAGAAACGACAGGAAGTTGTCGATGTCTTCCTTTTCCGTAGCTCTGTGAGCTTCGTCCGCTTGGAATTGCAAATTCAGCTCCAGGCGCTCGAGCCCTTCCAAGTTGTGGCGGATCTTCGGGAAGCCATCAGCGGACGAGAACAGGTAGAACGGCAGCCCATACCACACGCCCCTGACTCTCAGCGTCTTCACGTGGTAGTCCGCGTTCTTGATCGCATCAATGATAGTGATCAATCTACTGTGGTCAGACCACTCAGCTGTGAGGAATGGAGTGTCGCCAGGTTCCTTAACCCTCGGATGCGTATCGTGTGCCGGAATATCCTTGACATCGGTCTCCGGATGGCTGATGTCGGAGATGATGATCTCGGCTTTGCTACCTGCCTCCCGCAGGCTGCGTAAGATCCTGAAGAGACTCGCCTCGTGATAGCCAGAGGCAATCAGAATGTCTTGCTCCGCAAGCCAAGAACCGTATAGCTTCTTACGTCTTCTGCGCTCCATCCTAGCGTCGCGGCTGAAGTCACCGTTGTCCTCATTGTGGAGCATCTATGGATCGGTGAGTGCTTTGTGGATGTACTTGTCGACGTAGATTGTCAGCTTTTTGACGGCGTTGCGGAGCACCGGATGCTCAGCGAAGTTGACGGCTTTGGCGAGGCTTGCGCGGTCGTACATCATGACGTCTATCCTGGTGAAGGCATGCATGCATAGAACATGTTGAGTGCGCGCCGCGATCTCCTTGCTAACCAGGCGGAGCGTGTAGAGGTCATCAAGATCAGTGTAAGTGGCGATTGCTCCGACCAGCTCGGGAGGGAGGTCATGAAGCAGGTTGAGAGCTTCGGGCGCTTGCTGCTCATGCACCATCGCGTCGCCTTCGGTAGTCGTATCCATTGCCGCCGTTTGTGGTGATGTCGGTCCACGGTGCAGATCCTGATGTGGAAGCAGAGTCGTTGGCTGGACTGGTTGTTGTGCACAAAAGTGGTGCAGCTCAAATCCGGTTGCAGAATTGGGACTTGGGGAAACAAACGCTTGCTCAGTCCATGGACGCGTTTGGTGTATCTGGAAGGGGGCAGCCAAGATATTAGCACTGCCAGGTGGTGCTGTGCGAGAAGTAAGGTTTGCGGCCACCGCTTGCAAGCAGGAGCCACCCCGTCGCACTTTCCATCTGCGATCGTGCATGTGAGGCCGCTATGACCACAGGACATCAGCCTCAGAGCATCTCCCGCAAGCCACCCACTCCTTCCACGAGAAACAAAACAAAGTCACAACGCCCAGAGTCCACAATAGAGCAAGTCAACAAACAAGACCCAGCATTATTAGACGACTCCTCGCGCACCGACATCAAGACCGAAGCACAGCCCGACCTCGATGGATTCGAGATGCCAAACACAACATGAGCACTATGCATCTGCCATCCCTGGTGGATTTCATAAGAATGTCGCAAGAACGATCATAAGACTACCCGTTAGTCCATGCGTATTCTTTGAAGGGACCACTAACCACTCACCTGATCTTTTGCATGTCCATCATTAGGGCGGAGCGCAGGATCGGCAAGTCATAGTGATATCGCGAGAAAGGTAAGAGCCACTCCATTGTTTCCTCTTACATAGGCAACGAAGCAAGTAGGATACGGCGACGAGGCAAGTGCGGTCCTCAGTTACAACTGCCGTATAACCACAAATCTATCGTATAACCAGGCTTATCGTATAACTAACGGTTTCATAGTAACTGCCATATTGCAATAACCTGAGTGCACGGTCAACCGGCTGTCAACTCGACGACGTATATACCTAGTTCTACCAGAAGGGTATACTAATTGGGTGGCATAAGTATGCCACAGTCCATACCTTATATAGCCGTCCAAGGTGTGGCTGTCCAACCCGCCCCTCGCCCTAATAATCAGCCCAGTTGCTTGTTTGATGCGTTTTCATATTCCCACAGCTTGAGGCCTAGGTCATGCCAGGATTGATGGTCTTGCCGCGCAATCATCCATGCTTGGGGAGCGTACAGACGCAATTCGAACAAAGACTCACGCGAGTAACACGGCAGATTCAGCGACGAACAAGGCAGACTGCAGATACCCCTGACTATCCGGAGCCACATAACCAGCATATCCTCAAGCGACGACGCTGCTGGCGGCCCACCAGGGCATCGTTCTGATGATCTGTTCCTACAGCAGGCCAACTGGCGGACATCTCCGTCTGGTCCAGACCTGCACGATGGCAATGAGCTCGTCTGGTTCTTGAGCTTTGGTTTTCACATGCCGATTACGTGTTCCTCCATCATGGACGAATGCAGAAGTCTGCTTGTTCATCATTGCCATTTGGGTGCAGACGCATGCTTATACGATGGTGGATCCGATGCGAGCGAGCCCGCAAAAGGCGGACTGACAGGCTCGGGGCATTCGGGACTTTCCTCTCCTTGCATGCAAAAGACGGGTAGGAATGGAGAGCCGCATGCCAAGGTGCATGTGCATGTGCATTGCATCTGGCCTCGCAAGGGGTTGCCTTGCAGTTTCTCTGGTACCGGGTTACATCGCCGCCGTTTTTGCGGTGAGCGACCTATCGGTCTGGGTTGGCCACAACTGTCAATTGGGGATTGGGCGCGAACTATGGGGACCTCTGAATGCAGCGCCTTGCTTCCTGCGCATCGATGGAGAGAATCGTGAAAATTTTCACGTAATCCGTACTCTGAAGAGCGAGGCGACATGCTTTGGTCACATCTGGGTGGGTTGTTTATAATGTTTGCTGGTTGAGCGTACCTGGCCTTACCGACCTGGGTCAGGACCGACATGGTTCGAGACCGCCTTTGCAATGACTGCAAGACGAACCAATAGGCAATATTGTATGCCTGGAACTTCGAATGCGTTGGCGTTGAATGCGCTGTGCGGCGCTGCGACTCCCATCCATGGGTCAGTGTCGACCAGTAACCAGCGCATTATTAGTCAAGCTTTACGCATGCTGTACGTGACTCTCTTCGGACATCAGACACGGCTTTCACCGCCGTGGGTAGACCGGCAGACATACGATCAGCACCACGGTGGACTCATCGATCGAAAGTCGATCGCAAGCCGGCTCCAATGGAGCTGTTGTGGGACTAAGATGGGAATACGGGCACGGCAATTGCTGGAGAGGTATAAGAGATCTGCATTTCCGGCATCAAGTGGTGATGATCCTCCTTAGTTCAGTCCACCCAGCAGTCTCACAAGCTCCCCGACATCTTCGAATGTTTCCACCAGATCTCTTTGATCCAGCTAAATGTTTCGACCCACCTTGAAACATTTCACATCGAAGTCTTGTCAGACACACCTACATATACCAACTTGAATTCCCTCCGCTATGACGAGAGGTTGGTCAGAGGGCGCTTCGACCGTCACGGTCGTTGGGTCGACTACCACGGCTTCCAGCAGGGCGTCCAACCCAGCAAGACGCCATGAAGTCGATGGCATGTACAAGCTGCTCCAGAGGGAACCTCACGACGGCGTCAAGTGTGTCATCGCCGTGGTGGGAGCCTCGAGCTTCACTTCGCTCGACCACAAGCTGCAGAATCCTTGGTGGAAGTTCTGGAAACGTGAGCTAACCCGTCCATTGACGGATATCCCCTAATTGGCAATCAAGGCTGATACTCCCTTCCGGTAGCAAATCCAGGTGTCTTCGTAACAACACCACGATGGCTCCAACGCACCATCAACCAAGTCGAAGACGAAGGACGCTGCCAGCACCTCACAATCTTCATCAGCAAAAAGGTCGACAGCATCAGCTTCCACATGAACTCCAGCATCCACGACCTGGGCATCTACCGCTGCTCCCACTACTCCCACCACTCCTACCCGTCCTCCTCCTCCCATCCACATCCCACCCAAAGCAGCCGCGGTAGCCGCGTCCTCGTCGACGGTGCCTCGACATTCAACGGCGTCCGCCTCGACGAGTGGCAAGGCACCCGCCACCGGCGCCACGCCATCTTCCTTGGCGACGGCGTCGGCATCAGCGTCGAGCTGGAGGGCGCGGACGGCTTCGCGCCCTGGACCGAGCACGTCGCCTGGCTGCCCAGCGAGCAGCGCGAGCAGATCTACGGCCACTTCATCTGCATGAAGCAGAGCAGCCCCAACCATAACAACGGCACCGACGAGCCCTGCTGGAGCCGGTGGCGCAAGCACCTAGCGATCGTGGTAGGCGTCCTCAGCGGCGCCGGCGAGATCGCGCCGGCCTTCGAGGTCACGCCGACAGGCTGTTTCGTCGAGTACAAATTCGGCGCCGTGGCGACGCCGTTTGCGCGGATGCGGACCGTGGCGTCGGCGGCGGGGCAGGCGCGGTTGCTGGGCGCGAGGGTGCTGGGGACTCCGGTGTACTTCGTCTCCTGGAGGGGCCTGCTCAAGTGGATCCATGGCGCGTTGGCGGTGCTGTGCAAGAGGTATTGGGCGGCGCTGGAACGGCTGTGGCAGTTTGTGGCTCGGATGCTGTTGAGGGGGGCTGATGAAGTTCGGGGCCATCATGTGCGTCCTACTTTGCAGAGGTCGAAGTCGTCAAGGGATGGGAAGCAGGACCATGTGCGTCCCCCTTTGCAGAGGTCGAATTCGTCGCGGGATGGGAAGCATGTTTCGTGGAAAGGGAGAGGGATCACGGTTTCTCATTGTCACATCGGCGATTCTTGAGTCGGGATCTTGGGTATCGGCTTGGTCATTTTGGTTGTGGTGTTTGGATTGTAATTAAATTGATATACCAGGTTTCTCGGAGTTCAAAAGGGTGGGAGAGAGGGACGTCCGTAATCAATAATTGTACACATCTAATACTATGTTTCTAGAAACGATAAAGGTGCGGGGGTTGTTTGATTATCTTGGAGTTTTTGCATGACCTTCCTTCCTACAAAGCTTTTCTACCACAAACGTAAACGCGATGGTCCCAACAAGCTCTTGGACGTTGATTCATGAAATAAGACAGGCAGATTTGAGCTAGTATTTGCACGCTCGATGACACGAAGTACAAGATAGTATGGGAGTGGGACCTTGGTTATCTCACGACCAGGTGACCCTATTATGAGGTATGAGAGCTGGCGAGGGGTGACAACCCAGCTGGAAGGACGGGTGAAGCCACCGGCCAATCAGACGATGATATAGGGAATACGGAGTCTGCTTCAACTGCCTACTTAGACTCCGCAAGCTTCCGTGTCACACCCTTGATTTGGTCAAATCTAGCCAGAGCTGAAGCGTAGGAACTGAGCACTTCTCTATCCCATCCTGCAGTAGGTACTTTCCTTTTCTTGATTCCTACGCTGTTCACCTACTTTGACCACCTAACATCCCCATCCAGATTGGCAAGCGAGCACTACCTCGCACCTTCGCACCTTCGCACCTTCTGCTTCCACACCAATCTACTCTCTCAAGGTACTTGATTGGGAGATATGAGTTGAATGCAGCTGAGCCTTGTTGATCTGGGGCAGGGCTAGGTGGTCAGACTTGTGTTATTCCATCAGTCTTGTAAGGAACCCAGCGGGGACCTTCTTTGGCACAGCTTCCGTGGATTCACTCCTTTACTTTCACAAAGTCTCAAAAGGTACTTGGTAGGTGTTGAAGGGTTCTTTGGTTTATGGCATAAGCACGGTGGAATAAGCGTTAAGAATGGTGTAATGGAACGGAACTGCTTATTCGAGGGTGCTTATCCGACTTTTCAAAATACAAATGTTATATCGGTGAGCAAAGCTCCCAACGCGCTGTTTGAATGCTGAAGAAGACGCTACCAGGCCCCGGTATCCCTATGTCACTTGGACCTGTAATGTGAGTTCAGCGGAAATTTCACAGTGATGGTTCCAGGTCTTAGATCCTCCTGGTTGGAGACCCGGCCTTAGTCTCTGGCTGGGGGTCCGAGATCAGTTCAGTAAGTTACAACCAACATCATGCTGAGATTCATCCCGGCCGGTGCGACATAACTTACGGTATGTTTTGTTCTTGACCGTAACGCAGTCAAATAGCATATCCGACCTTTGTCAATTCGGATTGGGTGATGTTACTGCGTCTATTTGTGAAATAGTAACCCTTGAGCGGACGATTTTATATCATGATCATCCCCTGATCTACCTCCCCTTCGATATGTAGTCTACTCGACACGAGAATCTAGCATCCAAATGGTTCCTTGACCCAACAACCTCGAACATCTTAAAACATGGACTCTAGTTGTCTCTGTGGCTGCTGACAGTATGTATAATGCGACGCCATCAAGCCGAAGTGGATGTTATCGGCAAAGGTATGTCCTTCGGTTTCTCGAACTCCCTCTCGATTTCTTCCAAAGACTTCCCCTGAGTCTCCGGCATCATGACGCACACGGCAACCGCAAGCACAGTGGCAAACCCATACAAGAAGTATGGGCTGCTGGGAGACGACTGGAGGAACAGGGGCGCCGACATGGTAACGGCAAAGTCCACCATCCAGTTTGCGAGTAGCTCTAGAGACGCTACCTTCGCTCTGATATGCGTCGGGATGATCTCACAGGCGTATATCTTCGCGACCTGTTCATTGCACATCAGCTTCCAGGGCAAAAACAGCAGCTAACCGAGAGCAACTCACGACCGCCCATGACCAGGAGAAATTGGCAACGAATATGTACGTCAAGACAATGACAGACCATTCCGCAGTGCTCGAACTCATCTTGATGCCGTGCTCATCGTGGACGCTAAACCTAGCATACAGTGAGCCAATCACAATGAGGCATGCCGACATTGCTGCACCACCGTAGATCAACGGCCGTCGCCTTCCCCAGCGATCGATCCAGATTTGGGCTGGGATCGTGGCGATGAGCATGACGAGTCCGCTGACGCCGGAAGCCACGAAGGTCGATTGAGTTGAGTTAATGCCCGCCTGCTGGAATATGATGGGGGCGTAGTACAGCACAACATCGATCTACGAAAGTCAGCTTCGAACAAAGCATGACCAACTAGACGGTCCAGTGGAATGACTTACTCCAGTCAAGCGCTGAAATGACATCAAGAACACGCCCAGAGCGGTCCTCTTGAAATAGCGTTGCTGGAACATGACGAGAAACCCCATGCTGTCCGTGTGTTTGTTCTCCTCGAGGCTCGTGTCAATCTCGCCCATTTCCCGTTGGACTTCCAAGCTGCTTCCTCGAAACCTGGTGAGAACCTCGACCGCCTGGTCTCTCCTTCCATCCTGCAACAGCCACCGCGGCGAGAAGGGGATGAAGAAGACACCCGCCGTCAAGACAGCGGCGCAGCAGGCCTGGGCGATGAAAGGAATGCGCCAGGCCATGCTATTCGGGATGGATTGCGAGCCGTACGCGATGAAGTACCCGATGCTGATTCCGAGCACCATGTAGAGCTGGACCGTACATGCGGCAACGCCGCGTATGGACTTCGGGGCCAGCTCGATTAGGTAGACGGTCGAGACTGCGATGCACTGGCCGTAGCCGACGCCGCTGATCACGCGGGCCAGGATGAGGACGGCGAAGCTTGGGGATGCGGCGGATAATACCGTGCCGACGATGCTGAGGAGGCCCCCGGCGAGGATGCTGTAGCGCCGGGAGATGGCGTCTGATACGTGCCCGCTGGCGAGAGATGAAGCTGCCGCGGCCAGGAGGATAGACGCCACGTAGATGCCTTGCCGAGCCGGGGTCAGGATGCCAATGGACTCGCTAAACTGAGGCATAGTCGTAATTGGACCGATAGAGCCTTTTGATGGTACGATGGTTAGCCTTCATTGGCCTCTTGTATTCAAATGAAATGTTCTCATGTGCTGTACTTACCGGTGTCAAGGCCATAGAGAAGACCAGACAGGGAGACATATGATGCTATCACAAGTGTCCTCTTTTGGTGAGCCGGAAGAGAAAGCATAGTGAAACTGACGCGAAGTCACGTCTGGTCGGGGGCTGCGTTCAAGTTGCAAAGAGGTGACGGGGTGTGCCTTGAAACGGAAGCCTGGGTAGAAAGCCCGGATATTCCGAGCCCCTTAAGTCGACGGATCAGACTGGCGGGTGAGGTGACGTCGAGGTCAACTCTAGCAACGTGTTTTGCTTGACGTTTGCTTCAAGGTACGGGAACGATACTGGCCATGCACGTTGCCGGCGTTGACGAGGTCCGTAACCTTGCGTGTCGCGCGGTGCCTGACGGCTGACGTGGCGGCTCTCGACATGGGCGCAACCAGCTGCTCGTGCTACCTCATGCTCAATGTGCCGTCAAGCGGCGTTACCTCCAGTCTGAGCCGCCGCAAGAGGTTATCGCGGAGGCATAATTCAACCTATTAGGGGCGCGATGCCTTGTCGGTGGTAAAGGGCAGATCCTCCTATGGGAACAAAAGTAGCTGGATCTCATGGTAGGTGCGAAGTCGCGTGGTAAAGGTCCGGTGGCGGGTTCTGACAGTGTTCTAAGATCCTGGAAGGCTCAGCTATGACAAACCACAAAAAGAAGTAAATGCTGATACCCGCATGGCATCCGCCTCCTGTAGAGCTCATGGCCTCTAATAAGCGCAGAGTTCCCAGACACTGGTCAAGCTTCTACTTCTGAATCAATGTACTTGTACTCCTGAATCAACGTGCTTGTACTTCTGAATCAATGTTACCACATGTTGTGTTACATGACCATTTCGGGCATTTTGTATTTGCACAAGATGCCTCCCTACATGAGGTGTTCCCGAACCGCTCGTATGGCGCTTTGTATGAAAAAGACGTGTGACCGTCACATATTCCCCGTTGGCGTACCGCCAGCAACGTGTCTCTAACGGGCCGACTCAGTCCCAGTACGGTATGCACGTTAGGGCAAACAGATGAAGACATGAAAGATCAGGGAGCTGTGTCCCTTTACGTACAGGACAGTCAAGGAGTGGTGGAGTGACTTGAGACCGAAATTGTCACTGTGATCATGCGCGTATCGACACGTTCGGAGACTGCCAACACAGAATGTCATCAAGCACAGGAACCTCGGTAGACCTATTGGGGATGACTCATCCCCGTCACAGCAGAGCCACCTGAAAGATTGAGCTATCTGACCAGTGAGCATGAAAGGGGTACCGCTATGAACCATAACTTACTCTGAAAAACATGGTGGAGACGGTGCCACAGGGAGCAAATCTCATCACTACAATACAAGGATTGTAGCTCCTAACTGGCAGAAAGGACTAGAAGTCTCTGTTTGACGGCCGTCACATTCGACAGCGGGGCTGAAGGTGCGAGCAGACCAGCAGTACAGGGCTGGCGGCGTGATCATCTACAACGACCCCAAGGAGGATGGCCAGTATACGACCAAGGACGGGTACAAAGCCTATCCACATAGATTCTGCGCGCCATCTGGAGAGTATACAGCGCGGGAGCGTAGACTTCTTCTCCGTGTCAGTCGGAGACCCCGCGACCCCTGAGTACGTACCCGAGCTTGCCTGGTGGCGATACTGAACTGCGGGATCTTATACACCTGTTCCCGACGATCCCATCTTTACCTATCTCTAATGCTGACGCGGCGCCCCTGCTCAAAACTCTGAGCGGACTGGGAATGTCACGCGAAGATATGAGTGGGGAGGATGATGACTGGCGCGGCGAAGTGAACGGCGTATATCATGCTTGCGCAATCATCTTTCAAGGAAACGGGTGTGGGATTTCTTGCGAGGCATTGGTACAGACGTCCTATCTTCGCCCCAGGTCTAGTATGGAAATGGTGGGGTGGTGTTTCCCGGCATCGTCGAAAACCTAGACGACGGGGATCTCACTGCTGCTGACCTATGGATTCAGCGGGTGGCTACTAGCAATGATCGTACTGTTGGTGTTCTTAGAGGTGATTATAAGTCACTAGAAGCGGAGTAATAATATTTTAATGAGTATTGTAACGTCTATCTGTTTCCGCTCCCGCTTCGTAACTGGGCAGCATGGGAATTTCCAGGCATCCCCAACATTATCAAGAGTCACCACACTGAACCATGTTTGCTCCAAGAAGGGCGGAATTCAGCCCGACGGGAATTTCGCCGCGTGGTTCGGAAAGCTAGGAGAGAGTACTGGCAGACTCTAATTGATTCAGCAACTGAGCCAAAGGACCTATACAGAATCGTCTCTTGGCACAAGCTATCAGCAGGATTGCGTTCCCCTCTAATCATCATAAGAGACCAAATATTCGAGTCACAAGAGAGCAAGGCAAATACATTACGCTCAGCCATGCTTGAACGAAGTACCTCAGACAACGATATCATCGACCCCTGGTCCGCTCAGATCACACAACCCAAGCCATACATCCCCCTTGAATACCATGTCGGACTGGAAGAGGCTGAAGGGTGCACTTTAGGGATCAAGAGCAACTCCCCGGGAATAGATAACCTCACAGTACGGATTCTGAAAGCTTGCTGGCCATTCATTGGGGAACATATCAGAGCCCTTTTCCAGACCTGTCTACAGATTGGACACCACCCTAAACCATTCAAAGTAGCTGAAGTGGTAATGATCCCAAAACCAGGAAAAAAAGACTACTCCAATCCCAGGGCCTACAGACCAATATCGCTATTGTCGTGTCTTGGCAAAGGCTTAGAACCACTCATCGCAAAAAGAATTACCTGGTTTGTTGTCAAACTTGGAATTCTAGCTCCACAACATTTTGGAGCTGTACCAAAGCGCTCTGCCACTGACCTGGTAGCTGCACTTATACACGATATTGAGCAGGCCCTTGACCAAGGCCTCGTTGCAACAGTAGTCACGTCAGATGTGAAAGGGGCCTTTGATGCTGCCTTAATGGGACGGCTGGTGGTTCGCATGAGAGAACAGGGCTGGCCGGGCTTTCTCATAAGATGGGTCCAGTCATTCATGTCCGAGCGGTCCGCAAGGGTTCGGTTTGAAGGTATTGTGACCAATATTAAAGCTCTCATTTGTGGGCTACCACAAGGCTCACCAGCCTCTCCAATCCTTTACATGCTGTATACAGAGCCAATCTGTGCCCAACTTAGTATGAAAAAGAGACGCTTTGGATATACAGACAACTTAACGACTCTCTGTATTAGAAAGAACTTTGAGAAAAAAGCTACAGAGGCTTCTGAAAATCTTTATTTGTTTAGTTAATAGGGACATAACAACGCTATTAAATTTGATCCTAACAAAACTGAGATCATGCACTTCTCAAGAAAAAAGAACTCAGATAACCCTCCAGTCCGCCACAAGACAATGAATAAAATAACAAAGGACTCCATGCGATGACTGGGTGTCTTCCTGGATAGAAAACTAAACTTCAAAGATCATGTTTCCTACTGGGCCAAGAAAGCTAATAAGGTAGTAAATCACCTTTGAGGACTATACAACACAGTCAAAGGACTTCCAGTAAAGTCAACCAAGAAGGCTGTGAAAGCTTGTGTTATTTCTATTCTTATACACGGCCTGGAGGCCTGGTACCCAGGAATCCAGAAAGTTGGGAGCTTAGGTGGGACATCAGCATGTCATATTAAGGGGCTTCTTGGAACAATAGATGCCGTACTACGAACGGCGATCAGGGCTATCTTGCCAGTCTGGAAAACACACCCTGGACATATCCTATACTTTGAATCGCAGATTCCTCCAGCAGAAGTTCTTGCAGAGTCAATAAGAAGACGTCACGGCCTCTGACTAGGACGAATAGACCAGAGACACCCTCTTGTTGGCAGGCTCCAAATACAAGCTCGCAAGAATCCAACAAGGTTACAAAGGAGCTTCCAGCTAGTTCTTGACTTCCAGAGACCAACACTTACCAGGCCATCATAAAAAAAGCCCCTAATCCGTAAAAACAAAAACAAAAAAATAGAGCTCTTTAAGCAATGGCTATAGGAGAGAAATATGAACACTGACCTTGTCATCTATTCAGATAGATCACAGTTGGACGACCAAGGCACAACCCGCACTGGATGGGGTTATACCATCAGGAAAGGCGGCACTACACAAGAAGTATACCGGGGAAAGGGCAGACTTCTCTAAACAGAAACAATAAATGCTGAAGTCCATGGTGCTCTCCAAGGTCTTATAACAGCCAGGGCAATTGGACACAGAAAACAGCTATATGTCTGCCTGGACAACACGTCAGTGGTAGATGGGCTCAATGGACTCCACCCGAGACATCACAGAACATTTTTCTATAATTTCAAGAACTTGCCACAGCACACACTCCTGGAGTGACCATCAAGTGGATTCCTGGACACAGAAATATTATGGCAACAAAACTGTCAACACACTAACAAAAGAGGGTGCCATGCTAAAAACAGACATAACAAACCTTCCTATAATCTCTTGGGTCAAAAGAGATCTCAAAAAAAAGGGCAAAAAAGAGTTCAATTAATGATAAAAAGACCAATCAGAACCTAGATATCAAGAAATATACTCACATATAGCAACTAAAAGAGACCTTATATCTTTTAAGAGGAGTACTTTATACAGACTTCTAGCGGCCAGATCTGGACATGGCGACTTTGCCAGATACCATGAATGCTTTGGGCATACAGATTCGAATGATCACTGCAGCTGTGGTGAGAAGAAAACACCATAACATATTTTCTTTTGTAAGAGGCTGGGGAAAAACCGGCTGCTGCCTAGGTACTCGCCTAGGACAGCTTGTTTACAATACTTAGGGGAGAAGAGCACAGAATGGGCAAAATTCGTGGAGAAGAGCAAGTTCTTTTCAACAATCTATCCCTAATAGATAGCTTTTCTTGAAAGATCAGATGGATGACCCCAAGGTCATACTGCCGCAACAACGGGGATGGGCCCGTGAGCGGGACTGACTGTACTTATTATCTTGAGACCTCCACAACCCTGCGATACAGAGGCTCTGGGAGGCGTGGTTTGCACTACTGAGGAGCTACCCCCCACGTTAAATACAATCAATCAATCAATCAAACCATGTTTGCTCTCTCTGTGCCCGTGTTTGATTTTTATCAGATTGTCCTCAGTGTAACTGGGCAAGTATTGTACAACAGTGCTTCTAATTAAACGAGTCTGGTGTTGCTAATTCTCAACCAGGTCAACTAACAACCGGACGCAAAGTAAAGTAGTCATTTGACATACAGCACTCCAGATGTGACTGAGACCTGCGCTTAGATACCATTACATTCACACCAGTCCATGCGCTACCGGTATCAAATATGGCTATTCAACATGACATCAAGGCCGAGGATGGCTCAGGTCGAGTGACCTTGACACCTCTGTCACAATATATAAGGCACATTAATCAACACACATTAAGTTGCGAGCGAGCGAGCGAGCAGGAGACTCTTTGAAGTTTGGGAGTCCGCGCCTTGCACCCTCTTTTTTTTTTATTCTCCTTCTTTTCCCTTCCTGCGTCAGTCTTCACACTCTACGACGAAAAGCACACTCATCAGCCTCAATAGGGTGTTTATCAAGATTAATATTCACCTGAGGTTAGAGAAGAGACTGTAACTATGGGCCGAGACAGATTCGCTTGCTCCTGGGCCGGGTGCGGCAAGAAGTTCAAGGATTTCTCAAGTGTCCGGCGTTGTGTGCTCTACCACCAATCCGCCGTATAAGAGGCTGCTCAGAGGATATCGTCTGCATGAAGGGTAAACACGAGGCTGATACGGCGCATTGTAGCTTAACGAAAGCGCAGGACCTTGGTCCTGAGATTGAGGGTTCGACCCCGTCCCTGTCGTTACGATGGCTTTTCCACGCCTGGTCTCTCCAGAGTAGCTGTTCCGAGACTGATATCGATATCTTCAGGGAGACGACGAGTCAGCCAAGCGAGATGCTGACGCCTCCCTATGCCCCAACCACCACGCGACGGAGCCGGTAGTACACTGCTGTATTACACTGCGAAGAAAGGCCACCAAGGTACGTTCCCCCTCCTAAACCATACACCACCACTGAGAAACTCTTCTTCATACACGAGTAAATACTGACAGTAGCATCAGCGACGCAAGAGACCTTTTGCTCCGCAGCTTCGAATTCGAACCAGAGAATTTCGACGAAGATCTCAGCCAAATCTCTTGAGGGGAAATATGAGCGCATATCGCTCTCTGGAGATCTCATTCGGCGATCTCAACGCGCGACGGATGAATTGATCGCCAGGGCGGAGACATGACAAGAGACTCGAGAGCCAAATGAATGGTCCAGTTTCGTGGCAGAAGTCAGTCACAGGCCTCATTCCTGCAGGAACCACGCGTCACGGAGGCGAGAGAAATGCTGCAGATACGCTATGAGAACTTTGTTGGCTTCGCACAGCGCAAGCAGAACGTGCTGTCCACTTCCCCTTGGCACCTCTACTCGAGTGGCAACTACCTACCTTATGGGACCAATGGGGGGTTTTCGGCAGGCTGTCAGCAAGTCCTATCAGCTGTCTAGCAGCCTGTCAGAAGTGTCATGATGTGCGTATAATGCCCCAGCCGACAGTCGGTCCGTCTGGATATACGTGTAGCTGTTCTTCAGCCGGTCAGAGTCTCATAGTGTCCAGAGCGTATCAGAAGTGATATGGGGAGAGGAGTCTGGTATATTAACGGTGCTTGTGTTTGGTGACATCAAGAGACGGTGCGCTCCTCTGGCCTAGGCCGCTCTTTGTCCGAGGTCAAATGGTTGGAATCTAGAGCCTGAGTAGGCAACGTAGGTATTCAGACATATCCAACCATAAGGTAGTCATCGTTCACATGAGATCTGGGTATTGCATTTGAACGCTTTCATATTTTTATTTCGCTGGTTACACTGGTGAAGAATACCAGGGGAAAGACATACCCACTAAGTACTGCCACACTCCATCGCTCAGGGGCGCCCACAGTATCTGCAACGTTTCCGATAATCCAAGCCCATAGACCATGACACCCACGCCATCACACTCCCGAATTCCGTGGGTATCAGGTTGTAACCCCCCTTCTTACCCATGTTGCAACTCCTCTTCGTATCTTTGTTGCCACTCCTGTGAGGAAAATGAGGAAGATGGGGAAACTCGTTGCGACTCATCTTCCGAATCTGATGGAACTCCTCTTTCTAAATCTGATGGAACTCCTCTTTCTAACCATGTTGCAACTCCTCTTAACCGGTTGCAACTCCTCTTAACCCGGTTGCAACTCCTCTTAACCAGGTTGCAACTCCTCTTCGGAACCATGTTACAACTCCTCTTCCACCTTGTTGCGACTCCTCTTCGGAACTCTGTTGCGACCTCGCTTCCTAATATTGTTGCAACTCATCTTCGGAACCTTGTTGCAACTCCTCTTCCTAATCATGTTGCAACTCCTCCACGGAGCCTTGTTGCAGCTGCTCTTCGGAACCTTCTTGCAACTCCTCTTCTGAGTCTAACAAATGGCCATAGAGAACCATGCAAACGCCACTCAGCGGTACGTCCATGACCGCATCCGTGCCCTCGTTCCATATTTTCTTCCATTCGAGCTTGCTCGCCTGCTCGGGTGTTAACCCGGGGTGTTTCAGAGCCGGCTTGATCCGTCCCTCGCTGTCGATGGTTGCGATCTGGGCCGCCTCGTCGGTGATGGTCTCGATCGAGTTCAACGGGAGCGTCAAGACCTCGGTGTTGTACAATGCCAGGGCGATGTAGATGTACACGAGGAGCATGACGATGAATGACGGGACAGCCAGGGCCCACCATCTGTTGGGGTAGTAGTAGATGCCCATGGCGTGCAGGAATGGAGACGGCAGAAAGGCCCACAGGATATAGACCAGGAAGGTCAGCGACGAGAAGAGGTACAGGACAAAGCCGTAGTACTCGTACGTGGGCACTTTGGGAGATGCGCGGGGCACCGGGGCCTCGAGGTCGTCGTCGGAGGCATCGGGGGTGGTAGGTCGCGAGGGGCGAAGCAGCGATGTCAGAGAGGGGGATGGCGGCAGAGGTGTTGGGGGTCGTCCGTAGAATGGAGGGGCGAAGTAGTTGTGGTGCAGCAGAGGCGGAGGCCCCAAGTCTTCGTCGCCTGATGAAGAGGCATTGGACTGGTTGTCGGAACTGTAGTCCTCTGCGTTGTCTGGTATGAGAGACATGTCTTGTGGTGATGCTTCTTCCTAAGCAGGCGTTCTCACTGTTGTTGAAGGTCGGTTAGAAGGTCGCAGAGTTATATTGTCCATGGATGACCAACCAGACGCAGAAGAGAAGGTTGACGATAAGTGAACGTTGTGCGATGAGCGTCTAAGTAAACTCAGTGATGTTATGATGTTGAAGCGTGGAGGATGTTGAAGCTTGGAGATCATCAAGGTTGGCCTGGCATTTGGCATCTGATAAAGCTTCAGCCAAGACTGTCAGATGTCAGGTACGCCCACATACTTGTAGGAAAGTGACCCTGGCCATCTGCGACTTCCGTAGCACTAGAGGAAATATGCTTTCTGCTCAGTGGTACTTGCGCGTTATTTGCACCGGTCGCAAGCCAGCACCGGAGCCAGAAGCAGCAGAAGGAGCCAATTCGCTTGAATTCGCAGTAAATAAACAGCAGTAGCATGCGCGAGCGCTCGGATAGAGCCAATTGCAACAGAACGAGACAATTGCAGCAGGAGGAGCCAACTCGCTAGAATCTGGAGTAAAGAAGAAGAAAAACAGAAGCACGCTTGCATGAGCAACAGCTGTACGTACAAACCAAATCGAGCTCGTTGGAGGTCGTCATCATCGTCAGTTGTGTTGTGGCATGAATTATTTAGCGACGGTAGGCAATGTGGTCCAAGCGGTGGGTGGCTCTGACATGAGGTATCAAAACCCACACTGTATCACAACTTCCTGTATGTATGTGCTTTTAGACACTGTGCTGTGCCGCCCTCTCCAGCCACACCCGGGCTCGACTAGCTCCAGAGCTGCGAGCTTCAGCCTTCAACCTCCCAGTTCGACGCGATCCAAAATTCAAAGGCCTTTTGCGCCGAGGCAAAGAAGTACAGCTACCGTCGCCGACAATAGGCACCCACCGTCGCAGACCTTCGTCGCAACCCCGCCATACCTGAAGCACATTGAATTGGCCACATCGCATCCCAATATGGCTTCACAGCAACCCCTCCCGAACAGCCAGCCGCCGATGGACGTGTATGGCGGAGGTGAGCGCTGCCGCCTTGCCCATGTCCAGCTTCTCGATTCCATGCTAATCACGTTGCGACAACACCAGACGAAGTATCCGCCCTTGTCCTCGATGCCGGCTACTGCCACACGCGAGCTGGGTTCGCGGGCGAAGATGTCCCTAAATCCGTCCTGCCGTCCTTCTACGGCAGCCTCAAGTCCACCAACACCGACTCGACGACCGCATCCTACCGCGATATCTTCGGCGACGAGTGCCTGATCCCGCGCCCCGACTTTGAAATCAAGAACTACATGTCGCGCAGCGAGAGCGTGGTCGAGGACTGGGACGCCGCCACCAAGATGTGGGAGCACATGCTGATCAAGCGCCTGCAGCCAGAAAAGGAGACACCCCCGAGCAACAACGGCCTGAACGACCCGGCGGAGGACGGCGAAGGTAACGTCGCAATGGATGATGTCGAGAACCAGGAGAGACCGCTTGCCGAAAACCCCCTGCTCATGACCGAGGCGCCCTGGAACTCTGGCAAGGCCCGCGAGAAGGCCATCGAGATCGTCATGGAGAACTGGGGCTGCCCTGCCTTCTGGATGTCGAGGACTCCGGTGTGCGCCGCTTTCGCGGCAGGCAAGGCGTCAGCGCTGGTGATCGATGTGGGCGGTGCAAACACGAGCGTCACAGCCATACATGACGGCCTGGTGTTGAAGCGGTCCATCCAGAAGTCACCCATCGGCGGTCTATGGTTATCGTCACAGATCCGGACCATGTGGGCAAACAGCGACCCAAGAGTCGACATTGTGCCGTCTTACATGGTCGAGAACAAGACGCCCGTCGATGCTGGTGCACCCGCACAAGCTAGACTACGAAAGTTCCCGTTCGAATTCACCCCGTCCTTCCGTCACTACGAGGAAGAGCGTCTCTTGACCGAGTTCAAGGAGTCGGTGGTGGAGGTGTGGAGGGGTCCCGGCCGTTACTCCAACCCAGGCAACGAGGAGCTAGTCAAGTCGCAACCCGGCCGCGTCTTCGAGATGCCCGACGGCGCGAACCAGATGTGGCGCGAGCAGCGGTACAGAATCGCCGAGGGCATGTGGGACGAGGCAGCCGCCCTACCGACGCCGGATGCCGAGGTTAAGATCCAGACCATCCCGGAGTTGATCAAGGCCGCCCTCAGCAACGTCGACGTGGATCTGCGACCGAACCTGCTGGCCAACGTCGTCGTCACGGGAGGCACGAGCTTGCTGAACGGGTTCAATGACCGTCTGAACAACGAGCTCATGGCCATGTACCCGGGCATGAAGATCAAGCTGCACGCCGCGGGCCTGACGACCGAACGACGCTTTGGCGCTTGGATAGGGGGCAGTATCCTGGCTAGTCTGGGCACCTTCCACCAGATGTGGATATCGCGCAAGGAGTACGAGGAGAACGGCGCCGGCATTGTCGAGAAGCGGTGTAAGTAAAAGTTTGAAAGGTTCTCGCGGCATTGGTCTGAAAACAAGACATGAGTTTGTGCTTTGCGATAGCCGGGCTTCTAAGCCGAGTTGGGCAATCCCGTGTCGGCTGGATGGTTTTCGGCGTCAGGAGTACAGTGTCGTAGATAGCCAGGCTAGGCACTTTGTGATTATGACCACGAGCGAAGCAAAATCCGGGGCAAGGTTGGGAAATGATACACTCAATGTCAGTTGATACCAAGGCGAGAAGTCTACAGGTCATGCTCGTTCTCCATTCTCCGTTCTCCGTTCCTTGTGCGATGTCGTGAGCTCCCGTCTCATACACAGGTATCCCTCTTCCCAATCCCACCCATGCCCTCGCCATGCAATGCAGCAAGCCCAAGAAACCATAAACACACTCATCGCGCCATCAATCATCTCCCAAGCACCACAAAGGAGCCTCTTTACCATCCATTCCAGCGCGGCCACACCTCCACAATCTCGTCCTCGCGCCCCTGATTCCTGCTATCCACCACAAGATACCACGCATGTCCCGCACCGGTGATGCAAGAGTGGTTCGGCCAGATGCGCACGCGCTGCCCGACCGCGATCGCGGTCTCTTCCCTTGGCGGTCCCATCCACGCCAGCACGCCGTGTTCTTGTGACAAATACCGGACCTGCCAGCCGCCGTGGACGGCGGGGAAGTCCGGGCCGGGAACGGCGTTGTCGAGGCCGCCCCACGGCATGACGACGCCCCAGGCGCCGTAGTGCTCGCCCTTCGTCGCGCCCATGTCGGTGCACGGCTCGCGGCCCAGCGCCAGGCAGCCCGCGTTGACGAGCGCCTCGGTCGTACCGTTGGGGCCGCGGAGCGGGTATAGCGATGCGACGTCGGCGAGCACGCTGATGGCGATGGCGCCGCTGTGTAGCGTTTTGCTGTCGCGCGCGTGCGCGGCTAGCTGCTGGATGTCGAGGGTTGGGTATACGCCGGCGTGCACTTCGAGGGTGAGGCCGTCGGCGCGCATGCGGGAGATTAGGTCCTTGAGCTGGGCCGTTGTGGTGCCTGGGGCCGAAGTCAGGAGCGCGCCTTCTTTGCCCGCGGGCGCGGTGTCCGAGTCGTTGTCGGCGGCGAAGTCCGGGTGCTGCAGCGTGGTGGCCGTAGGCGTGGCACCGACGGAGAGCACGAGTGGGTGGCCGGGGCGCTCCCTGCGCACGGCGGTGGCGACATCATAGAGGCCGCCAAACTCAGCACCCAAAACACCCATGGCCTCCCAGTCCTTGCGCGCGGCGTACGAGTGGCCGGCGTGGGTGTACAGGCCCAGGAAGACGGACGAGCCGACCGTTTCGGAGAGCAGCAGCTCGTCGATGAGCGCGGCGCAGGCGGGCGAGTCGCCGTAGACGCCGGCGCGGTTCGAGCCCACGTTGATCTTGAGGAAGACGAGCGGCCGGTTGCCCGACTTGGAGGCCAACGACGTCAGGTGCTTGATCTGCTCGCTGTTGTCGACCATGACGGCCAGGCCTCCCGGGCCCAGCTGGGCCGAGACCTGCGCGAGGCGGTCGACGCATGAGGCGTAGAGGGGGAAGGAGTAGAGGACCTGTGGTGGTGGGTTAGTGTGTGTGTTCGTGGGGTGGCTGACTAAGTGCGTGCCGCTTACGTTGACTTGACGGCCGTTTTCCTGGTATTCTTTCAGCAGGGGTAGGACGCTCTCGGCCTCGACCACGGTCGACACGATGATGTTGACGGGAGAGGAGTCCTTGTCGCCCACTTGGAGTCTTGTGAGCTCGGCTGTCTGAAGGGTGCCTTTAGGTTAGTCAAGACACTCATATAATTGAAAAGTTTCGAGTTACTACCCCATTGTGCGCAGTGAAGTCTCCGGGGGCATGCAACACGACAGCAGTATGAGACATACCTTGTGTGTCTTGATATGAGCTCGCCAGCTGAGCTGCAGCCTCTGGGCCGCCTCGAGCATCAGGTTGCAGTTCGTCTCGACCTTGGCCAGGTCCAAGACCACGGCAGGCGTGACAACCTGGTTCAGGTTCTTGCCCACGAACTGGGCGCGGAGCAGGTCCTTGGATAGCATCTGGGCCGCCATGGCTGCAATATTGGGCCCTTGGACTTGCGAGTCGGAGGTTGCGTCTTGGACCGAACTTTGCGGTAGTTCGACTCCAGATAGAAAGAGAAAAGATAGTCGAAGTAGTAGGGTAGTAGTATCACTGTCTTGTGCGCCTGGTAACGAGAGAAGTGAGATTCACCATGAGCATGATCTCGTAATAAGCCTCCGACGTCTCGAGGCGTTCGCTGGAAACGGGGTCGTGTGGACACTCAAGGTCCTCCTTCCCAATGTCCATCTACGTCCACGGGTATAAGCCGATCGCCGGTGGCCGGACTCGACATAGGTAGTGGCCCACTTGGCACTTGCCTGTTCGCCTCGGCCTGTGTGGCCATCGGCGTAGCACGCGGGCTGGTGCAGGCCTCAATGTAACGCTGCCAGTACGACTCGTATGGAAAGAAGTCCCCCGCCGTCTGACACTCAATCCTTCGAAGGCGCGGTCCAAGGTTGTGCGTTGGTCCACGGCAACACACACATAGCAGTGCGTGCCTGGTGTGTCACAGAATGTAGTTGACGACCTCGGGAAGATATCAGAGAGGGGTTTTGCTTCGGAGGGCGCCGCCAAATGCCAGCTCTCGGGCCGGTGGTTTTGCTTCCGTAGTCGGCGGACGGCCCCCTGAACCGAAGCATCTAATATCGCTGGGTGTATGGACTATTTGGACCCTGCAGCCCCATCGTCGATCATTTCATCTTCAAATTCGGAAACCGTATATCATTACAGTATCTTCTCAACAGGTACCTTAGGAAGCATGTTGCTTTTTCTACGGATGACATTCGTGCGGCAGTGAGTTGGAGCTGTGTTCACGTAAGAACTCCCGGCTTCAAGCCACAAGGTCCAGGACTGTGCAGGGACATCTCAAGGTAGCGGCACAGGAGGTAGGTATACGTACACCCATCCGCCGAGTAGAATCTGATATTGAAATGATATCCCGGTTTGAAGTAGTGATATCACCCAAAACATTCTGTTGTGGCAGTGAGGACATCACTTCAGAGACCTTCGGGATGGCCTCAGCATCGACTCAAGCCGTGTCCAATACTGTTTGACTAGGGGAAAACTAAAGGGATGCGAATCCAATTTGAGACACTCTATCAAAAGGGTCGAGACATAAATACATCTAGGCAACAGTTCCGGTGCCTCCAAATGGAAACACTGCTGCCTTTGACCAGCAGGGAAGTCATCCTCAAGGTGGGTAGTATGTGGCCCTCAAGCGTCTATGATATCGTGCCGACATATTTATAGGATACAGCGCCGTCAGTAACACATCTCGTCTTTCCTTTCTTTTCCGGTGAACAGAACTTCGTGAGAAACGGCCAACAGCCACGTCGCCCCCGAGTTCTGGTAATGTGATGGGTTTGGCGAGGCTCTTTTCCAATTACCAAAGCTATCCTCGCATCCTCATTGACGTCGACTTACCAACCCTACCTCCGTAGCAGAGGTGCAATCCACGGCTCTTTACCTCTGCAAAGGTCATCTACTCGTCTCATATCCCGGACTGACATAATCAGGGAGCTCTCAATCAAGGCGCCAAAGTGCTGGAAGAAGGCCCTCGTGCGAGATAATTCATTGGCGAGCGTTAGATTCTGGGATCCATAACATTGCTACTGCCAGCTGGCGATAGCCGGCAATCACCTCTGGCCATCTGCTGCCAAGTACTTACCTTAGGTACCTCTGTCCACGCCGTTGCCCCACCCACTCGCACACCCCTTCCCCACGTCCTGATTCCTCTGCGCACTCCCGTCCCAACTCCATCCAGGTGCGCGTCTCCATCTTCGCTTCACTCTCTCCCATCAGCATCCCTCACGAATCAACACCTCGTACTTTCGTCCTCTCGAGACCAACTGATGTGCCGAGATCTTCCAGAGACGAGCTGCGAGGGTTCTTCCAGACCACATACACGATCACCATCTCACATGAGCGACTGATTTCTCATTATTGCGCCGCAGCGGCTCAGCCGCCGAGGTACGTACCGCTGCCCATTTTAGTACACGCCCCGGGGTGGGGTAGTCAGAATACAGACATTGAATGTGCTTGGCGCGTTTTGATTCACCTGCACCTCAGCATCACCCACTTGCCATTCACGCACTCGCTTGCGCATCCTCCAGAGGTCCCTCTCCTCGTCTCCTCTCTTCGCCGCTGACCGCGCGCAGTAGAACGCAGGACCTACTTATTCGCGTCATTTGCGCAACCTCATCGTCCGCCCTCGTAGCTGTCATATTGCTATGAAATAAACCATACACCATCGTTCCCACGGCGAGCGAGCGAGCGTCTCCGAGAAAGCTGGACCGACTCCACAGGCACCGACTTCTACGAGCCTCACGCGCACCATGGCTGAGAGGTCGCCGGCCCTTGCGCCCAACGGTTTTAACGGCATGCACGATGTTACGAGTCCTAGGATTAAGGAAGAGACTATGGACGATCATCGCGCACCAACCTTCCAGAACATCGACTGGGCCACGCAGGCAGAGAAGGACGACGCCGACATTACGAAGATGTTTGCCGATGATGGAAATATGCAGATGCCCGAGAACTTGGCCCAGTTTGGCGAGAAGGTCATCGATCAGGCGACCAAGGCGGACGATGCCATCGACTTTGAAGACATCAGCGATGGCGAGCTCGACTCCGAAGGCGGTTCTACCGTTGCCGCCGGCGATGCAGGCACCTCGCAAGTCCCCGGTCTCACCGAAGACGAGGGCACCAGTCACGACACCGACCCCTTTGATGACCTCTTTGGCGAGCCTGAAGATGGCGTGTTTCTTCCCTCGTCTCCTCAACCCGACGATGCTACAGCCCCGCAGCCGACCCCAGCTGCACCGCTGGAGAGTGCACCGCTTGAGAGGAATGTCCTCACCCAGGATGTCTCAGACGATGATTGGCAGAAGATGAGCTTCGAGGAGCGCTACGCGCTCAACTTCCCCCAGGCCGAGATGTCTATCGACAAGTGGATCAACCAGACCAACAGCGCGGGCTCGTCCATGCAGAGAGCTCCCGAAAACGCCGATGAGCTTCTCGAGCAAAAGTTTCCACATTTCGCGAAACATAAGACCCTTCAGTTCAACAAGCTGCTTCCTGCCTGGCCTGCGTCGTACTTGTACAAGGAACCTCTGAACAAGGACAGAGATCCTCCTGAGTTCGTGCCCACCAAGCTAGAGCTGGAACTTGACGCGGACAGCTCCAAACTCTTCCGAATTCCAGGGAATGTACTTAGCGCTGTTCATCAGAGGGCGAACTATTCCGATGTGGACGACTGGACGCGTCCTACCGATGGTCCGACGTTTGATGCTGGTGATACCATCTCGGACTCCGACTCGGATGAGCTTGTTGGGGGCTACTCCTTGAACGAAATCAGGACTATTTGTGATGACTGGAACTCTCTCTGCGAGCTGGCTGGACCGCCCAAGCCCGTTGCCGCCGACCATACTGCCGACGACGACGAAGACATGGATGATTGGGATAGGGAGTTCCTGGCGTCGCAACCTAAGAAGAAACGACCCCGGTACGAGCCTGGTCTTCCGGATATCTCAACATTTGACGCAACGGGCATCGATGACTTTGAGGCGGCGACGAGACGATCGAGCAAGCGTGTGTGGCTCGATCCCAGTGACCCGTATCTTTTGATCGATGATGTGCAGTCGGAGCGGCCATCTAAGCGTCCAAAGCTGGAAGAGAAAACCAAGCGCATGGCCAACGGCCAGCTTCGGAGAGATGTCATGCATCACTTCAACCTTTCCAACGACGATGCTTACGAGGCGCTTAAGAACAACCACAAGAGCAAGGTCCGGGCCACCCTCTCGAGCCTTGGGGTTGAGCACAGCTTGCCCGCAACCAAGTTGACCTTCCCCTTTTTCCGCACCAAGTTTGTCGGTCAGCCTTGGGAGTTCCACCGCAAGAAGTTCGAGGTCGAGAAGATCGTGAAGCATAACATTGGCATCCGTAAACCAGCTAAGGTTAGAAGAAAGGACATCAAGGGTCGTAGCGCACAAGAAGTCTTCAAGACGACAAAGGACCTCAGCTTGAACGATAATTCGGCTGCTGTTCTCTTTGAGTACAGCGAACAGTTCCCTATCATGATGTCGAACTTCGGCATGGGCAGCCGAGTAATCAACTACTACCGGCGCAAAGAACGCACCGACGAGGAGAAGATCCCAAAACTCGACATTGGTGAAACACACTCTCTACTGCCTGAAGACCGGTCACCATTCAGCATCTTCGGAACCGTAGCCCCCGGAGAGACGGTCCCTACCCTACACAACGAGATGTACAGAGCGCCGATCTTCAAGCATGAGTCCAGACCCAATGATTTCCTTCTTGGGTACACTACAAATGCTACCGAGGGTCCCAAGTGGTTTGTCCGGAATATCGACCATGTATTTACCGTGGGTCAAACCTTTCCGTCGATCGAGGTTCCTGGACCCCACGCCAGAAAGGTCACCAACACTGCCAAGAACCGTCTGAAGATGATTGCCTTCCGCATGATGAAGCAAAGGCCAACACAAGACGTCTCGCTCAAGGAGATCACACCGCACGTATTCGAGAAAGAAGATGCCCAGAATCGACAGAAGATGAAGGAATTCCTCAACTACGACCGGGAACGCAAAACGTGGGTACTGAAAGAAGGTGAAACTCTAGCAGATGAGTCTGCTATTCGTACCATGATCAAGCCTGAAGATGTTTGCGCGATCGAGTCGATGCAAGTTGGGCAGCAATCGATGGAGAATGCTGGTTATGATGCAAAGGATAAGTATGATGCGAAGGACAAGGATGACAATGATGATGGTGTGAACGAGCCTCTCGTTGTGCAGTTGGCTCCCTGGCGGATCTCCAAGAACTTCCTCGATGCCAGCGCTGGCAAGGCTATGGTCGCGCTTCATGGTGAAGGTGACCCTACCGGTCATGGCCTAGGGTTCAGTTTCATCAAGACCTCCATGAAAGGCGGCTACATCAACGCGGTTCAAGGGCCGCTGGCAACATCGGCCGATGCGATCGAACGTGAGCGCAAGGCGAATGGTGGGCACTCGTACAATGTCAAGAAGCAGGCAGACATGTACAATGCAGCCATCGCCGACATTTGGGAGCGACAACAAACGACCCTGAGCGACGTCACCACTCATGATGATGCAGATGTTCTGGATACATCCAATGAAGACGACCGGTTCAACGAGGGACAGACAGACGCAACCCCTGCTCCCCTAGATGATGGCCGAAGCCAATTCAGTCGCCTTAGTACAGCTAGTCGAGGCGGCAGGCGGAAACTGAGGATCATCCGCAAGAAGACAGACAAGGACACTGGCGAAGTTACCAGCGAGACCGTCATAGTGGATGATCCTGTGGTCATCAGGAACTACATCAAGGAGCGCAACCGAATCAACGAGAAGGACAAAGAGTCTGTCCCCAGCTACAGCTACGCCGCCCAGAGAAGAAGAATACTAACACTGGTCAACAGTGTGTACAACATGAAGCTGCCACAAGACCCCGATAAAGTCCGCGAGACGCAAAGACTGTAGTACTCGCCCTACCAGTGGCAAGCGAGCACTAGCTAACATTGCGATAGTATTGACAAGGAGCTGCAGCGCTTGCTCAAAAACCAGGACCGTCGACAGGTCCGCGAGAAGCAAGGCAAGGGGAAGAAGAAGTTTGCCAACTCCGCTGCGTCCCCGGATCCGTCTTCTGCCGATAAGGCGTCAGCAGGCACGACCCGGAAATGCGCGAACTGTGGACTAGTTGGGCATATCAAGACGAACAAGAGGTACTGGCACCATTGCACTCTCATTCTTGAACGTGTCTTGTCTGCTCCTCCCCCAGTTCCTCTCTTTCAAGTTGGCCAGCGCTCTGAGAGTGATTAGTCTCCAGTCACTCCGCTACCTCATCTTTCGGGTCCAAAGCTACCCTGAGACAGGTTCCGCCTTGTGTACTGAGAGCAGTATTGGATCTGCACAGTTGCTTATTCCAACCACTCCTTCATCTTCTTAGCCCATTTCGAATATTAGTTACTAAGCGATTCCTCCCTTGTCATTACACGACAGCTCACAGCCTTATTTTATCAACTATTTATTTCACCCACACTTTTTCTTGCTAACTGACTGGTCACAGCAAATGTCCACTTCTGAACGGCACGATCACGACCAACAATAATGCGGCGGATCACGGTGGGTTTGGTTCTTTCAGTGCGCCCTCGGCGACACCAGGTGAATGAGCTCGCTCGGCGCGAGAAAGACCCCCTTCAGTACTACTTACTGCTGGTCTGGTCCCGTTCTCTACCCTATCCTACTCCCACCCCAACGTATCCATTCCTTGACCAGGGAAGTCACATACAAGGGTATGGATCATTTGCATATGTAGGCCAAGTCCATTGGCCTACACTAATAATCTCAAAACTCTCTCAAAACCAACCGCCAACTGAAGATTTTGCGGATCTCATCCATTGCTTTCCCGACCAGCAGCAGCGAGCCACTTGAGAGCGGCTTAACAGAAAATCGCGGCGGTTTATATGAATACTTGTTTGGATAGCGTGCACAGCACAGGCGTTAGGGGTCAACATTTGAGGCTTCTCTGGGCACTGCGTCGCCCCAGGTATCCTGGCCAGGGGCAAGCAAATCGGAGCATGCACAGAATAGGCGTCAGGGGGAAACATTCGAAGTCATGGTGAACTTCTTCTATGCCTCTTCGGGTCCGGCATCCTTTCCAAGGGTATCAAATGGGAAGCATGCACATGGCGCTCAGATTGTCCACGCCAGGGGAGATCAGGGGAAGTAGTTCGGCCAGACTACGTTTGCTCGACCATCGCATCAATGCTTGGGGTTGGATTGAGGGACAATGGACAAGGAAGCAGTCGTCAGCACTTGCAGGCCAAACTGGTGGGATGCCGGGCGGCCGGCGCTTGGGCAGGATCCGGGACGCTGCGAGTGGTGGCAGCCATATTCTTAAAATAAGATATGCATTCACCAAAATACCTACATTCCAGTCACAAAATTGAGCAGACGAAACCTCGCGTCAGCGCTGCATTTCTTTCTGGAAACCTTATGTTGCATTGTAGCCCTAATCATGCACATGTGCGGCTCTCCAGCCCAGTGATGTTGTGTATTTATGCTGGCATGCGCCCGTTGCTACTGCTATATTTAGCAGCCGAGCAATGTGCATGCAGAATCGTGCGTGCCGGGCGGCACATAGCTGTGTATCTACATGTCGGCATGTCTATCTAGACCATACAGATGCCGTTGTTTTTAGGCATCCCTATGTATGTACTTTATATACGCGCTTTAATGCGTGTAATATTATAGACTGTTTTGTCGTATCTACGGTTCGGCACCGACATGTCGACCTTCCTTCGTACTTGCAGCTGCAAACACCGCTCCATGGGCTTGCTTCGTCCGGTGTGCTGTGCTGTGGCATGAGGGTGGTGGTGACCGGTGTGAGCTCGGATCGTGCGGGAGGGAGGTTGATGGGGGGTTGGATGCTTATGTGTTGGTGCATGGAATGGGGTGATGTCAACTTCCACGAAGATGCGGTAGATTTGTATACCTACGCATGTGATATGGAGGGGGCAACGCGGTGAAAGTGCCATGGGTGGGTAGGCTAGAATGGTACAGTCCACGGCCTGCCCTAGGAAGACAGCTGTCCTGCCATTTGGGGTAGCGGAGATATCATGCTTGTCCTAAGTAGGTCGCATCTCCTCCCCATGATGGTGTCGGGACGGGGACGGCAGAGAATCGTGCCTTGCAAGGTACGACGATATGCACCGGCTTGACATGCTTCGAGCAGGTTTCCCCTTACGGGTGCTTACGCAACATGAGCGACGAATAATGTCCTCAGAGCCAGAGGGAGTGCCGCGTGGCCATCGGGACCGTCGAGACAGACGCATAGAGAAGAGTGACAGAAGAAGAGTCGGAGAAGACGGGAAGGGCGGATTGGAGGTGAGGAACGATATTTCTGACCGTGGTAACCGAATGCGACGGTATCTGCACGTGTGAGTGGTGAGTGGTGAGTGGTGATGGATTGGCGGCGGTCATGGTGTCATCGTGTGTATCGCTGCCAGGCACGGTAGGTAGGTCTGATATGCGTATAAACCCTCAGGTATACGGGCTGGGCTGGCGCGTAGTGTAAGACTCGCATCGCATGCTCACATACCGACTCATATAACGAGGTGAGACACACGGTATGTGGTCAGCAAGCCGCGAGACGGTGAGCCAGCCTGCGATCGGTCACACAGCAAAGCCTACTTCTCCGAATCTTACCTCTCTTCACCTACCTACCCCCCACCCCCGAATCTGGACCGACAGGGGTTCCGAATTCACCAGCGCCGAGCGTATCGTGGCGTCGTGATATCGCAACCGAGCATCTTTCCACACGATGTCGACATGGTTCATCGTGGTCATGTTTGGATGTGACATGGCTGGATGCCGAAAGTCGTACGACTTGAGATACGATACCGACACTTGTTGATCATATTCCGTCATAGCTGTTGGGGCTCCAACCCAACCCCAGAGAAGGATTTAGACATTGTGATTGCCAAGAGTCAGAACCCTATTCCATCGTACTGGCCTAAGTGGCCTTATACTATGACGCCCGCGGGCAAAGCGGTTTCTATTAATGTCAATATCAGGGTCCAGCCCATGGATCAGCAGGGTATGTCCTCGTTCCTCTCCAGTCCCCAACGCGAGTCTAGGCCAGTGTTCCCTGCGGGTTAATCACTGACACTGGAGAGCGGGACCGTGGTCGCCGTGGTCGCCGACCTCGTAGCTGTGGGAGGGAGGATTGGTGGTCAAGTATATATATACATACATAATCCTAGCAGCCCTACCTGACGGTTATTTTGGAATCTGCTCCAGTGCAACAGTCAGGGTTCAGGGCGGGATGGATTGGTTCTCTTGCCTAGTGCAGACGACAACTCACAAGATGATCAAAAACCTTCGCCATCATAGAGTGCTGACAAAGGATGGTGTTTAGTGGGACAGGCCGGAGTCTCTAATCGTCGGAGTGGACGTGTCAGATCCCCGGAGCAGTCAGGGGCAGACGATGTTTCGGCTTCCTGACAGCCCTAGCCCTAGCCGGGTTGTCGTTCATAGTGTCATCGCAAATCGAAGCTAACTCCTACCGTCTACAGTACGTACGCAACGTAGGAGGAGTGTTCCAGTGATCACCATTGGTCAATGGTAAGGACTGCGGATACAGGATTGAGGGACTCTGTTGCAGGACACTACGGTAGCAACAAGCCCTCGAGAGCAAAGCAATTGTATCGTCGCGACGAGACTCGATGGTGCCGAACTGGATGTTGTAGGGCTGATGACTGTCGCGAAAAGGGGTGAATATTGATCTCTTCCAATCAGAGATCCCAGCGAAGTCTCGCCGAGTTGGACGGTGCTTCTGGCAAGGGGGTTAACTCGTCTGGAAGTGGGATAAATTGATGAGTATCGGGGCAAATTTACCCGCGTTGGCTGCACGAAAGGTGGGCTACTTGGCCACAAAGGGAGAAGCAGGACCAATGCAGGATGAGCAGGTGGAGAGGGGCGGTGTGGGCCGGCGGATGTGGATGTGGATGTGCACTAGGTATGCAACTAAGTAGTGGGTGGGTGGGAACCCACGGGGTTAATAATAAGGTTGCTATCAATAGCTATTTATAGCACCAGTTGGCAGTCATCTGTGATCACACTGACGCGGCAGACCGGCCTCTGCTCAGTGCTCAGTGCTGTCGTGCACGATCCAACCCTGCGAGCCCCAGCCCTGCCTTGCAAGTTGCACGTTGCACGTTGCAACATCATGTGGCTTGCATCCGCCGAAGGCCAATGGGAGTGCAGCGGTTGAGGATGAACACAACGCCGTGAGCATCGCGAGAGTGCTCCCAGTCCGGCGCTTAAGTCATCGTGTAGATTGTCGAATCTGATCGTCAGAACCGACGGGCCGGTTGGGGGCAGTAATCCACCTCTGCCGGCTGCGCCGGCGGGAAACATGCATCTGCTTTCTCCTTTGGGCACATTTGTTGCAAGCAGAGACGAATGCGGACAAGCACGCGCAGGTACAGGTACAGGCAGTATGCTCACCTCTCAAGCCTGGCGGTCCCACTGGATCGATCTACTGTGCCACAGTAGCCGGCACCAACTATCACAGCGCCGCACAACGCCCTGGTCAGGTACGTGATGCGACTCGTGCGAGTGGTGAACCCGGCTAGAGGAGACAGGGTGGGTGGTAACCATGCTCGAGTTATTTGTTTTCGTTATACTCGCTCGTGGGCGGCTTCACTCCTGCTCTGATAGGAGACGGCCAACATGTCGTCACCGTCACCCATCCATTCACCTTGCTCGGTAAGGGACGCCGGCTGTTTGTCGCGCTAGGCGTCTATACTTGGACTCGTTCTGGGCTTCCCCAGAAACCTTTGCAGATCTTCAACAAGGGGTGACCACTCGGTAACGTTTGGTCTTGTTTGCATCTCATCCCTCGCGGTCGATCCGATGGAGGCTCTATATCGAGCGTAAGCGACGGGAGGCTGCACATCCTTGGGGGATGGTGGTGGTGAGTTGTTAGAAGTCGCCTGTCTGCTGTCGGGTTTGGGGTGGGTGGTAGATCGATCTGGAGAAGGGTATACACAGTAGCGGGGGGGAAGCTCCAGGGTAGTCCCTCATTCCCGGTTTAACTCGGTCCCGTAGATGAGGCTCAAATCCACTGGAGGGGGGGGGGTTGGAGAATGACGGAATATAGGCGTGATTCCCAAGCATGACCCAGCGTTTCAGGTCTGACACGACAACGCGCCTTCGCGGTGAGGATGTGAGGATGTGAGGATATTGGGCTTCACCTCGAGTTGCCATGAGAATGGAAGAGTGGGATCTCGAGGTGAGCATACGATGAAGGGCGAGGAAATGGTAGGGCTAACAAGCAACGGATGAGACATGGGAACGAGCAGCTATCTCGCATGCCGTGATATGGACTGGGAACGATCTCGAGAGTGGTTCGAGTCCAACTGTGCTGACATATTACCTTTAGAAATGAACAATTCCAACGTTGATATGTTTCAGTGGGCTGCAGATTGTTTGTGGGACGCTTACCTAGGCGGCACAGTGCGTCGCCATCCGACAGATACATGTAAAGGGTACAGTTCTTAGTGCCCTTCACCACGAGAGATACAGTGTCAGCTCTGCAACGATGACTGTATTTATGACAGTGCTTGCCAGACAAGCAGGACAGAGCCATGGACAGGGGCGGTTTCACGGGTGTCAAACCCCGCCGATACTTCCATGCAGGTGACTGGCAGGTTCGACAAGAGATTGGCATGGTCGAGTCCGGCTCCGTGGTCCGCCCCTCTCCCCTTTCAGGCCCTGTCTGCCCTATGGCCCTACCAGTGACCAAGAGTACAGTACTGATATACATGTCTGCACTGTAGTTGCGTGGTGCTGCTCCATACAGTGTGAGTGCGGCTCAATGGGCCAATGGGCCAATGGCAGCATGACGCCCAATCCAATCCCTTGGGCCCTGTCATCGCTACTTACGTGTAGGTATCGCCGAACACTCGCACAGTCAGCCATGCCCACGACCCACCGCTGCCCGCTTTCCCTCCTTTGTTGCTCCTCCTCCCGAGTCCTCCCACCTCCTACCACCCACCACCCACCACACCTACAAAAGACAGCTCTGCGCGGTCCTGTCGAGTGAACACCATTTCTTCTATTATTAGAACCAACCGCGCCAGATTCAGCCCCATCGTCCCTGCAAGTGCCAGTGCAAGGCAAGTGCAAGCACAAGCACAAGGAATACCATCAGATCGATTGTCGATTGACTGACCGCATTGTATCATTTGTATCGTATGCGCGACCGAGAATCTCGACTCGACCTCGTCCCTGTCGCCCGTCGCCCATCGCCCATCGCGCTGCTGCTCCTGCGCCTGTGTGCGCACATCGTCAAATATCAACCTTCGAGCCGTTTCATTATTTCGACAGTCCACACACCTGTCGTTATTCCTCCTCCACCTCCTCCCTCTTCCCTCTCATCATTGCCCATCACCCTGCTTGCGACTACTTCAACCGAGGCCCTCCCTCCCCTCCTCAAGGCTCTAGCTACCGGCCTATATCTCTTCTACACAACATCCACGTCCTTAGCCCGAACCTTGCCACCGTCACACTGGCTTGTCGCGCATACTCTTCTTTGTTTTGCGATCGGGACGGCTGCGCTTCTCGTTTCACCCGTCGCGTCACTACCGACGCCAGTCGCAAAGTCTATTCTTCGCGTCGCTTACCGCCTATCCATCTGGCAGGCGCATCTTAGCTCGCTGGTCGCCGTCAAGCCTTGACGTCTGTCACTCTTGCTTGCTGGTCCTTCTCGGTCGTCGATTTGTGCTCTCTGTGTGTATCGCTAGCGCAACAGCCCAGTCAAGATGGGGCGCAGAAAGATTGAGATCAAAGCCATCAAGGATGACAGAAATCGCTCTGTGTAAGCAGTCCCTATCCGTGACAGCTTCTACTGTCTCCTGCCATTCACCGGACCACCAACAACTAATGCCACTGTCTCGCAGCACATTCCTCAAGCGAAAAGGAGGTCTCTTCAAGAAGGCCCATGAGCTCTCCGTCCTCTGCTCCGTCGACGTAGCCGTTTTCATATTCGGCAACAACAAGAAGCTATACGAGTACTCGAATGGTGACATGCGAGAGTTGATTACAAGATATACATACGTTAGTCGCGCTTGTCTACGGTGGATGACTCTTTGGATTGATATTGACAAGACGCACAGCACGGCGGTCCTAATGAGCACAAGGGCCCGGGCGACTTTCACGGCGGAGAGGATGATGACGAAGACGATGGCGAGGGAACCCCTCCGAATATGCACGAGGGTTCGGTCGAGCCCCAGATGATCCCGCCTCACTACCAAGCTCAACCTCCGTTTCCTCACCTGAGGCATGATACCCCTTCGGCTTCACCCCCTATCAATGGCATGGCTTTCGTGCAGAGGGGCCATACACCGCAACCTCAGATCGTGAGCCGTCCATCCTCCAGAAATGATTTCCGGCGCCCTCCGAACATGCCCCAACCAGGCGGTCCTACTGGGCCGCCACCCAACGGATATGCTTTCATGCCTCACCCTGCTATGTACAACCCTCAAAATCAGCCCGGGATGCAGCATGGACCTCCGCCGCCCCCGCCAGGCCAGTACCAGTATCCGCCTCACCAACAACCCCCTCACATGCAGCAGTATATGCTTGACCAGCGCTCATCTATGCCACCGAACTACCCGCCGCAACCTCAGGGCCATCAGCCGCCCCCGCATCCACAGCCTTCTCCACCGCAGATTCACCGTCAACCGCTGCCTCCTCGGCCGATTTCCCAGATGTCACCCCCGCAGCCGCCGCATCAACATCTGGAACACCCGCAGCATGGTCTGGAACACCCACAGCATGGTCTTGAACACCCACAGCATGGTCTGGAACATCCACAGCATGGTATGGAACACCCACAGCATCGTCAGCAAACGCCACAGCCGCGACAACAATCACCACCGCTCTCGCAACAGCAGCAATCTCAAACCCAGCATGTCCCCGAGGTGCAGCCACCTGCGCGTAAGGAACTCAAGCAAGAACCCCCAGAGAGACCCAGTCAATCGCTTCTTGATACTGCATCTGCCATCAAGAAATTGCCCCAGGGGCGCAAGCAGCACAGCATCTTTACTCCAATTGACGAGAACCGATCTATCCTATCTCGACACCTGGCTTCATTCAAGGCGGAGCCCCAGATACCGGAAGAGGGAAGCACCAGATCGCAATCTGTGGATGTCGGTACAGTCTCACGGACAAGTGGAGCCTGTTCTCCCCCTCCTCCTCCACAGCGCTCAAATACGTCCACTTTCCCAAAATCTCGAAACTCCACAAAAAGAGTTCCCGAGACGACGTCCACGCCGCCATCTCGGTCCAATAGCTTCAAGATAGGGAGTGGCGGCGGCACGAGACCCCGTCTAAAGGTGCAGATTCCTGACGAGGCCTCTGATGCCGGCAGCAATACCGCCGAGTCGACGACCTCGCCTCGCAACACAGCAGATGGGACAGCCCACCCAGCTCGCCGCAATGGCGTGGATGGACCCGGCGTGGTTCTGCCACCTCCTTCCCCTTCAGCTTCGGCTCTGTTATCCGCGGGAGCCACTGGTCCACCCAACCCTTTCGCGCGACCGCCTCCCCAGTCGCAAAACAACAATATGAATATTGACACGCCGGTGTCTGCGCTCCCGTCCCGATTTCTCAACAACGAGTTTCTCCCCAGTCCCAGCAGCTTCTATCCGGAATGGAACTTCAGGGGCAACGACAGCAACACTCTCCCAAGCCCTCTCAACTTCGCTACACCGGTGGCTAGTTCAGGACCCTCCTTTCTGAGAGACGACAATGGGCCAGGTAGCAACAAGCGGAAGAGCCCCGAAATGAACAATGCCGGGCCTGGTTCCGATGGACTGGAAATCCAACCGCCCAAACGAATCAAGGTCGACGGTTAGCCGGTCTCACCGCCATTGCCATTGGAATACGCTAGTTCCATATCAATGTTTCTTTCGTGTTTGATGGTCGACAGTGCGAATGTACACCATTTCACTCCAAGCATCTACAGCATCTAGAGACATCTTTTTCGGACGCATATCAATACCTCTTGCGCCCTTCTCATCACATATTGGCTCTTCATTTCGCTCAAGCCGCAGACTCGCTCGTTTCCCTGCGTCATGCATTTCAGTTGACTCGGCATGGCGGGGCGTTAAGAGGCACTGATACCATTCATCGCGTGTGTTGCACCCTCTCTTGCCGCCATCGAATACCTACTTTTCAGAGATGGACATGACGAATGAGTGACGGGTTTTTTAATGATGGTCTTGTTGCATTTGATGCGGGTATAGGTTGAGATGGAACCATCATACATCGGGACGGCGTGTCGGCGTTATACACATTAGTAGCTCCTGTGTCAGGTGGCCAGTGGGATCTAGTGCCATGAAGATACTGATTTGAACACCAAATGGCTCTTCGTCTTCTACCTCGCGCTGTGACAGTAGCCGATATGTCTAATACATGTCACAGTCATTAGCTTTTCTTTTCCGAGTTCATAGCACTCCATGCTTGGCAACGGCCCCGCTGACTACTGCGCATCTTTCATCAGCAATGGCGTGATTCGATAACTCGCACCAGGAGTATCAGCTCCAATGATCGCAAGCGAATGCGTCAGTCTGGTATGCAATAGTGTAGTTCGTAAGGTACTGTAGAGCACGATAATACCTTAATCATGGCTACATCACGCCGCCTTTCATCCCTCCGGGCCATAGGTAACATCCAATAGCAACACAACGAAAAGGGGCCACGACCCAGAAACTCCACGACGTACGTGTACGGTTGGTCGACCGGTTACGGGATACTACTTACTTAGATATCTCACTCCGCTGCCTACCTACCTACTCTTACCTACTTACGTCCTCACCATGGGCTAGCGGGAGCCACATGCCTGGGTAGCTACATACCTACCTGTCTCAATAACACCCGCCCCTCCCCCCCTTGAGGTATGTCTGCGCCCAGCCCGGCGGGCCGGCCGGCTCCAGCAATGCCGTCGGAACTCACGAGCCCCGGTGGGTGGGTACTTGGGGGCCGGACCAAGAACCAATGTCTTCCCCTCCCTCCAGCCCCTGTCTCCATGCCGGGCCTCGATTCGGCCGCATGCTGCATGCAGAGGATTGGCCCACGTAGCGCGGCCCTGAGGAAAGGCCAGGGGGTAAGGGGTGTGGGTGGGAGGCGCTTCGCCACCTTACCTGTCTGTCTGTCCCTGCTGCGCGGGTGGGTGGTACGGTAGGGCTGGGTTGGGCTGAGCTGAGCTGGACTGGACATGACAGGGGAGGGAGGGGGTGGAGGGGAGGCCTTGGGAGACCTTTTTTCAGTTGGGCAAGTTTCCCTGCATTGCTGCAGGCAACCCGCTGAGCCTAGGATGGCAGACCTGATGTTGTTTGTGCCTCTACATGTAGCTAGGATAAGGGGGTATACAGTCACGTTCTCGTGGCCCAGTTCTACACTTCCATCCAAGCGCCCGAGACGTTCATTTTTCATACTCTGGTCTGGTCTACAGTGTATGTTTCAGACCCGGACTCGGATCTGAAAGGCTGGCACTGAAACCTGTCGGGTCTGGTCTGGCCTGGCTGTCAGCCCTAACTACGAGATAGAATGCGCAGCAGCTGGACGGGATACTCGGGAGGAATAAATCGCAATGACATGGGGAATTCAAGACAGGGTAGCTCGCGTCACACACGCATGCCATCATCCCTGGATGCTAAATGCCGAACTGAACTGGAGAACCAGAGGGGTTGGATGGGTTGGGTTGCGTTGGCGCAGCAAGCAGCCGCGCGGCTGTGCTTTGGAGTATGCAGTTGCTCCCTGATTGCATACCTCTAAGCCACGAGCGAGCCGCAGGTACGCTGCTTATGCCGCGCTTCCTTCGCTGTAAGACATGCATTAGTAGCTACATGCACACACGCGCTTACGGCGCGGCATGGGACAGCACAGCTCGTGCCGTGCGACCACTACCTACATACCTGAGACTCCTGACCTACGAAGCGACCACATGTGAAGCCCACTCCAGGGTATCTGGGCACTTACGTGCCGCAGTCGGTCCCGGGACCCGATCGGAGCCTCGGAGGGCTCAGCACTGTTTCCCATGCAGCTCAGATCTAGAGGTTAGAGGGTTATCCTGCGAGCTTCGCCCCTTGGTGCCGATCACGGCGACCGTGGCCTGGGTTGCCTTGCCGTTCGCCGCTGGGCTTTGCCTCGGTAGAGTGTCGTCCGACCTTCGGTGATTTGCCCTGGGTCTCGAATACGGCTGTTTGGTCCATGCCAATAGTCTTGATGCTGGGATTGCTGAAACCACGACCCGACAAGGCAGAGCGAGAGGCCCATCGAAAAGGCCTTGGTGGAGTGCTGAATATCAAGTTGATGGCATGTGATGAGCTCGAACGTAGCTGTATCTTACAAGTCAAGGGTTCAAGACAGGCAGGCGAACGGACCCCTATTCATCATAAAATTTCCGTTGCAACCGATCCTTCAAGCAAATTGTTTCAACAACTACCGGTATTGTACAGGTACTACGCCCCCTCTAGCTTGATGGATCATTAACCGAGCATCGACGATCTCCAATACCGATTAAGTCGCGTCAGGTACATCCTCCAAGCTGCGGCGCAGCAAAGAAGGGTCTAAGGTCAAGGGTCTATGGGTCTCGACCCCTGCCCATGTATGACGGAACTTTATATAAGAGTAGTACAGATCGGAAGGTGGCCGAAGCGGCGCAGATCGGCATCTCGACCCATCGGCTCGGGAGGAAGAGGTCCTTGACAGGCTTGACTGCTCCATGGCCTGACAGGAAGCGGGGAGTCCCGGGTAGCCGAGGGAATGCTGTGCCAACGCGGCGGGGGCGGCAAAGCAGTGCGGTCTTTTTCCTTGCATGTGGCCTTGAGATGTACCCCTTGTGATGTTTCTAGATGTATCCGCCCTTTCGGATGCAGTCTACACTCTCTAATTCCAATGGCCAAGCCCAGGGAGGCTGTCGATCTCGGCCCCTAAGTGGCGTAGATCTGTACTTCATCACGGCGGAAACCAAACGATTGTAGTACAGGCCGGTCATTTTGCTACTGAGCAGCTCGGGGGTGGAGATCGCGATTTCCGGTACTTGCTTCCTTTTTCGCAATGAAAAAGATGTAGAACCTGGTATTTTACCGCCGCCCCGCGCTGTATAACTAATAGTTTTCAAGCCTGTAGACCGAGGGAGGCTAGAATGTGCTAAAAAGTCTTAAGCACTTGAGACCAAGTACACGAGATGGAGCCGTGGTCCATGGTGATCTAGTCCTGCAAACATGTGCATGATACGCCTGTCCCATGAGCAAAAGTCCACACGGACAAGTAGCAAACACAACAGAGATATGTTCTAAGTCACGACGTATCTAGACTTCCACACCGTCAATGAGGCCAGAGCCAGTGAGTTGTTCATACTTGTTACCTATTCTACTGGAGAAGGAGGAATGCCAGAGAGGAATTGACGGCGATTGCATCTTATGCATGTGATTAAGAGACTTACCATAGGGCAGTTTTCTCGGACTTGGATCTCGAGTGGCTCGCTTATTGACACCTTGAGGGTATTTTGATTGTTGACCCCTAAGTCTTTGGGTTAGAGTTCCTACTAACTTAGAGGGACGCCGTCTCTGTAATGGGCACAAAACTCTACCGAATATTGTTATGGAGGGATCATGAATACCGTGGCGTCCAATATACGTCGTTATAGCCACCAGCTTAGGGAGAAAGATTGCAGAGAAAACTTGTGTGTCTCGCCATCCTCTCGAGGATGCCTCGTGTCCAAATTTTGTTGGACAGCATACGCTTCCCTCCGGCACTTCGTGGTGCCAACATCAACCGTCACTACAAAAGCCATCAGTTTACCATATTTGGCAGCACCGACGATTTCACCAGTTCCTACCAACTGCCGACGGAGAGGCGTTCAATACCAAACAAGTCTCGTTCTGGTTTAATAATCGCTATTTAGCTTGACTCCATCTGGAGGCTGAAAGCCTTTTAGCTTGGGACCACGTCAATGTTCTCCGGATTATATCCATGCCATCCCGCCAACTCTATCCGCCTCCGTAATCACCACTACTTAGACCCGAAGGTGTCGACAGGGCGAGCCACACGACGTCCAAGTCCAAGAAAACAGCTTGAGGATATCTTGGTTGTTGAGCCTTGAGTCTTTTGACTAGAGCCCCTCCTAGAGGGACGCCGTCTCTCGTAGGGGCACAACCCTCTATACTTAGACTCGAAAGATAGATACATGTGTGTAACCATGGAGGAACTCGGTACCACCGCAAGTCTCTCAAACTTAGAACCATAGTAACATCACCATCAACCTCTTCACTCGTACAACGTACCAAATAAGCCCAGGAATTTCTGAACCAGTATCTCCAGCTGACGCCATGCCCATGACCATGGCCTTACCATAAGCTCTCTCATCTATAGCCAGCCCTGTCTTCGCAATGCTCTCGATGCAGCCGTCACATCAGCATCCACAGGTCGACTCGGCGCCTCGTACAGCTACAGCCACCAACGCCCAAGGCCACCGTCAACGGCATCAACCGCACAAAGGCCGGTCGACGATAACGGGCATGTACTGAACTCCCGTCCCGTAAACCAACGTAACAAGTCTGATTGATCGCTCTTCTACTTTCTCCTTCCCCTTCCCCACTCTTATTGTTCCGGCAGGTTATATTTTTATTTTCCTACTACTCATGCCTGACAGCTCCCCCAACGTATTCTGGTCATTCAAGTCGAGCAGCAGCGGCCTGCTTCATATAACTTACCCTATCCGAATTCTAGGTGAGAACGCTCAGTCTCACGCTCACCTGGATGATCACGTCGCGGATATCGACCAAGGAACTATGTGATGATGTTTAGCTACTAGGAAGACCATCTACGGAGAGGCGGTGTCATTGGACACATAACACATCTTATTCACGGTGAACTAGGCAGAGCACACCAGTCACACGATTTAAGCACTGGAGTGCAGGCAGATTGGCATTAGATATCTTACTGCCAGTTCCTGAATATTGACTACTAAGATCTGATCTGCGCCGGCTGTGGAGCGCAGCAAAGAACAATCGACAAATAACGAGAACTCAAATTACTATTACGTGTCAAACCCCATTCCCTCTTCTTCTCCTTCCTCTGCGGCTTGGTATCTCCCCCCCCCCATCGTCGCCTCGTTAAAATCCCCAGGCTCGGAAAACAGCGGCGGGAAACGTCCAAGAAGCATTAGGGGTACCGTAAACATGTTGTTCGCTAGTGCGGCCCAGCACCAAGAACATAGGTCGATAGCCAAGCTATGGCCTCCACATCCAGTTACTGTCGCCTAGAAGCGATTTAGTAATGATGATGCGACTTTGTATTTCCGAAAACTCCAAGCGCGATTTCCTTTGCTAACACCGAACGAACATCGAGTCAAAGTAGATCGCGGTTTCCCTGCCTGCGAAATGGGTCTGGGAAGCTGGTTCTGGTGGTATCATCGGAGTAGAAAAGAAAAACAAGGGCAAAAGCCAGGTATATCAAGCGCATCAACAGTCGACATATCAGGTGTCGTGAGAGAAGGGGGCCAGAAGCTGATCTGGTCGAATCATGTATGTAGGCGGGCTGCATCAGCGAGTACTCTCGTCGCATGCCATCAAGTATCGTCCCTAGCGGCGAGCGGCCGGGGGCGTCTGGGTTCCGGGACTACCGGATCCTTCCATGTTTCCTGTCAACTCAGCGACGCGAGCCTTGATGCGGGCCACACGAGACTCGATGGCTGTCAGGTGTTAGCATAGCCCCCACGCAAGGGTGAAGCACGGCTGGACAAGACTCACTTTCTTCACCACTAGTGTCATCATCACCATCCGTAGTCTTGCTGTAAGCCCCATGGCTTTTCTCCTCGCTCTGTCGTGCTGCGCGCTCGGCGGCGTTCTTCCTAATGGCAGCCCACCGATCTTGCATTGGGACAGCTGGTGAAGGCGCTCCTTCTTCATCAGCAATGTCTTCCTCGACCGGCGGATTGCTACTGGCGTGTCGCGCAATCGGAGGAGGGGTAGCATCATCGTCGCTCTGGTCATCATTGGGTATGAAGGCTGGCTGGTCGGACAGTGGACCCTGATCGAACCGAGAGAATTCGTGGCTAGCTTCTCTGGCATCTGCTGTGTCTATGCGAGACATGGCGTCTTCACCTGAAGGCTCATAGGCTGGCTCACGGACAGTCGGTGTTGGCTGGGTTTGAGTAGGTGTTTTCTCCCCGGGAAGCTCCATTGGAGTCGCGAATTCCTCGTCTGGTGGGGACATGACAGCCGACTCCGAGGCCACAGGCTGAGGCCGCTGTGGCTGTGGCTCTGGTTCCGGGGAGGGAGCGCGCGCCGGCTCGGCTGTGCGAGGCGGATCTGCAGTTAGGAAGGCATTGACGTCCGTAGCGGCATTATCAGGCACTTTGGATTGCCGGTTTTTATTGCGGCCGAATAGCTTCCTGAAACCACCACCGCCCGCCTTCTTCTCATCCTTTTGAAGCTTCTTGTGCTGCTTCCTGCTCTCAGCGGGGGTGAGGACTGGAAGCTCTGGCGATGTCATATTTTCGCGAGCAGCGTGTATGCTCTCCTGCTCACGAGGGGGAGGTGGGAGGGGCGAGTCTCTGCCGGTAGGACCCGATTTCTCCGCGGGATGACCGTTTACCGGTTTTCTCTCGGGCACAGGAAGAAACTCCTGCTGCCGAGACGATGGCGTGATCGGTGACCTAGCCTCGGACACAGCAGGCGGCTGTGCTAAAGCCGGAGATGATTGAGAAGGCTTAGACATTGAGCTCTCTGGGGCATCTGGCCTGTAGCCATTCCCATTGGCAAGGCCTCCATTCGTACTTGCACCATCGTTCGACCGCGATGCCTCCAAGAGCTGCCCAAGGCCCCGACCAGCTGTCATGTTGCCCAGGTAGGCCGTGCGAATGGATTCCTTGTCGTATTTGTTCGCCCACTTCATGGCCGGAGACGCTTCCTTCACTATTACTGGCTGCAGGGTGAGAACGCTGCTAGTCTTCTCTCGCATCAATTCGGCGTCTGAACGTCCACGTCTCTCTGGTAGAGGGCTCGGCAGTTGTTCCTGGGCTTGCTTTGCATGTAGTTGTTGCGCAGCCGCCTGTATCTTCGCTTGCTGGTCAGGCCCGATGCTGGTCTTGCTCAATCCCGCTCCGCTTGTGGCGCTTGGGCTCAGTCGATCGTTCCTATCGAACGCTTCCTTCCCATTTGACTTGCTGCGAGAGACACCTTTGTCCCTGTTTCGTCTGGTCCAACTGAAGAAACTCTTCTTCTCGGCAATGTAAGCGCCAGCATCGGGCTCGGGTGCAGCGCCCTTGACTTTTTCCTCCATTACAAGCCACCTACCCGAGCGAATGACGGTCTCGATGACTGCGCAACGGCCAAAAGCGGACTTTCGTTCTGCGGTCTCTTCGGGAGCCAGACTGCTCATCCACACCCACCAGAAAGCATCATCGAGTTCAAATCGGGTGATGCTAGCCAGCTCACCCGGCTCGACATGGCGGTTACTTTCTAGGCGGGGATTGTGTGATTGCGAGCTTCGCTGTCTAATGTTCGTCTCAATCGGTGGCAGGATCTTATCCGGCGGCAGCAGATGGTTCGAAGGGCTATTGGGTGAGTCGTCGACAAATCCCGAAGATAGGAAGTCCGCCCATGATGGTGTTGTGGGTCGTCCCATGTCTGTGCCAGAAGCTGGTGTCGTCCTAAGTCCGCGGGGGTTTCGAGCTTGGTTCAACCTTGTAGACTCATCATCCTCATCCTCATCCAAAGCACCACCAAACCCAATGTCCTCGAACCGAGACCACGAGGCGTCCCGAAGACCAGTGGAGTGTTTCGAGCTGGACACTTGTGACTGGTTGGCGGCCGAGATCGCCTTAAGAACTCTGCCGCACTCCTCAGTCAGAGCCATCACGGGATCCTCGTACTCGGAGAAATCTCGAAGCGCCTGATCGTCGTCGCGATACTGGAAGTGGCTGGCACGGCGAAGAAGAGCAAATGGGGTCGGCGAGACTGTGTCGACAATCATGACAACTATATTCGTCGACGACATCATCAGCGAAGGCGTTTCAGGAGGGTACTCGGTCTCCTCCAGTAATTTCTGTAGTGACATTGGAAGCATAGAGATGCCACTACGCGGTTGTTGGGGAGTCATTGATCTCAGATAAGCAAAGAACAGATGACTTGTAGCGTCCGCGGCGCTGCATATTATTAGCCAAGTCGATTGTTCCAGAGTGCGTAGGGACCTGCAAACCTCATCCAAGCCTCATAACCGCCATCGAAACCATTGCCAGTATCCTTATGTTCAAAGGCCCACCAGGATGCCATGCGGGACAGTTTACGGCCACCGAAGCCATTCGTCTTGCCGTGCGCTGCCATGGCGGATAGGAGATCGAAATAGTCGAATATGATATCGGAACGCGCATCGTTATCAACGCTCAGCGGGATGAAAGTCGTGAAGGAATTGCGCGCCCAGCTTGAGTCTGAGAAGGAAGGGATCCTTAGTATATGCTCCATAGCATCTCCATCAACAGGGTCGGGCCGTACCTTGCTCTCCCACCTTGAATAGCTCATAGGCATCCCACCCTACGAGGCCACCCTGAATCCTGCTCCAGCACCATTTGAGCACACCAGCAATGACCTACAAGTGGGTTAGTCTCACCAAATGAGGCAACAAACTGTTGGATTGTCGTCGCGTACCATCGGTTCGGTCATCCGCAGCTCCTGCACGAGGGCGTCGCCGCGTGTATTCTGATTGCCATCGAAGAAGTGGCGGACGAAAGTGCGTACAGCGCTTGGATCGGAGGTCGGGCGGAATGGTAACAGCAGGAAGGGCTGGTCGAGGGCTGGGATTGTTGGATGGTATTAGCCTTTTTTGAACACCAGGAGAGCAGAGGTCCGGTGGTGGGTAGTAGAAGAATGGTCAGCCACATACCCCTTGATTTGATCTCTTCGGTGCATCGTCTGATCAATTCTTGGACCTCCTCCGGTTCTATGGTGGTTCGAGCGTATGCATTCTCCCAGCGCGGCTGGTTGGGCAATTGGTGGGTTAAGGATTCGGGGTTGGCGTTCTTCTTGGACTTTGATTTTCCCTGGCCGTCTTTGCCCCTTATCCGCGAGAAGAGGCTCGGCATGGTGATTGGCGAGCCGCAGGTCGGGTTCTAGAACAACTTGATGCAGCACAACATGGAAGTCGAAGGATCGTCGACGGCGAAGAAAGCCGTACAGCGTACAGGGGACGCTGGCGGTCGAACGTGAGAGGTTGTTTGAAGAAAAAGAGTATGTCCAAGTTGCGCCAACGGTGGAGGAGTGGATGTGGTTTGGTCGGCGAAGGTACCTGGGTAGGTAATAATGTCGAATAATATTGCTGGCAATACAATGATGCGTTGTTCGCCGGCAGCAGGACCGGGACCGCAACTGGTGGCGCGTGGGATACTCTGGCTGCTTGTCCAGGGGTGGTCGGGTCGCATAAGGTAGAAAATAGAAAATACTCGTGACTGGGGTCCCGGGGACGAGACGGCTGGAAGATTCAAGACGATGGCGCACTCGGCGCGCGACGCAGAAACGGTGCGAATTGAATTGGCAGGAATTGTAAAAGACAAGGATGATTGAAGGAGTGAGGGTAGAAGAGAGGCAGGAAGAAAAGAGCACGAGTCTCAAGGCAAACCAGCTCGACAGACAGTGAGTGCGCTCAGTCGGCTCAGAGCCAACCTGGGTAATGATAATAAGGGGTGAGGGCGCACAGTCGCAGCTGGAGGCGAGCTAGACATGCTGCCTCAGAATGCAGGTGCGACCGAGGTGCGAGGTAATCAGTCCTGTCAGTGTCAGTATTGCCGGTGCCAGACTCTTCTGCCTCTGCCTCTGCCTCTGCCGTCAGCGATTGCCAGTAGGTGGCAGGTGCTCCCAACCAAAATAATAACATTAAAGGTCGACTAGCCCATGCGGGTTCTAGATGTGGCGGATGCCAGAAGTGGCAGCACTAACAGCCGCTAGCTACTTCGGGAGAGACGACCCCACTACGCTGGTTGGATGAGTGGACCTTGGAGTTGGACCTAGAAACCACCCGAAAGTATCTTTTCTGTGTACGCTCGCATCGAGATACCTCGCAGCCGCCCCGCCCTGTACCAGCCCGCTCGGGATCTAAAGCGATTTTCGGATTTATAATTACAGGGCGGGAAGTGGTGACACTAATGGCAAATCTGAGGTAATCTGATCATCTTGACAATCTCCCCCTCAAGAGTCAAGACTCAAAAGAGTCGAGAACCCATCATCACGCGCTCATGTAGGAACCCGAGTCTCTACAATCGCCCGAGGACGCCTCCGAACCCCAGTTCAAAGTTGTGTGTTTGCGTGTCAGCCAGGTGTTCGTACTACCCATCTACTCCGATCTGCCACTGCGGAACGTTACCACTTGTGTCTCTCTTGCCCGTCTGCTCTCTGGGTAGCTCTACCACCAACGGTTCAGCACATATGAGTTAAGACGCAAGACGAGCAGCGATAGTCACAATGACACAGCCGCGGGATATCGATCTCTAGCTAGCACTTGCTAGCCCCATGTCCTGTACCATGCGGATTCCGCCAATCTACTAGGGAAGCGCGCATATCCCCTTCATCTGCTCCGTCCGCGAGAGTCAGAATGGAGTGACACCTATGCTCTAGTCGAGCTCGTGTTCACGCCCGAAATCTGAGCAGTCCTGCCGTTGCCGCCCAAAGATGCATTGGGAGATGCATAGGCATCATGAGCGGGAAGCCAGCCAGGGTGCAGTACTGTGGTATGAAGTCGCTGATAAGCCTTCGGCCCCTTTTCTCTCCCCTCAAAGTTGAGACTGTTCATTGGCCACAGCCAAAAACTCACTTTGCTTCTGATGAGTTGGCAGACGTCGTGCAGCCGAAAGCCTGCTTTTGGACAGGGCCACTGCGACCATGCAGGGCCGTTGGCACCGTGCTCTGTTACATCATTGGGTGGCCGCCCATGGAACACAAAGAACTTAAGAAGATGTTCGTCGTTTGATGAGTCGCGTCTTTTTCGCTTCACTCAATTTCCAACCAACCGGGCGCCTAGATGACTTGGGCACCCGGGAGGTCTGTACCTTGGTTGCTTCAATTACTTCATTTCACGGCACTCCGACGTGGTAGCCCTGCCCGCTGTTATTGGTGCGGGCTGATGATAGCCGTGGGACCTGCAGGCTACCTTAACATCTGAAGGTTCAGGGACCTGCACCGCCAGCGTATCATCCCGCCGGCACTGCAATATCCCAGTCATGAGCTTCGTACATGGCTACTTATCCTCTCATCAATTGCCAGTTTATTTGGGCACAGACAGGTTGCCTTGAACCTCCCCGTCATCAGCATCTTCCCCAGTCGAACTTACACTTGGTATGGCATTGTCAACGACTTGACGGAATAGCATGTGACACTGGAAATCGAAAGGGTCAAGCCATCAAGCCACCCCAATCCTCCAGGAGATGCCGCTCTGGCGGGAACACGGCATGCAACCTAAAAAAGTCTCCACGTTCCCGAAACAGCAGCCTTAATTCCCGGCCTCCGCCCTCTGTCAAAGACCCGAGAATCCTCTTATAAAGCAGGACGGCTGGACGGATGCCATCCTCAAATCAATGCCGACGACTGGGTCGCAAGGCAGTGATAAAAAGCAAAGGATCGTCTCGAAAAGCTGTCGATGGCCTCAGCCGCATTGCTACCACGGGCTGGGATCATTCATGCGCCAAGGCCCTGCTCGCCTCACAAGTGCGCCAAACCTGGCTTCTGAAGCTTTCATCATAGGTGCACTGGCCCGGTGTATGAGCTCCCCAAGATCCAACTACACACGGATAACGTCAGTGGCTTGCACGACACACCTTTTAGGTCTTGGGCCTTGCTGGTGGACTGGTGCTGGATCGTGTCAATGGTCAGGAATATCGGATATCACATCACATCCTCTCGTGTGAGCCTCATCCTTTCCAGTCGTTTCAAGTTCCGACTTCCGTCTCTGTCTGATGCCTTCTGGTGCACGATCCTACCGAGTACACAGTACAGCACATCAGTGATCATATTACATTCCTTCTATCACGTTGAGAATCTCCGTCAGAGCGGCCGGAGTGTCACCTGACGATCTCGTCTTACATGATATGAACAGCCACCTCATCAAGTGCCTCGGCGACTAGTGGAAACTTACGATACACTGGTAAGCAACCAACCACGTCGCCCTAGACCAGATCTCCGAGTGACATCTTGTGCTTTGATGAGGAGGCAGTGACTCCCGTGTACACATTCGCAGAGTCAGAAGGGTGCTTCTGCGGCCTTAACTCGAGCAGTACTGCTGCTATGATACAGAGCTTTCACAATCCACCCCATTTGCTCATCCCCCCCGCTCGCCACGCATTGCACAAGAAAGCAAATGGGACGCAATGCGTCTTGAATGTTTCGATTTCGAAGAGCATATTGTCCGGCATGCTGGTGAAACTGAACTCCAAAGGACCTGTATCTGCTAGCAAAGGCAAAAGTGGGCAAAGTTGGTCCACCACATGAACTGATGACTCGTCGTCCACTTCGCCTCGAAAGGTACACGTTTCCTTTTCCCAAATTTACAACGCACGTTCATACGTGCTGTTCCCAATCAAGTTTTTTTCACAGAACGCCAAACTCGTTGAGATCAAAGACCACAAGAAGTTGGAAGGACCCTCAACGGCCAGCGAAGCAAATCACTTTGCCTCATCAGCATCCACCGTCCCATCCTCACCCTCCTTCTCTAGCACCTCGCTCTTCTCCTCCTTGCCCTCTTCATCAACCTTACCCACCGCCACAACCGGCGCCGGGACCTCAGCCTTAGCCTCTGTCACGTTCTTCTTGTCCTCCTTTGTCTCAACCCGCTCTTCTATCTTCTTAGCCTTCGGGCTCAAATCCCAATCGATGACCCCATCCTCGCCATACCGCTGCGCCAGCCACTCGTTCGCCTTCTTGAAGTGCCCACAGTCCAAGAAGCCGCGGTGCGCACTAAGCGGACTCGGGTGCACGCTCCGCAGCACGAGGTGGCGCCCCGCGTCGACCTTCGTGACGCGCTTGCCGGCCGGAGTGCCCCAGGCCAGGAACACGACGCCGCGTGTGCGCTTCTGCGCAACCAAATCGATGGCGCGCTGCGTGAAGGCCTCCCAGCCGCGGTTCGCGTGGCTGTTGGCCTCGTGCGCGCGCACCGTCAGGCACGTGTTCAGCATGAGGACGCCCTGCTCGGCCCACGGCGTCAGCAGGCCGCCGTTGTTGGGCGGCGGCGCGAACGACCCGGGGTAGTCCTTTTTCAGTGCCGTGTACATGTTCTTGAGCGACGGCGGTGCGGGCTGGGGCGGGCGGACTGAGAAGCAGAGACCGTGCGCTTGGTTGTGGTTGTGGTACGGGTCTTGGCCTATGATGACGGCTTTGACGGTGTGGAAGGGGGTGTGGCGGGACCTGGGGGGTTGCGGGCGTGTATTGTTAGCTTGAGGTTCTTGTGCTTTTGTAGTGTGAAGCAAGACTGGAGGCGTGCGTATATGTCGTGGGTATCCGTAGACGCCCATAGCAAATGCGATAGAAGAATCAAGATAGTCACATACCACGAATAAACATCCTCCCGCGGCGGGAACACCTTCTTCCCGCTTTTGACCTCGTTCTCGAGGAACTTCTTCAGGCGCATGAACTCGGGTTTTAGTATCTCGTCCTTGAGCACGGCCAGCCAGCTCGGGTCCAGCGTCTGGATCTCTAGGGCTAGGTGCTTCTTCTGGTCGGGCGTCAGCGTCGCGACCCATTTCGCCTTGTCGAATTTTTGGGGGGTCGACGACGCGGGGGAGGATTGGGGGTTGTTGTTGGTATTGTTGGGCGAGAAGAACGAGGAGGCGTTGGAGGTTTTGTTGTTGGGGGTGGTGCTGGTGGTGCTGGATGTGTTCTTGGGCGGCCCGAAGAACGACGTGATGGACGCGTTCACTTTCGGCTTCTTCGCATCGGTCGAGGCCGCGAGCGCGGCCTCGCTCTTGCGCTTGAGGCTGGGTGCCATCGGAGCGGCGAGCGTCGTTATGGGCGAGCGCTGTAGTTGAAATTGAGGTCGAAGTTGGGGTGGTCGAGATTGGGGTGCAGCAATACTCTCAAGTCTTTGAGTCGAGAGGGACCACGATCCTCGATCTCGCGTACCCGTTGGCGATTGAGTCCGAGTCCGAGTGCGAGTCTGCTGTGTTCGCGGTCTGGGCGCGGGAAAAAGCGTCGATGTCTTTGCTGTGGTCGCCGCCGACTTCCAATGGAAGTGCAGCCGCGGCAGGCTTGGATGACGTAGACGCGACAGAAACGCGTGGATGGCGGACGGGACTCGTGGGGACGCAATGTTGGAGAATTGGGTACACAATTGGTATGATTTACTCAATTAGACCAGATGGACTATCTCGTGAGTGAGTGCAAGTCGAGAACCAGGAATGGTGAGGTGCAATTGATTTGGGATGTTGGAGGGTTTTTGTTAAGATGGGCTGTCAACAATTGCAGGGATTCGAGTCGCGTTAATGGAGACGCGACCGACCGCGTAGAGTAGAATGCATGTGCGGCAAGGCGGGTCGATGTCCTGCTTGTGGCTCGTGCTGAAAGCTGGGGTTGAAAATGAAAAGGGGGGCTTGTGAAGTTGGTTTGATCAAAGGTAATCAGCCTCTGCCTTTATTTTTACTACGGCTGGTCATTAATGGATGTAAAGCATAAGCAGAGATGTATCAGACTATTGTTGTTGGTTACTATTATTATCAGGGTGTTTTACAGGCTCTCACAGAGTAGTCTAATCGTACAGGCTTTTCTCGCGTACAATGAAGATGCCAGGCCCTTTCAAACCTGGCCATGCCGTCCACAGAGCCCGTCCTCTAGAGTGTAGAAACCTGTCTAGTGCCCGCCGTAACCCTCGCCTTTTTTTGCAAAAGTTTAACCTCTAATCAGGTATCATGAATGGGTATGAGAAACCTCAACGCCTAACTGCAAATGCAAAACCAAATGAGTCGAGATATGCGTTCGTTGAGGGGTGCTCATCATCACCGGCTCTTCTCACGTTGCTCTCTTGCCCTCCTCTCGTTCTTCCTGAATACACTCTTTCCGACCTCGTAGCTGCTGATCATAATGGCACAGGCCGGTGCTACCTTGAGTGTTCGCGGAATCCAGCCTCTGAAGAGTCCAGGGACACCCTCAGTGGAGAAAATGTGCCACAGCAATCGAGCCATGGACTTCCGCTCGGGGGCCAACGCAGCCTCTGCAGATGATGTTGCTTTCTTGGCCGAGTCACGGAAGGTCTGTGTTCTGGTCTTGCCGACATCGAATGGCGTCGTTATTATCGATGCCAGACCACCCGATAGTGCACCAGCCGTAAAGCTGTCCATGAGTACCGAGGTATGATTTTCACTACTTTGCGATCTCGATCTCGCCCTGCTTCGGGCCTCAGGCTCCTTAGTCAGGGGACGGCCACGGCGCTCCTCCCGCATGTCCGTCAGCTTCCCGCGGATTGTCTCGTAACCCCACCAGTACATTCCCGAGAAGGGTACATCGCGCCAGAACGTCAGGGTGATGCCTCTCCAAAGCGACCGATACCCATTTTCCGATATCATCTCGCGAATACTCTTGAATGTATTGGCAAGATGGTTCGTCGCGGTCGAGCCGGGAGAGGCCTGAAGCCGGGTTTTAAAGAGCTCGATGGGACCGACGGCGACGGCTGCAAGTACTCGTGCGGTCGAACCCGATATTAGAGGTGCATAGTCATTGTTGACGACCTTGTTTATGGGGCTCTTCTGGTTGTATCGTAACCAATCGTAACCAGTGAAGTAGATAATGTTCGCCGGCACAGCCATGACCAAGGTCGGCGAGAGCCCTCTCCACAGTGTCGTAAAGCCTTCATTTCGGGCGATCTTCTTCATGCCATCAAAGGTCGAATTGAAGGACCGCTTCTGTGCTTCCTCGACGGCGCATTCGGCAGCAGCTGCGCCGCCGCCCAAGCCTTCTGGTCTCGGACCGACGACACAGACTTCGGCATTGTTATTCATAAAGAATACCTCACGACAGCAAGCGGTAACTCCAAGGTTCGAAGGTCGAAAAGCATTGGGTGACGAAATCGCATGTTTTTGCAGGTCTGCCAAAGGCTGCGGTGACGAACCTTGCGATTGTAATCGGACGCGGACGACATCGAGAGGGGTGACTGTGGGTTGGAAGTGTGCGGTCAGCGCTTCTGTTCTTCTGTTCTCCTATTGCGCAGGTGGCCCATCGCTGTGCGCGCGCCACTGTCCGACTTACCAAGCAGGGAGGTTAGAAGACTGCCCGAGATGGCCGAGAGCATCTTTTGTCCGGCCGGGATGTCCATGGCGTCGTCGGCCACGTCGTCTTTGGATGAAAGCATGGTCGGTCCAGCGAAGGCATCCTCGCCACCGCGTAATCTATCGTGATTTTGGCCACGGAAGTTGTGGCTGTCTGTGGTCATTATGGGCTGGCGCCCGGACAACAGGGAGCGCCCTTTGTCGAACCCTTTGCGACGGGATGCAAGTGACTGGTTGTGCGACGACAAGCAACTTCGAGGGTAGGAATCCTAGGAAATAGACTTTCGTTCGTATGCGGGGATGATGATGGCGATGACTGACTCAGGACGGAGAGAAGAAGGAGTCCGAATGGTTGACGACATTAGTGAAGCTGTAGGTCCAAGGGTATTACCAGTGTGAAGGGTAGAATTTAAGTGCGATTGCGGACGCCGATCCAGACGTTTCCTCCGCGTCATTATCAGAGCAGAGTGATGAGGTGCACATGCCACAAGGAGGCAAATAATAGAAGCCGGATGTACATTTATTACGATTTATTTCCTCTCCGATCCGAGGCCGATCTGCGGAAATACGATCATTTTATGATTTTAACTCAAGCTGGCACATTTGGCGCGCCCTGCTATCAGAAATCATTGCAATGCTCCTCATGATGTCAGAGCCAATCGGCGCTCTCCTCTCATTCATTGCGGAGCCGAACCCTGCAGATGCATAACAAGTACCTTGGTACCACGCGGCCTATGTCGGCGTTAAGATAATGCATCTACCCCGTCCTGCCGGGCCCACGGCATCCATCTCATTCACCCCGGACCTTCCCTCACCCTCGCCGGTGACACACTCGGCCAACTCGCATCGAACATCAAATCTCGCGTTCGCATCCAGTGATTTGAGCCTGTTTCTACGTTGCCATTCCTATAAATCTCATACTCGCATAGCGCATATTGTGTACACGCTTTCCGTACCTAAACTTCGTACCCCTTTTCGCCACCATGGACCAACCGCCAGAACAGATCCAATCAGAGCTGGAGAGCTTCAGAGAGCAATGGCGAGCAGAAGTATCAGCTCGGTCTAGGAATCCGGGCCCTTCACAGCAACCACAGGGGCCATCACTCCAATCCGGGTCGTCTTCATCGAGCAAGCCTCACCTCAAGAGGGGCGAGCCCTCGCACAGGAAGACAACTTCCAAGATCCCCAGCCAACCAGAGGTTGACGACGAATTTGTGGCAGCTCCGTCATTCGATGAGCCGGACACTAGCAGGGCTAGGGGAGGACAAAGGCTCGATGGAGAAGATGCTATCTCAAAGGAGAAAGAGAACGAACCAAAGACAGCCCTCGACTACTACGAGCATGCCGTCGAGAGGGAGACCACCGGCAAGCTCGGTGACAGTCTCCAGCTCTATCGGCAAGCCTTCCGCATGGATGACAACGTCGACCGAGCTTACAGAGACAAGCACTTCCCGGGACGTTGGAAACCGGCTGCTCAGACCAACCCGTCCAACGCGGCCGTGACGGTCCCCAACACCGCCCATCATTCCCCAGCACCAGGCCCCGCTTTGTCACTGCCCGACCTCATCGCCAGCTTCGCGAGTCTCAAAGTCGAGGGCGTACCGCCTGAATGCAACGGCATGCCACCGCCGCCATGTCCCATAAGCAAAGTCCCCGACGAGATCCTGGTGCACATCCTCCGGGACGTAGCCGTAGCCGACGTGGGTGATTTCGTCCGGCTCTCCCAGGTCTGTAAGAGGCTTGCTTATCTGGTAGCCACGGAAAATCAGATATGGCGCCGAGTTTGTGTCGGAACCGAGTTCGGGTTTGGTGGTATGCGCCACCACTGGCAACGCAGTATCACCTGGGAGCCCCTCGACACCACGCAAGACCTTGCCGACTCAGCAGACGCGGACGACGCAGAAGACGAGATCTTGACCCCTGAACTACTCACGCAGCGTCGAGCCGCCGCATCCCTGGCGACGACAACCGCCCTGCTCCACAGCACATACAAGACCTCCTGGCGTACCATGTTCCGGCAGCGGCCACGCGTGCGCTTCAACGGCTGCTACATCAGCACGGTGAACTACATCCGCGCGGGACAGCACACGGGACAGCACCTGGCGTGGGGCAGCCCCGTGCACATCGTGACCTACTACCGGTACCTGCGGGTCTTCCGTGACGGGTCGGCTATCAGCTTGCTGACGACCGACGAGCCCGCCCACGTCGTGCACCACCTGACGCGCGAGAACCTGACGCTCCACCGTGGTGGTGGCGCGCCGCATCTGCCGTCTGCTGTCATGGCGTCGGCGCTGAAGGGGCGGTGGCGGATGTCGTCGATGCTGGACCGCGCGGACACCCCCACCACCAGCAGCAACAACACCAACAACGCCAACAACGCCAACAACGCCAACAACGCCAACCCAAGCAACCCAAGCGACGCCAAGGTGGTGGCCAACCCAGCCGATGCAGAAGGCGACCTCTTCGTCGAGACCGAGGGCGTGGTCTCCAACTACCTGTACCGCATGGAGCTGTCACTGAAGAGCGCGGGCAAGGCCACGGCGCGGAACAACAAACTGGTCTGGAAGGGGTTCTGGAGCTACAACAAGCTGACCGACGACTGGGCCGAGTTCCTGCTCAAGAACGACAAGCCCTTTTTCTTCAGTCGGGTGAAGAGCTATGGTCTCGGTGAGTAGGGGTCGTAGCATGTCAGCTGACATAGGGGCCGAGGAACAAAATCGGCATTTTTCATGGGGGTCAACACTGGTGTGAAGACTGTGGCGCTTGCGGGACGCCCGTTGGACATGAAGTCTTGCAAGTCACAACGGGAGGGATTATAGGGCAATGATTGCACCAGCAGTAAGCACGTCTTCACTCAAGTCAAGCCACGAATCATGAAGTTTCCCAGTGTATTTCCCGAGGAACATGCCTTCTATAAGCGTGGTGCCCGAGAATCTGCAGTTACCCCTTGATCGGTGGTCCAGGTGGTAGAAGGGGTCACCGAAGCGAGCCCAATAGAGATGAGCATAAATCCGGAACATCTGGCGGAAGATGGTCTGGCAGACTTCCATGAACTTCTCGGGGAAAGCCACTTCGCTTGCCGATCCAGTCCTTGCCGCCCGGGTTGGTCGGTTGGGAGAGAGGTATGGTCCTCCAACCCCGGACTCATCCGATCTGTTCCCACGGTTCCATTCCATCCCCGCGCATCTAACCATCGCCTGATCGTTCGAATCTATAGACATACATTATGAGCAAAACACTTCCTGCCAGGAGCCTTTCCACTGCCACAGCAAGTCGAGTCCCTGATTTGGGACTCTTCCAACTGCCTTGCAAACGGTCCATGCCGTGTCGAGTTCCCATGCCGAGTTCCTCGCAGACCTCTAGCAGCCGAGCCTTGCCAGTCGAAGCCGTTGAATTGTCGAATAGCGTTACGGGTATCGTCTGGATGCTCAAACATGACGATCCCGGATCCCTTGGGTCTGCCATCTGGGCCGAGGTGCACATCAGCCCGGACCTACAGCACCGCCATGTCGAGTGCCATGAGAAGTTCCATGAGAGCGAGAACCAGGAGCTTGCACTCCGTTCCTCAATGCATCGAAATTTCCCTTTCCGTTTCCGTGCAGCGATGTTCGGCCCGTTGTGCAAGTAATCCAGCAAATCAAAAAAAGAAAACAACAAGCAACCCTTTCTCTCGCACCCTCTATGATGCTCCCCAACCACCAGTCAAAGGAAACCCATAGTCTCCTCTGTTGCGTGTGGAAGAAGCATGCATCCCCTTACGATCTTCGGAACGGCTTGATGTTCAAGCTGTCGTAGTACTCGGCGTCGTTGTAGCTCGACGGGACGCGCACCTTGCTGCGGCTCGATCGACCGCTGGGATAGAACCGGGCATCGTCACCGTCTGCTTCCTCCGCAATCGCCGAACGAAGAATCGGCGCGCTACTGGCAACGGTTGAGGCAAGACCACGGGGGCGAGAACGGGAGCGGGTGCAGGAGCGTGTCTGTATAGAGGACGAGAACACCGACTCGGAGCGGCCGCGGGTGCGGCCGCGCTTGCTGTCGTTCTGGCTGCCGCGCGGGCGGCGCGACGGCGTCAGCTGCTCGTGGACGGGCTCGTGGACCTCCTCATGGCGGCGGGGAGAGGGACGTGCTGGAATGCCCGAGTCTGTGTCGTCGCTGGAGTCTGGGGAGGGTCCGACCATGGGGTGCTTGTTCTTCGCCTCGTCGGATGAGTCTGGGATGATGTTTCTCTTGCGCTTTGTACCCCGTCGGGTGGCTGGGTAGGTGTTAGAGTTTGTCCTGAGGTATGAGATCACGAGGTGTGAGGTAAGTGGTGTTTTGAGTAGGATGTAATGAGATGAGATCAGGAGAGGTGAGATGAAATAACGGAGGTATGTGTAGGGGGTAAGGGATAAGTGATGCCACATACATCTCATAGGCGTAGCTGCCATCCTAGCGCGGTGAAGACCCGGCGACTCCGTAAGCTGCCGAAATTGATAGCCGCCCGGCTGCGCCGGCTCTTCGGACAGCTTTTCTTCCTTCTCCTTGCCCTTGTCCTTAGTCTCGGCCTTGCTGGAGAGATCTTCGGTGGCGCGGGTAAGCTTTAAGTCCATTTCGTTGAAATGCTGGCTGAGGAGAGCGGCGGTGGTCTTCACTACTGACGAGGCGGAGAGGTTGGACGCCTTTTGCATCTCGGCTTCGAATTCCTCTCGGATATCGTTCAGCATTGGGGCTAGGCGTTCGGTGTATTCTTTCTTCATCTCCAGGGCGAGGTCGTGCGCCGCCTGAACCACTGCAGCGCTTTAAGTCAGTATGGTCACTGTCTTTTGATGATGTATCGTAGCTACGCGGGAAGTAGAATCATGCTCAGAGTGTAAATTCTCATGGACAAAACATGAGAGTATCTGTAATGGACCGTGAGGGGAGTGGGTGCTGCTTACTCTTCTCCTTGACAGATTTGAGAATGTCTTGCTCTCGAGTCTTGGCTTGGTGAGGCTCTGGGCCCGCCTTTGCGTCCATGATGCTTCGTAATTTGTCTCGGGGCGTTGCCATGATGTTGTGGTGGCTAAAGAGAGGGAGTCGGCGTTGAATCGGCTCGAAGAGAGACTGGGTTGTTCCGGATATATGGATGGAGTTTTCAGTATTAGAGGAGGAGAAGAGAACGCGACGGTAGCTGTGCTCCGTGAGGGAAGTTGCGGGTTGCGGTGGGTGTGTCTGGGCTGGAAGTTGTGATGCTGCGAGTGACTTCAGGATGTGTAACTTCCTGTTTCGGAGACTAGGGATTTGTTTCGTCAGCACCAGCCATGAACAAGGTACCTAGGTATATGAGGAGAAGTCGTCGTCTCCTAAGGTATCGATTATTTGCTAACATCGTCAAGGTAACTTGTTGTTCTTTGAGACACAAAGATAGAGCCTAGTACAGGTGTCGATGTTCGGTGGGGGTTTTCCTTGCGTTACCCAGATCGACCAGCTGTACACAAACATACGTGTCGTGAAGCTCCACGCGGGGGGCTTCAGAAAACAACTGGTTTCTGCGGATGGTCGCCGCGGAGCATATGTGTTGGCATGGTGAAGAGGCGGGTAGGAATTCGATGGGCTTGCCGTCAATATGTTCATCTGGCTTAGGTCTCACGGGATACACCGAGTACGGCTGTGCGAGCGGGAGAGACTGTAGCTTTTGTACGTGATGCTTATTCATACTCATAAGATCAAGTAACATAAATCATCAACCTGTGGTGTGTTGTTCTCATGTACAGGCCGCTTTGTGTACGGACCGAATCGACTGCTCTAAAACTCGACTCACAAGCAGCTGTTGTGCTAAGTCAAGTCTCTGGAAATGGCAAGGGCAATAATAAGAGGCACAGCACGAGTTCAATCAGCAACTAGGTCTCCGCAACTTCATGAACATGTTCTATCACCTCGGAGGTTACTTGAAGCTATTGTTAAGAGTCTTGATGGATGCATGAGATGACTCGCTATTCTTAACATGCGTCAAGCGATTGGCCCCTTTGGCACGCAGAGGATGAAATAGTTGATTAGGGCGCAGGAGGTGTGCTAAGCTCGTAACTCTATAAGTTGCGGAGTCAAAGACACCATGTGGTGAGGATCGGTCGATGCTTTAGTGTTCTTGGTTCTCTCCTTGTGTATCCTTGAACGTCTTCACGAACTTCTTGAGCTATGCGAGATTGACAAAGGAGTTGGGAGGCCGTGATGCTGCTCCAGCGGACTCTACCACACCCTGATCGCTTCGCCCAATGAATGCATGAACACGAGCTCTTGCCGCATCTCTGTTTCCTGGAAGTCAAAGTTAGAAAGCGAATGCAGAATCAGATGGGAGAGAGTTACATACCTAGACTTCGGCCCAGTGGTCACCAGTGAAGTCCAGATTACACCCCCAAAGTCTCATGCATAGTTGTTTTAACGTAGGCAGCACTTGGAGGCTGAGGGACGCCACTTGATGCTGAGGCTGTCTGTGGAGAGTTGAATGGTATTTGCAGATGCTCGCATGAGTCGGGTTCTGTGGCCTCGTGGTCAGGCCGTTCCACTGCAATATCGCAGACAATCGCCATCAAGAGAGGTGCGTAGCGGCTGGAGACCATCTCATGACCAAGCATAAGATGCATAGTGGGCACTGCAACATAGAGCCATTTTTCTACAAAGAACAGCAGAGCAAGGTGCATACTGCCACGGAGTTAGTAGTGTCTTTATATTCCACAGCATTGGCCCTGGCTCACGATCGGATTCTGTTCAACTGGACACCCATGTAGCAAGTCATTGAAGCAACAAACACAACCATGAGCCTGCTTACAGTTAGTAACAAACCTATTACATAAGAAAGAAAAGAATGCCGTACCGATTGATGGCTCGAGGCGGGCCATCAGTGATTATGATCCAAAAGGACGACGTGAACATCGCTGCTCTGCTGAGTCTTCCAACCGTTGCCATTAGCCATGGCATGAGATTTTTGATATGTTCGCTGGCCGTTCCTGGCATCCTTGGCTAGAGCTTTGCGTGCTGTATTGGGCGTCAGGTGCTATAGCAAGTAAACTGCGTATTTCAGAAATTGTGAAAAGTATGCATGCAGATCGGGTGGGACGGCGGCCATAGGGCTGTTCTTAAGTAGTCTCGCAAATGAGACAAGGGAGACAGGCGGCCTAACCTCCGTCATCACCTTCGCGATTTCAGCCTTGGGTGGAGGAATGCCAACGACGCGCCGGAACTGAGACAGTATGAGCAAAACTGCCCTGGGCTTCACCAGCCGGAATGTTCAATTGCGTAGGTGGGTTTGCTGCAAATCAAAGGGATGATGTACGTCGCAACGCTACCAGTATGGTCAGTCTCTTCGAAATCATGTTGCAGAGGACACAATGCCAATATAGAACGGTCTATAAGTTACAGGAGTGTGGCTGGGGTGTTGACGACTCGGCACTGGTTGACCTTGGATACATGATCGTTCTTGCGATCCCAGCCAGATTGTAGCCCAGCAGAGAGTTCGGTAACAGGTAGGTTTGAGCAATTGCACCTAGAGAGTCTCGAATTACGGAGTACTGTTCAATAGTGGGTGGAGGGTTTGTGAGGAAGAAGGCGTGCCGTTCGGGGTGAATTTCGTCGAGGACTGTTTGATTGCGATGTTGGGAATCAGTATTATCAGGCAAAGGAGAGAAAATGGCTTTGATCTTGGCTTATAAGCACCTCGCATAACACTGACGCGAAGGAACGCGCGCACCAGTATCACAGACTTGCAATCCATCGCAACCATACGGGGGAAAGCATATCAGCTCATTACAAGTTTCTCTCAAAGTTCACGTTGTAAAGAGTATCGAGAATGAGTCAGCGACTGTACAAAATGTTCTCATCCGGCAGACCACCATAAGCGGATGTTATTTGGAGACCCTGCGACATGCCAGCTTGGTCGAGAGCCCGTAGCTAAAGGGAATGCCGCTTGAGAAGCCATGGGCATCCAGACGCAGAAAAGCTGTTAGTCTCATGCCTCCAAGAAGCGAGTTCGATTGCAGAGCAGATCTGTTCGCTTCTGCTCTAAGTGAAATCGAAGAACGTGCCAGCTGCGGCGAGCAATACCAACGCCCTCGAAGTGCTTGAACTTATGGGACACTGTCCGATGAACAGAGTAAGGGTGAAGATATTGACCGTCCCCTGATTAGGCGACCAGATGAGATGCTGCGCTGCCACAGACCTCTCCGCTGGGGCCCTGACTTTGACCGATATCAGGATCTAGGAGGTAGGCACATCGTCAACTGGCCACACCAAGGAAGTGGTAAGTTCACCATTCAGGGAGTGTGGCCTACGGCTATCAGCTTTTTGACCGAGTGGCTAATGGTTGCATTGAAGGCCATGCTCCTGTCCGCAGTTGACGGCAGCTCGATTGCTGGCTTTAGACCATCATGGTCATGGCTCGGATACTGCGAAACGATCTAGAATAAACGTAGGGCGCTTGGTTGGGGAGCATGCTTATCGACGAAAGAACGTGATGAGGGGGATTTCGGCTTTGAACGCGTTTGCTGGATGTTGTCGGTGTCAGTTGAGACGGCACTTCGGCAGCTGGTCAGTGATGGACCGACCTCATATGAGAATCTATGAAGAATCAAAGTGTTTGGCTATGTGCCAGAAGGCCAGCATCGAATTGAGATGATCTGGCGATTGATTGCGAATGAGGTGACGAGTCGCTGACGCTGGCGCTGGAAAGGGGACAGTCAAACAGCCGCCAGTGCCGTTCTATTCCGGCACTATTGAATGCGAGGGAGTGGCACGAGAATGGCCAAGCAATAGATAGGTAGGTAGGTCGCAGACACACGTTTATTACACATGTGTCTCTGCATTAGTTTACCACGTGAGCATCCTCCATCTGTACCCAGCTCTGTCTCACGCACGTCAACTCAAATGGCGCTGGAAGCGCGAAAGTGTGGTCGACAAATGTCCGAAAGGGGGTGGAGGTGTCTTGTGAATGCTACTTTGGGATGCAGGACTCAGGAGAAGCAACCAGGGCTCGCTCAAAGCGGCTGGAGCGCATCTCCGACATGAAAATCAGCCCACAGCTGCAGTAGAGCGGCAGCAGTCATATATCCGGTCATTGTAGTTTTCCTAGGAGTGTAGGACCAACAGCAATGATATGGAAAGAGCAACTGTCCATGATCTGTCTCCGGGATTCATCAATCATTATGCACATGGTGAGGGTTTCTCGGGAGTCGGAATGCATACCGCTCGGCCAGCCGTTGAGAGTGAGATCCAGACTGTGTCGATCCGCGGTAGGCTAGACCCCCCCATGCGCCATGCGCCCGCCCGTCAACCAGGGTCGTAAGCGAGAGGTAGGCTAGGAGATTTTGATCCTTCCCATTGGCCTCGCGACGCTGACGGGCTGAATGGTGAGGCCTGCCTTAGGTACTCAGAAATCGTGGTCTTTTTGACCTGAGTGCCCAAGGAAGTTGTAGTTGAGGTTAATCCGTCAGAAACTCGGAAACCGCAGACCGCGCACTTGCCGCGGTACCTGACATTAGTACGGCAGAATACGGGCTGGACCTTCGACGGGAGCTTCGACGGCGCCAGCGCTTGTGCAGGCTCCCAGGGGTTGAGCGGGGCTGATGTCGCTAACGGTAGTACCGCTCCAGGGCCCTGCCCGTGCCCGGCTGCCGTGGGCGCTCGAGGTCGTCCCCTGTGCACCGCGTACCTCCCATTACTATTACTGTAGAAACACCCGTTTCGTTCATTCATCTACATCGAAAGGGGCAATCTTGGTTGATGAATGCCCTCGCGGCCTTGCTGGAGACCTCCATAACGAATTGGAGTCATTCGGTCGGGTATTGTGAGGTCGCTGTTGCTTGCATCTGAAGTAGGGCATCTGATCAAGGCTGCAAGGGAGGGGTGAGGGGAAAGAATTGTTGGACTGAAGCATCCACTACAGGCAATAAATCTGGACTATGTGCTCGGTCAGTCTTCGATAGTTTCTTCCATTGCCCTAACCAACAGAACGTTGGGACGTTGGAAGCTCCCGTTTTCTTCAGTGACTCGATTTCTCCGACGTTGGTCTGACTCTGCATCAGAATTTCTTTCTTTTCTCTGTTGGCCGCCCCTGTTCTGCGCACTGAGCGGGCGACGTTGTCGTTGTCGTCGTTGGTCGATCAGTCATCTTCAGTTGTTCATCCTCCAGGTATTATCCTCGTCCTCGACCACTGTCCCATCCCGACTGCCATTCACCCACCCTTCCGAACATCTCGTATTGTCATTTCTGAATCACCGCACTAGGTAGCCACCCCCCCAGATACCTTACCTTGGTGAAACAATCTTAGCCATAATTCATAATCGCGACCTATTCGGCACTCTAGCTCCAGCTCCAGTTCAGCTCCAGCTTCCTGATCTACGCTTCACCCACCGTACCGGCAGGCAACCCGAGTCCCGAGCGCTTTCGCATCCCTGCGCGACTAGCCATGCCCCTTCATCGCCGTCTTCTTCAGGTCGCCTCGGCCTGACAGCATACTGGAGGAGAGCTTGCGACCACCTTCTGGCAGCTACCTATCGCCAAATACCCCTCGACACTGTCTCGATTGATTTGACCGCCACGAAACCTCCGAGTCGCACCACTTCCCACATCCTTCGGCTGCCGCAGTATCTTGGCAATTGTCTTACCGGCCGCCGTCTAATCCCCTCCTCTGCCCTCGCACAGCACACAGCCATCCGTTTGTGTGATCGAGTCGACGGCGCCGACAGGTCGCACGAACCTGTCGCCTTGCCGCGCCAGGACAGTCTGTACCAAGACGTAGCTCACCCTGGTGTCCGCATCGGGGATCGATTATCGAGCTGTGATTTTGGACATTCGGATAAGCCAGGGACGGAGGACCAGGGCCGCGTAGACTGCTGCTGCTGTGCATGATGGCGCTCCCACTGACTCTTCACCATGAGGAGGAGGGCCCTATCTTTTTGGACCTCTCCGATTCCGAGGACGACGACATACTCCCTCCTCCACGTGCGCCTGCTCGACTCCAGCCTAAAGAACCTGCCGAAGCCATGCGCCAGAAGACCAAGGAGGCAGCAGCCAACGTCCCGCTCCACCCGATACCCGCCATGCAGCCCGCCTTCACCGAATCCCTCATTGAGGCTACCAATAACACCGCAGAGCTGAAGCCGAAGCTGAGATTCGGTGATGCAAAGCAGCGCAGGACACACCTTCTCGACGGAGCAAAAGGCGCGGGGTTACAAGCCGAATTATGGCGTTATCGTCCCGGCCAGAAGCATCACGAACTTTGGAAGCTCCTGGCCCAGATATCCTTCGGTGTGTATCTGCTGTTGAACGGGATCGCAAACAGCAACGAACAAGTCGTCACTATACTGCAGGGCCATATTGATGAAGTCGACGAGTTTCTGGAGACGACGTTGGAGGACCTCAATTTGGCAGTCCAGGATGTCCAAGAGCGCATTGACTTTCTGAGACTCCCAATGGAGAATATCGCCACTTTTGAGCAGATGCTGGAAGACCGAAACTTCCGTCTGCAAATTGTGAACGGGAACGAAAAGATCGAACATATCGTCGAAAGGACGACTACAGCGCTGGAAGCAACACTCAAGGATGTAGACGAAGGTTTGAGAGCAACCAAGGAGTTTGCCATATACCTTGGTGATCAGCAGGAACGTGCTTGGCGCCAACAACGGCCGGAGTTGGGCGAGATATATGATGCTATGAAGGGCAACGCTCAGGGATGGTACAAAGCATTCATTGATTTGCAAGACAGCGGATCCGCCCTCGACACATTACTCATACGGCTCGGACAAACGGTAGCCGAGATGGACCAGCGAGCTGGCGAAGTCAGCCGGCGGACTAGGGTAAGTACATCAAACGGTCATCTTGCGCGCAGAAACTCATCTTCCTTGTTTGACAGTTTAGTGTTGCCCCCTGCTCTGGACCACCGGGACACCCAAGAGACGACTCAATGGCATCGTCTCCTCGATCGTCCAGCAGGCGGCCATCAGCCCCCCAGTCTCCGAGAAGCACATCTCAAAGGTCTCAACCGAGCTCACCCCCTCCCAGGGAGCCTGCTCGTTTACTGAAGCAGCAAAGATCCCAGCCGCGAATGCTAGACCCGAAGGACGACAGAATACGAGAGTCTGTGGTCAGAGTGGAAGAAGATGCCAAACCAGCACAGGAGCCTCGGAAGCCAGCGGGGGATGAAGTTCTCTTCCTTTTGCAACCGCGCACTTACACCCCTCAACCACCAGAACCCGTACCATCTCCGAGAGATCAGGATGCTCCACCCCCAAAGCAGGAAAGACAGGAGATACAGGAGATACGGGAGGAGGGGCAGCCGAAGAAGCGCACGTCCTTGCGACAGAGAGTGTCCTTGAAGGGTGGCAACCTGCCCGAGGTGATCCAAGTCCCCCCGCGGAATGCGCCTGAACTGGAGCGTCTGAGATACCAGTCGCCACGCCACCTGTCGGCGCGGAATAATCAGGCTCCAGATTCTGCCTCTGGTTCTGATATCGAGACCCGACAACCGTTTCAATCCGTCGTCGACCCTGTTGCGGATATGTCTCCGCCCAGGTTCCCCAACAGCACCATACCGTCACCACGGTCAGATCAACAATACTTCTATCCAGTGCGGGCAAGCCCTCACTCGCCTTTACAGCAACGGCCGTGGACATCGGCTACGGCGACTCGCCCACATACGTCTCACACGTCTCATACCGCTCATCCTGGGCACCTTAGAAATCAGCCTTCGGCGATGGGAATGAGCATGTTGAGCAACGTCACAACAATGACGCAAGGCGGTACCAAAACCGTCAAGAAGAAGCGGAGCGCATTTGGATGGCTCAAAAAGGCATTCACACTGGACGAAGAGGAACGTGCAGAGTATGAAGCGAGGAGACAGCAACAGGCTCCTAATCCGTATTACGAAGGCCGCAGTCCAAAGTTCTTGGACGGGAAGCGCGTGGAAGAGTACAAGCGTTATCAATGATTCTGGCAAGGGTCAGATGCACCCTCCACGACTTGGCCGACGGTCGAACGAGAATTGAGATTTGTGGGACCCCGAATCTCGCGGCACAGAGACAAGCCATGTGTTCATCAGGCACCGAAAGCTTAACTTCGGATCATGGCACCTTGGTTGACGCACACGTATGCCCTCGGGTCGACCTGAAGCGCCGCACAGTGACACAGGGGTGGCACATGCCTTACTCTGGTCATACTGCGTACTCGTCGAGTGCCACGGCACATGATCCGATTCGGCCCCAGCACGTTACATCTTTTTTGATACCCCGTACGCGACAAATAACGCGATATCACAGCAATCCGCTTTTTTGCTTGACTAATAGAGCGCTCATCTGGAGGACATACTGGCTTCTCGCCTACTATCGTGGGAAGCACTTGATGAGCGCAATCGCAAAAAGCATTGTTGAGCCATCGTCGAAGATGAGAGGTTAGCCTTGGCTGGGGCTCTCTCACCCTGCTTTCTACAGCAGTAATGTGTAAATATGTAGGATACGATCTCTTTTTCAATGGGCATAGCGAAGGTATGGGGAGGGTCGATCTGGGTTTGTCGGCGATTTGGAAACCCCCGGAATCAGCTACCATGCTTCCTCGAGTAGGAAGATGGTTAAAAGCTTGAATCCGAAATACACAAAATAATCGACATTGAATGCATCTAGCCAGTCAGTCTTCTTGCGTGGTGAAATTTTTTGGATCTCGACAAGCACGTGCAGCAGACCTCATCATGCAGACAATTACATACTCATCTCAATTCTGCATTTCGTCTATATAAAGTTGCCGCGTATTGAATATTGCAATTCATACCACCCCTTTTCCATCTATTCGTGCTCACCCCGACTTCCGAGCTCACCTGTACCACACCATGCAGAGATCTGCTGTCGCGATCGGCTGTCACTCAGATGAAACGTGAAACAAGAAACGGGAGGCCGGCCCGGCGGTCACACCGTCCTGTGGTCCGTGGAAGGGAAGGCTGCGGTGATGGTGCGACTGCGTACGCGTGTGTTTGTGTTTGTGCGAGACACCTCGTGGAGTGTGGAAACCTGCTGTTTGTTTTGTTTGTTTCGATGCCGATGTTGAGGTCGAAGTTCTCGTTTGAAGATTCGTGGTCTGATATTGTCATTCTGTGGCTTCAAGGGAAGCTTTCTTATATCCAGCTGAAACGATACTATGGAAAGGTCGCAAGGACGCGTGATAGTCGCCGAGCTGCTGTGTAGCAGATATGCGTTTCTTTATCACTACCCAGACTTTTATGCACGGAACAATCTCAAATTTGTTTGTCACCATCTTCAAACTCCCACACCGCACAGTGCAGACCAGAAGCCTCGTCCGAGGCTTCCAGAAGCAGAGGGGGGGGCGTCGCTGGATCCGCGGCCGCCATGCCCCGATTAGGGAGCCAGCACGCGGTGGGCCCGGGATCATGCACTTCTGCAGTGGTGGGGTCCAGCGCCTCGGAACTGGACCCAGTTATGGTTTGGGGGCCGGCCCGGGGGCAGGTGGAGGTGCAGCTCAACGTCGCAACCAGGGAACCCACGATGGCAGACTGGATGGATCAATGCGACTGCTTTATTAGAGCCCCAGGCGCTTCGTGTGCAGGAAAGGCCGAGAGAAGTGCGCACCTGCATGATACCTTAGACAGCACATGTCAGCACTGAGCAATATCACTGAGCGCGGCAATGGGTCTGTAGCTTCAACATATCTATCCTGGTGTCGAAATATCCTACCTACGACCTACCTTATTTACTACCTTACTCTGTCTGCCGAGAAAGCCAAAACGCGAGTTTGAGCCTCGTCTTTTCCTGGCTGGCGGCGACTTCGACCTCACTCGATTGCCGAGGCTCGAGTCTGTTGCGGACTGTGAGCAGGTTACCTACCTAGTCGCACGCCACAAGACAGACAAGACACGCCGCTCCCTACCACTCTATGGGACGCAACCTGTGGTTCATGTAGTCCTCAGACTGCCGTCTTCGACTCTTCCTACTTCGCCTGCTTTGCCTTTCACCTGTCGCTCGTGTGATCACACCGTTTGTCGTGGAGACCTTGCTGTCGCCATCGTCGCTGCCGTCAACCATTTGAAACACCGAACACCGGCTCGAAATGCGGTCGGGAACGAGTCGATCAACCATGGCGGGGACTTTTAGATTCGGGACGGACCTTTGGGACCCTTCGCACCGCTTCGAGACGTCGTGGCTGGTGTCGCCGTATGTGCTATTCGTCCTTCGGGCGCTCATGGTGAGTCCTGCTGATTTCCTTACTATGAGCGTTCGACCTGTGTATGGCGAGATGGCAGCCCTTGATCGCTGGATGCGGAGTGTATCATGGAGGAGCACGAGCACGTCCTGGCGCATCGTAAAAGAAACGACAGAGAGAAGATACACAGACTGACCGAGACCTCCTCGACCACAGGCACTCTACGCATTCACGGTCCTCCTATTCAACATCGGGTACCAGTGCGCGCGGCCCGCGCTCGGCGGCTGCGAGGCGTCGCGGTCCAGCTTCTCGTACTTCACGACGCTAACGTACTGGGGCATCGCCTTCTACATGCTGGCGGCAGCCATCCACACCTTCACCTATGCGCGCTACAACCACTCGCTGCTCGACCGCTTCCCGCGGCCCCTGCAGGCCCTGCACGCGCTCTTCTACAGCTCCATCGTCACCTACCCCTTCCTCGTCACCGCCGTATACTGGGCCATCCTGTATGGTCCCTCTTGGTTTCCAAACTCGTATCAGGCTTGGAGCAATATCAGCCAGCACGCGATGAATTCGCTGTTTGCGCTGATTGAGATCGTGCTGCCGCGCACGAATCCTATGCCGCCGGTGCATATGCTCTGGCTCGTCGTCATTCTGGCATGCTACTTGGCCCTGGCCTACGTCACACATGCCACCAAGGGCTTCTACACGTACAGCTTCCTCGATCCGGTGAAGACCGGTAACCTGGTCGCCGCCTACGTCTTCGGCATCGCGGTTGCCATTCTCGTCATCTTTGGTATAGTCTGGTGCCTCGTCTGGGCGCGCCGCTGGCTTACCGAGCGCAAGTTGGGGCTGGACGGCCGCTTTGCGAAGGGCTCTGGCGCTGGCTCGTGGCGCGGTCGCGACGTGGAGGTCGGGGGCCACGAGTTGGGTAGTCGCGATGGGCCGAAGTGAGTTCGCTTGGGGGCGTACAACGTGGGTGTCCGCGGGAGAGAGGAATGGGTAGAGAGTTGCTTACCTACCTACCTACCTTATGTCTATAACTAGCGTTCTCGTACATGATATACGATACCCCTTACATGATCAATTCACAGTTCCTATTATACGTTTTTGCGTGGACCTCGTAAGACCCGTCATCTTGGCTGTAGACGCTCGTATGAAGCAACTGGCAGCTGGCCGAAGCTGTGATGTGCTACAGTCCAGTCTCTGTCTTGGTCACGGGTATGTATACAGAATCAAAACAGCACGTTTCCACTGCAAGTGCTCTCGTCGACAGCCCGTACCCTGTATGTAGGTAGGTACAGTTTCCCTCCCTCCACAATTCGAAGTCTCCAGCACCCGTGCCCAATAAATGACCCTATCACATTGCACGTCTGCAAATTAAAGCGAGAATGGGGAGGGCAGTTCAGTTCCTCTGATCCTAATACGTAGAAAAGAAACACACTCCTCCTGCTCCTTCGTCACCAAATTGGCAGGTATTCTGGGCATATACTTGACTTTGAGTCTTCGGGTGAGAGCTCCTTCTCATGAAACAGTCTTCCACGAACGGATATGATACACTATAGCGAATATTGAAGCCCCAGCTGCCGCCCTGCTGCTGCTGCTGCTGCTGCTGCTGCTGACGAGATACATCCTCCAAGAGCCCAGTCGTCGAGATCCACCGAGAATAAGATGAAGATGACTCACTGGGGGTTAAGACAGTCGATTGGATTTGGTGCTCTTTTGGTATGAATGAACTCCGCGCGTAAGAGCCGGTATCCGTCGTTTGATACCTCGCGAGTAATGCCCTCACCTTCGTATAGTTTTTCCGTTCCCAGCCTAAGCTGGTTGTCTGGGCCAAACTGCCGTTAATGCCGCACTCATAGGTCTGCATTTGGCAAGAACCAATTGCAAACTATTACAGGACCGCAAAGCTGCCAAGCCCAAAACCCATGGACGAGAGAGCCCCTGTTGGTACTGGAGTGAGGCAGCAGACGATGGCGATGTCTTCAGAGGTAGACCTAGTGGTACGAGATATGCACTTTGTGACCAGTCCAGTGTCTATATTACTCTGTTGTCATGAAATGCTGTCCGTCACGTTCATTGCAGGCTCATTAAGACGGCAAGTACTGGCAGAAACAGCGCGATGGGTTTGGCTACTGTGACTGCACATGAACTAGAGCTTCTCTTGGACGACTTCCGCTGTCATCTGAGGCGTGCACAGACCAGACACAGCCGAAAGTATCCCATCAATAAGTTTGAATACAATATTGTGCGATATGTCTATCATTCATGTAAGCCGCCCATATCGTCTACACTGCGGAAGCCCGCAAGGGATATCTAGAAGGGGTTACGTAAAGCGAAAAGAGGCGGGCTTAATACCCGCATCAGCATTTAATATTGATACCCTGCCTTATCTCATTCTCCCGCCCCTCGAACATGACTTGCACGCCCGCGAAGAATGAGAGCCAAGCTCCCACCATGAAGACCCATCCTAGTGTAAAAAGATCAGATTGATACCAAGTGATACGCAGAGTGAAAGGAAGACTTACCCATGTAGTGCTGGAAGATACTGGCAACGATCGACTTCAGGCCGTCGATACCGAACGCGAACCCGACGAGGTTGGCCGTCATCATCATGAAGATGTTGAAGACAGCCCCGATGCAGCAGATCATGCGATACGCCGTGGGCCGCGTCTCCCACTTGCGCCGCGGGAAGAGAAGCCCGGCCATCATCTCGGGCAGCATGAAGAAGACGATGAGCCAGCCCCAGATCAGCAGGTTCATCTGGATGTCGTGCCACAATGCGACGAACGTGAAGACGAGGATGTACGTCAGCACGGACCGGGCGGCATCCTTGCCGGTGCGGAAACTCGACCCGCCCAGTGGTACGTATATATAGCGGATCGACCACCGGTAAAAACTGCGGTGCCAGCTGCGCCAGAAAGCCAGCGTGCTCCAGTTGTTGCTCACGCAGCGGATCATGTTCTCGGGCGGATCGATGCCGTCGACCAATGACCAGAGCCGGAAGAGCCGCCACGGCAGCAGCAGCTTCAGCCAGATCATGTGCAGGTTGAAGTAGCTGAGCGTGCAAAGCTGTGCAGCCGTGTACTCACCCCACACCGGCTCGGCTTTGGATATAGCTTGCACATAGTCGAAGTGCAGGGCCACTTCCATTGCCAGCAGTGTGAGAGCTAAGCGCACGGCGTAACGGATAATCCGCGACGTCTCGATGCTGGCTGGCTTATATCGGGCCTGCGAGATGAAGTCATTGAAGGTGATGATTGGTCCCGTGAGATAAAGGGGCGCGTAGATGACATAGGCAACGTAATTGCGAAGTGAGAAGTCCTTTGCTTGCGCGGGGATGGAAACACGATCTCGCTCACTTAGGGAGGATGGGTCCAGCTGCTTCTTCTTGGGGTCATCAGGACTGTTTAGCCAGTCGACATGGTGTGGTACACTGTGGGACTCACCTCGATCGGACTGTAACTCCGCCTGTCCAGACTCCAGTAATAGTCCAAGTTGAAGCTGATCAGACGCAGGATAGTAATGTTGAACAGGATCTCCCAGCGACCCATAAGTCCGCCATAGCTGTCAAGCCATTGGCCCCAAGCGATCAACGTTCCACCAGACTCCGGAAGTGATTCACCAGTCGCCGGCGATGAGACGAGAGAAGCCAAATACTCGAACCTGTAACCACTGCCCAGATCGTTTGCGAACAACACCCCAACATTGAAGATCCACGTGGCAGCCGGCACATACTTGCGGGGCAGTTTCGTCGCAACCTGATAGTTCAGATAGAGAATGGCGAGGACCTTGAACGCTGAGACGCCGTGCAGCGCGACAAGGTATATAAGGGCGAATCCGAAATCGAACGACGCCCGCTGATTTAACCTCTGGTCTGCCTCTTCTAGTGTCGGCCGCGACGTCTCCCCACACGACTTGACCGGATACACAATCGAGTTATACAGGCGTCGTAGGAGAGGGTGGAAGACAAGGAGGGCTGCCATGTAAGGCAGGTTCACTCGAAACGTATTGTATTGGGGATCTGAAATGTCCTTGAAGCCGTTAGTGCGGATCGCTCGCCTCAGCTCTGGAAGATGCTTACGATCTTGCGACCTGGAACCCATCCCTCCGAAAGCCAGGGCTCATACTTGGGGTACCTGGGGTCGTCCGCTACAAGTATGTGTCAACCGCCTGGAGTGCACGGCGCTGCGACTAGCAGTAGAAGGACATACTTCTTGATGCCTGATAACCGATCCAGAAGATAGCTGCAATCGTCATGCCGACAACGATGCGGTAGACTATGAACTCGGGCGTGTTCCATAACGCGGACTGCGGTCGGTCGTTCCACTTGGAAGCTCGTTCCGTACTGGCCGTCTCGTCATTGCGGGCTTCTATGACGGTCTTGTAGGGGATCGAGGACGGGTTCGTGAAGCGGGTGTCGAGGGTATCGAGTTTATAGGTGGTCCGGAGTTCAGCGAGAGCGTCCATTGTGAATGTCTGCCGGGCGGTTGCGCCTGTCCAATTGAAGAAGCAGTCTCAAGGCATGGGGACCATCCAGAGATCTATCCGATGCGACACCGGGAACGGGGCTGCTGAAGGGGCGCGAAAGCAGCAGTCGAATCGTGAGTGTGGTCGGAGTTCGAGGTGAGGCACAGCCCCGTTCGGTGGGATCCTTCAGGGTGTTCAGGAGACGCGGCGGGCCAGCGCGAGTGGGCTTTCCGCTAAACTTTAAAGTGGACCCGGCTGGTGCTTATCAAAAAGGGGGGCAAAACGGTGGGACCGGACCTACCCCACACCGCCCGGGCCGCTCTACGCATGTACTCTCGTACCTCCGTCTTCAATGTTATCTCGCATCTCCCCAGGGCGTGCAGGTGAGCAAACGGGCAAACAACATTCAGGGGCAGACAGAGTTGGCAACATTCGAGACCAAGGCAGCCAGTCCCGTGTCTTCACCAAGAGGCAGTCGGGTGCACTCGCTCTAATTTGCTGACACACTTGGATACATACACTGGAAAGGTGGCAACTGGCAACTGGCAACTGGCAATGGGCAAGACAAAACCGAGCTTCGGCAGCAAATCTATCGCCTTCAGACACAAGCCAACGCAACAGACGTCGGCCCCATCAAAATGGAGACCGCAGGGCCCGTTCCGCTTCTTCGACCTGCCACCCGAGCTCAGAACCCGCATACTCGAGTTCGCCATTCTCGAGTGGGATTCCCACAAGGAGGTACTGCACGTGTTCCTGACATGCCGAAGGTTGTACGATGAAGCAGCCTCCATGTTCTACCGTGAGGTCATGCTCGACAACACCCAGCTGAGAGGGACGGCAGACCCCTTTCTCATAGGACCGCTCACTCCGCTATCGCCCCGCATCCACGTGCGGACCCTGATGATCAGCTTCTGCCTGGAAGACCAGATCCCGTCGTTCAACGACCTGTACGGGTCGGCATTGCGGGCCATGGCAGACGAAGGCAACCTCGATCGTGTACGGCTGCACATCGAGTCGCGATTCCCCTCCGACGACTTCTGGGGCGCTGGTGATGGCGATGGTCTGTTCTGCGAGGACGAAGTTCGGCTCCTGACGGGAAAGCACCGGGAGAAGGAGATCTGGGCGCCGGCCTTCGTGGCCGAGGCTCCCTTTCAGAGCTTCTTGGTACGTATAAAAACATACCGTCACAGGACCCTGAGCCTTGCTTTCGAGAACAAGCTTTGTTGTCCCCTTACCTTCTTCATCTAGAAATTTGCCATACGGGTTTAAAGACAGGATGTTAACGTACACGCAGAAGTTCCTGGGCCACTCGGGGATTCGGAAGGTCTCCCTGCTTGTTGCTAGTGAGGACCATTACAAGTTCTGGTGCACGTTTCACCGGGTCCATCCATCGGGGGTCGTATGTGATGGGGAGTGGGGAGGTAGGGCGAAGCTCCTAAGGGTGAACCGGAAGCGCCTGATCAAGTCTCTCAGAGGGGCCCATGTTGCTTGAAGATGGCATTGGAGACTCTGGATCTTGGTGCACTGATCAACAGGTACCTACCTGCCTGAGCTCTGCAGCAAGACTTGTCACGCTGCCGCTGGTGCTGGGCGTGTTCTCCGAGGCGATTTCGGAATGCTTGAATTCACCCGGGGCATATCCGTGGATCACGACACGCACTCGTGCTATAAATTTAACTCATGGAGAAGTACAGGTTCAACATCCAGAGACAATCCTGACAGTCATTCACCCTCAAGCAAGATACCATCGATATATACCCGATCTAACGGCATGGTATTCATGTTTCCGAGATTGGCGAGGGGGGGAAGCTGTTTAGTACGCTATAAGGAAACCCCATTGACATTCACCCCAGTTAAATTGCGCTCGTTATCTGCTGGTGAAGTTTCAACACCATTCCGGGAAATTCCTCAAGAACGCGAGAGTGAAGAATCGAACAATACCTTCAGCTGCATCTTACTGCAATACCCAATTGGACCTCGCCTACTCATACGGGCATCCTATCTGCTCCTGCCTTGGAATACTGTTCCTGAGCAAGGACCATCCAACCTTGCACAAGTAGGTGCTCAAGTATACGCAGTATACATCGCAATAGTAGCGCATACCGTCGACTCACGGGTGCATCCAAGACCTTCGAGACAGCTACTTCGGGCGACATTGATATGCCATGGTTCGAAGGCCTCCGGTAATGACATGTCGTCGGAATAACTCCACAGAAGTGGGTGTTGAATGAGCGGGACCCCTGTCCCGTTTCAGGTTGAAAGCTGGGGTCATCTATTCGGGAACGTCAACCTGGTAGCAGGCATCTACAACCATGGGCCCGTACTGCTAGGGACGCGCTCCTTGGATGAAATATGTCCTACCAGTGACGGATTGGTGGATTGTTGAAGGCCGGCCCCCGTTTCGCAATTACATCACAATATGGGAACTGGTATATAAGGAGTTGAGGGCCTCACTCATGTTTACTTCTCAACACCGCTTGACATCCAGTCGCATTTCGACGTTCCGTTCTTTCGCTCAGAGAGCTTCCATTCCTTCATTCCGTCATTCGCTTCTAGTTCGTCACTGCCAAAGTATTTCACAATGCACCCATCTCTTCTCCTCGCGCTCCCTGCCTTGGCAGCAGGCATGCCCTCCGCCTTATCCCGCCGAGCAACGTCAGCAGAGCCGACGTCAACCTACTGCGGCGCGCCCAACGCCTACGAAGTCATCTCAGGAACGCCCTGGATCGTGTTCTCGATGAACTACAACTACCAGGACATCAGCGGCTCCTGCTGCACGGGCTACTACGACGTCTCGGGGTCCGGCGACGTCCAGACCATCCACTGGAGCAGCATCTGGGACATCGACCCGGACGTCGACGCCAACGTCGTCAAGGGCTACTCGTTCGTGGGTTTGACGCAGAACCTCGAGACGCGGTTGAGCGATATCGCGAGCATCCCGAGCACGTACAACTGGAGCGTGGACAACTCTACTGCGTATAAAGGTACGTTACGCCATCTCCCCGCCCACCCCAGTTCTCTCAGGGAGAGCAGCCTCCTGCTTCCGGCGGATCGAGTTTCTTAGGAATCTCAAAATAATCATGATGGAACCCCATGCTGACCCCGACCAGGCAACGTAGTCTACGACTTCATGACCTCGGACACGCAAGGCGACAGCACCTCCAGCGCAGCGCAGGAGCTGATGCTCTGGCTGCACTACGAGGGCGGGCAGACGCCCCTGGGCTACAACGACGGCGTCGTCGCCACCATCGACAACCTCTACGGCAAGGACGGCTGGCAGCTGTACCAGGGCCTCAACACCGGCACGGGCATCATGGTGTCGTCGCTGCTGGCGCCCGCCGCCGATCAGTTTGATGGTGTCTTCGAGGGCAACGTTAGGGACTGGCTGCTCGCGCTCGTCGACCAGGGCTTGTTTGCGGAGACTACTTATGTCAATGTGGGCAATGCGGGCATGGAGCCGTTTTGGGGCACCGTCACTTTTGATAGTACGCTGGGGTTGCGGATTGATGTTTGAGGCTGAGGTTTGGTGTGTTGTTTGAGATGGTAGGGGGTTTGACATGGTGTGGTTTGGAGCTGGTTTGCTGAGGGCCTTGTCGGTGACTGTTCTACATCTTTACAGGCATTCTGTTCACCTGCTTGGTATTCTGGAGTCTCGCCGACTAGTTGCAGAAGATCAGGATAGTTTCGGTCATCATGCATTTATCACAGCTACCCACTGGTTGTTTTCTTCTTCATCTTCCCCTGCACAATTTACAAACTATCGAGATAACGACGGCGAGGATTATGTCCTAACAATCCACACGTCCACAAACCCAACGTTACTGTTCGCTGCACTCTGCCTGTCTGAAGAATGCCGCGACCTGGCTCGACTCGTAATCCCGCAGGAGATCCCTCCGGATCCGCCGGTTAGTCAGCATATCGTTGGCCGTCACTCCGCCCTCAGCGGCCTCAGCGGCGAGCTCAGCTGCGATCTGCGCATCAAGCTCCGGTCTTCGTCTGTAGATGAGCCCGACAGCCTGCCGGTCTGGCATGATGCTCCAGCCCTTCGGGGGGCCACGCCGCCCCGGCGGTTTGCATACGCATTCCATCCATGCTGGACGACGGGTGGGCACAAGGAACTGCTCTTCAGTCAAAGCACTTTGGTGGGATTGAGCCCCATCGGGGCCACCATCGTGACGAGCGGCGGATTCAAGTGAGGTATCCTACTCGTGCAATAATGATGGGGGACAGTCTCAAGATTGTGGTTGCGTACACGACGTGATCGCGGAGTGGAGAGGTATCGAAAGAGATGGTGGAAGAATGGAAGCGAGTTGCGTTGTTGCTCTGCAGCAAGTTGCTGGCAATGCTGAAAAATGAATGAAGACGCAGCTCAACTTCCAGCGAGAAGGTTTGGCATTACAGGGCTGTGAAGGCGGAGTGAATAACAGCAGCTGGTGCGCTTGCGGTTGCTGTGGGGGCATGGAGTTGCGTGGGATTACACCCCATCGAGGTTTTCCAAGAGATGCGTATCTTTCCCAGAGACGCGCATCGTTCCTTATGCAATAGCCAAGTTGCACTGTGATGTTTCAGCGAGATTTGCGTGGTAGGTCCCACCCCCTATCAACTGCGGTGTGGTAAACCTTTCTAGCTTCTACAGTCAATGTGCTGAACAGGGAAAAGTACACAAGTTCTTCAGGCAACATAACACCACAGAATGGAGCATTGTGGTTGATCAACACGCCAATAATAGAGTCCTTAACACCCTCACGAGAAACACGTAGCTTGAGTAACCGATGTATATACATAGGCTAGTTTTCGCAAAACTGTAACACATTAATAACTTCCCATCAACTGACGTGCAGGCCCTAGTCCGCAGTCACATTGTCTATATTCTCAGAAGTTGGTCTTGAGTGTCTGCGTCCTCTGCCCAGACCAGTGACATACTGATGGGTGTGAAGGGGAGACGCGAATCTGCAATGGAACATCTCGTGCTAGCATGCATGAAGTACACGAGAAGTAACTTACACAAACCACATAAGTCCAAGCTCAAGTAAGGCACGCTTGGGGGGTGGGGGGGACCTCAGAAGCAAACATCACCTACGTTGTATCTGGACTATCACTGTCACGGGGCGTCGCCATATTAGGCTCTCACAAGTGATACATAGTTGGATAGAGCAGTGTATGCTTGTATGTATATTTGCTGCAAAGGTGTGCCATGTTAGTCTTCCTATACGTGCCCTAGCCTACGGAGGGGGAAAGAAAGTATGTTGTCATATAATGGCCTTACTGTCCTGCATTTGCCGTTCTGAAGCGTGTTACAACGATTTAGAGGATGTTCTAAAGTTCACCATATCATGTACAACTCAGTATCGCACCAAGGCACTTATCCACAAGTTAAGACTTACTCCATGTTTAACCCGTAGCCCGCGACCATCTAAAAGGACTCCGAAGAAGGTGAATGAATTGTCCACGCTCTCCCATTTAGCACCTATAGTCAGGGCACCAGAGATTCGATGTGCATCGGCTCATCGAGGAAGTACCATCTTCAGTACATCCAGGACTCATGGCTCTAGTTTGTAGGCTCGTTCCTGACCTTCGGTTGAGTAAAAGCATTGTTCGCCAAGAAGCTGTCTGGGACAAAGGTAACATTTACGATATCCCGAAACGTCAGTATCCTCGCATTCTCTTTGCCAAATTGCTGGACCAATGGGAATACTACTATCGTTGAGAACATAGGAACTAAAAGAACATAATAAATAAGAGAACATAGGAACTAAGAGAACATAGGAACTAAGAGAACATAGGAACTAAGAGAACATAGGAACTAAGAGAACATAGGAACTAAGAGAACATAGGAACTAAGAGAACATAGGAACCAAATTGGGCCGTCTGAAAGAGAACGCAGAGAATGCCATTATCCATATTCTATAGAAATAGCTGGTCATCCGTGCTAGAAAGGAAAGCCACGATAACATCATCACTATGACATTGTTCGTGCTCTCTTCGCCTAAGAGCCCAAACGCAAACAAGAATCAGAACTCGTCAAAGAAGCAAGCCCTAGGTAAGCTGTAGAAATCATTTCGAAAACCCATCCATGCGGCCTCTGGCCCCGCGGAAGAATGAGGCACTCCGTCACCTCAAACGGATAGCAGACAACCGATGGAGGATAGACCCAGTCGCGGACGTATCTTATGACCTACTGACCAATGACCTGATATACAGCGCCCGGGACATCGCTCGGCTAGTCAAGGTTCACTCGGAAGGCACTAAGACCAGGACAACGAGCACGGCTGTCCAAAACCTCCACGACACGTACCTGAAATACGCGGCCGAGGAAGACCTGCAAGAAAATGTCGAGCTGATGACCGAGGCCCTCACGAGGTGCATGTGGCACTTCGACCAGACGTTCTTCTTCGGCCTCATGCGGCGCCACGTGCGGCACGCCGGCAGCCAGCCCGCCCACAACCCGAAACTTGCAGGTGGTCTGGCCCGCTACGAACTAATCAACCTCGACGTCAGAGACCGCATGCACCGCACCCTCAAGGCGCAGTGGGACCCGACCATCGACCACATCATCATCTGGGTGCGCGACGCGGACGGGAACCTGCGCGATTTCGACGAGCTGCTGGGCGATATGCTGCACGAGATGTGCCACGCGTGGATGGACCGCTTCTCGGACTCGATGGACGAGCGCCACGAGCGCTGGGTCGATCTCGATGACGGCCACGGCGAGATGTTCTGGAATCTGCTTGTTTTTGTGCTGCAGAGGGCGCATGGGTGGCTGGGCGGCGCTGCGTTGCTGAGGATGCGGGATGAGGCGCGTCGGGATTGGACGGAGGCTCGTGCGCGGGAGGTGTAGAGCACCGTAAGCGGCAGATGCGAAAGTTATTTAAAGTTGATAGCGAGGAAAGGTGTTTGGGTAGATGAAGGTACATTAGAAAAAGGCCATGTAAATATGTTTATATAAATATACAATGTTGTTGGTAACATGCAACCTCCTATTGATCCATCCGATAACCCTGGGGAGTGAACCCAATCCGTCATAACCGCTGTGAAAACATTGAATTGTCCCAACGCCGGCCTCATGATAGTACACTGTCAAGACCCGCGATCGGCGGCCGACGGTTCCGCTCCCAGCAAGTCCGTCCCAAGACGCGAATGAAAGGGTAAGCTGCCGAGCCGGCCAGGTAAGTTATAGACTCGCCCGCAAGTCCATCACCCTGGTCCACGAACTCCGGCAATTGCCCATCGAACGCCCGAAATGAATTCAAATCAAACATGCCCCCCTCGGGCTCACTCAAGAGCTTTCATCTTGTCCGTGCCGATCGCGTGCGACTGAGTCGAAGAAACCACCAACAGATGACAAAATTTACTTGTTCAAGAAGCTCACCGGCCGGCGTCCGTCGCCGTATACCGAGTAGCCGAGGTGGCACTATAAGCCTGCGAAGCGGCCTCCAGGTCCTGCAGGCTCGAGCGGTCGCCATAGGCGCTCTCCAGGGCCTTCATCATGGAGACCGTCTCGGCGTACCTCGCGTCGCGCTGCGCCGAGAGTTGGGCTCCGACGTAGTATGCTGTTCATGGAAGGTTAGTAATTAGTAACGTACGGTACGGTCATACGAAGGCTGAAGAGCGGGTAGGGAAAGGGGTGGGGTGATAGGGGGGACAGGGGGATAGGGATTTTGGGTAAGATGGGACTGGACATACCGAGTCCTGCTGCTGCGGCAAGGGGTACTAATCTTGCGGCCATGGGCATCCTTCTGGGTGCGGACCGCGCCGCCTTGGCGACGGTCTGGGGGAAGTCGAAGGTGGGAAGGGCGGATCCGTATGAGTTGGTTGTCATAGCTGGGTTGCTGATGATGACGATCTGTCGCTGATGGAGTTTGTGATATATCAGATGCGGTTGAACTGGGGGTAGGTGATGTGTGGTTGTCCAGTCGCACTTGGCAGTTTGGGCGGAAAAGTGATTGCCGTTGGGATAGTGAGTATACCGTGTAGTAGTAGCTGGAGTTGGTTGTGAGGTGTTGGTGAGCAGTTGGATATGTTTTTCGACCAGCGGCTCTTATTATTATTAATATGGTGATCGAGCTCACTCTCACGTATGATCGCACATCCCGATTCATTATCGACACAACGCCGAGAGGAAGCGTGTTGAGCGGGAGTTTCAGGGTGGTAGGAGGGTGGAATGGCGGTAGTCCCACCGTCGTATGATGGATCATGGATGTGGCCTGACCGAGCGCGATTGACAGGCGACGCCGGTGCTGCGCGCCATGCCAAGCTCACAATTAACAGCACAGAAATGCTGTGGGCAGTGCTATGTTAACCCTGTATATAAATCAAGCTTTGCAACATGACTTACGTGCCACATGCAAACACATGACTTCGGACGACTTTGAGTCTGTCTTGTCTTGGTACGTGCTATGCCAAGTCGCACCACCCACGATCCCTACACCGGCCTCATCTGACCCTCTGCCCACTCAGATAACAAACAACCTGTCAGGATTCTCACTTGCGGTTCACAACTCACACACAGTCTTGCTATGGTCTAATTGAGGCTCTGACGGTGCTGCTTCGAAGGGGATCTCACGAGGAGGCTCCTGCGTCGAGATGGGGGTTGGGGGGGGGGGGTGGGTGCTTACATGCCTTGGAGCCGCAAGCCCTCCGCGTAAGACCCTGGCAGCGAGCTGAGTAGGGTATTGTATTCTTGACTGACTTGGGGGGCGTTCGTACATGGCGGGAATATTTCCCCCCACGTTCCTCAGCGGAGATCGATGAATTAACGTTATAATACAAGGGGAGCCCGGAGGCGGCCGGGTCCGTTGTCTTGGCCCATTCCGTCCATCCCATTTCTTCCCCCAATTTGCCGGGGACGCATGAGCTTTGCTTCTTCCCGCATGAGCATCGCAACAAAGTTTAGTTCTTGTTGATCTCTCTTATTATTAGTCGGACGATCTGTGTTCCGGTATCAAACTGTAGCACATGCACGTCATCTGGTCGAATTGGATATGGTCGATGACTTGCATCGGAAGAAGATTTAGCTAGACTAGTTGACGTTCGCTTGACACAAATTAGTGACTTGTACAAGTGGTTGGAGGGCACCACTCCTCGCAGACAACATGGAGTTCATCGGGTCAAGATTACAAGCAGCCCGACCCCTGTGGTAGTAAGTTGAGAGATATTCTATTATTACTGCCGTCTATCTATTAAGTAGATTTCTCGGCTGATGACCGGTCTGCATCCGCACCATCCGGTTTAAGACTCTTCAACCCGGTCTTATGTTCCGTATGTTGGTTGCTGAGCTTCCGCTGGCCAACAAGGGGGCTGATGAGGAGCCCTGCGGCAGCGAACGCCGTGTACATAATCCACAGATCTCTCAGACTGTTCCAGTACGCCGTCCTGGCCACTGTGCCCTCATGTCCTTGCAGAGACGCGACCAGCTCCACGCTTCCACCCGCATTGCCGCCCGACAACTGGTTCGCCAGCTCAGGGCCGAGTTCAGCCAGCAGGTGCGGGTACTGCCTGTTCATCCCGTTCTGGAACACGACTCCGCCAATGACGACGGATATGGACGTCGCGAGCTGGCGGATGAACTGGAACGTGCCGGTGGCGGAGGCGATCTCGTGCGGCTCGACGCTCGACTGCAGCGCGATCAGGGGCGACTGGAAGTTGGGCCCGACGCCGATCCCGGCTATGATCTGGAACACGATCAACTTGGCCCAGCTGACCTCGGCGCCCAGGGCGATGAAGAGCCCGAAGCCGAGGGTCAGGAAGAACATGCCCAAGATGATGGCGGGCAGGTACTTGCCCGTCTTCTTCATCCAGATACCCGTGCCCGCCGAGACGAAAGACAGCGAGAGGGCAAACGGAAGCAGGTAGACACCAGACAGAAGGGACGAGGCGCCGATGACCGCTTGGAAGTACAGGGGTAGATAGTAAGAGCCCGAGATGAAAACTGCACCGTGGCTCAAACAGATGCCGAAGACGGCCATGTTTCTCTTGTCCTGGAATAGCCGCAGTGGGATGACCGGGTATTTTGCGACGTACTTCTCGACGAGGATGAAGAGCACGAAAGTGACGATGCCGAATACGATGAGGCAGATGACAGTGGCCGAGGCCCAAGGATAGGAGACGCCACCGAATTCCAGGCCGAATAGGAACATGAGGGTCGCACCGATGACCAGGGCACTTCCCAGCCAGTCGATGGCAGCCAAGCCCTGGCGTACCGATGTTCTGGGATTGTGCAGCTTAAGCACAAATACCAAAATCACGAAGCCTGCGCCGCTGATGGGCAGGTTGACGTAAAAACACCAGCGCCAGGTGACCTAATCAGAAACCGGAGTTAGCAGCCAATTGATTTGCTTGGCATCGCAACCGCCCGAGGTGCTTTGCATCCGCTGACGAGATGCAAGGGGTAGTCCAGCAACTATAATGAACTTACCTTCGAAGTGAAGACACCACCAAGAATCGGTCCAATCGCTGACGCGATAGCCCAAACCACCCCAAATATGCCATAGTACTGTCCGCGCTGACGTACCGACACCAAGTCTCCAACGCAGATGTTGGTGAGCACGACAATGCCGCCACCGCCAGCTCCCTGAATCGCGCGACCAGCGATCAACATGCCGATATTCACACTGAGCGCACATATGAGCGACCCAATCCAGAAGATACCAACCGCTGTCAGCAAGACGGGCTTGCGCCCCCAGATGTCGCTGATCTTGCCCCACGACGGCACCGTCGCCGAGTTGGCCAGCAGGTAGGCGGCGCCGATCCACGTGTAGCCCGACGGCGAATTGAACTGGCCGACGATGGTCGGGATCGCGGTCGTGATGATGGTGACGTCGAGAGCAGCTAGGAACAACGCCGAGCATAGCGCAAACATGATCAGGGACATTTGCAGTTTCGTTCGCTGCGCCGGTCCGGCCTCTTTGCCCGCGGCAGGCGTCGTGCCATTCTCGTTTGGCGTCGACTCGGTCGCGGCAGGGGCTTGCGCATTGGTGTCGCGCATCGTCTCGTCGCTCAACGTTGATGTCTCGTTGGAGCTGTCCTGGGCGTTCGCGGGCGCATGGAGCCCTGCATTTTGCTCGACATCGATGACTTTCTCGTCGTCGCGGAGCCCACCGGGTCGATGCTCCTCTGTCGCCATCGCTTGAGAGAGGGAGACGGAGAGGGAGAGGTCGGTTCGTCTGCAGTTGTTCCGTCGAGGTCTATGTGACTGGCTGGTTGAGGACTGCGAACAGGAGTGCCAAGTAACGGGAAGCTAGCGGGAGACCAAAAACATTTATATCTGGGGATTGGGGTATAGTAGCTCGGGCAGCGGAGACCGGTCTTCGGGTAAGATGATAAGATCCCTAATCTCGCCTCATCCAGCAGCCGAGGCCTATGACCAGTGAGTCTATGACGGGTTGGAATGTTCCGATGTAACAACGGCAGAACCATTTCGTAGTATTGCTCCCATTTCTTTTTCGCATGCAGGATTCGGCGTTAGGACAGCGGTCAGTATGCAAAGCCGAGCGAAGTGCGTTCCAGTTGTGCTCGTAGACCGAGCCCGAGCTCAGCGGCGGCACAGCGGCACGGCCGGGGCACGCCAGCGATGGTGGCCTAGCAACCATTAGACTGCCCTTAGCTGGAGTATTAGTAACAACAGAATAAACAGATCAAACGTACGATTCGTATGCGATAAGCGAATGCGAGAGTGAAAGAAGCAGGTCTCGACGGCTCGCTTCCAGTCATTCGACCGTCCCTGGAGAGGTTGCTGTCAGCTTGCTCTCAGCCAGCTGCTCGCTGTGGAGAACGAAGCGAGGTCCGATGGCCTGCGATTGTTATCTCCGAGACGACTAGATCCCCCCTACTATGTATAAAGCCCCGGTACCTCCGGTACATCCGATTCTGTGTGTTGCCCCCTTTCGAAGCGAAAGCTACCGCAACTGCATAAACTCATTCCGACGCTGATTGCTTCGTGAAGACCATGGTTCGACATTGACATTTATCACCAACTTGGTGATACGGCATAATGGTCAAGGTTTTCTGTTCAAGATTATCTAAGCGTGTTTTTAACAACTACCAGGTTTACGAACTTACCATGCCCCACCCACCACTCGGCCACCCCCACCACCCGGACTGCAAAATCTACTGCCACACACCAAAACATCAACAACTTCACTTATACCGAATCCAGCTGTTTTTGAAGGGATTCGCGATGTAATTAGTTCGCTGAATAGCTCTTTTCTTGAGGTTTACCCCAATATAGATCCTTTTAGCCAGACCCGGCAATGAGGGGTCCCCCCGCCCGTGATTTCTACCCCTCATAAGGGCAAATTTGCCCTTTATTCACCTGTTCTTTTCTTCTTTTATATACAATGTAGCATCATGACTCCCAAAATGCCTTTTTATACGGAGGATACTATGGCAGATGCCGTACTAGATGTCACCGATAACAAGTTGTCGGTCCAAAAATCCGCTCGGAAATGGGGTATCCCTAAGCAGATGCTATCTGACCGCCTCAACGGCAAACCTTCAAAGGGAGAGACGCATCAGCCAAAAAGAAGACTATCCGACAAGCATGAAACACGCCTAGCCCAGTGGATACTTCGTCAGGAGTCTCTGGGGCTCGCCCCATTGCATAGCGCCGTCAAGGCAATCGTTCAGGCTACCTCCAAGATAAACGGCATCACTAAGACAGTTGGAAAGAACTGGATGGATGGATTTCTTCGCCGTAACCCCCAAATAAAGACAAAAATTGGCCGCAGACAGGAAGCTGCTTAATTTAAGGGCTTTATGCCGAAATCTGTTAACTAGTATTTTGATCATCGCGAGGATTTTGATTGGGTAAAGCCCCAGAATATGTACAACGTAGATAAGGGCGGTATCATGGCGGGTTTTGGTACGGGAAAGCCCCTGAATAATCCCTGAATAATCTCCTGTTAACTTTATCCATTAACTAACCTATTTAGGGCTTGATGGTCTTGTTTTGAGCAGTACGGAGACAAAAAAGACCTTCTTAAAGAGCGACCAAGGCCGCGGCTGGACCTCCTTCATTGAGGCCATCTCCGCTACGGGCAAGGCTCTTACGCCAGGCATTATATTTAAAGGAAAAGATCTCCAGGCCCAGTGGTTCCTTCAGGGGTTCAAAGAGATTGCCCCTTGGCATTATATATGCACTGATAATGGCTGGACAGATAACGCAGTTGCCGTGGAGTGGTTGGAAAGTGTTTTCCTCCCTCAAGCCAATTAGGTACGAGAAGATGACAATTCTGAAGCGGTACTCTTGATCCTTAATGGGCATAAGAGCCATACCTCCGTATGTATTAATTCCTTTATTTTTCTCTATTTTATTTCGCTTGAAATCCATAGATGTATAGCTAACCATTTAGCGGTAGGATGAATTCATAACTACGTGCTTCTTGAATAACGTTCAGCTTTGTTTTCTTCCAGCACATAACTCCCACGGGCTTCAATCACTTGATAACGGCCCCTTTAATGCCGTGAAAGCTGCTTACCGCAAGCATACCGCTCAGTTAGCTACTCTAACTGATGCTGCCCCTGTGGACAAGATCAACTTCATCAGATGCTGTCACGACCAGATCAAGGCATTGAGGCGAACTCAGTCCATTGGGTGCTATAGACGAAGATTCTAAGCTAAAGAGAAAAGGAAAGAAATGACTAACAACGCATTGCAAAAAGCGCGACCAAGTCCAGGAGCAGGTGGAGCTCTGCTTGTGCCTGATCCCCACAGCCAGCTTCCAATTGGCTACCACAGTCCTGGCAGTTGAGGGCTGCTTGGGAGCAGGTCCTCACAGATGCTACTTCAAGGCGAGGAACGACGGCTTGACGGTCAAAAATTGTCGGGCTGGCTTTAGAACTACTGGTAATTGGCCTATTAACCACAGAAAGGCTTTATCGCATCCAGAAATCCAACAGGATAAGGCCGCAACCCCTGAGCCTGAACAGGTTGAAAGTTCAGAACCTGAAGACTTCTAGACGCCTAAAAATAGCCGACAAATTATGGATATGGGCAAAAACAAGTCCCCAACCACTCGGCTGAAGTTACGCAAGGTTGCAAAAGCCTTTGAGAAGCAATCAGGAGAGATGGTACTAAAGGACCAGAAGATCGAGAGCCTGGAGGCCAAACTAGACCGCATACGCCCTAAAAAGCACAGAAAGATCCCCAACCTGAATAAATGCTTCAAAAATATCCCGGATATTCTGGCAGCTAGTGAGGAACAGCCTCAGAGAGGCCGCAAGGCCGCGCAACCTGTGGTTATTAAAGATACCACTGATGAGGAGAAAGAGGATGAAAGCTCTGATTCAGAAGAAGAGGAGGAGATTATGGCCGCTAGGGAGACCTGTTCGGGTCAACAGAGTCGCTGGCCGGCTAGATACGATAACTAAACCGCCATAGACGAATAGATTGTACATTTTTGCAGCCGAAGATATCATGAATTGACTGATTTCGCTGTAAGTGAAGTTGTTGATGTTTTGGTGTGTGGCAGTAGATTTTGCAGTCCGAGTGGTGGGGGTGGCCGAGTGGTGGGTGGGGCATGGTACCTCTCAGCCGAGCGCAGCAACGGAACCCGCCCACAGTAGATTCTCAAAGACAAGTCCCAACGCCAGGAAACTTATTCGCATAATGACTCGCCACATCCCTCAACGGCGCATGCGAGCGATTAAACTGCATGATATCCAGCTGCAAGTACATCAGCGCATGGAAGAGCACCCAGTACACATCCTCATGGTCCGCGCGTCTCAGCCAGCCCAGCATCTTCGTCTCCTTAACCGGATATCTGACCTCGCGCAACATCCTGAGCAAAAACCTTGCATAAAAATGGTTGACCGTCCAGTCCGGCTGGACAGGGCACTTCGACGAATGCCACGTGGGGTCTTTCTTGTGTTGTTGGATGAGTTTTATGGTGGCGCGCCAGTCGCCCACGGGCAGCGACCACTCGCCGTTCAGGTATAGTAGCACGAACTCGCCGAGGTGCTCCTGAAGCTCCGGGCACACGAAGATGGCCTGTGTTTGCACGCGGGCCACGACGTCGTGGCTTGCGTTGTCGTTGAGGCCGTAGAGAGGGACTAGCTCCGTCGCGGCGAGGTCGAGGTTGCTGGGCTTCTCCTTGAAGATGCTGCGGACGTACTTCTCGGCCTGAGCGGGAAATTCCTTGCATGGTCTTATAAGTCGGGTCGTTGCTTTCGCAAAATCTCGCGTGTTTGTGTTCTCCATCTGAGCGGTCATCGTCGTCATATTTGATTATTGATTATTTGAATTCTTTCGTGAACACTGAACCTACTACACTGGCCCGATCTGCTTATGGTATGGGTTTTATAGGCCCTTCCCTAAGCTTTGAAACACAATGATCTTGTACGTGGCTCTCTTTGTTCGGCTATCAGGGGGCGCTCTTTGTTCCCAGGCTTTGTGGCTCGTTAGGGAAGGCAATAATGTAATTCGGTTTCTCTTTATCTGGAATAAAGAGAACTCACTACGAATGCTGGAGTCTAACGCCTCAGTTCTTGTCGTGTCGCTCTACGGGTGCGAGGCGTATCTCCGTTCATCAGAGGCGGATCGAGCCAAATGGAGCCCCGGGATGCTGGGCGCACCCGGGTATTTGGGCTTGTAAAAATACTTAAAACCTTCATATGGGATGCCTGAATTTTAGCCGAGTGGATAGCTATGTCTGAACCCACAGGGACGCAAGTGAGTAATCATCGCCGATCGTCACATGGGAATTGCCAGCTGGTATGAGACGAGTTTCATTCAGCCAAGATGAATGCTCCTTAATGGAAAGAAAGAAGAAAAAAGAGGCTTGAGAAGCAGTCTCGTGAGAACACCGTTCTTGGTTTCATAGTCAGCGTCTAACATCTAAGCCATGTTTACTGCTATTGCTGCGTCAATCAGGGTCGGAACCCGTACATCTAAGGAGTGACTCTAGTTGGCCAATCAAGGCGATACCAATACTGTTCAATGAGCGACTCTAGTTGGTATCATTACCATATTTCCTGTCTTCCCGCAACCCTTGAGTGTACTCGAAGCGGTCACTTCCCACCATGCCCTTCTTTGCTCCCAATCTTCACCGACCCATCGTGGCACCCTACTCGGTGCACTGCTGCCACACAAGGTACTGGACCTGAGTGAACTTCAGGTCGGTCGAGTCGTACTAGGTGCACGTGTTAGCAAACCAGAAGATAACCACTACAAGAGGGTTGTGCAACTCACCGTCATAAGACCCGGGTTCTCCGACACCAGGGGATCAATGCGGATCTCGGCGTTGATGTTGAGGGATGCTTCTTGGCCGCAAGGCGACCAGATCTCACTTTGGAGGTTGAACTGATCCGTCTTGATGAAGTTGGCGTTGATGGGACCCTGGAGAAACTGGGTGCTCGCGACCTAGACAGTAGCAACACGAGTCAGTATCATAGGCCCGTTAGAACTGTTTCAGACAACATAAGTTGCGCTTACCTGCTGCGACTGTCCCGAGAAGTAGTAGAGGGCCCGGACTGCGCCCTCGATACCAGTAGCCAATCCGGCGTAGCCGCGGAAGTCGGCCTTGAAGACGGTGAACTGCCAGCCGCCCGGGTACGTGAGGGCGACGTTCAGCTGGCAATTCTTGCGCGCCTCCGCGGCCGTCAAGTTCGGGCCCGACTGCGCCACGAAGTCGTCGTAGGCCAGTGTGAGCGTCGACTTGTCGGGCGACAGGTACGAGGATACCGAGCTGTCGCTGCAGCCGGTGCCTGCGTAGTTGAATCCGTGGATCGTGACGCCGGGCGGTGCCGTGGTGTTACCGCTGCTCGTGGGGAAGGGTGCGGAGACGGAGGATCTGGTGGAGGTCGCTGCGGAGGAGCTGCTTTCGATGGGAACGACCAGAGTGGCAGACTCGGTGGCAGAGACGCTTGAATTCCCAGTCGTGGTGGCGGCTGGAATAGAGACATGTCGGGACGTGATATTGGCCGATGTGAAGGACTCCGTAGCGGACGGGGTCGCAGACTCGGTGAATGAGTAAGACGCAGATGAAGTCGTACCATTTGCGGAAATCGGATCCACGGCAGCAGAGCTGCTCACTTCGACGGAGATGGAAGAGCTGGTTGCCGAGAGGGTAATGTAGTTGCTTGTTGCGGTCGCTGAGACGTTTGCGGTGGTCGACGAGGCAGACTGGATAACCGTGATGACCAGGCCACTGGGTATGGTCTCTGTTGCCTCGGGATCCACGTAGCTGGCTGTCCCGGATCCCAAAGTCGAGGTAGCCGATGAGTTTCCAGCAGGGTACGTCTCACTTGCGGTGGAGGTTATGGTGGCCGCAGGGATGATGGAAGAGTTTCCGGCATAGGAAGTTTGGCTTGCGGCGGGTGTTATAGTGAACGGAGGGATGATCGAAGAGTTTGTGGGGAGGACTGAATAGTTGCCGGTAGGCAAAGAGTAAGTTGGGAGGACTGAAAGGTTTCCGGTAGGCAAAGAAGTTGGGAGGACTGAAAAGTTCCCGGTAGGCAAAGTTGAGACGTTCGCGGTAGGGAAAGTCGGAATGGTGGTGGGAGGCGCGGTCATGGAAGAATATTCGGTTATCGGGACACAGGTGCTTGTCTCGATGTGAGTGAGGTAACAGACTTCCGATGGCGCGTATTGACCGGGGAGGGCGGGTGCCGCTATGGCAAAGGGGAGTAGAACGAGCACCGGGATGGAATACATCTTGGATGACGGATTGCCGCGGTTGTCCTGGAACGAATGGCTGTCGGGGATCGGAGAAATGAAGGTGATGGTGGTTGATACTGAGAAGGCCGTGAAGTGAAGGTGAGATGGCCGATGGACGTGCTTCATCTAACCTTCTTATAATCGTCTTCTATACGATGGTGGTGCCTCCTGCGGGTGACATGTAGTCCTGGACCGCATCCCCAAGAATGTTGGCACCAGCCGTTCGGTGGTGGTGTCGCGGTGATCCCTTGAACGATAGGCTCGAGACAAGAAGGCCCAGCGTAGAGACTCCATCGAGCTCAAGACAGCCTCTCCCTCTCGGAAAAAGTTCACACCTCATTCCTTAGCTAGTCGCTTCACTTTAGCCGTGTGGAGGCACTACTCAACGGCTTCCTAGATACCGAATCTGTGCCCGTGATAATCTAATGGACACATTGGCTTACACGAAGCAATGTTTCCCGCATGATGGCATATTATCCTCTGGAGTTACCGGCACTGTGAGAGTATCAGTAATTGTGTCTCTTCCAGTCTTTGACGGCGACCAGCGGAAAATCTCGTGCGGGATGATTCTGCCGAGGATATCCGGCCATCCCGGCCCCTCTTCCGCAAGAAGCTCAGAACAAGAAACTCGAGACAAGCACGCGAGACAGGTCTTCAGAAGGCCCAACTCATTCCTGTCGGAGGAGTTCCGCCCAACCCCGCCCGGCTCGCAGGTAAAGAAATCGGCTGCTAATCGTAAGACCGCGCAGCAAGGCAGGCAGGAATGGAGGCCCAGTCAGCTAAAGACGGCGTGCTTATCAGCGAAGCTTACAGCCGTGTCTCAAAGTAGGGGCGGAAGAAAGGGGGAGGGAAGGCCGCCTAGATCTGTCAATTGAGCCAGCCTACTGACATTCACGAAGCCTTCCAAATAGACTGGTCCAAGGTATAGACTAAGCCGTCTCTTTTCGGGGAACGACTCGGGACGAGATTGGAAACGAGATTGACATGTTTGTGAAGGGGGAAACAATGCGAGTCTAGAGTCTTGGATTTTGCTTATGCGTGGCTAGAAGAGGCGTTGATAGCCTCTTCCACGTGCGGACGGTCACAACGTGCGTAAGACTCTCATATGATTCATGTGATGAGGAAGTAAGGGGTCCATGGTTTTGCCCCTGTCTCTGCTTCCTTCGTTAGCGTATAGTACTAGCGGGCCTTCTTACGAAACGGTGCAGGCGGAATTGATGAAAAGGGATGTCCTGCGCGGTGATGATGTTGGCGAGGTTTGTAATGAAAGAGATTTGTGGCGTCGTGTCTCGAAAGTGGGGAAAGTGGCTGAAAGGGGCTCGGTCCAGCTTCAAAGTTTCCTTGGCTTCCAACCTGCAAGGTTGTTCTTCGGCCGTCAGATGGAATTGACGAGTGTGATATCAGCGTTTTGGGGCACACGATTTTCCTTTGTTTGACCACATCAGGACGAAATCATCTTATGATAGCATGCATGGATTCATACTTGGTCCCCTTGTGGCGGGTGGTCATGGCAGCCCGTGCGACTGTGTCCCGTGCACCATGAAGGTCATCGGGTCATGCGAAGCAAGAGACGAGGATTGGCTTCGCCAACACCAAAGCTCTCGTCAATTACCCTACGAGCTTCGCGTCCTGAACGCCAAGCATGCCATGCTCAAGGACGGCATCTACGTCCCCAATAAGTTTGACTCGGAGCCACTCTGCGGACCTGACGAACCGCGTACACCGCAGCAGCTATTTCCGGAAAACAATGCACCTTCGAAAGCTTCCCTGGCTTCTCTCAACACCGATTCATTCTGCAGCGGGAGCGTCCAATAGGCCCGAGATTCGATGTGAAGGCCGTACTTGTCTATACCGACGGAGCCTGCTCTGACAACGGTCGTGGAGACGCACGGGGTGGTTGCGCCATCGCAATGTGTCTACCAGGCCGCGAGAACACGATGGGCGTCTTCTCTCCCGCGTTGGAGCTCGAAGGTCCGGACGGCGAGCGAGCGCAGCCTACCAGCAACCGTGCCGAGCTCCGCGCCGTTATCCACGCTTTGGAGCATCGATATCTTTCTCGAGAAGGCTGGGAGGCTCTGGTGATTGCCACTGACTCGACCTACGTCGTCAATGGCGCCACTTCGTGGGTTCCAACTTGGGTCACAAAGGAGTGGTGCAAAGCAGATGGCACCAAGGCCGCCAACATCGATCTCTGGAAGCACGTGTTCCATCTATTTCGACTGTACGCCATCCATGGCTGCGAAGTTTTGTTGTGGCACATACCTCGAAAGCAAAATGCACTAGCAGACAAATTCGCGAAGGAAGCCACCACGAGGGTGCCGCTGACGAGTTGGAATTCATATCGCCATCCGTTCCTGAAGCAGGAAAAGTATTTCGACTTTTGATCGCACTGTCGCACATAGCTCCAGGCTGTTCACGAAGGCCACAGTACTGCAAGCGAATCACCTGTGTTGCATTGGCTCCGAGGGTCAGGAACATGGCCCCCGAATAAGCTGTCATAGGTGCCTGATGATGTGCTAGCACAGATGGACTTCGCGGCATGCCACACCCGCGCATCAACAATGACGAGGTCGCAAAGGCCGATTATAAATAGCTAGGATATTCTCGTCTATCCAAGAATGTCCATCAATGTTTGGTCCAGATCTTCGGACTCGTCCGACCTGCCAGCAGGTGGTGTCTGCATCCACGGAACATCCTGCGGGGAGGACAGCATGTTCGTACCCTCCGTACTCGATACTGGAATGATAAAAGCCCTGCTTCCACGATCAGCTGCCAGGTGTTTGACAATGATACTTGTTCCTCTTCTTACTTGTCTTTGGGGAGGCTCAGTGCACGGAACTGGCGTGCAACTTGCTGGAATGCGTCCTCAGACCACTTCGTGAGATCCCTGTTCACAAGGCTAGCACAGCGCAAGCCCCAATAAGGATTGGTAGGGTAGGGAGCCATACATCTTGTTCACCAAGATAAGCAGCTTCTCCTTGGGGTTCATAGTGGCAGCAGCCAGCATGGAAGCCAGTCTTTGACTCGAGGTCTTCGCAGCGCCAGGATCCGTCGCATCGACAAGCCAAAACACGACGTCTGGCGTTTGGTTCTCTAAAGCATGATAGTCATGAGTCAGTCGTCCTGAATTGTAACCCTCACCCTATTCCCGACATAACTTAAAGTGTCTGAATCAATACCTCTCTCGACTAGGAACTTGGCCGACTTGGCGTAGAATGATGGTGGGATGCCTTCTCTTTCGAAGTACGGCACAACATCAGCATACTGATGGATCCCATTGCGTTTCAGCTGTTCCAGCATCTGCATTTCCAAGCCACACTAGCGATAGTTAGCAGCTTAGTCTGAGACGAGTTATTAGATGGCAGGCCTGAATACTCGAAAGATGAGGCTCCCTATCAATGTCTTCTTGCCGGCCCCATTTTCGCCGTGTACATTGATTGACTTGGAGGCCATAGTCCCCGTCCGGTCCGCGCTAATACGAGCTAAGCAAAATAGACAACACCGGACTGAACAACGAGAGGGAAAGGGCTGCTTTAGAGTTTGGCTACCATACATCTACTAAATAACAAAGACTTGATACTGGATGAACAGAGAGCACTGAAAGAAACCCCGCAGTGACACGTGATGGTCTGCTCATGGCGCACCAGGTCCACATGACAAATCTAGTTAGCGCCTAAGCCCTTGATTCCCGCAGGGTGCCTAGAAAGTGCGGTCCATACCGAGAATTTCGGGTCCTGGTTTAACGGTCGCTGGATTTGTTTCGTGGATTTCAGACCTTGAAACAGCTTCCACCGGTCGAATCAAGGTGGGAGGGTGTTTCAACTTTTATTTAAATTGATTTCAACTGTTAACTGAGCACCCAAGAGCTGTCGATTGATCGTCGTTCCTCAGTTGGAAAACATTATTATGTTAGGAAGATACGAAGTATTATGTAACGGCCGTGTGTTTACAGTATCCGCCAATTCCTGTGGTACCGGGTATCCTAGGTCTCCATTGTTCCACAAATCAGCAAATCAGAATCAGTTCTCAGCAGTGAATGCACTCGACTGCGCGACGACTCCCACTCCGGTAACCTAGCCACCACATCTCCAACAACCATATCAACAACATAACCACATCTGCAACCCTCGCAGCGGACAGGCGTCGCCAGACGAGAAGCCCTCCGTAGATGCACAAGGAACCCCTCCAACGGGTGGTCCTCGTCTCAATAAGTTGCCAGCCTGCACGGGACAGGTAGCACACATCCGGTGAGCAGGGTTCTCGCAGATTGTCGTACTATTCCGGCTAAGCGCGGTGACGACCATGCTGCGGCCTGCGGGGGCGTGATTGTTGGTGTAAGGTTACATCCATGGGCGACCTCGGACAGCTCTTCATACGAAGGAATGTCCCCGGCTCTGCGTGCCTCAGTCGAGTCAATCCCGCAATGACATACAGCTTTGGCAAGAACGTGTGCTCTCATGTCGGTTTGAGGAGAATCCGAAACGTGCGATGGGCACCATTGATCCACTCCTTTACCGTGTGCCCGCATCAACTCGTTCATGAGCCATCGTCACGGTCGGTCACTATTCGGCAATCATGCGTCTGCTCAAGGTTGAAGGTGATGGCAGTCTCGGTCTGCATAAAGACCTCATCGATGACTTTCCCCCCTATGCTATTCTATCACACACGTGGGGAGCTGACGACCAAGAGGTCACCTTTAAAGACCTGGTAGATAATACAGGGAGAGAAAAGGCTGGCTACAAGAAGATCGAGTTCTGTGCCAGGCAGGCCGTTTCTGACAACCTCCAGTTCTTCTGGGTGGACACTTGCTGCATTGACAAGGCGAACTATACTGAATTGTCAGAGGCAATCAACTCCATGTTTCGCTGGTACGAGAGAGCAGCCAGGTGCTATGTCTACCTCTCCGACGTTAGTGACGGGGGCCTTCCGGGGTCTGCGTCTAACCCGAATAACTGGGAGGCAAGCTTTCGAGGCAGCAGGTGGCTCACGAGGGGATGGACGCTCCAAGAACTTATTGCGCCGTCATCTGTGGAGTTCTTCTCGAAAGAAGGCCATCGACTGGGTGACAAATCATCGCTGGAAAGCTTGCTCTGCGACATAACAGGCATCCCAGCTGCTGTCCTTCGGGGCACACCACTCTCTCAATCCAGCATCCAGGACCGCATGTCCTGGTCTGACAGGCGAACGACGAAACGCGAGGAAGACGGAGCTTATTCGCTTCTCGGCATCTTCGGTGTGAATATGCCCCTTATCTATGGCGAAGGGAAGGAGAGCGCTTTCACTAGGCTGCGAGAAGTAATCGACAAGAGGTCCAAAGCTGGACGTGCCCACTCGCCGTCCTCTGAACGATGTAAGTATCGAACACGTGGATAGGCTACTACAGTATACTGACGCCCACCAGCATTCAGTGACGATGAAAAGCGCTGCATTCAGCAGTTAGGGAAGTTCGATATATCGGACTACAAGCGCTTACTTCCCAAACCAGCCCACGGTACTTGTCAGTGGGTTCTGCGCCATCCATCGTTCGTCTTGTGGCTTTCGAAGGCAGGAAACGCTCTGTTATGGCTCACCGGCCACGCCGGATGCGGCAAGACGGTTCTCACGTCTTTTCTCGCCCAGTATTTCGAACAGACCCGGTCCCTCCAGATCTCTTCTCCCAATGTCCTAGTATACTTCTGTGATGACAAGATCAATAAGCAGAAGGATGCAAACGCGATTCTTATCGGCCTGATCTTTCAGATACTACAGCGCCACCGTTCAATGATTCGATACGTAAGAAGAATGTTCGAGCTTCTGGGTTCAAGCATGATACAGTCGTTTTCGGCACTTTGGGGTATATTCCAAAAGATCACCCAAGATCCGGCATATGGCCACCTTTACGTCTTCGTCGACGCCCTGGATGAGTGCGACAGCGATTCTTGCCGCCAGCTGCTTGACGCCATCGGTGCCCTGGTCGCCCATCCACTTCACTCCACAGAGTCTCCCAATCAGATCAAATTCCTCCTCTCGGGCCGGCCCTTGATCAGTCTTTCCAGTGTTGGAGTGCCACAGGTTGTGGCCCAACGGATCTCGGTTGACGAGCACCAGCCTGGGTACAGTGAAGATCTGCGACTTTACATCTATCAACGAGTGAACGAGATCTCGACCAAGCTCAACTGCTCGCATCAAGTCAAAGATTACCTGTTGCAAACATTACAGACTAAATCCGATCAGACCTTTCTTTGGGTGCATATGGTCCTTACGTCCTTGGAAGGAAGCCTCCTTGCGTCGATGAAAGATTTTCGAGACATCATCAATCAGATCCCTCGTGATCTCGAGTCTGCTTACTCGAGGTTGCTGTCGGCCATCCCCTCTGAGTATCAACACACAGCCTCACTCTTGCTGAAGCTTGTATTAGCGAGCTCGCGGCCTCTAGATCTGGACGAGATCAACTTGGCCTTTTCCATAAACTCTTTACACAGCTGCACAGACGATGTTAAAACCGACTGCCAACCCGACATTCTCCGTACCGTTCAAGGGGTGTTGGGGCCGATGGCGCGGATTTCGGACTCCAAGGTATCTCTGGTGCATCAGTCCGCCAAGGACTTTCTTCAAGGGGCTGAACGTGACTACGGTAGTTTCTCCTTCCAGTCATCCCTCGACGTGGGGAGTTGCGCTCTACACATGTCGGCTGCTTGCATCCACTATCTGATGCTTGATGACTTCATGGAAGAGTTCTCCGATCACACTCTTTTCACGGATGAATCTTCTGGGGCCTCCCATACGACATATTCTGGGTCTCTGTCCAGCTCGCCGGACCCTTTCCTGTCTGAAAACCTGCGAATATTGAGCGAAGACTTTGGGCTGAATCTCAGCTCAGACAGTTTACCCACAGTCCAAGAAGCGAATTTGCTGGGCACAGAGCTGTGTGAAGCTGTCATGTCCCGATACAAGCTCTACAGCTACGCAGCACTTCATTGGACAGAGCACTACGCGATTTGCGAGAGCTCTGCATCTGATGAGCTAATAATCAAGGCGGAATCTCTCCTTGATGCTAGCTTTGAGAACTGTCGCAATTGGGTACGCTACTATTCGTCAAAGGTCGCGTCCGCGGATGATGACGACATCATGGATTTCGAGCCCATTATGCTAGCAGCGTATTTCAACTTGCAGAAGACGGTGGTGCGGATGTTACAAAGCGACACAATTTCAGCTGTCGCTAAAGACCGAAGTTTATTCTGGGCGGCTCGAGCAGGGCACGGCCGAGTTGCGAGTGATTTGCTGCATGCTGGTGCTGATCCGAATCTACACCACTCCAGCCGACAGACACCTATCACAGTTGCTGCCGAGAATGGACATGTTGGCTGCGTTACTATGTTGCTAGCTGATGTCCGGACTGATACAATGATGGCGGGGAGGAGTGGTAGAAGTGCGTTGTCATTTGCATGTGGCAATGGACACGACGAAATGGTTGAAAAACTGTTGCGGCGAGATCAGCGCCTTGCAATTCAACAAGACCACTACGGATACACTCCGCTCTACTGGGCTGTAGGTGGTGGTTACATGTCAATAACATCCAAGCTGTTGAGGCAGCCAGGTATCGTCGTCAACCATCGGGACCACAAGGGGCGCACCATCGTCTCCCACGCTGCAGGTGATGGCATGGAAGAAGCCTTGAGTCGGCTACTCAAGGTCCGTGGCGTCGACCCAAATCTGGCGGATGACAAGGGCAAGTCACCCCTCTCTTGGGCTGCCGGCAATGGTCATGCCGCTGCTGTCGCAGTGCTCACTCGAAGCAAGAAGGTCGACAAGTCCAGCCAAGATCATGACAGGAGAAACGCGATTTCTTGGGCTAGTGCAGGTGGGCATGTCGACGCATTGCGAAAGCTCATCCAAGCCAGATGCCCCGGGATCGACGCCCAGGACGTCGATGGATGGGCTCCTCTAGCCTGGGCGATCCATAATGACTCGTCGGCGCTGGTCCAGACACTTCTCTCGACCGGTTTGGTCGATCTCGAGAGACGCGATCACAGTGGAAGAACGGCACTGTCGTGGGCCGTCGAGTACGGCCATGCGTCGGTGGTCAGGTGTCTCCTGGAAGCGGGGGCCGATGCCAATACCGTGAGCGACACGGACGAGACGCCGATCCAGGTCGCCGTCGACTATGGACGTGATGATCTTCGGGGTGAGCTTCTCCGCTACATTAGATAGACCGGAATAGCGGCAGCTGTGGCGATCCGGCTCATCGGGTGGGTGGAGAGGAGCAAAAGGAGGAGCGGTAGGTGATGAAGTTGCGTGGTGAACATGGTGGACGTGAAAATGGTGGTCGGAGTGTGATGGCGACTTCTGAGAGCATGCATGGGATAGTGGCTGATAGGTGGTCAAATGAGCATCTAGATTTCTGCCACCCCACTTTGCGCACCATTGAGATAGCTCCTTCCGGGGAAAAGGGGGTTGAGAAATCATTTCAGGATGCTCGAATCGCGATGGTTATCCTGCTCATACACCTCTATTACCACACATCATTACCTCATACCAAAGACCATCTCTTCACCTCTGCCTGGTAAATGCTAGTGAACATCAAAGGTCATCATGTTCGGCTCTCGACTATTTGGTATTGAGTTCTCGACGGGTGAACTACAATCACATGACCAGCACTTTATTCAAATGAGCACACAAGTGCTCGTTTGACATGAAACGATGAAGTTACCGGGGCAGCGGGCTCACACAAAGAATGCGTTGCTTGGCGGATTCGAGGGTCCCGATTGGAACGAGGAGGAAGTGACCCATAGTTTTGTTTACCTAGTAAGGTAACTAGGGGGCGTCATGCCTGAGGACCCCTGAAATCAAGGGAACAGACAGAAGCAAACGCGCCGTCAATAAAACAAAACCAGGCGCGCGTCATCCTCCCTTGAACCTTTTCTACCTACCCAACTACACACATTTCTCGCGAAACGTGTCCAGAACCAGTTGAAACTCGAAAAGAGAAAACACGCAATCAAGACAAAATGCCCAAAGCACCCAAGACCACCGCCGGCGCCAAGGCCAAGCGCACCACGGCGACCAAAGATGCCGCCAAACCAGCCAAGGGCAAGAACGCAAGCAGCAAAGCACCCGAGAAGGCGCAAGCCCCACGCGGCAGAGGCAGGCCCTCCAAGGCCGAGGCCGAGGATGAGGATGAGGACGACGGGGAACCCACCAGCATGGGGTTCAAAGACGTAAAAACAGCACAGTTCACCATCGACTCGCTCAAGGACCGCAGCCTCACCGCGCAGCGCACCCACATCAACGCCTACATGCAGCGCGCCAAGACGCACGCGAACCCGACCAAGGGCATGAAGGCCGCGGTGGCCGTCTTCGAGAAGTGGCTTAAGGTCGACTACCCGGCGGCGCGGGGCGAGCTACGCGCGTCCGGCTTCAAGCCCATGGTGCCCAAGGACACGGTCGCGAAGCTCAGCGCGACGTTTGACGCGGAAGGCGTGGGCGGGCTCGCGCGCGAGTTCGCCGACTTCTACCCCGCGCTCAAGTCGCGCGCCCGCCTGAGCGCCCAGCTCGTCGACCCCGACGACATCGACCAGGGCGACTGGGAGACCGTGCGCTACGAGCAGCTGGCCAAGCTGCTGCCGCCCGGCAAGGAGGACCCCCGGACTTGGGGTGCCGGAGAGTTGTGGGATGACGAGGGGGCGCCTACGAGGGAGCATTTGGAGCTGCTGGCTTGGGCGTGGTCGCCGCTGCCGATGCGGACTGTCATTCACAAGATTGACGCCTTTCTGGCGGAGGAGGAGGGTGAAGAAGCGTGATTACGGGGAGGGGGGTGGATGTCAATGTTGACATCGGGGAGAAAGAAGGACGCGCGAGTACCTGTCGCCGGTCATGGTGGCAACCACCACGTCTATCCGCTCTACCCACTCGGCGTTGACCTGGTATGATGGTTATCAGGAGAAGTTGTCACTAATAGAGGATGGGACGGAAGACGAATCAAGGCGTGTGATGCATCGGGTCAACTGAAACAATGATGCTCTTGGTGCCCTAGTTCCATATATGCGGCTTGACAGGCCCGAAGAAGATCGGTCAAGGTGTCCCGGCACGGAATACAGTGCATCTCGGACAGCTCTCTGCGGATTCATATTGTATACTTAATCAATGAAGAGCTGATTGCCATAGTTGGTGTTTGTTTGCGCTGTTCGTTCGAAAGACGCCGTCTCTCGAGTAGGTTCTCGAAGTAGAAAAAGCTCAAGGTGTCCCCATTCCTAGGGATTCCTTCGGCCTGCCTTCGCTTGTAGAGTTTAAATAGCTTAAGCTGAGCAACCATCTAGCGCGACTGCCACCGTCTGTGAGGTGTGGATGTCAGGGTCATTTTGATTCTCCTCGGTTAGGTTTTACCGATGAAGATGGCTCAACTTGAGCTCTGCCCAACCGTTCGCCGCCGATACCCAAGTATTCGAAATTCAAGTTTGTAAAACGACTAGTATTGAGAAGTATGAAGATACCAAGAGAAAGAGAGAAAACCCAAGAGACTCAAGAAATGAAGGAAAGAAGACAGAAAAGAAAAACGAAACCGACAAAACCGCAGAAAACCACATCCTACCAGTAAATCCAAAGCCCTTGCTGTATGGTTCGCTCGACGTCCCAAATGCCAGGGTAACTCCTCGTGCTCAACGGGCTCGGTACAGAGGTCTGTTGGCGATGCGCCCGGTTCATGAGTCTTGAGCGTTGCCCATACTCACCATGCTCCTGATGTCTGCCTCAAGGTTGCGGCAAAGCCTGAATTGATTCCACATCATCGATACCATCTCAATCTGCTGGGTTGGGCACACGAAGCCTGATGTCTGCCTCTGATCTTCGATGCCTTGTGGTCGATAGTTATTTTCCGCTCTTGCCCTTCCCCTTATCCTCCCCCCATCCTTACGCCAGGACCCACCAGCCGGATGGTCCTGGTGATAATTCAACTGCCCGGTCGGTGGTGCATTGTAGTAATCGGCGTCTGCGGCGGTGGCTAGGCTGGATGCATCGTAGTAGGTACCATGTAGGCCTCCCTTAGGTATTATGTTAGTGGCTGCTGGGTTTATGCCCGGAACAAACTCGACGTATCATATTGTATTGACCGGATGTGGAATATGCACTATATCCTTAAGTAGGCACTGGTGTAAATAGTTCAGATAACGAGCGTATAGTGTTTTATTCTAGGTTAAAAAGAAAACATAGAAAGCTCTAATTCCTAGCTAGCTGAAAAACGGCTAAGTATGCTAGTTACCTAATTACCTTATAATAGCGACGGCTATATAAACGCGTAAAACTTAACACGCTTATTAATACTTAATAATAAATAACGACACCTTTAAAATACATAATTAAGTAAATTATTAATATATATTACTTAAGCTTTTTTAGAAGCCTTAAACTTCATTGTTATATTTTATATTAGTAATATTATATAGTTTTTACTTTTAGTAATATTAAGTCTAATAATTTCTTTATATAACGTAGATAACAAGCGAGCGGCAATTACAAGCGGACGGCAACTTTTCACCAGCCACCTAACCTTTTCATTAAGGCTCCCATTAATCAACCAACGATAATGGCATTGCGTTATAGCGAATCAGACTTACAGCTTGCTGTCCAAGCTAAACGACGCGACCCTCATATTACTATTGGCAAGTTTTCTAAGACTTTCCATGTCCCATATAATACCTTAAAGGCTAGAATCGCTGGCCGACCATCACGACGCGACAGCATACCTAGTACTTTGAATCTTACGGTTTCTAAAAAGAATGCTATTTATTCCTTCATTCTTAACCTGGATGTGTAAGCATTTCTACCCTAGCACAGTTATGTTAAAGATATGGCAAATCAATTGTTGGTGGTATGTGGGACTGGATGCGTTAGAAAGAACTGGATCCGGAACTTCATTAAACGCACACTAGGTCTCCATACATATTTTCATCGGAGGATAGACTACCAGAGAATCTTGAACAAAGATCTAGATACGTATTGCCCATGGTTTCGCCAAGTTGAGACGGCAGTCGCAAAACATGGTATCCAAGATACGAACACCGTCGCCAGACCCCAATCTGCCACCCACTATTTAGACTTTAAAGACGCCGGTCACTATTAATGAAGTGGTAAACCAATTGGTTTATATCCGGAATCGAGTCAGAAACCACTAGGGAAGCTCACCTATATCAATATGTTTTCAAAAGCTACATACGGTCTTATGGACAAGGTCACTTTGATTGATTCCCGGGTCCGCAAATTAGAGGAGGCCAATCACTTATTGAGTAAACACTGAAAAACAAAATACAAACGTTTAATGAAAAGAGGAATACTTTCTGTTAAAGATAGTAGATCTTCAGGCTACAAAGGATGATGCTGAGCTGGTAAGACAGGAAATGGGTGAAGGTAGTCGTCGTCCAAGGAGGGCGGCAGCGCATGAGCAATGGTGTGGCGTTTGCGGCAACACTGGCTATAATACGCGAAATTGTACAATAAAGATAGAAACGTCTGGGGAAGAGGAATCCGATTGATTGAATTAAATCGAATGCATTGTGATTAAGTTATTTGACATGGCAGTTGGGAGGTTGGTAAGAAGTTGCTGTTCGCTTGTAATTACTGCTCGCTTGTCATTTACGTTATATAGCTTTTAAAAACAAGCTTAATAAATGAATTATTGATATAAGTGAGCTTTTGTAACTCGATTTTAACTCGATTTTAACTATAAATCGATTAGTTTACCGCTGTCAGATGTTGAATCCCAGATATGGTGCCCTTAGGTGCAGTACCCACTAAGGGGCTGTCAAGGGAACAGTGGATCTACCCTGACATGGTGCAGTATGGTATTAAGCTGTAGATTAGCCCTGCCGAGCATACTTGAGAATGACAACAACATTTGCAGCAACCGCTCACACCCCAAAGGCTTGTGACCCTTCTAGAATCTCACAACCGCTTTATTAATAATAGTGAGCGTTTTTTAATTTAAATGGTAAGTAGTAAATTAAGGTTTAGTAATAATATTTATATGATAGCGATAGCATTTAGCTTTAAAATAACACTTTTTAAGTTAAAAAGAATATGCTTAATAGTATTAAAACTTGCTTAGAATGTTTCTTAGCGTTATAATAGCGTTATATATTTTATAAAACGCTATAATGAAGTGCCTCTTTTAAAACGTAGGTTATCTAACGCCGGATAAGATCCTCAATTATGCGACTATAAGACCGTTTAAGCGGCTTAAAACAACTAATATTTAAATTTTAAAAGTTAAAACCTGTGTAACGAGTAAGCATGTATATTATAGGTAATAATGCCGTTATTTTAGTAATAACTTTCATAACTATTTAAAATAAGAAAGCGTTTACTCGCAATTATACGCAGTTTAATATACTTATTAAAATATTAAATCTATTTTAAACCGATCTTATTCGTAGTTTACCCGTTATTAAATACGGCTACCTTTTAATCGTATAATAATAGCGTGTTACGATGTTATAACGTCAGGTAGGTTTTGCCTTATAAAATAATAAACGGTAGGACTACTTAACTATTAATATTAATAGTAAAGATTGTTATAAACCATTTTATTGACTTATTAAGCTTGTTTAAGCCTGCTACATCTTTTAGCGCTTATAACGCCCATGCTAGACCTAATAATGCCCATTATAAACCCAGTCTTATTGAAATTATAAATATTTGCGTTTCAAATAAAATGTATTGCGATTACTGCCGCAACTACGCGTTTAGATTCTTATTTAAGACCTTTTAATAGTCTATCTTCTGATTAAAACCCGTCCGGAAGCCTGTGTGACGAGCTGTCTAACCTATAAGGCTAAAGTATTCTATAGGGTTTATGTTCTGAGGTAAGTCAACACAAAGCACAATAGAGGCTTCTATCAACTAAAAAACACTCAGATACTGGGGCTTGGTCTGAACTGGGTTCACTGTGTAGTTGAGTCGTCAGGAGATTTCTCCCACCTTAGGGTTGGCTAAGATGCTTAGATTGATCACTAAGGTAAAGACTGTCTATTTATCTGGTTGGGAAATGTCTGTCCTTATATATCCAATCTCTCCCTCTCTCCCTCACTGATTAGGTGGCTCACCCTGGATCACTGGTGATCCAAGGTGATCCTGTTCACTGGATCACCATGATGATCCAGTGATCCAAATTCTTAATCACGTGACCCAGGTTCTGCTGGTCGCGTGATCTGTGTATCGTTGCTCCGTTGCTCCGATCTCTCCACTGATCAGCACCCCACTCTCTGGTCAACCTGTTTCCAATCGTCCCCTCTGGGCCTGTTATCAGGCCGCACTGTTCGTTGGTTCGTAATAGCCTGGTGTACGTTTAATAAAGTTCTGCGTCTAGTTTTTTCTTAGACGTTGTGACAAGGCCCGGTCTGTGTCGATGATTTGAGTGTTTTTAGGGTACTAAATCGTCTGAAGGTTTCTTTTTGGTGCCAAAGACCACGTGAGAGAAATTCGTCGAAATTCGCCGAAATTGTCTAAAAATTCAGTCCTTCTCAACACCTTGAGCTTGTTTTCTTACTATATAATTTAACTTGCCTTCGCCGACTTAGTTTTATTAGATGAATCGTTTAAAAGTAACACATTTCAAATACCCTTACTTATTCGAACCGAGTATAAGAGCTTATTTAAACTTATAAATTCCCGTTAAAACCTCGAAACAAGTATTACCTATCTCGGCGTTACTTTGACCATTTAACTGTATTACTTATAAATTATAAGTAAATATAAAATATATACTAGGTATTAATAACAAGCTTTAATAAAGCGTACCTTGTTTAAAAAGTACCTTATTTAACATACTTCTTGCTTTTAAAACTCGATAGTTTATTTAATTTCTTTAATACTTTAAGGTTAAATTTTAAAATCGACCATTACAGGTAGCATTACTGTTACACTGTGGTACACCTGCCATGACTGGGGAAAGGAAGCTGATGAACATTGGCGTGAGGTTTGAAGAGCAACAACCGGACGAGGATGTGGAGGAGGCTAAGAGCTCGGGAGGTTCGAAGTGCTACACGTCTTGTGAGAGGCTTACTTCTCACGAAATCGGAGGCAAACGGGATGGAGGCAGCGACGAGACGAATGTAGGAGTTAGCCACCACTATGGACCGTATAGACATGGTTCAGGAGAAATGAGGGGGGTCACGGCTAGTGGGAAAATGGACGGTAGGAGAGATCCTCTACTTTTAGAGGACTGAAGGCCCTGGACGGAGGTACCCATCCCCCACCCACATCTCGTACACTCCTATACAAAACCACCATATATAACGACCACTTTTTCATAACTTTTGATATATAAGGTCTATATATATGAAACTTCGTAAGTATATAGTTATCTAAGTTAGTATGTAATATTTCGAAGTCGTTTATTTTTAAGTATTTTATTTCTTGAATTTATTTACAGTCGCGTAAGATCTAGTCCTCCTTACAATTTGTATGTGAAACAAGGTCGTTATAGACCTCCGGCTAAATCTATTATAACTTTCCATTGCCTTATGCCACGGCTTTAAGGCGTATATCATTTCAAGCCCTATATCATTCTTCTACTTATAGTAATTTTGCTAAATTTATACAATATGAATAGCCTCAGTTACGTGTAGGTGCAAAATGGGGTGTTTTGGTGGTGATAGTGGGGTTTGGCTGTACGAGATGTGGGGGTGTACGAGAAGTAGGGGGGGGGATGGTAGTAATGACAGGACCAGATACAAGTACGACAATCAAGGCGAACTTGCATCTCCGGCTCTGAACGAGGCTGCCCAGCATCGTGGGACTTTCCGGACGGACACAACTGTCAACGCGGCGGTGCTCGAGATATCCTCTCGTACAGGTGCCAAGCTACCCCTGATCGGGAAGTAGTACGCGCGTTGTCCGCTCGTTTTAGGTGGTAACACGAAGCCTCACCAGTGCTGGGGAAAAGCTCGTGTGGAGCCTCGACATGTGGGGGTTGCAACCGAGTCAGGCTGGTTCTTTGATGGTGTCTTGACACGACAGACTACAGCGTGGTATGCCGAAGCCCGACAGGAGACGGGTTCGTCTGGGGGCCGGGTTGTGCGTGGTGGGGGCCACGCTGCGACGACATACTCACTTGACAGGCAGCCTACTTAATCTTGTGTCGTTGGTGAAGGCCACCAATAGTGTAATAGCTACACGTGGCTGTGGAAGAATTGGGGGCTGATTGTCCTTGGACGCGTCCTCGCACGTGTATACTGCACCGACCGGGCAGTGGTCACAGCCTGAGTCAATCTATCAGAGTATCACAAGCCTCACCTCAATTTTCAGCTCCTGTTATTTAAAGCTTTGACAGCGCTTACCTATGCATCAAAACCTGCATGAAGCGGCAGGCTGGCGTTTACCGATGGCATTAGGTACGGGTTTGCGACCCCACCAAGACTGTATATATCAGCTAGCCGAGCATAAATCGCAGTACTCCCTCTTATCTGTTGTCAATAAACCACTATGTTCTTTTTTCTTCTTGCATGGTAACCCTTGTGCCGCAATATCCTTCTGAACATCTGGGTGACTCTCTGAGCAACAGGCTTAATACCGGGATTGCAAGTAGCTAACGTCTTCATGGCGGGAGCTTACCATCATCACGGGTATGACCCAGTGGAGGACGGGGAACAGGCAGAGTCAGTCAAGAAGCCAACGGCTATGATAGAACACACATTCTGACATCTTCAACCAGTGTGGAACCACAGCTACAGCTACGTCAAGGCAGTTTGTCGATGACCAGTTCTTCCACTGCGCATCACGGAGGAGACACCCCACGTTCCAATAGAGACACGGGAACCATCCTCACCGCAGACCGCACACCCTTCCGGGCAGAAGGGTTCGCAGAGAAGCAAGCGCTGGCCGGCTGGTTCCCTCGAGTAAACGACGACGAGAAAACCTCATGGAAAATCCGGCTAACCAAGCGAGACAAAGCTCTGCTTATACAGATCTGTCTGGTCGCCATCATCTTCGTCACCAATCTGGTTATCCTGCTCCATTTCTCGTCGAGATATCCCAGCCGGAAGGGCGTCGGGGTCCTGTACGCCGGGGACTGCGATACCGTCAAGACTGCCAACCGCTACGCGCATTTGCTCATCAATGTGCTGAGCACGGGGATGCTCTCCGCTTCCAACTTCTGCATCCAGCTCCAAGCGTCTCCAACGCGTGGCGACATCGACCGCGCGCACAAGCGTAACCGCTGGCTTGATATCGGCGTGCCGAGTCTGAGGAATCTGAGATATATTGGCCGGCAGCGTCTGGCCTCTTGCATTGTCTTGAGTCTCAGCTCCCTGCCTATTCACCTCATGTGAGTATAACACCCGAGTCACATCAAGACCCTGCAGTTGCGCTGACCATCGACGACCAGCTTCAACTCGGCCGTGTTCCAGACACTTGCGTCAAACGACTACATGGTAGCCGTGGTCAAGGACTCCTTCCTTTCGGGAGCGAGCTGGAGTCTGTCCACAGCCGAGCGCAACTGGCAAGACGACCCAGGCTGGGACGATCGCGAAGTAACACCGCCTGAGGAAAGCTATCAGAGCATCATGACGGGCATCCAGAAAGACGTTGTCGCGGGCCTGTACGAAGCCAAGAATACCTCAGACTGTTATGCGATATACGACGATTACTGGACTGTCCAGGGAAACGTAGTGGTGCTCATTAAGAACGAGACTGAGACTAAGACTGTTACTGCCACTGCCGGGGGGGTTGGAGATGACAGCCTGCTGCTTTATACCTTCGTTGCACCTCGGTATACGAACTGGGCAAAGAACATGTGGGCAGCAGGCAACGGCACCAAACGGAGCGTCGCGTTCTCGCCGCCTCCGCCCGTGACCACTTGGTTCCTGGGCGTGCCGCGCTACGAGGCGTCTAGCTGTCTCGTCCAGGTTCCCCAGGCCTCGGCAGATAGATGCCGTCTGCAGTACTCGATACACATCCTGGTCGCTGTCTGCATCCTGAACTTCTTCAAGCTCGTCGCGTTGTTCTTCGTCTGGCACAGCAGGAAGACGGACGACAGACGCCGCAAAGCCAAGCGCGAAGAATGGGGCGCTGTCGTAGATGTCGAGGAGCATATGCTGGCTCCGAAAGAGCTTAGCCTGTCCACGCTCGGCGACGCAATAGCGTCTTTCATGCGAGAGCCAGATGAGACTACAAGGGACATGTGCCTGGCGACGAAACACGATTCCATCGGCACGAAACGTCTCCTGAAGCGACAGGGCCGAGGAGAAAAGGATACTCATGTTCATCCTCGCAAGTGGAACATGTCGCCGCGTCGTTGGATGACGGCCGCGAGCTGGAGACAGTGGCTATGCGTGGTAGCGTTGTGAGTCAACGGGCCCTCGTCCTCGCCTCTGGATCATCAAGGGTTCGTGCCCATGGACTGACCGTATCATCCACATCAAAAAGGTACACCCTCTTCATCGGTATCCTGTACACGTGCTTTGGCCTCCTAGTCACGTCGGGTCTTAAGGGCCGTCACTACACTCTCACGCTCTCGTTCTTCAAGTCCCTCGGGTTCGGCACTGTGACGCCGCGCACGTACCTCAGCGTATCCCTGCCGCGCGGCGACCCCCTGGGGCTCATCATGAACGTGTTGCTCGTCAACTCGCCGCAGCTCTTCTTCTCCATCATCTACAGCGTCAGCGGCGCCGTCGTAACGACGATGCTCGTGCAGCGCGAGTTCAGCGTCCGCCATGCGAGCGCCCACCGCAAGCCCCTGCGTGTGTCCGAGCCCGTCGGCATCCAGCGCTCGAGCTACTTCATCTCGCTGCCGTTCCGCTACGGCGTCCCCCTGAACGTGTCCTCGGCCGCGTTCCACTGGCTCATCTCGCAGAGCTTTTTCCTGGCACGCATCGCGGCGCTCCTGCCGGACGGCAGCGAGGACTACGGGAACTCGTTCTCAACGCTTGGGTATAGTCCGCTTGCTATTATCATCAGTAAGTAACCTCATCGCTCGACCCCGACCCCCTGCCATCTCTGGCTCGGTACTTAACGGTTATTCGCTGTGTAGCAGGCATAGCGGGATTCGTCAACCTTGTGGCGATAGTTCTAGTAGGATGTCGCGAGTACGACGGCACCATGAGCATGGTTTCCACCAACAGCATGGCAATCAGCGCCGCGTGCCACGGCCATGTCGAAGATAGGGAGTTTGGGTACCAGCTCCCCATTCAGTGGGGTGTGGTCGAGATCGGGGAAGACGGAATCGGACATTGTGCCTTCACCACAGCACCTTGTCATGTTGTTCGGAAACCACAGGAGGGGATGATGTACCAGTGATGAAATACCTATCGAGCATCTTCATTTGTTTTATAGAATAATGAGTCAGGGATAATGAGGCATCGCTGGGAGATCGAAGTGACGTCGAGATGAGTGATGTCCGTTTCGAGGTTTCGGCAAGAATTATCGTCCTCGTGGGCGAAGAATATTGTTTCGATCTAAGAGTGTGCCATTCTTTTCAGACGATCTAACCAGTGAAACTGAGTCAGCAAAGGTGGGTAGAGCGCGAAGTTGCTAAATGGTAAACGATGTATACTCTGCTTAAAGTTTATAAGCACAAAAGCTGAGTTAAATAGTAGCTTTAACCAGGCCTCTATAAAAACTAAAAGAATTAAAAAGCGTATACTAGCTTATACCTTAACACTCTTGTTAAGTTTTATAAAATTAAAGCGTATATTACAAAAAAGCATCTTGTTTTTGGGATATATAAAAGTGTTACGAATCAACGAACAGTGCGGCCTGATAGCAGACCAGAGGGGACGATTGGAAACAGGTTGACCAGAGAGTGGGGTGCTGATCAGTGGAGAGATCGGAGCAACGGAGCAACGATACACAGATCACGCGACCAGCAGAACCTGGGTCACGTGATTAAGAATTTGGATCACTGGATCATCATGGTGATCCAGTGAACAGGATCACCTTGGATCACCAGTGATCCAGGGTGAGCCACCTAATCAGTGAGGGAGAGAGGGAGAGATTGGATATATAAGGACAGACATTTCTCAACCAGATAGATAGACAGTCTTTACCTCAGTGATCAATCTAAGCATCTTAGCCAACCCTAAGGTAGGAGAAATCTCCTGATGACTCAACTACACAGTGAACCCAGTTCAGACCAAGCCCCAGTATCTGAGTGTCTTCTAGTTGATAGAAGCCTCTATTGTCCTTTGTGTTGACTTACCTCAGAACATAAACCCTATAGAACACTTTAGCCTTATAGGTTATACGGCTCGTCACACTTTATTTATATTATATTTATAGTATAATTAAAATAAATCGCTGTTTAATTAATGTGCTTAAAGTTTCAATTAATTCTTATTTATATATTTATTTATTAAATTATTATATAACGCCCGATTATTATTTCGTACGTACGAACTATTTAAAAAAATATATTAAAGTTATTATATTTACTGATAAGTATAAAAAATTCTACTATAACGTTATGAAATACTAAATTATTGTTTTTAATTATAACGCTTAATATTAAAGAGGTACTTAGTTTTATTTTAAGTTAAGCGTAAATAAAAGCTCTTTAATAAATGCCGGTACTTAATTTTTTTGAAACTTATTATATTAATACCAACGTTTATATTAGTTGTAAAGAGTTAAATATTTAATTTAAGCCAAAGTTAGGGTTTTTTAATGAAACGATAAAAGTTACTATATATATAGTTTCATAGCTCTTAGTTACCGGCATTACGGGCCTTTTAATATAAGTTTTTTTTTAATTTTAAGCGAAACCGAAAACGAAGAGGTTAAAAATAGGGAAAAGACGTTATTTAAGCTATAAGTTTTTTATATAATATTCAGTTTAAAGAACAAAGCTAGCAAGCCTTTATATTATATACAACGTTATTATTAATTATAATTCACTTTATCGTATATTTAAAAACTTTTTATATATTTATTTCCATCTTCTATTCTTAGCGTGAGAAAGCGTATTATAAGTTATTTCATACATAATATTTACGTTTAAAAACTTAATTATATAATAAAAATCCTTCCTACGTATAAAGCGATAAAAAATCGTTATTATATATATATAATAATTACATTATTTTATTTATTTTATTTAAATATAGCTTTTAACTATTTCTAGTTGTACGTTTATTTAATCGAAGCTTAGCCGTTTCTTATATCTTTTAATTAACGCTTTAAACGAGCTTTAACCGTTTAATTTAATAGTATCTTTTAGTTACCTTCGGTCGTTATAAATCTTAATATACTTCGTTAATACTTTTCGCGTCGGTTTACTAAGCTTGCTTTACGGCTTTTGGTTAATAATGTTTAATACCGGCCGAGTTTTTTTATTTTTAACGATATTAAGAAGATTTTCGTTTTTAAAGTGGCCTTTTAACTATTACGTAAAAACGAGCTTCTTAGAGGTTTTCTTAAAATAAGACATAACGTATATAATATATATTTAATTAATTAACGTAAGGTTAATAATATCGTGATAAAAAGGTTTTATTTTAATAGTTTTAAACGACGTCGCTTTATAAGCGTTAAAACTAAGTTTGTAAAATTGTTATAACATTACATTCGGCGTTTTTTTATAATGTTTTTTAAATGTTTACAGAGTTAAAGTTAAACGATAGTTCGAAGCAGCTATGAAATAATCTTAACGTTTTGAACCTAACGAGATAAGAGTGGTTTTAATTTAAATTAGTTAAATATAAAATAAAATATATAAAAGGCTTTCGTTAAGCTTTTGAATATTTTATAGTAAAGACTTTTTATAATATAAAGCCGTAAGCTTTATTATTATCAAAGTTTACCCCGGTATTAAGCTAACTTCGAAAGCTTATTTAATAACTACGCGGTTGAAAACCCCCTTTTTAACTACGTAACTAATGGTAACTAGCAAAAAGCCAGGCTAAAACTAAAAGCTACATTAATAAATTTCTCCGTAGTTATTATTTTTAAAGTTAAAAAAGTAGCCTTTATATTATTTAGTCTTTTTCTTTAGTATTTAAACATCTAGTTCTGCTATATTTAAATAACTTTTGGTTATAAAATAAAACAACTTTACATAATAAAGTTTTAAATATTTTTAACAAGGCTTTTAAAGCGTTAAAACTAACAAGCATTATATTTACTTATTAAGCCTTTATATTTATTATTATTAATTATTAAATACATTAAGCTTAGAGATATGATGGATCTGACATCCATCAGGTGACTAGGGTTGTTGGTGGGGTGGACGTGTTGCCCCACTGCACAGATTGATAGATAATTATGGGTCGGGATTTGAGATCTATCACCCCACCAGAATTGGCTGGTGTTGAATGAGAGCTGAAGATAGACACCGGAAGATCTCTAGTGGGGCAGAGACGCATAGGGCATCTGACCCACTAAGAAGACAGATGATCAATCTCTGCACGCAGAGCAGAACAATCAATAGAATCAATCAACATCCGTGTATTCAACAGTAATTGCCGCTCGCTTGTCATCTACATTACGGTTTTATATATAAGGTCGTTTAATTAATTCTCAAGTCTATAAGCTAAAAGAGACTAATTATTTATTCAGTAAACGCTAGAAAATAAAAAACAAATGTTTTCAACAAATACTTTATGTTAAAAATATAGTAGGTTTTTAAGCTATAAAGGATAGTGCTAAGCTAACAAGATAGAAAATAGGTAAAAGTAGTCGTCGTTTAAAAAGGGCGACAGCGCGTGAGCGACGTTGCAGCGTTTGCAGCAACACTGGCTATAATGCCAGAACTTGTATAATAGAGATAGAAACGTGTAAAAAAGAAAAATCCGATTAATTAGATTGAATTAAATGCTGTGACGGCCTGCACAGACCTTTCCACATGACAAGTGGATACTTCCTAATAGGGGAAGGATCTGAACAGAGGATCCCCTTAAAGGGGCAACCTCCCACTGTACCTATCTCTCTCTCTTCCTTTCCTCTCTAGTCTTGATATTCTCGTCAATAGAGTAATAGCTGCTTGCTGCCGGCCTTGTCCCAGCTCCTCAGTACGCTCGCCGTGACAAATGCGTTGTAATTGTATTAGTTAACATATTGGTTGGAAGGATGGTGAAAAGTTGCCGTTTGCTTGTAATTGCCGCTCGCTTATCATCTACGTTATATATAAATTAATGGTTTAATTGTAGATGTTATAAGTAAGAATAATTATTTTCAAAAAATTAAACGCCAAAAAAACAATAACCTTTATATATTATAAACTTAGCTAAGTATCAACTCTGCTTCAAAACATTAATTAAAACCTTAAATATTACTGGTTGGTTTTTTTAACGCCGTGAAAATAATATTTATAACAATAATAAGGTTTTTTTAACTAATTCTTAAAAAACAATGGTATTTATTTGTATATAAAGAAATTGATAAAAAATCTTTTAATATATAATTATCCTTATCGTATAGCTTTATGATTAATGTTATAAGGACTTTTATGTTATGAATAAAACGTTATTTATTAAGTTTAGTTTTATATTTTCAATAAAAGTATTATTAAAGTTTCAATATATTTATGTACAGAAACCTATTATTCTCATTTATTTTCATCTATTGTAATATTATCAAGACTTTTAAAGTTATTAAAAAAACTGTTAGTTATGAAATTAAACCCTGATTTAAAACGTATTTAATCACGTTTTTTTACCTTTTTAATTTCTTATCCGTTTCAAAAACTTTTTTAAAAATACAGTAAAAAGTCATTTAACTTTTTTAATCAAATTAATAAGTTTGGGAATATTTTAGTTTAAGTAAAAAAAATTTAAGACCCAAAAAAAACTCCTTTCAAAAAACTCCTTTAAAAAAACTTTATTTTTTAACTTTCTATCAAAAATCTGGTTTTTTTTATTTCATTTTTACTCATATTTATTGTGTCAAGTAACTTCATAAATAAAATGATTATTTATTATTGTAAAATGGGTATTAATAGTTTTAACCTTTTAATTATTTTTTTATTTTTGGGTCTTGTTATAAAAAATGTTTTTATAATTAATAAGCTTTTTATTATTTAGCTTTTTATTATTTAGCTTTTTATTATTTAGCTTTTTATTATTTAGCTTTTTATTATTATAATATTTTTAATGCTTAAATTCTTTATAGGAAATAACGATTTTATTTTATATATTTAATATTGTAAAGTTAAAAAGGATTATATTTAATTCACTTTTTTAAAAATAATAAAATAAAAAACTGTAATAATTACGATATATACTTTTTGTTGGATCCATGCGATTCCAGACTGCAAACCATCTATACCAGGACCCACATGTATAATTAGATAAGATAAGATAGTGGATTGAGAGGGCACTTGGCCAGACCTTCGAGTCCAGCTAGATTCCTCTCAATCCAACCATCAGCAACATCATGACCTTGACCCCATACTCGAGTATTATGATTGATCGTTCAAGCCTGTTCCAAGGCTTTTAATTTTATTTAAATAATAATAATATGTATATAATCATAACTTTTATTTAATATTCAAGGTTTTATTGTTACGAACCAACAAACAGTGATATTGAATACAATGGTCAATTGATGTGTGTATTATGATGTTATATGGGCACTGTCTGTCTTTGTACGAGTTTTCAGTACTAGTTTTTGCCCTTGTGGCTGGTCGCAGTCTAGTGCGCTGTCATCCACGTGACATGGTCAGTGCATGGCGCAAATAGTGCGCTGGTATCTGACAAATCTCTTATCTAATCATACATGTGGATCCAGTATAGATGGTTTGAATGTGGAATCGCATGGATCCAACAAATATGAAAAGATTATAAGTAATATATAAACAATAAAAAAGCAACATCTTCATATATATAATAAAATTTTTATTTTAATTGAGGTTTAAAAATTTGCCTATTTAACGACCTTTAAAAAAGCTAAATGATAAATAACTTAGCCCGTTTGTAATATTATAAACGTATAAATAAGCATATTGTTAGAACAGGCTTGAACGATCAATCATAATACTCGAGTATGGGGTCAAGGTCATGATGTTGCAGATGGTTGAATTGGGAAGTCTAGCTGGACCTGCAGGTTTGGCTAAGTGATCTCACAATCTGGTATCTAATCTCTTATCTAATTATACATGTGTGTTCTGTATGGATGGTTTGACTGTGGAATCACATGGATCCAACACATATACTTTTAAGCTTAACGAGGAATTTAATAATGTCTTTTTTAATTTTGAACACTTATTATTGCGACTAATTCAAAATCTATAAACAAGAAATTTAATTAAGATTAATAAAGATATTTAAAATGATTAAAAGGCCTTTATTATTGGTTTAAATAAACGTAATCGCCTTTAAAAGAAATAGTTAATAAAGTTATTAACAACTGTATAAACAAAAAAGAAAAACTTTAATATTACATTAAATAATAAGATAAGATAGCTTTATAACAACTTACGCAACATTCAAAGTTATAATTTAACGATTTATAAATTTTATCAAAAAATTAATAAAAACCATAAACCTTTTTAATAATATCGTAAAATAAAAGCTTTTAATAAACGGATTAATATAATGAAAAGGCGAGAACTAGATTAAAGTTAAGTAATAATAAATTAAATAAATTAAACGAAAACGTAAAAAATAGCGAGAATAATACTAATTTCAACGTTTAAATAGCTTTACTTACGTTTCATTAAGGTTTAAAAGAGGGGAGTACTATTAAAAAGCATCCCGCGAACAAAGGGACCATTTATGTACATATACATGGCCTCCGCGCCTGATTAGTACTGTACCTCTCTACAGAGCAAAATACTATTTACCCCCCTATATGGTTGGCCTTCTAACAATAGTGACAGGTGCATCGACATCATATTGTAGGAATGATTCGAATGAGACTCAAATACGGAGCATAGGTCAGGATATGAAGCAATGCAGCGTAGCAACCACTCAGCGGCCCGCGCAAGGCCTTACGCTGTACCACATGATAATATCCATTTGCTGATCTTGTGCTGCAATGTGAACAGCCTGTAGGTCCTGTTATATAGCAGTCCTCTCAAGCACAGTTTCCTGAGGATCAATGGAGCGTCACCGGATCGGAGCAGATAGGACTAGGAACGACGACAAGCTGCTGATCATACAGGTATTGGCAGGCGGTACACTAAAGAAGGTCTGTCATGAGTTTGAAGTTCGCTCGACACCCACGTAGCGAGCATAGTCACGACGTCGTCTGCTGGCATCAAGCTATTCACAACTGTGATGGAGCACCCAACGCTCGTGTTGGTATCTCCAGATAATCTTATGCAGGCACGTATCTAGGCAACATTCCAGGTAAGACAATGGCAATGTAGTCAATGGCCCCGTCCATACAGTCTCTGAGTCTGACCCTCGGTGCACATTGGGGGCTCCCGCACATTGGCTCACTGACTGTGCCAATCCACTAAGCGAACCCCCTGTAGCTGCCAGGCAACACATTCTCAACACATCATGCCTCGATGCATTGAATAACCAAGTTACTGACCCTAATAAGCCTCAACTACTTGATGAACAAGGTACACTGCCCCTTGTGCGTCTTCCAATCGGAACGCTGGCACTCGCGAGAGCAATATCGAACCTTGCGGCAACGCGCGCACGCCGGCAACTTGGTTCCATCCTTTGTTTGTTTTTGTTTGTTTGTATTTAACGTGGGGGGTAGCTCCTCAGTAGTGCAAACCACGCCTCCCAGAGCCATTGCATCGCAAGGTTGTAGAGGTGTCAAATTAGATACATTCAGATCCGCGCACGAGCCTATCCTCGCTGTAGCGGTACCAATCTGGAGTGTTCAGATGGTTCCATCCTTTGACGATCTCTCATGACACACTGCACACGCTTCAGAGCTTCGGGCCTGGGTTGGGCCCATGTAGCATTGGTCGGCAAGAGAGCTGAAGAACGATGGGGAGATTGCCACCCTCACGGCGTGCTTCGCAACGGTCTTCCACCCCGCGATGTCAAACTCGAAGTCGCGCGGGAGGATGCCGTTACCGCATGTGCAGACGAGTGGTCGACCGTTCTCAACCGACAGATGCACGCGACCCGTCTTCCCGTACTCGCAGAGAGTCCGGTGTTTCCATGTGCGACAGCGCTCGATGCAAGCCGGGATGATCTGCTTCCAAAGTCGCATCTCCGCGCCGTCAACCCTGATATTGCAAATGCCTCGCTCCGTCAGAGACCCCAAGAAGGACCTGATACTTGGCATCAACGTGTTGTGTAGCGGCAGTAACGCAAGGTCTAGCACGACTGTGCGGTTGGCGAGATCAAGGCGCAGGTTTGACACAAACAGGATAACATGAACCCCGCCACCTGTTGGGTTGTTCAGACCGAATATGCATTCTTTCCTACCTTGCAGACCGGTGAAGTGCATGAAGAGGGAGAAGAGCGAGTCCTTGAAGCTGACGCGGGTGCGTTCCTCCGCGGAACCTGGTAGTGAGTTGTTCTCGCGAAGGCCGCGCTCTCGTGCCGAAAACATATTTGACACGTGTAACGTCAACCAGTCGAGTTCATCATGCCGAGAAGAATCGAGGACTGGGCAGCGATCCAATTTTACATATGGCATATTCCAGGCTACTAGATTGTTGCCATCAGGGAGAACGGGGTACGTAAGGCTGCTCGAGGGCGTTCCGGCAGGGTCTGTCGTCACCGTGACAATAAGCTCGACGTAGCTGGATTTTCGTGCGATCCTGGTCTTGAGATTTGACGCCGTCATGGGGACCGGAAAACTCAGGTAGAGGTCGGTCTTGTCGATTGAGACCTTGTAATCCATAGGCGACAGCTGTATTGCTTGAACTCGAGAACCACCGCGAAGTGCCATCTTCAACGCTTCAGAGGTGATATTGAGGCGGCCAGTCATGGAAGACAAATTGACTCCGTTTACGCCCGCGGAGAAGACAGTCGTGGCGTCGAAATCGCTGCTACTTCGGTCCATGGTGTGCTTGGTAGAGAAGCCCGATAGCGGCATCATACCCGGTTGGTTTGGATGGTCCTTGCTGATGTACACGTGGTTAGTATTCCCAATAGTTGACTTTAATATAACTAGTCCGGTTCCGAGACGACTCGCAAATTTGGAAATAGTGTATGGCATGCACTGAACACCGAAAGATATGACGGCAGTTGATGGCTCCAACAGCAGCATCCATGTTGGCGCCCTGAATGTGACGAAAAGAGGCGACTGTCCCTTCCAACCCAGCGGGTCATCGGCCAAGCGGATTTCGAACTCATTGCTAAACCTGCGGCCACTGGTGTTTAGTTCCCCAAACCCCAGCTACAGACCCGCGAACATATTCAGCCAGGGTCGCATTGTAGACGTGCGTGAGTTCTCCAAGGAACACAGAACTGGCACCGTACCAACGTTCGTAGAGTCTTCGTCGATGAAAATTGCCACGTTCTCCCTCAGCACTTTTAGCGTGACTGAGACTGTAGACGGCAAGTCCTTCCAGGCAAGGAGGCTGTCTTGTGCATCAGAAGATGCTCCTGGGTTGTAGACCTCCTTCCGTAGTGTGTCAACAGAGAACACGCCAAACAGGTGCATATACACGAACAGCTCCTGCACATAGTTCATTGTAGTCGGACTGCCATGATGATTCCCAATACGCTCAAGTAGCTTGCTCATCACTTTGTCCCAGTGTATGTCAACGCGACTTTTGACTAGACGAAGGAAAACTGCGAAGCTGCCTCGATGATGCAGTGGGAGAGACCGGATCTTTCCCAGGTCGAGAAGCATCGTGACAAGTCCTCGTCGGAGAAGAGCCGCACGTATACCTGGAAGAGGACCTCGGTCAGGCTATCCTCATCCATGCGCAAGGGCTGCACGCGCGACAGCGGCCGAGGAGGGTGTGGCTGGGGGTGAGGGGATCGCTTCCATGTAACTCTGACGAACGATTGTCCACTTTTGGTTTCAACGACTCCTCCGCTCATACGGGCGACAATATCCATTAATGAATTCGTCGAAGATAGAGACAGGGGATGTGTTCGTCCAATAGTCGGCTGGGAACAGACCAAGGAGAAGAGAGATGGTGGGAAGATGCCCAAAGAGTAAGCTATCGGCCAGTTCTTGATGCGATTCGGTCTGCCGGACCAGTATTTCGGTATACAGGCTAGCTGCCGTATCCTCCGCCAAAAGCGGCGAGGTTGCAGTCAAGAGGTTGAGGGCGCCAGCATGGTCGATAAGATTAGATGTGTCAATGACAGTGAAAGTGTAGGGCGCTGACCCTGCATGGCCAAAACCTTCGTCGTCCAGGACGACCGGTTCCATTACAAGGGGGCTTCAATAAAAGCCCGGCGAACTCACACCTCCAGTCGCACTTCTGTGTTGCAAAGCGTGGGAGAAGGCGAGGGCTTCTCCCGTGAAGAATCGGAGAGTCAGTTTGCCAATAGCACGATCCCTGAAGGAGTTCGACCAGGTAGCGAATTCAGTATGCACGAACTCAACAACATGTGGAAGGCTAGTCTTCCGGCCTCCCTGGCGACTTGGTGGTGATCCGTCGGTTAGAGGGCAGTAGGCAGCCGATAGATGAAAGCCCAATAGCGGATCGGTTCCCCAATGAAGCGAAGTGGCTGTGTTAGGTGGGACAAACATAGGATTCGCATATACAGCTTGGGACAGTTTCACTTCGTCGAGTTCCAGTCTGCCATACTCCCAGAAATGTGTGTGTAGCTCGCTCAAGTCTTCAAGACTAGCGGTGTTGACCGGGTCGACTGATCGACGGGCACTCAGATTGGACTTGCCCATTCCGGCTGTGATTTCGTTGCGTCGCTGAATTGCAGTCTTGATGGCCGTCTCTAGATTGGCCTGCCTGTCTTTGCCGCTCTCGAAGAAGTAGAAATTCCAGACCTCACCCACTCTCCTAAGTGTCCCTTGGTCACAGAAGCGAATGAGCTTGCTGTATTCACTGGCGCGCCAGGCTTTCATGGAAGAAGACAAGCCATGGAGTTTCTTAGCTTGTGACCGAAGCCTGGTGTGGCATGCCTGATCGAGGTAGAGGTGGTAGTAGATGTTCCAGTTGTCTCTGTTACTTTCACCGTTGGAGTCGTCCAGTATGAGCGTCAGAAGGAGGATGTTGCGTGCTTGGAGTCGTCAGTGAGCGGCGCCATTCATCATAGTTGACTTTTACTTACCAATGACTGCTACCTCCATATCGCAGCAGGTGATGTCCATTGGACGATCTGTTTCCGTATTAACAAAACGGTCTCTTCCTCTATGACCTGTCGTTTGTTCTTATCATCCAAGTGGGTGGTGAACAGAATGTTTCGCACGTCGCCACAGCCGAGAAGGAGTACGTCTGCCCTCTTCTCTGGCGGTAGGCTCTGCGTCAAGCAGACAGCAGGTGTATTCCCAATGGGATAGAAGTGGGTAGAAAGGCTTGTGTATCCGGGGAGCAGCATGATGATGGCTGGCCCGAAGTATGATACTCCCGGGCAATGTGAACGGACAGGCCCGTGAAGCTCTACGAAGCAGTGAAGACGCCTCAGTCGATACGAGATGAAACAGAAAACATTCCGGGGCGCGAAAGATGATCGGAGCTGCTGGACATGTCCCATCAACGGCGCGGGGGTCTGTTTTGTGTTCTGCTGCGATTCGTGGAGCTAACTGCCGTGTACCACAACCCTCCATCAAACGGGCAGGCAGACTGGCAAGCAGACTGGCAGGCAGACCGACGGGTTTGTGCATACCTGACGGTTTCCAGCCTTGAGCCCAAACTCAGTAATGCTCCAGCTCTCCCACCACAATTGCCTCAGCCTCACCCTGGGCATGATGCCTTCGGCGCTTTTGCATCATGCATGGAATCAGTGCACACGCAGGAACTGCTGCAGGATTGAGGACCATTCGATGAGACAAACGATACCGTAGCATAGCCTAGCACAGCAACAAAGCCAAACATGGTACAAAGGTGCTGGATTTGCTGGATGTGTGTTGTTGCGGAAAGGGAGGGGTCTGCGTCGGGTGGCTGCAGCTGTAGATCTCCGGAGCTAGCGGTGACGTGAGATGCCCCTTTTGAATGATAACCTTTCCATAAGCATATACCCCAATTATGGGGCCACGTGACCACGTGGACCACGCAACACATGTCAAAGCACTAAGGTTACATGGTACAATAAATGCCAGAGCCTCCCCATACTGCCTTCCCGCTTCTTCGATTCTGGAATGTACATAGTATGTTACGTGTCTTTGCCAACCCAGGCAGCAGACCCAGCTACTACTGGATGACTGAGTCCTCACTGACCTTCCACCCTGACTCATCACGCCGCCCGTTGTAAATTGTACACATCTAACTAGACATATCACATCGTGTTTGCCCCTCGGTCATTCCATGCTGCTGCGTTAATGCACTGCGAAGCTCTCTTCTCAAGCGTACTTCTGATCAACCATACCGCAATTACTCCCATTTTGGCGTTGCAAAGTGTCACAACTCTGGAGCTCTGCATGAAAGGACGAATCCATAGTAAGAGGTCACAAGAGACCTCTTGCTCTGGTCAGTTGGGCAGTACTCTCGCCTTGTGCTTCGATCTCCATAACATGATTCGTCTGCTGTCTACATTGTTCACTATGTCTTGCTGGCTGTCACGGGACTCATGGCGTGGAGGTTCACTGCTTTGGCCCTCTCATTTGTAATCACAACGCAATAGATAAGTTTGGCTGACTGGGCTGGAGATTCCAGCTTGAGCTTGCCAAACGTTGGGATGATGTGACTCAATGAAGCATCCTGGCTGCACCACTCTTGCATATATAACCCGGCTCATGCCCTTCAACCTACCAAGAGATTTAGATATTGTCTGGTTACACAGAATGAAGATTAGGAATCAATCAATAATGTATAAGACAGATGATTCAGTCCTCCAGGTTTTATATGCCCCGGCAAATACCTTGATAATGGGAGACCCTCGTTGACCCGCATTATACTTGAAGTACCACGAATGTCCGTCTAAGCCGGAGTATCATCATGGAGGCAGACTACATATTTCATAAGCCCTAGGTGAGTCCCAAGACGGTCGACTCAGCCTTATTGTAATCCATCCAACGTGTGTGCTGCAACTTACACGCTGGTGGAGGGCTACCACGACCGCATGTGTTGGAGCCCCTTCTCCTCGAGGTTCATGAATCTATAGCTTCCATCCTGGCATAGTATGTATGGGGTGAGAATAACTTAGATGTTCCTGATTACGAGTGTTTTCAATACCTGATACACATTCACTATTCTCGGCCTGTGCCAAGCCCTGTTTGAATGGGTACACCACTCAGGGGCCATTCTTCAATGCCATTCAGGTGCAGGCAGGGGGGCTCACAATGTCCACCGCCATACGTGAATGGGATTTTCGCTCCTCAATGGCGGCCATTGTCCCCTTCTGCATATATATTCTCACGCTGCTGAGGGAATCTTTAGACTGAAACCAGCAACGAACACAGCTCAACCTTGGTCCAACATTCACACGATCAACCACTCAACTACATCTAGCTACAACTTGCTTCCTCCGGGAATAACCTTCACATCACGACTTGAGGTTAGTGAAAAGTCTACACAAGGTGGAAACCGACTTAACTAACATTGCCAGGTTAAGATCATGAGTGGGCCCCAGGTTGAGACCAGCGAGTGTCGTGACATCTTGCGCTACGCATTCCTCAACGATGCTGCTCAAGTCCAATCCTTCATCGAGAACATCGCAAGAAGAGAACAGCAGTCGTTCGCAGTCATCGCAATGGCGAGTAGAGATGAGGCAGGCAGCAGCATGCTTCATTACGCGGCACTGAAGGGCCATGTAGGTATGTTATAACTTACTCGATGCCCTACCTGCTATATCGTGTATCTGTTTGTTCGAACGCTAACAAGAAACACAGAGATGGCAGATCGCATTCTGGCCGAGTTCAACAATTACCGCCCGGACTTGATCATCCCTTTTGTTACCATGCAGCAGCGGGACGGGGAGCCGGCTATGCATTAGGCGGCCCGCAAGGGCCATCGCTACTTCTGCGAGGTGATGCTAGAGGCCGGCGCCAACGCTACTACGAAGAACAACGCCGGGAAGACCCCGGTCGGCTTTGCGAGAGAGGCGCTCGCAACGAATGAAGCCAAGCTAGTCGACGCCCAAGGAAAGCTGAGCACTCAGGACGACGAGGCCGCAATGACGAAGGGGGCGGAGGAAATTACACGCCTGCAAGATGTCAAGCAGAAGCTCGAGGGTACTTTTCAGTACCTCGAGGGAAAGGTTCGTGCTTCGGATCAGGCGAGAGGCAATGCTGCCTGAAGGAAGCGGTTGTTGTCAATGAGAAAAAGGGCGATGAGGTGGTGGTTTGGCCGAAAAGGTTGATTCGGGACGAGAATTCCGAATTCTATGTTCTTTTCCGTTATCCCGCCTCTTTAGCAGTATGCTTATTTCAATATCAACGAATTTGCTGCTACTTCGCTGTATAACCATGCTTTGAGTATAATTAGTGAGTTATGTATAATGTTATTAATCTACGCAACTATATAAAGCACTTATATAATTATATTATAAGTTTTATAAAAATAATACAGTATTATATTGTTTATTATTATGTACGATAATATATATATTCCTTCGTATTTAAAGCACGTAGTGAAAAACCCTCGTTATCATTCTCTTATTTTCTTATAACCTTATAAAGACAGGACCATTAACGACATAACGTTAACACAACTTTGCCGAAACCTGCTATGTATTTGGCTGCCCGCCGCCGCCACCGTTATTATTGCGAGTTACTATGAGAAACTGTTGAAAAGCGTGTATTATGGTTGATCTGATTGATAACGTGTATTCTGGTGATTCTGATTAGAGTGTTCTGACTCTGTGAAAATCCTTCTGTGGGCTAGGTGGCCTGAAAATGACCTATTGGCCTTGTTGGTGCACTGCCACCTCCCTGAACAACACGGTGGCTTCTGCGCCATTCAACAGAAACCGGTGCCGACGCTAAGATAAAAAATAATATCAACAAAACTGCAACCGACCTCGCCAGAGAGGTACTTGCTGCAAATGAACGCAAGATTATCGACGCGAATTCAAAGTCCAACGCCGAAAAGAACGAGGCCTGGACACAGGAAATGACTTAGCTAGAGAGCTCCAAGGATAATGTGACGAGCCGTCTAACCTATAAGGCTAAAGGGTTCTATAGGGTTAATATTCTGAGGTAAGTCAACACAAAGGACGATAGAGGCTTCTGTCAACTAGAAGACACTCAGATGCTGGGGCTTGGTCTGATCCGGGGGATCACTGAATAGTCGAGTCGTCAGGAGATTTCTCTCACCTTAGGGTTGACTAAGATGCTTAGATTGTTCACTGAGGTAGAGACTACATATCTGTCTAGTTAAGAAATATCCATCCTTATATATCCAATTTTTCTCTTATTAATGAGGTGTGCTCACTGTTGCTCGCGTGATCAGAAGTGAGCAACCTTCCCTTGCTCACCATTGCTCGCGTGAGCAGACGAGAGCAACTCTAGTCACGTGATCCTGACTTCCTGGATCACGTGCCTGGATGCCCTGCGCTGCTCTGTATTGTGTCCCCGTTCTAATTGGGTTCCCTCATAGGTCATCCTTTTCCCTTCAGGCCTGCCAATGGGCTCGTGGTATTGTTGGTTCGTAACAGATAAGCTGGAGGGTACGATCCAGTACCTTGAAGCGAAAACAAGCTCTTCCTAGTTCGATCCGGTCCCCTTGTCTGAAGCACCCGCCAACTCCACCAAGCTACGGCGCAAAAGATGGTCTCTAGTGACTGGAGATCCCCTCAAGTCAACACGAAGGACAAGGGTGGTGGATACAGCCCGTCAGAGGAGTATGGACCGCTCTTTCCGGAATAGCGCAGCAGAGTGAGGGCATGCTCTCTGGCTTGCTCGGTTTTCGTAGCAATTAGAGACCAAGTTAGCTCAGTAGATGGACAATGGCAGAAGTTATAGTCCACCTGCAATTTTTAGCAAACTAATCTATCTCTCTTATACATATATATAAACCCCCTGACTACAAGTATTAAGCACAAATTAACAATCTTTTACCTCATCGGATAGTAATTGTTGGAATTTTAAATCGTGTTCTCGCTGAGTTCTCAAACTACCGCCCAGACCTGACGGTAGCTTTCGTGACGATGAAGCAGCGTAATGGAAAGACGGCTCGAGGTGACCATCGGTATTACTGCGAAGTGATGTTGGAAGCAGGCGCAGGCATTGCAAACAAGACCATTAACGGCAAAACTGCCATAGATTTTGTCTGCGCTGCAATTTCAGTCAACAGTCGGAAGCTTGCCGATGCCCAGGGCAACCTTGAGGCCGCGAACTCTGATGTCGTTATTGCTTCCTGGGATGCCGGAGGTCGACCGATTGAAGACGGCCGAGGAAAAGCTGCGTGGAACCAAACTCTTTTTAGAGCAGAAGGCGCGTACGGCTGAGGGAGTCTAGAGTAATGCGAGTCAACAGGACTCGAAGCGCCAACATGATGGGGTGTCCCAGCCAAGCACAGACTAGCTACCTGGAATGACTGCAGCCCATATGGACAAGGACCGATGCAAGGCATGCAATGGTAAGAAGACCATCGTTAACCGGAAGGTTCTCCATGTTCAGGGCTACAACGCACCTCCGCATCTAGCAACGAATGCATCTTTCTACACACACATACGTTACAGACCCCTTCAATGGCTGGTATCAAAGCGGCAGGTGATAACGTTTAAGTGGTCTAATGAACTGTCGATAAAATCTGGTTCTGGTACTACTAAAGTACATAGCCTTCTACCACCCGGCCATCTTGCCCACGTGGCTAGACGGCGCGAAAACCCTCAGAATCCATTTGATGTTCATTCATCTACCATCCCCCCATAGAAGTCGTACACCCCCACTAGTCGTACAGCCAAACCCCACCATCTCCACCAAAACACTCCCTTATTCACTTATACACGAATGAAGCCATTTAGGTCACAGAAATACAGCGAGATTATGATTCAAAAGCGCTAAAGTTGCTCATGCGTAATATCTAGCCGGCGCCCGAATGGCTCGCCCGGATCACGATAGATTGATTGATTGATTGATTGTATTTAACGTGGGGGGTAGCTCCTCAGTAGCGCAAACCACGCCTCCCAGAGCCTCTGTATCGCAGGGTTGTGGAGGTCTCAAGATAATAAGTACAGTCAGTCCCGCTCACGGGCCCATCCCCGTTGTTGCGGCGGTATGACCTTGGGGTCATCCATCTGGTCCTTTAAGAAAAGCTATCTATCGGGGGCAGATTATTAAAAAGAACTTGCTCTTCTCCACGAATTTTGCCCATTCTGTGCTCCTCTCTTTTAAGTATTGTAAATAAGCTGTCCTAGGCGAGTACCTAGGCAGCAGCCAGTTTTTCCCCAGCCTCTTACAAAAGAAAATGTGTTGTGGTGTTTTCTTCTCACCACAGCTGCAGTGATCATTCGAGTCTGTATGCCCAAAGCGTTCATGGTATCTGGCAAAGTCGCCATGTCCAGATCTGGCTGCTAGAAGTCTATATAAAGTACTCCTTTTAAAAGATATAAGGTCTCTTTCAGTTATTATATGTGAGTATATTTCTTGATATCTAGGTTCTGATCGGTCTTTTTATCATTGATTGAACTCTTTCTTGCCCTTTCTTTTAAGATCTCTTTTAACCCAAGAGATTATAGGAAGATTTATTGTGTATGTTTTTAGTATAGCACCCTCTTTTGTTAGTGTATTGGCAGCTTCGTTGCCATCAATATCTCTGTATCCAGGAATCCACTTGACGGTCACTCCAAGAGTGTGTGCTGTGGCAAATTTTTGAAATCATAGAAAAATATTTTGTGATGTCTCGGGTGGAGTCCCATTGAGCCCATCTACCACTGACGTGTTGTCCAGGCAGACATATAGCTGTTTTCCGTGTCCAATTGCCCTGGCTGCTGCAAGACCTTGGAGAGCACCATGGACTTCAGCATCTATTACTTCTGCTTGGAGAAGTCTGCCCTTTCCCCGGTATACTTCTTGTGTAGTGCCGCCTTTCCTGATGGTATAACCCCATCCAGTATGGGTTGTGCCTTGGTTGTCTAATTGTGATCCATCTGAATAGATGACAAGGTCAGTGTTCACATTTCTCTCCTGTAGCCATTGCTTGAAGAGCTCTGTTTCTTTGTTTTTATCTTTACGGATTGGAGGTTTCTTCCATGATGGCCTGGTAAGTGTTGGTCTCTGGAAGTCAGGGACTAGCTGGAAGCTCCTTTGTAGCCTTGTTGGATTCTTGCGAGCTTGTATTTGGAGCCTGCCAACAAGAGGGTGTCTCTGGTCTATTCGTCCTAGTCAGAGGCCGTGACGTTGTCTTATTGACTCTGCAAGAACTCCTGCTGGGAGAATCTGCGATTCAAAATGTAGGATATGTCCAGGGTGTTTTTCCCAGACTGGCAAGATAGCCCTGATCGCTAAGAAGCCCCTTAATACGACATGCTGATGTCCCACCTAAGCTCCCAACTTTCTCGATTCCTGGGTACCAGGCCTCCAGGCCGTGTGTAAGAATAGAAATAACACAAGCTTTCACAGCCCTCTTGGTTGACTTTACTGGAAGTCCTTTGACTGTGTTGTATAGTCCTCGAAGGTGATTTGCTATCTTATTAGCTTTCTTGGCCCAGTAGGAAACGTGATTTTGGAAGTTTAGTTTTCTATCCAGGAAGACACCCAGCCATCGCATGGAGTCCTTTGCTATTTTGTTCATTGTCCCGTGGCGGACTGGAGGGTTGTCTGAGTTCTTTTTCCTTGAGAAATGCATGATCTCAGTTTTGTCAGGGTCAAATTCAATAGCATTATTATGTCCCAATTGACTGAGCAAATAGAGATTTTCAGAAGCCTTTATAGCTGTTTCCTTAAGGTTCTTTCCAATGCAGAGAGTCGCTAAGTTGTCTATGTATCTAAAGCATCTCCTTTTTATACCAAATTGGGCACAGATTGGCTCTGTATATAGCATGTAAAGAATTGGAGAGGCTGGTGATCCTTGTGGTAGCCCACAAATGAGAGCTTTTATATCAGTCACAATACCTTCAAACTGAACTCTTGCGGACCGCTCGGACATGAATAATTAGACCCATCTTATGAGAAAGCCCGGCCAGCCCTGTCCTTTCATATAAGCCACCAGTCGTCTCATTAGGGAAGCGTCAAAGGCCCCTTTCACATCTGACGTGACTACCGTTGCAACGAGGCCTTGGTCGAGGGCCTGCTCCATATCGTGTATGAGTGCAGCTACCAAGTAGGTGGCAGAGCGCTTTGGTAGAGCTCCAAAATATTATGGAGCTAGAATTCCAAGTTTGACAACAAACCAGGTAATCCTTTTCGCGATGAGTCGTTCTAGGCCTTTGCCAAGACATGACAGTAGCGATATTGGTCTGTAGGCCCTGGGATTAGAGTAGTCTTTTTTTCCTGGTTTTGGGATCATCACCACCTCAGCTACTTTAAATAGTTTAGGGTGGTGTCCAATTTGTAGGCAGGTCTAAAAAAGGGCTCTGATATGTTCCCCAATGAATGGCCAGCAAGCTTTCAGAATCCATACTGTAAGGGTATCTACTCCCGGGGAGTTGCTCTTGATCCCTAAATTGCACCCTTCAGCCTCTTCCAGTCCGACATGGTATTCAAGGGGGATATATGGCTTGGGTTGTATGATCTGAGCAAACCAGGGGTCGATAATATTGTTGTCTGAGGTACTTCGTTCAAACGTGGCTGAGTGTAGTGTATTTGCCTTGCTCTCTTGTGACTCGAATATTTGGTCTCTTATGATGATTAGAGGGGAACGCAATCCTGCTGATAGCTTGTGCCAAGAGACAATTCTGTATAGGTCCTTTGGTTCAGTTGCTGAATTAATTAGAGTCTGTTATTACTCTCTCCTAGCTTTCCGAACCACGCAGTGAAATTCTTGTCAGGCTGAATTCCGCCCCTCTTGGCTTGTAGTCTGTTTAGAAAGGGCCCTGTATGTCTGAATAGCTGCTTTACAGTCATCATTCCACCAAGCAGTGGGCCTAGATTGACGGGGCTTCTTGCCCACTGTCCTGATACAGCCTTGGATCATGTTGATCAAGCTTTGTGTAAAGGTATCTACCTGGCCAGGGGATATACCCAGCCGGGGGAGTTCATGAATCCTGGTTTGGACATTATCTGCCAGCTCTTATAGTTTATCGTCTGATACTATCCAATAATTGGCCTTAAGGACTCAGTCTAGATCTCCCTGAATTAGAATGACTATTCGTAATGTCTTATGATCTGAGGTGCACTGAAGTGTATCATTGACTGAGGCTTCAGCCATGGGGACATCTGAGAACACCAGATCTAGTACATTTCTGTCATCATGTGTTGGGACATCTGGTTCAGAAATCAGATCCAGTCCGTGGTCTGCCATAGTCTGTGTAAGTATGATACCACCATGATATCCTGGATTGCTCGAGTCCCAGGATGTGTTGTTAGTATTGAAATCTCCAGCTATAACGCAGCCAAAAGGTGGAGTCTATACTTCCAGAATATCATCCACTTCCTGTGGGTTGTTACATGGCCAGTAGACACTGGCAAATGTAATGCCTTATACCTTGACCCAGGTGATGTTTTGTGTAGCATAGGGCCGAAATTGATCCGCTTAAAGTTGTTTTCTCACATAGATGAGAGATCTGGGCCGTGTACTGTTGCTGTCCCAGGAATCCACTGGGGAGTATATATCGTAATTGGGGTGTGTCTTTACTCCCATTCTCCTGCCTGGTGGTATGCCAACCCAGGGCTCTTGTATCATAATGATGTCTGCTTGTTCTCCTTTGTAGTCAGCCAGGTTAATGGCTAACTCTGTAGGGCCTGCACTCTTTTGTCCTCCTGCTGTATTCATAGAATGGATGACTAGATGCCCGTGTTGATGTGTTTTGTTTGATGTACCTAACATTGACTGACAACAATGGTATCGGCATCTCTGGGATGAGTTGTATCTGTTGTGTCGATTTGCATTGTGATGTCTTTGTTATTATTGCTGGGTGTTGATCCAGCTTGGTTTCTGCCTGTTTCATTAAAGGCCTTGGATCTGGCTCTTTCTCCGGCTAGCCTTATTTCCTGGATTTGCTCCCATGTGTGCTTATGGATGATGCCTTTCACAACCTTGGGGCGTGCAGGGCATTTGTCGAAGTTGGCAGCATGAGGTCCTTTGCAGTTGACACACTTTGGGATTGGTTTTTCGTAATCCCCCTGGTGTACTGCGCTGGCGCAACGTGCACATACTTGCTTTTCACATCGGTAGTTTCTATCATGGTATCTGAAGCAGCTCGCATACTGGTGAACCTTGGGGGAGTATTGAATGTGCCTCGAGGTCATTGAGTGAGCAAAAAGCGTGAATAGTTTCTTTGCTGCATGGGGCAAAGAGATCACCTATGTGATCTCCAGATCAGAATCAACTGTGTTCCTTGAGAGT